GTAATAGGTTAAATATGTAATATTGGGTATAAATTTTAATAAATGTAAATAGATTAAATACAAAAAACAAATAGTCTTACTTAGCTGATAGGATTATTTTTAGAAGATACTCATGGACGTGTGTGTTGAAGTAGAACCCTCTGCTGTGAAGGGTGATAGGAGCAAATCCTTGTTGTTTGATGCTTGAAGATTGGCGCATGAGTTAAAGCAATTAAAAGGGATGAAGAAATGGAAAATCATAGCAAAAGTATGGGTTGAGTTGTTATCATATGCAGCATCTAAATGCATACCCATTACTCATGTCAAACAACTTAGTAAAGGTGGAGAATTCCTTTCCCTTGTTTGGCTATTGATGACTCATTTAGGCTTCTCTGTATTATTTCCTGATGATGAAAAGTTATTCTTCGCTTAAAAGTATATGTCAGATTACGAAAACCACAAACTATTACTTTTTCACTCAAAGTGTATGAATCAAAGGGAAAATTACAAATCTTTTAACAGCGTTTAGTTTTCTATGTGATGAAAATGCTTTTAATAGCATTTCGTATTTGTGCATACCAAACAAGTGAAAATGTCGGTATAATGATAATTATGCGTCGTTATCAACAAACTAAAAACTGTAAAAAAAATGTAATTTCTCTTATCCTTTTGACAGGAGTTACAGGCTAAATAACAGGAATCCTAAAATTTAGCCTAAAAACCTGTCAGTTACAACATATTTACAATAGGAAAATGTAAAAGCTATTTTATCAATTACAATAAGAAATTATTATAAATATCTACAATTATAATAATTATAGACAAACTTAATAATCTGGAAATATCGCATAAAAAATGCTTCAACTTCCATTAAAATCTTCCCTCCTATTGTTGTCGGCACGGCAAGTCAACCAGTAGCAATTTGCCAACAAGAATCCTCGAGTAGAAGTGCCAATAAGATATCAAATAATGTGATGAACAACAATTAGATGAAGATGTTTAGGAGAAGACATGAATTGACTTGCGATATTATATCCAGTTGTGGTCAAGTAAATAAGACTTCCAACTAAATTCCTACACAAAGTTAGATTATTCAACAATTGTAATAACCTAGTTTTTATTGCAGTTTTTTTTTTTTTTTTAAATAGAAGAGTTTGATTTTTGAAAACTGTAATATTTCTTACTCAAACGAGAAATGTCTCGTTCAAGCGAGATCAAATCATCTGAAATGGGAGTCTCAGAGCTTTCTCGTTCAAGCGAGATTAACGCAGTGGATGAAGACTTCTCTAGAATATCAAGTCACGTTTAAGCGGACCTATCTTGTTTAAGCAAGAATAAATTTGTTCAAGTGAGGTTATTAGAAAACATGTAAAAGTTTTTGTGTATTTATCTTGTTCAAGCAAAAATGGGCTTCACGCAAGTGAGAAAGTCATCGCTCATACTGTCGCCCAAGTAAGAAATGTCACAACCCCTCCTCAAAGGATCAATAACATTACATTTAATTATACCTAGTACAATTTATCCAATAAGATAAAGTCCATCAAAACATTCAATTTAATATGATTCGCAAAAAAATAAAACCCGAAACCTCAATGGTGGATTAAAACCTCACAGCATTCTCATAAATTTTATATTTTATAACTATAATTATCTATTGGCAATATATAAATATATACAATGACTGCTCAGTAGCAAGTTCAAAATATAATTTTACATTATTATTATTGAATATTTACATCTCATATTAGATCTGTAATCAAATAGCTTAACCTCACAAATGAGGCCTAAATTTCAAAATTTCCAAAGCTATAGATTCCAAAAATGATACTTGATCACTATCACTTCTCAGCTAGCCCATCAGCATGGGAAGTGGATATGCTACTATTCTTACCTGCTCATGTACTACCATACTATCATTACAATACACACAAATACAAACAAAAAATGCAAGGTGAGGTTGTATAATAACTAGTCATAATGTAAGGAAATAAAGATACAAATAATTGTACAGTCTAGTGCAAATACAACTTTCAGCAAGGTAATATAGCAATTTTCAACCATCTAATATGAATGTAACAGATCAATTTCAATTGGTTTCATAATTTAAGGAAACCTACAATTTGCTAGTCTAGGAGTAACCCATCTTAGTATCTGAATCTAGATATACAGGCACAGCTCAACATATTTTATAATCATTATATGTCTACTCACCTAAACATATAACTCAGCTCTAGTATAATAATATCTCATACAATTTCTGATGATACAACTCAGCCATAAATTTATATTCCTAACAAAATTCAGCAATTTTCTCAACTATCATAGGTCACAGCAAGTATCAGCATTTCAAACTTTTATCACAATCATAACCAACACAAAATATTGGCATTTAACAACAAATTTCAACATTTTCAGCGCATCATTCACAAAATATAAATTTTTTTTCATAAATAAGTTATATATATATATATATATATATATATATATATATTGTCTTTTACCCTAGGGTTTATCCATACATCAATTCATCCTTAGCTACATCAGAATATATATACACATGCTTCCCATTATCTTAGTGAATAACAATAATAACTTAGAATAAGCTCCTCTTACCTAGAAATAGATGTTTCTCAAGTCACGATTCTCGTGAGTTCCAAGGAAAGAATACAATGCTGAGATTAAAACTATAGCTCGAACGATTCAAATTTCTCATATCAAATCGCAATGGACATTCACCTCAAACTCATAATTTTATTGCTAAAGAGAGCAACTCTTGCTACAGTGAGATATACTAGATAATAGATCATTCTTGCTATTTATCATTTTTGCTACAGTGAGAGTCTTTTTCATTACAGCGAGAGGACTCTAGAGAGTCTGATTATGGACAACTAATATCACTATAACAAGATATATCTCGCTACAATGAGATATCTAGCAGTTTTACACCAACTAAACCTATTCAATTCACACATGTATCAACTTTTTACTAAGTAACTATACGACTCACATACATATACCCAAACTATTTCATACATTTATCAACATACAGTATCACATTCAAAATACAAAAACATCATAGTCAAACATACACATCCACATAAGTGAAATAATTTTACACACTGTTTAAATAGTTCTGCTTGGTTCTTCACCAAAGAAAGGTATGGGAGAAAAAAGTCTTATTTTATCTTTTTTTTAATTTTTAATTCTAACATTTTTTTATTATTTTATTATTTTATTTTTTTAGTTTTTTATGTTTTTATACATTAAAATTTAAGATAATTTTATAACTATTGATTTCATATTATTTAAGATTCAATTAATGTATTTTTATTATTAAGAAATTAACTCATCTTAAAAACTATAAATTTTATATTGATTATATCAAATTAGTTTGAATTGATATAAAAAGTAATTTGTCGGTAAATCAATCTTAAAAAGTTTTATTATTTTTTAAAATGCCACCGCGATATTTATTAGATTGGTTAATTATTAACTTATGTAATAAAAAATGCTAGGGTTTAATTTTGTCTTTCTGTGAGTATTTTTAATATTTGTGTTTCTTTCAATAATTTTTACTCAGAAATATTAATAAAATTTCCTTTTTCAAAAAATAATAGTAAAAATAAAATTGAAAAAGTATTAGGTTAAATATGTAATATCGAGTATAAATTTTAATGAATGTAAATAGATTAAATACAAAAAAAAAAAATAAAATACAGGCCGACTTTCGTCAGTTATAGCAGTCATACTTAGCTGATAGGATTATTTTTAGAAGATACTCATTGTTTACACAAAAAGTATTATTTATAAATATTTTAATTTACATTAAAAACAGTTAATTTTGACAAGACACTTTATTAATCTTATGTTTTAAATTAGGACAACAAATTACTATGGATTGGTGATTTTAAATTAAATGATGTTTGTAAATATTTTATTTAAATGAGTTAATTTAAGTGGGATGTCTTGTTAATTCCATGTTTTAAATTGAAATACCAAAATTGTGACAATTGGTGATCTACATTTAGATTAAATTATGTTTTTATACATATTCTTTTTTAACGTCAAATAAATTAATTTACTCAAGATGTCTTATTGATAAGAATTTTTCAGTGATGATATATTTATTCCTTATTAATAATTTGTAAAGCATCGAAACCATTTTAATATATAAGTTTTTATAAAACTTCTCTTTTTTTCGTGATCAACATTTTATTTTGTTGACATACAATTTTGTTTTTCAAACCCTTTTCTTTAGATTTGATAAGTGCATGTATATTATGTTTATTTGAGCTTCCTATACTTTAACGTTGATTATGATGTGTGTTTCACAGTTTATTTTTGTTAAATGTTAATTACGTGAAACTTTGGTGTTCACTGCCACCACTCTTTGTATGTGTTGCCAACATAGCATCACTTGACTTGTCCAAACTCCACCACTAATAGATAACATATCATAGTTAGTATTTTATTTCGAAACACGCAGTTAGATTCTTACAAAGTTGAATAAAACCAAATTTGAATCAACGCTTTGAATTAGTTCCTTAGCCCGTGTCTTGTAAGATAAGTTTTTACAACACGTAGTTATATTCGTCCATTGTGCTTTCACGGCTTGAAGGTAACTTGTCTTGAACCAAAGCAAAAGAGAAGCATTTCCCTGACACACAAGAAGACAATAAAGAGCAAAGCAAAAGAAACAAAGCAGAGGATGCACATAGTTCTCTTCAATCATAGTTATTATTAGCCAACTTTATAAAGATAGAGAATGAAATATTGTGAGAGTGTGTTATAAGACTTAACCATTAAATAACTTTAGTATCTTTAGTGATGGAGGGAGATCTATATACATCACAACCACTCCAAGCCTAAAATGGAAAAGAAAAGAAAGGAAGAATATATAATGGCCTTCTAAGTATGAATCTTTCGTAAAGAAGATAAAAGAAATTTAAAGAAAATGAACAATTCATGGTCTCCTATTTAAGATCTTGAATCAATCATAGGAAGAAAGAGAAAGAAAAACAATGGTTAACCCAATCCCAGAATTTGCTAAGAAAGTATGGTCCAAGTGGAATATTAGAGGCGTTATCCTTGTTAGTCTTACCCTACAAATAATTCTCATATTTATGGCACCTATGAGAAAACGCACCAAAAAAAGCATATTGGTTATGTTGCTATGGTCTACATACCTTCTTGCAGATTATACAGCCAACTTTTGTGTTGGACTCATCTCCAATAAATATGCGGATGAAGACAAACCCAGCTCCACTATCAATGATTTCGTGCTTGCATTTTGGACACCCTTTCTTCTATTGCATTTGGGTGGCCCTGACACCATCACTGCTTTTTCTCTTGAGGACAATGAACTTTGGCTCAGACACATGCTTGGACTCATTGTTCAGGTCAAGATGATCTCTTCATCATTTAAATTTTATTTCAATTTTATCTTTAACTTTAGTATAGTTTTATATTTTAGAGAATTATGATACTTTATGTCACTTCCTTGTTTTTTAATTTCTCTTAATACCCATTAACAATAGATATACTTACATTTTCTTTTACTGCGAGTAATTTATTTATAAAATCTTTTTTTATTTATTTCCCTTGTTCATAACACTTATCACGTGTATTTAAAATTTATATTATTTTAATTAATATTTATTTACAATAATAAGACATCTTATTTTAATAGATAATATTTTTTATAACATGGTATTTTATCAATATCAATATTATTTATTTTAAAATATATACTGTAAAGTATTCTTTAATATTAGATTTATAATTCTTTAATCCAATAGTTTAGATACATATATTACTGATTTCTTCTTTATGTAGTATGTATATTTATCATTTGTTAGAAATAGTTTTTCAAAATGTAAACTAACTTATTTTGAAGATAAATTCAGATGACATTTTGTATCATTTCAACTCAACCTACTTTTATATATATTGCAATTTATTTACGTTGGATATTAAATTTAAACACTTAAATTACTTTATAATTTTTATATAACATAAGAATGATAGGTAAACTCATTGACTCATCTTATTTATTATTTTTATGAAAATATATATTAAATTTTATATAATTTAAATATTTAAAGATATATTATTATGATTTTACATTTATTTATATAATATAAATATTTAAAGATATATATATATATATATATATATATATATATATATATATGTGTGTGTGTGTGTGTGCGCGCGTGCGCTTTAAAATGCACCTAAATATTTGATTTATATTTCTTTAATCATATAATTTAGATATATATTGTTAAAATTGATATAATATAATAACAAATTAAGTTAATTCAGTTTTATCCTACGTATTATTGTATCTTGATTGAGTCAAATTCAGGTCCCACCCTATGAACATTTTCGATTGAAAGGTACTAGGATAAACTTTTGCCAACTTATAAACACCTTGTTCATTACGATAATAAGATCGTACTCTTTTTTTTTATCTTTTTGGTAGATAGATCACATCTTTGCATTACTCGTTTACAGGTCTGTCTAACCAGTTATGTCTTCCTATTGACACTACCCGAAAACACGTTATGGCTCCCTACAACCTTTGTTTTCTTGGCAGGGATCATCAAGTTTGCCGAAAGGACTCGGTCTCTTCAACTTGCAAGTGTTAGCAACTTTCGGCAATCTATGGTTCGTAAACCAGACCCAGGTCCCAATTATGCAAAACTAATGGAGGAATTGAAGTCTAGAAGGGATGCTGGACTTCCCGCCAAAATAGTAAAAATGCCAGAAATTGCTGATCCAATACTACTAGACACTAACACTTCCCAACAATTTCAAAAGCTAGAAGAGGCAAGTACTAGTGCAAAGCATGGGGTTCAAGATGAGTCTAAGGATGAATCAGATGGCAATAGTATTCAAGAAACAACAAAAGTTGCCAGAGACAACGAGCAAGAGGAAAATCTATGTGATGTGGAGGTAGTGAGAGATGCTTATAACAACTTTGTTACATTTAAAGGGCTTGTTGTTGACATGATTTTTAGCTTCCATGAACGTAGTGACAGCCGCAATTATTTCATCAAACTAACTGCAGTAGATGCTTTGAGAGTTATAGAGGTTGAACTCAACTTCATATATGAAGCTTTTTATAGTAAGGCATCAGTTTTATTCAACAAAGTAGGATTCTTGTTTCGATTTGTGTCTGTTAGTTCAGTTGTGGCAGCCTTAGTGCTTTTTGTTTTTGACCAAAAGCAGGGTTGCAATGAGTTTGATGTTAAAGTCACCTATACATTGCTGTATGGTGCTGTGGCCTTGGATGTTGTGTCTCTGTACCTGCTCATTTCCTCTGATCACACATTTGCATCCTTTAACTCTCTTGGTTCTAAGAGAAACGATTTTGTTGGTGGCATAAGTGCATTCAAGGACTCTATTTTTAGAGGTTTTCTTAAGTTCAAGAGACCAATTTGGATAACAAGCGAGGTCAAGAGTCCAACTTGGTTACGAAATAGGAAGAAAACACAGTTGTGTAGGCATGTAATTTTTCGTAGATGGTCTGAATCCATTTCCGGATTCAACTTGGTATCATATTGCCTACAGAAGAAGAGGACACATTGGCTAGACAAGGTCATTGATTACATTGGAGCCAAAGAATTGGTAGAACAATGGAAATATGAGAAGAAGCAACCATTGCTCCAAGAGCTTTGGATTTTTATCTTCAAGGAATTGAAGAGAAAATCTGAGGATGTAGATGATGTTGAAACTATACAGAGAATTTGCTCTTCTAGAGGTGAGTGGGTTATCCAAGAGGGTGAATTACTGCGGGATGATATAGACAAATTGATGCCTCATGTAGATCGCAATATTGTTACCTTTGATGAATGTCTCATTTTGTGGCACATTGCCACAGACCTCTTGTTCTATGAAGTTGAAGAAGATGTTGAGAAAGGAAATCATAATGTTCATAAAAGTGATCAAGATGGTGAGCTTAAAGATTTGAGTAAGATTTTGTCAGATTACATGTTATACCTTTTGATCATGCAACCTACCATGATGTCTTCTGTTAGGGGAATTGGACAGATAAGGTTCCAAGACACATGTGTTGAGGCCACTAACTTCTTTAGCAAGAGGGAAATGATGTCAGAGGTTAAAGCACTTTCTAAACGTAGTACCTTTAGGTTCACTCAGTACTCGCCTATTTCTCAAGGAAAGAAAATGTCCAAGAAACTTCATGAATCCGTTAATAAATTCATTAGAAGAGGAAACACATTATCAGTAGATGGAGAAAAGAACCAAAAGAGTAAGGAGCAGGTAGCATGCATGAAACTCATGGATGTGTGTGTTGAAGTAGAACCCTCTGCTGTGAAGGGTGATAGGAGCAAATCCTTGTTGTTTGATGCTTGTATATTGGCCCATAAGTTAAAGCAATTAAAAGGGATGAAGAAATGGAAAATCATAGCACAAGTATGGGTTGAGTTGTTATCATATGCAGCATCTAATTGCATCCCCATTACTCATGTCCAACAACTTTGTAAAGGTGGAGAATTCCTTTCCCTTGTTTGGCTATTGATGACTCATTTAGGCCTTGCTAAACAGTTTCAAATCAAGGAAGGCCATGCAAGGGCCAAATTGATCGTGGAGGAATGATAGTCAAAGGAAGCTGAATGAGTTACTTGTGATCTTTTGTTTTTCTAAGCTAGTAGATGTAAAAGTCATCATTGTTTATTTTCTATATATATGTCACATCAAACAAAAACAACGTGTGCTTGTTTCAATGAATGATTAATCTACTTGAATTTTTATCAGTGGGAAAATGTACTTATATTAAAGGAGTAAAAGAGATAGAAAAATACTAGCAACATACTATTTTAAACCTGCTTTGTAATATTTTTTTACTGTTGATTAATTTTTAAAAAACCAAAGCACTTGTTTCATAAATTAATCACTCTTTCAAAAATGCTTAGGCATTTTAAAAAATTCATCAAAATAAAAAGTATATTCACCAGAGTATTATTTGGGTTCCTCTAAGAGATATTACAACCTTTAAACAAAACAAACTTGATAGACTACTGCTTACACACTTGTTTAATACACTGATAAGGACGTGAACACTTACTTAAAAGTTAAAAACATCTCCCTATCTTTGAATATAACTAACCCCATGATATAATTTTTAAAAGTTCTCAAATGCTAATTAAATAGTAAATAATAACACTCATTTGTATCTTTTCTTCTTTTCCTTTTGCTTCTAACCAATGATCTGCCGAAGTATGTGTCTTTTGCCATCAATAGGAAGGAAAACTTTTCTTTTTTCGATAACGAAAACTAATTATAGCTTAACAAAGAAATCCTAAGAATAATCCTCTCAAATAGGCCCAATACATGAGATTAGAAAAGTAATAACACCAGTCAACATAAATCCAACAAATCTAACTTACTAAAATAACTAAGAGTACATTCATATTTAATAAATGTAAATGAACCAACACAACAAGGCAAGTGACAGTTAAAATGGTTGTTATATAAGTGACTGACATCATTCTCTAGCCCGTGGATAAGTGCTACCGTATATCTTTCAGTCTTTCAAGATCAGAATCTTATTAAAATGAAAAATGCTCCTTAATTAACAATTAAAATAATTTGGTTTTGTTATTCATCACCGAATAGGCTTTCCAACATACTAAATTGGAATCTAAATTCAAAATAAATTAATTTAATAAACAGTTATATTATTTAAATATTTAAGAATTAATATTACATAGGATATCATATATAATTTTTATTTTTCTTTAATTTTATTTATACACATTTCAAAAATACCCAAGACACCAAAAGACACTACAAGAATTAAGATATACTACAAGTTGTTAGCATAAATACTTATATTCTAGCAACATTTATAAGTTATTGCTATACATGTTTATTTTCTCATCAAAATCAAAAAAGTAAATTTATTTTAACGATTTTATTGTGTCGATATTAGCACATTTGTATATGGCAGCAACTTTATCAATTGTTAATATAAGTACATAACTATTGTCGCTACATTTATAATATGTTGGTATAAAATTGTTTTACTTAATTATTTTGATTATCGTTGCAACTAGTACAACTATTGTTGAGAACCAAAAAAAGGGAAAAAAAAGCACAAAAAGTAAAAGTAAGGTGCCAGTGAATGCACAAAAAAAATATACTTTCCTTTAATGAATGGGTAAAACGTCCCCGAATAAAGATGTACTTGAGTGGCTTCATTCTTTTACCTAAAGAAAAATTGCTACTTTAATTATGTCTCTTCACCTTGTTCAAGTATTGAATCTAATTCCAAAATTGAAATGGTAATCCTGAAACATTTAATAAATAACATTGGCTTTGTCATATAATTGGAGGCCTTTCAACAACGAAAGCTGCAAAGTCGAAAAATCTTCATCATTGTTTATTTCCTCAATCATATCACCATTCACCCCCACTTTAGTACGGTTCCATCATGGCCTCAGACATTGCCCAATTCCTTAAACAAAATTTCTTGGATAGTTTCCAAGAAAGAGCTCTTAACCTATCACCTTCTGTCACTTCCCTACTAAATGCAATCAAGCAAGAATTCGAAGATAACAAGGTATATTGGTCACCTCCCCCCAGTGAATCCCTCTTTTGTATGTACCAACTTGACTATGCACTTAATGAGTTTCAAACTTACAAGACAACCCTCTCTCCATTCTCTCGTCCTGAGCAAGAAAATGACCCCAAAATAATGTTGGGGGAAACTAAGAGAAGACTCATTGAGATTCGAGAGAAGTCTCAAGAGGATGCAAACTCAAGCTTATTCACTTCATCTATGTTCCAAACCACAGATGATTCATCTTACTTTCCAGCATTTGATGAAGAAATCTCAATGATTCTTAAATGGCTTGAATCTAATGATCGTGGGTTTAAGGCCATTGGGATTGATGGGATGTGTGGCACGGGAAAGACTAAACTAGTAGAAAGGGTTCTGGAGGATCCACTTGTCAAAGGTAAGTACGAGAAGCCAATATGGGTGTCTTTGTTTGACTTGACATCAAAAGAGGAAATGGACATAAGGATTGTTAAGGAGTTGTTGGCATGTTTGAATGAGGATCCTGACCTATTGACCGAGGAACCCGAAGATGATTGGCTTGTGAATAAACTAAATGAAAAACTGAAGGCTCAAAAGTACTTGATTGTATTGGATGGTGTGTGGCATTGTAATGATTGGTTTAGTGATTTATATGTTGAAGGACAAGTTGGTGATAGGACCAAGCTTCTCTTTTCTCAAGCATTGCCCAAGGACGCTGGTGGTGCTGTCTTTGTGACTAGCAGGATAAAGGAGGTGACTAAACAATTGGTGGGTGAGAAGAATTTGATTCATCTTAAGCCTTGGAGTGATGAGAAAATGAAGGAGTTTGTGAAGCGTTGTATGGCAAGCCAAAGTAAGAGCAATGAGCCAATTCCTCAAGAAGAGATTGATTATGTTGCTTTTCATTGTCATGGTCTTCCTTTAGTTGCTGCAACTCTCTCAGATTGGATAGCCAACCAAAAAATTTGATTATGTGTTTTTGTTGTTCATACTTATTGTAATAAAAATTATGTAGAATTGAGATATTTCTCTACGAATCCTGAAAATTGCCAACAACACACTCTCTAATTAATATTGTAATTTTTATGTTTTTGGTAAAAGAAATTGTTGCAGTTTTTGCTCCAACAGTAGTTGGTTATAGTTGAAAATTTATCCTTCAAAGTGCACAAATTTTCCATTTTATGCACATTTGGTACGACTCTAGTGGAAATAAATAGTTGCTAAAAGTTTAGAGTTTAGTCATGCGATTGAGTAGGCCCTTTTAAAGGAAATATTATTTTATTAAAATTTTATCGTTCAAACTTCTTAAGATATAATATAATCATTTTTTTATTATTTTTAAATCATTAATAAACTAATCTTTTAGTTGGCATTTGGAAGAACATATAAAAATAACTTATGATTTTCTTAATTTTTTTAAATTTATTTCAATACAGTTTTTAGTATCACTTATATATTAAAATAATTTTTTATATCTTATATTAAATAGTTTCATGATCATGTCACTATCGTAAGGCTATAATAATATTATTGTATATAATGTGAGTAGTTAATCGTGATTTGAAGATCATGTTAATGTGAAATGTTATTAAGTAATTTAAATATTTAAATTTAACATTTACTATCAACGAATCATAATTTTATTATTTGTATGATCATTCATTATGTTATTAAAAAATTAATATTTTAGTATAACTCGTGTAAAATGTAATTATGAACTTAGATATGATTTAATTAAAAAAAAATCTATCAGTTAGCTTGAGAAATTATTTTTAAATCCTCAAAATATTTATGATAACCAACTTCATGGAAGTAGATGCAAAACGTGTGAAAAAATAGTATTGTCTCTACCTTAAGGTTTTTGAATATAATATCATAAAAAAAATACCAGTTGAACACCCAAATATCTCAACTACCGGTAACGACGCCATTTTGACAACCACATCGTAATGGTTTCAAACAAAATTAGACTCCCCAAATAAGCATGCAATATAGGGAGTAAACCTAGGTCATTTCACAAGAACACAAATTCATTCTATTTTCAACTTTAAACATGCAACAGTGATTAATTTAGGGGTTTGTGATTTAACGATAAATTAAAAATGAAAGTAATTTAAATGAAAGTGGATCAAGACAATGAAAATGAATCCAAAAATAAATTTGAAAACGAATTTGAAAACAAATCTAAAAATAAATATGAAAATGAATTTGAACTTAAAATTTGAAAACAAATCTAAAAAACATAATTAAGAACAAAAATTAAAAAAATGAAAATTGAAAACAAAAATTAAAAATGAATATTAAAAAGAAAATTGAAACATGAACAATTAAAACTAACACGAATTAAACCCACGAACCACAGACGCAAACTAGGATTATTATACCAAATTTATCCAAAACTCAAATGCAATAGAAAACAATCAATCAATATTACATTCCAGAACAAAAACCAAATTCAATCAAATTATGCATGCACAAATCTTAATTAAGAATTGCAAGAAGGTAAAAAGGTAAATTTGAAGCGCTCAATCGATCTAGCAATTCACGTCTGAGACGAGATGAATTGCGACACCAAATAATTAAGAATACAGCAGGATCCGAAGAGACGCAAGCGAATGGAATGAAACAAATTTACTCTCAAAAACGGGAAAGTGTCTTTACAGAAAAATGAAATTATTAAAAGGAAGAGAAGAAAGGTCCAAAATCAACCTTTTGACCCCTATATATACTCGTCTTAAATGAAAACAAAAATAAATGGGCCAAGGCCTCTGCGAAAAATAAAATAAAAGCCCTAAGTAGAAACTCTAAATATAAAAGGTAAATTTTAAGTCCAAACTTCAAAAATTAATAGAAAATAGCTCTAAACCCCAAATAGCATGATCCATATGTCCAAATTGAAGCCCAAAAATTCAGGAATCCATTGCAAAAAGAATCATAAAAAAGGAGGTCTGCAGAAAAAGTTATGACTGAAATAGTAGCAAAGGTCAGAATAGAAAAAAATACGAAATATAAAGTAAAGATGACAAATATTCATGAAAACCCCAATTTAATGCAAGAAATGTAAAAACATGCTAAATACAATAATTAAAGAGAGAAAAGGTATCTTGGAAGATGCCATAAGGCTATAAATGTGAGTATAAAATATGAATTATCAAATACTCCCACACTTAAACTTTTGCACTCCCAAGCAAAAGAAAGAAAAAGACAACAAGATAAATCCAAACAAAGTAAACTTTTTTAATGGATCCTAAAGTGAAAGTGATGTGAGCAAGTAAAACAATGAATTCATCAATCAAAGTATGAAAGAATCAAAAACAATCAAGAGTATGTCCTAACATAAAAGTAAAGAAGAACTTCAATCTGACTAAATCATGGATCACAATTGGCAAAAATTCTCTCAAAGGTATGTGTATCACTTATTCTCTCAAGTGTCTAGGTTAACATTTTCACTCAAAGCACATCATGAAAGTAAGCATAACCATAGGCTTGAAAAGTCTCTAATTTCCACTATTTGAAACATATGCATCAAAAGATCAATAGGACTTTTAGGTAAGTAATGTGGCTAGAGAAAGGTTGGATGAAAAGAAAGTAGACAAGGCTAAAAACCAAGAAAAAGAAGAGTAATAGGGAATGAGTTAAAAGCAAGTAGAAAGGTATCTAAAATTCAATACTAAAATTCTTCTTTTTTTTATTATTATTTTTTAAATGCTACTGTTGCAGTGACTAATAATGCATCAAAAATTCCAAACAAATCACAATAAAACACAATACCCCCACACTTATTTTTAACCAACTCCCAAAACAATTCCAAAGCTCATCTAATCTCTAAAGTTAGGTGAATCATGGTTTTTCAAGTCACATGGCTTGTAATGAGCTGCAAAATCATCAAGAAAGGGTTAATAAGGCTCAAAGGAGTAAACAAGTGAAATAAATGTAAGGTGAGTCAATTTGGCTAAGTAGCTAAAATGAGAAAGTAGGCCTAAATCATATCAACAGTGAATGTGAACAAATAATTTCAAAAGAGTCAAGTCAAGTTCTGGAGTACTTACAAACATGAGTGAATCACACAAGAAAGACAAATCTTACTAAGGTAATTATTCTACCAATCATTGATCCAAAATTTAACTATCATGAAAAACCAGCTAAACTCAAATGCATGAAACAATTCTATCATGTTATGGAACTCTCAACTAAGAATGACAAATAAAAAGTTGCTCACACAAATGAAATCTAAAATCAAAGGAATCCAATGAAAAATATGCTAAGGCACACTCCCCCCACACTTGAAACAAATATTATCCGCAATGTGGAAAAAAGAAATAGAAAATGCAAAACATATGCAAGAAGTCCAAGAAAAATAGAAAATGCAAAACATATGCAAGAAAGGTACAGGAAAGTATAAGGAAAAGAAACAAAAGTCAAAGAAAACAAAGCCCCAAGTGCCTATGTAGACACATCCTCCATCAAAGTAGGCTCCACTAAGGATAAATCAACTATGTTCTGAGCTGACTCCACTGGTTTGCTCTCCTGGAATAGTTTTAGCTGATGACCATTGACTTTAAAAGTTCTACCGGTAGCTTCATCCTGAATCTCAAATGCACCATGGGGAAATTAGATATAACTTGTTACTTCTGTCATAATTTGGGAGAACATCCAACTTATTTGTTTTTAACGCACTCAGTTTCATCTCAAATCTGATATTTTACAGCATGTTGGCTTGGATTCTTACTGGTTTTGCCTGTAGATATATCGACTCGCATGTTTTCTTGAGTTGGTGTTGGTTGCAGTAAAAGAGAAGGATGTATTTATTAATTATTTGGGTAAGTACAGTATGGTCTTTGTGGTCACATAGAAATAGAATAGTGTTTTCCAATGGTGTTTTGGATGAGAAAGTAGTCATAGATTCTATTATTCTGAGGTCTTGGAAATAGCTATCACTTATTAGTAAGGGAGAAGCTATTTTGTTAACAGATTAGTATCTGAACCTACGAAATTGCTTCTGTCTTAACTTTATATAAGTATGTTTCTAGTTTTATTTTTTTGAATAAGAATTAGTTTTTTCTCTATGTATATGAGTTTTGAGTTTTTCTTAAACTTTCTCTAATAATATATATTTTGCTTAACAAAAAAAAAAAAGCTTGAGAGCTCAACAGCCCAAAAAAAGAACATAAAAACTAGCATAAACATTCCTTAAGTGTCACGAATCATGTTTCCACAATCAGCAATTCTGATTTGGAAATAGCTCCATTAACTTTCTAATCAGGAGACCCATTAACTTTCTAAACAGAAGATCTATTTTTTCAGAGGTAATCTTGTTGAAAAAATAATTTCACATACAACTATAATATAGAAAGTTATTTATGTATGTTCTTTTAAAAATTATAATAATAATAATTTTAAGATTGCATATAATTATCATATTGCATATTTTATAAGATAAAAATTGTCATAAATTACATAATAATAAAATTATATAATTAGAACAATAGTAAATATTTAAAAAGAGAATTTTGTCACTAATAATAATAATAATAATAACAATAATAATAATAATAATATTATTATTATTATTATTATAAATTTATATAAAAATATCACGAGTCTTTATTTAATTATTATTTACATTTAAGTTATTCCCTTCAATAATTTTTTAGAATTAAATATCATAAACCATTTAAATAAACTATATACTTAATCAATGGCGATCAGTTCCTTCTACGCAGTAGAAAGTATTACTTTGCAGGAAAGAATATGTTTAAAGTTAATTCTTGGCAATGCTTGCTTAACTATTATGAGAGAGATCGATATATCTAACTTTATATAAAATTTGAGTCATAATTTTTAAATGAGATTATTTTTAAGAGTTATTTTATATAAAAATATTTTTAGATATTAGTCTCGTCTTTATTATGTTATTTAACTTTTCATTGATTGAATATTTTGTTTTATTCAATCTTAATTTCAATTTTATATTTTAAATCATTACATTTTTAATTTAAATATTTTATCTATATAATTTTATTTAATTTAAATGAACATCTATTATTAATAATTAAAAGATTTATTTTTCCTTAAATTCATAAACTTTATTAAATTTAAAAAGAATTATAAAAAATTTTATTTTATTTTTAAAATACATTTTAATTCAATAATATCTGTTTAGTATATGAAAAACTATCTAGTTTAATGAAAATGTAATGTCATATCTATTCATGAACAAGTTAATATTATTTTAATTAAATATAACTTTATCCATTTCTTTTAACTATACAGGGAATTTTTTCTTTTTCTCACACTTTTATCTTTTGCCTCTTTGATTAATTATACGCCTTTTTTACATTTTTTTTTATTGATTTTACCACCAATAAATTTTAAAATGGTGTTACTAATAAGTGATGACATGAATATTTGTTAAGATATCCCGTATTAATTAAGATTATGACCAAAATATTTTTATAAACGAAAAAAAAAAGGTGCGTGAAAATATTTCATATTAACATACCTTTTATAAAATTCATATAACTTTCTTTTAATAAATTAACTTTTGAAGATGAGCTATGTTTATTTTTATTCATAAAAATTAAAAATTTAATAAATTATAAAAAAAATAAATTTAATCATATTTACAAGAACTAAAAATATATTATATTGAAGATACAAGATAAGTTTAATTACAAAGCCATTAACCAACCATGCAAATTTACTTCTCAATTATTTCTTTCAACTTGTCTTCACTCTCCTAGGCACACTCTAAATGGCACTATCATGTGTATATAATATGTACAATTGTATGAACAGCATTGCTCTTGGAATTTATGTTGGAACATTTTATGACTTGGAAGTGGTAGTCTTTCCTTTCTCTTCAAAGGTCCATTGAAAATGGTTCCATTCTGCATATTCCAGTGAAGGAAACAACTCTTTCAAATTAGGGGAGGTCATATGTAGATGATTTTGGTACTTGATACGCACAATCTTCACACCACTAGCTCGACCTTTTTCTCCATGATCTGTAACGTTGAGCTTCCCACCCTTTATATACAGCTTCTTCAATCCACTGGGTAGCTTGCTAGGCTTCAACCATTCTGGAATTGTCTCTGAAGGATAGCCTTCAAGATCCAACTTTTCCAAACCTGAAGGGAGAGAGATATGAATATCTTTGTTTACACCCCATGATATTTTGAGACGCTTAACTGTTATGAAATCTTTTAAGCTCTCAAAATCTCCCTCTTGGATCACAGCCTCACTTCCTATATGTATACTCAATCGTTTTAAATTTTTCAATTTTGCAAGATCTGATATTCTACAAGGAGTCTTGGTGGAACTTCCTATTACAAATCCCTTCAATACTTGGAGCTCATTGAGCTTCTCGATCCCCTTTGGCATGCTCTCCAACAAGTAACATTGGGACACATCCAAATGTGTTAGCGTTCTCAACAATGCAATTTCATTAGGTAGTGTTTCCAAATTGTGACAAGCCTTAAGATCAAGAATTTCTAGGCCAACAAGTTGACCAATGGAAGGGGGCAATTCGGATATTCTTGATATACCACGAAGGCTAAGATACTTCAAATTCTTTTGATCCTTCAAGCCTTTTAGAAATTCTACATTCTCCACTTCAATGTGATGTGAAGGTGACGCTTGCCAACGTCCAAGTTGAAGCACCACCAACTTCTTCATTTTAGTCATCCATTGAGGACCAAAATTAAGATAACTCGCACCAACATTAAATACAGTTCTCCAATTGTCATATTCCAAACCAAACTCATCACTTATTTTAACTTTTTGTTGGTCTAGTACTAAACAAGTATGGCTGGGTAGATATTGATGAGAAGAGCCAATTTGTGAATAAAAAAGCTGGTTATTAATTTCTCTTGGAACTAATGACACCAACATGTGACGGATCCAAGGATTAATTTTAAATTTATTCACAATGGGACACTTGCCATTATCATGTGGTACAATCAAATAACTATTCAGAAGCTCATCAAAAATTTCCTCACCTTTTTCCTCTGCCATTTTCTCTTTTGTATTTTTGACAAAACCATCACCAATCCACCAATAAATTGTATGCCTTTTCTTTATGACAACATTTTCAGGAAAAATTGAGAGAGACAACAAGCAAAGTCTTGAATGAAGATCAAGGATATCATAACTAACCTTAATTCTTTTCAACACTAAATCCACCACTTCATTCTTGTGTTCACCTAGAGACACTATGGGGTATTGCACTGTTTGGGATGCTTGGCTTGATGAGACATTAGCTTCTGTGCTTTGACTAACACCAACAGGTTGCAACTTTTGAGTTGAGTCCTTGATGTTTTTGCAAAGGGCTTCCAAGGCTTGATCCAACAACTCAATCTCTGGTGTTTGGCTTGATGGGTCTGAAAATTTTGTTTCACCTTGATTAGCATCTTCTAGAGGTTTGATATACTCAACCAAAGTTTTTGCTATTAAGTTTAGAAGATGGCCTTCCATGGCTCTTAATTAAAAATCATTTACGTACATAATAATTACATAAAAATCATACTTAAAATGTTTTTTAATTAGTTCATGATATAAAAAAATTATCTCAATGATATATTAAAATCAAACTCTATTACAATTCAGAGCATATTTCTCACAAATCAAAATGATTAAAATTATAAATTGATGTTTCAATATATAAATCACTATCGAGAATAGCATAAAACTCATTCCCTACTTGAACATCATCAACAAATAAAGAGGATGATAAGATATAGATGAAGTATCAAAATATCAATATCATATACGTAACCAATGTAAAACGAAAAGCAAATACAAGTGTTGGTGCTTCAAAACTCTCACCCATTCCTTGATAAACGCTCAAAATGCGATTGAAAATCTCAAAGGATTTTTTTTCGGTGTTGAAGTTGCGGAGAAGGTCATCAACGAATGTCAATGTGTCAAGGAGTTTTTCTTGGTCTTTTTTCACTGTGAAAAACAAACCCTTTATGTTGTTTATCTCATCCATCAAGTCATGTAGATTTTTGGAAATGGGTACATTTTTTGTGATTATAACATCTCTAAATCGCCTCTGCAACAAAGGCACTGCTTTCTGAGGGTTTGTTCGTATAGACATTTTCTTGTGATAAGATTGGGGGATAGAGTGGTAACAAATATTGTGCCTTTATGTGAGAAATTAAAGGTAGAAAGAAAGATATTTGTAGGCAAAAGATTTAGATAAACTATAAAATTAAATTAAACATGCTCACATATGCAAGCAAGGAACTTGTTCCTATACCTTTCCACTACTCACTTTTCTATCTATCCCTTCTATATCTTTATACATTTGTTCTAAACGATCAACTGCTTTTTTGTTTTTTTATTTAATTTGAACTATTAATTTGTTGATTTAAAATTGTTATGTATTTGAAATATAGATGTTCTTATTGATAATTACTAAATGCATGCAAATATACTCATAGATCAATTGATTACATGGTGTGTTAAAGTTACTACACACTTTTAATAATTTTTTTTCAAATATTAAATCCTATCGACCTAACTAGTGTTGCTTAAAATATTCTAATCAAGTAAATTAAATAAGTATATAATTTTTCTTATAATTTTAAAATTGATTAATATTTCATTTATCACATTATTTTTAACATATAGTTAAATTTTAAAATAAAGTAAATTTTACTGGTGCTTTATATATTAATAAATATTTAAATTATATTAAATTTATTATAAATAATCAATAGGATTCTGTAATTCATTTAATGACTATATTGATAAAATTTAATATTTTATAAAAGTTATTAAAGATGTACAAATACACACACATATTCTTAAAAATGTTATGTGTATTTTTCTTTTAATTTTAACCCTTCAATTAAAATTTAGTAATTTATATTAATACTCTTATTATATAAATTTTATTTTTAATTTAAATTCAAAAGATATAATTTATAAAAATATCATAAATATATAATTCATACTTTTGTTTATTTTACTTATCGATACTTCTATGCACATGTATTGATTCAAAGTCATTATACGTACGTGCGTGTGTAATATTAAAAATAACTATTTTTCATTCGTTGACTTGTCTATCTCAATAATTTTTGTATTGTGTTCAATATTTCAAAATAATAAATGGTAATTGAACAAACCATTATTCATGAAATATTGATGCTTTTACGTCAAATTCAAATTATGACCTTACTTGGTTATGTATCATTTAGTTAAATTTCAAATAATAAATTTTGTATTCTATAGAAAAGTAGTTCTAAAATTATACTCTTCATTGGTTTTTTTCCTCAAATGTTTTTTTTTTTCTATGATTACGATATAGGTTTGTGTTTAAAATACTAAAAGTCAACTTCAAAATTGCACAACTTTGAAACGTGTATTTATATCAAGGTTTGAATTAGAACTAAGTTTATATGTAAAATTCACACACATGTAAGAACGAATTTTACCACACAGAAAAGCAAAAAAATTATGTTTCAAATTAAGTGCACATGGAAAAATAACTTTCTTTACTATTTAGAAAGAGTCTTAATCAATATATATTTACATAAAAACATTTCTTAAAAAATTTATTTAATAAAATTGAATTATTATTATTGGAAAATATATTTAATTTAAATTTTGTTTTAAATTAAAGTATCAACCAAAGGAAACTTGTTTGAAAATTTCTAAGAAAAAGGGTAGCTAGGTAAACCAAGACGATTAATAAAGGAAGGTATCATACATCATTATTCTTGCCACTTTATTTGGTGAATAAACCAACACAAAAGAGGAAGGTATCTCTCTAAAATGGTTGCTTCACAGCATCATTTCTTTTCCCCATTGGAACACATTATCACTTTATGCCATGTCCCCTCTTTCAAAAACAAAATCTAACTCCAACAAGCAATCCTTATTGGTGATTAAATTAAGAACAATTTTTCAATCTAATTATTTAACTATTTTCAATGTTAATTTTAATCAAGGTTAGATTTTTAATTACTTTAATAATTTATAATAAGATTAAATACTTATATTTAAATTAAATGAATTTTAATTAAAAAATAATACTAAAAAATATATTTTTTGTATTGGCCAGTTAATTTCTAGCTTATGTACTATTATAAATTTCTAACTATCCATTTTTTTGTACAACAAGCAATTCAACAATATTTAAAGTAATGATTTAAAAAAAAAGATTTTATTAACCTTGACTTTTAAATTTGAATTTAAGTATCCACAAATAAAAAAAAATTATTAAAAAAATATACAATTATTATATTAATTATAAAAATATAATAAATATTTTTTCTAATAAAATCTTATTATTATTAATTGTTTATCCTTAACTCTCATTAACAAAACTCTTTAAAAAATAATCATGGCTAAAGTTTCTAATCAATCAATTGAAAATATGTGAAGTTGTAATTTACCAATTGCGTTTATCTTCGATATTTAAAATAGTTTTAAAAATATTATATATAATATTTTTAGAATATTTTGACATCGTGTTTAAAATATTTAATGTTTTCATTCTTTTTTATCTTTATGATAATTGATATATTTTATTTACAATATTAATTAAATTTATGATTATTTAAAATTTTAAAATAAAAAAAATTTATATCATAAAAAGTGTGTGACGAAGTGATATATTAGTTTTATGTTAATGGAATATGGCTCGAAGCACTAAAGTAATGAAAAAAAACAAAAGTTAAGAATTAAGGATGTAATATGTGGATATTATGTTATTATACTTTTTATTATTTAATTTTTTAAAAGTTTAACTTAACTTGACTTATTTAAATAATATGCTTAATTTAATTTTTTTAATAGATTTAATTAATTAAATAAAATAAATTTAAATTTTTAAAAATATATTAAATCTAATAGAATGATTTATTTAATATTCATAAAAATTTATAATAATATATCAAATAATTTTGTATAAAAATTATAATATAATATTAATAAATTATATTTTAAAATAAATATTTTAAATTAAAAATTCTAATATTTTTTGTTAAAATTAAATAATAATCCTGTTACTTGTCTATTTAAATAGTTTAATAATTTATTTATAAAAAAGTTTAATAAATTTTTAAAAGTCTTGATATAAGATAGATCATTAAACAAATTTAATAGATTAAAATAAATTTTTAAAATTTTAGACTTCAAAATTATTAAATAAATTATACTTATGTAAAGTATGATTTAACTTATTTCCATCCTTATTAAGGATTAATTTAAAGTTTAAAAAATTTAAGAAATTAAAACATTTGACACTTACTATCTCAAATATTAAATTAAAAATTTAGTCTATTTTCAACATTTTGTATTAAAATAAAATTTGGGGCACAAAAATAGTACGGTGAGAATTTTGAGGACTTTTTAATTTTAAAAAATATTTTTTATTTAATTATAAAACTATCATTTTTCTTATTTTTATTTTAAAATATTTATATAAAAAAATTTATATAAATTTAAAAATAAAAAATGACAATTTTATAATTAAACATAAAAGTTAAAACCAAATAGTTGTGGAATCAAAGAGAAAACAAAAGAACTCCATAAATCTATCTAAGAAAACAAAATCATGACACTAAGCATCCCAAATTCCTTTTTTTAAAAAAATTATTAAGTAATCCTTATTTATAAAAAAAAATTAATAATATATATACCCTTTTATTAATACACTTTTCATCATTCAATATGCTGAAATAAATAATGGGACCATAACATTTAATAAAATCCATACATATTTTATCTGACCATTAAAAAAATACTAAAAAAGAGTATTATTATTAACATTTTTCTTTAGGTTTTTTTTTTTTGAAACTCCTCATTCAAATGCACAACTGTTTCTTTTAATTATTATCCCAAATTAATTATTGTAGTTTGTATAACCTAAATCAAAATAAATTAGGCTGGCCTCATTAAAATTTTACTAACTAAAACTACCCTAAACCCTTTTAATTAGTCACCAAAACTACATTCTTATATAAATAAATGTTTAATTGATTTTAGTCTATAAAATTTCAATTTCATTAACTTTCCTTTTCAGTCTTTTTAAAAGACATCGTTATCATAATCAACAAACAACAATGATATGATATAATTTCATAATTTTATTCTTTACTATAGACAGTCAACATCGATTTATTTATGAACATTCAAACCATGTACCACCCGTGACATACATGCCACAACTCTCGATTCACAGGTTCAATCTACTTCTTTTAAACATAAAAATTTTTCATATAATTTTTGGTTTTATAATACTTTTATATATAATGATGAAAAATTAAATCTTAGTCAATATATTTAAAGAATTAAACAATTTATCATTTTGTATTGAACTTTTATTGGTATCATGAGGGGTCAAATTAAAATTGATAGCTAACAAAATTAAATGACCCAATTATTATATTTTGTTTTATTTAGAGGAAATTCTTCATGTTGCATTTTAAAATAAGGATTCCATTATATTAGTTTCTTAAAATATTTAATGTGCTATTAACCTTAAATTTTTAAAACTTTTGGTCGCTAAATTAATTTTTTAAAACAATAAATTAGTTATCAAAGTTATCCTTCTATATCACTCTTTTCATTTTTAATAAGACAAATACAGTGATATTTTAGACATGTATTAATTTAAAATATTCAACAACTAATATATTGATTATTAATATTTAGAAGCACCGACTTAATATTATCTTTATTCTTATTTATTTGTGTAGAGAGAGAAAAATAATTTTTATTTTCTACAAATGTCATTTTGTCTGTTTAAAATATTTATATTATTTGAATATTTTAAGAGTAAAAAAATCATTATTAAAGAATAAATTAGTAAGTTTAGTAATGATTAATTTTAACTAAATGATTGAATTCATTGATGTATGTAAAATATTGTCTGAATATATAAATAGAAACATAAATGGTGTTAAATAATCCCAAAAGCTAATTTAATAACACACAATTTTTATTAGAATAAAGTTATTTTCATTTTTAGTTCTTGCATAAAATAAATTATTTGTGATTTTACATCATTTTAATCATAATTTATTTAGACACATACAGAAAAAAAATATCGAAAATGATTCTAAAGAAAATATATGAGCTAATTTGATCTCTAAAAAAATAAACTTAATTTTTTAATAAAAATATAAAAAAAATTGTTAACTTAATTAATTCGTCAATATTTATTAAAAAAACAATAATAAATTTTTACTATATTTTTAAAACATATTAGTATATCTTTAAATTTTATATAACTATTACTAATAATGTGAAGTGATAACCTTATATTTTATTTTATGTCTTGCATGATCATTAACTAATAATAAAACATTTATTATAATATAATTTTTATTATTCCTCGTATATGGAAATATAAAACAAAATAGTCACACAGTGACAAAGAAAAAAGTGATGCACAGTCGACAAAATCCACCAACCTCAATCATGGTGTGTTAATGATAGATTCGTGAAGTACATTGTTGTCGTGCTGATCCAACTTTTGCAGGGGTTTCTGTTGTCACACAATGGAACTGAAACTCATTCTAACGGTTTTGTTGTTGGTGTCTGCAACTGCCACTGCTGATTATGTTCGACCTCAGCCCCGAAAAGCCATACATCTCCCATGGGATTCAAAACCCTCTTCTTACCCTCAGCAGGTCACACTCTTCATCAAATCATCATATTCTCCAACAAAATCACTTTTTTTCTCATACCCTTTTGTTTTACTAATTGATTTAATGTTACCCTTTTCCATTGTTATTTATTTATTGTGTTTTTGGTTCTGAATCTGTGCTATCTGTTTCTTGTTTTAAATAAATTAATGAAAATGCCCTGTTTATGTTTATGGTATGTTTTAATTTAGAAAGTTTTCTCTTTGCAAATTGAATGTGAGAAATGGTTTTCTTTGTTTGCCTCATTGAGCGCTATTTTTGTTCCTTTTCAGTTTCTGGTTCCTTGCTACAGCAGCGTTTTCTCTGATTTTCATTTTGCATTATGGATTTTGGGTAACAAAAATCGTGATTTATCGTGAGCTCTGAAATTCGGGGAAGCCACACACTAGTTTCATTTGTGAGTATTTGGTTGAGAAACATGACATTAAATTGGTGATAAGTAACTATTGTACTCTATATTCACCTCGCACAATTTGGGAACAAACGCCTTTCCATTCCTATGGATGCTGTTCAATCCTCGTCCTCAGATGTCAAAGCTTTCAGTCCCCTCAGATTTTGGGATTATAGTTCTTACTTTGGTGACTAGTCAGAAATCATGAAAATGATATCAATTCGTGACGATTGGTTGTTTGTTGTAATGCTTATACTCAAACAACTACTTTCATTTAAATGGTTCTTGCTTAAACTTAAACTGCTTCCTTCACTTTGGCGAATTATTTGCCAGTTCTGGGACAATTATTCTGTGAAGTGTGAACCATGGCACTTTGTTTAAACGATCAAATCAACGCTGTTAAGTATGTTACTTCATGCTACCGATTAAGTATCAAACTTTTATGTTTAAAGTGTATATTGCAGGTGCATATTTCTTTAGCTGGAGATCAGCACATGAGGGTTAGCTGGATTACTGATGATAAGTCTGCACCTTCAACTGTAGAATATGGAACATTGCCAGGGAGATATGACTCAGTAGCTGAAGGAGAGACCACCTCTTATAGTTATCTGTTCTATAGCTCAGGGAAGATACACCATGCTGTAATTGGGCCTTTAGAGCATAATTCTGTGTACTATTATCGATGCGGTGGACAAGGTCCAGAGTTCATGCTCAGAACTCCTCCAGCTCAATTTCCAATCACTTTTGCGGTGGCTGGGGATCTGGGTCAAACTGCTTGGACTAAATCAACATTAGATCACATTGACCAATGTAAATATGATGTTCATCTGCTTCCAGGAGATCTTTCCTATGCTGATTATATCCAGCATCGATGGGACACATTTGGTAGGCTAGTGCAGCCACTTGCTAGTTCAAGACCATGGATGGTAACACAAGGGAATCATGAAGTAGAGAGCATACCCTTGTTAAAAGATGAGTTTGTGTCTTATAATTCCAGATGGAAAATGCCATCTGAGGAAAGTGGATCAAGTTCAAATCTCTATTATTCATTTGAAGTTGCAGGTGTTCACATTATCATGCTTGGGTCCTATGCAGATTATGATGAGTACTCGGAACAATATAGGTGGCTAAAGGTTAGTTGGTTGCTCCAATTGACGAATAGTTACTAGATTCAGATACGTGTTATTATTGGATCTATTGCCACTATATCTAGTAAGTACTTGGAGAGATAATAAACATGGAAGACAAAAGCTTCTTATGCCATAGTTTTCAATGTTTAGCCTACACCTTTTTAACTAAAGGCGTTCTTGGTAATGATTAGAAAAGCACATAATTATTTGCACCATTAGGAATAGCATGTATCACATCCATAAGGGAAAATTAAATTTTATCTCTGTAGCTGTCTTGGACTCATAATATGTAATGCATGATTCATCATGGACTGAGAAGGATCCTCGCTTTGAAATTTTGAACTATGTTAGTCTTCCAACAGACAGATTGCTATTGGTATAAACAATGATTATAACTGCCAACAAAAGTTTTTATAAAAATCAAGGTTGTTTATCTGGCATTCTACATGCCTTCATATGTTGATAAATTATATTTCATTTCAACTGTTACAATGTCCTTGTTTCCATTTTTCATCGTTGATTTTATTATATAGTAATAAAGCTGATTCCATCCACTGAAATAAGGCTTAGTTTCATATCTTGTTATCAGTTTGGTGTCTTCCATTCTGAAACTGTCAGGTTATTGTGGATGTTCTGCTAATATTCTTTTAACATTATGTTATAATAATTTTAAAACCTCATTTAATATTTACCTGGTGATTATGAATATATTACATTGCATTTAATATTTCATTTGAATCCTCCCACCCCCTCACCCTTATGTCTGTGGCTTCCCTCTCAATTCTTTATGCACACAGGGCTAATGTTGTTGTCTGTGATCTACAGGCAGATCTGTCAAAGGTGAACAGGAAAAGGACCCCTTGGTTGCTAGTGTTGTTTCATGTGCCGTGGTATAATAGTAATACAGCTCATCAAGGGGAAGGGAGTGATATGATGGCAGCTATGGAGCCATTGCTTTATGCTGCTAGCGTCGATTTAGTTCTTGCTGGGCATGTGCATGCCTATGAACGCTCGGTATGCATATGCAGTTTAAGGTTCTGTTTTTTTTTCCATAAGAATTCCTTAATTGTATTAAGATCGTAAACTGTTCTTTGTTTGATTAACAGAAACGCATATACAGTGGAAGACTTGATCCTTGTGGTGCAGTCCATATAACCATTGGTGATGGAGGAAATAAAGAAGGCTTAGCTCCTAAGTAAGTTTGGTTCTGCCATAAACATCCAAAAAAATCTATTCTCTGAATCATTTGTTTGTCCTTAAAAATATATATTAAGGTTGTTTTCAAATTCAAAATTTCTCAACACACAAGCTACTTCAATTTGCTCTTATCTCATTCTTACCATTTTTATATGGCCACATAACTGTTTGTTGACAGGTATATAAATCCACAGCCAAAATGGTCAGAATTTCGTGAAGCTAGTTTTGGTCATGGCGAGCTAAAGATGGTCAACTCTACGCATGCTTTCTGGAGTTGGCACAGAAATGACGATGACGAGCCTGTAAAATCTGATGATGTCTGGATAACCTCTTTGGCCAGCTCAGGAAGTGTTGATCAGAAGAGAAATGAACTCAGGAATAAACTTATGACACCCTAAAACCCCTGATCATCTTGTCAATCCTCAACTATCAAGAGTTTGGTCGTGTATGCGAATCATGAGAAAATTCCTCATATATATCAGTATGTTACTAAAGTAGCAGCTTGAGTATGTTGACCTTGTGTCCTTGGAGTGAGTAAATTGTGATACTTAAGTATTTTGGTGCACGGTTGTTCTTGTATTTAATCTAAATCCATAGTCTATAAATTAAGTAGAAGGCTGGTTCAATTGTCTCTTATTCTCTTTGCAGTTGATGCTATTGCTTGTTATGACTTGTGGAAGAAATGGTAAACTTTCTTAGAAGTTTTGTAGCACCAAGGAAAATTGGCTAGACCCTTATCACATTCAGAAATGGGTCAAGGTTTTTACATGGAGGGGATGAAAGTGTGATTGGCATGTTGGTGAAGTTGCTCATCTATGATGCACTGCTGATTTTGCTTTTGGGGATGATGTGTGTTGCTGGAAGAAAAAGGAGTGGACTTTACCCAAGCACACTGGGCCCAACCCATTAAGATTATCGGTTATGTTGGCCCAAAATCTGCCTGAAACCTATAGGAATTGAGTCTTTGGAATTTGTGCTGAAATAAGTGACCAAGGAAAGGATGTTGGTCTCCCTTGGTGGCACACATGAGTAATTCACCTTTAAGAATTTATAGTAATTATACAAAATTGCCAAATTAAAAAATTGCTACTCTTCTTATTAAAGGTGAAGAAATGGATTCCACTTGTGAAACAAAGGATAGACTAGCATGGCAAAAAGAGTGATGTCAAAATTTAATGTATTCTCTGCTTGCTATTATCTACTAGTTTAACTGAATGCCAAAGTAAAACCAAAGGGAATATGTCTTTCTTGGTTCAAGTTATGAATATACCTTCCTTTTTAACGTGTCAGATAAGAAAGTTTGGCCTAACTTATTCTCAAAATTTAACTTGTAGAAGAAGGACTATCTTAGCCCTTATAAGAATATTTTACTCTATTTTTAATCAATGTGAGACATCTTTAACAAAAGTTCACATTAGGATTCTCTAAATTTTGAAATGAATTAATCTTTAATTATTATTTAAGGACACTTTTAGTGGACATCAAGAATTATACCTACCTTTCGTCACTTTTTGAAGTACAAAATTCTCATTATTGCCTTCCCTGGCTCCAAGTTCCTATATTTGATATTGAGTTACTGAGCACTAGAAAATTGAAAAAACTTTAACTTCCCTTCCTATGAAAGGAGTTATTGTGCTTGATTTGCCTCCAGACAAATGTAAAACAGAAAATTAACGTGCACTTTCACTTCTCCCTTTCATAAATTTTCTCATTTAATGTGGAACAAATATAATACGTTGACTTAGGTTGAATTTTGGAATCCTAACTCTGAAAACTAATTCCATAAAATTGAGTATAAAAAAAAAACAATGTTCATCACATACAGATTTTAGCAAAAGCTGTAAAATTTATAATCTAATGTATTAAATTCATAACATATTTTTGAAATTGTCTCTGCTATGAATGTCTCTTTTCCTCATCTCCTACAGTATCTTTCCCTTAATCTACCTAATTTTATATTAAAGTAAGAATTAAATAAAAATAAATAAATATATATTTGATATTTTGAAAATGTTAAAAAAATATATTCAATACTTTGTTCCTAGAGGAGGATTTGTAAGAAGATATTGCAGGAGAATTTATATTCATTATTTTTTTCTTTTATTAGTGTTTTTGCATAAAATATTTTTTAAAATTCCATTAGCTATAGAGCAACTTTTAATTTAAAGTCTCCACGATGTAAATCTAAAAGTATCCTAGTTTTTTTTTTTTAATCATATTTGTCTGTTCTTTTATTCTTTACAGCTACTATCCCTCCTGTTAGGAACGTTTCCAATTTTTTGTATCTGCAATTGCTTTTCTTGTATTTCTTAATTTTGTGCGTTTCATTGTTATTTTATAATTTTAGAAAAATTATGCATTTAAAATCATAACCCTCTTTGTAACTGCAAAAATTGTGCTCTTGCTAAGTATGAATTTTATAAATTTATAGTTTTTTGTTATAGATAAATTCTTATTTATTTTTTGTTATCCATTTAAATTTCTTAATAAATTCTAATCTTGAAATTGAATTAAAATTAAAAATTGCATTTTAATATCGTGTATGCTGACATACTAAAGAATATTCAACTTTAACTTAATTTTCAATATTGTGTAATGACAAACTTAAACTCAATGTCAAGAATTGGAATCAATTACTGAAACTTTAAAAGAAAAACGTGAAACATTTGCCATTTATGGTTATTTATAATTAGCATAACGTTGCCCTGTTAAGTATGCATGTTTTTAAATTTATAAGTTTTTGTTGCAGATAATTCTTCTTTATTTAATGTTATTATTTTGAAATTTTTAATATATTTTAATCGTGAAAATTGAATTAGAATTATAAGTTGTATTTCATTATCATATATGCAGATCGATTAAAGAAAGTTGAACTTTAATTTAATCTTCAATATTAATTCCAAACTTGAGGTCAGGGTCAAGAATTGGATTCAATTTGGGAAAGTCTAGAAGAAAAACGTGAAACATTTGTCATTTAGTTCCTTCTTTGCAATGTTAAGTTTAATTTGATGACATACTTCACCTAAAATTTGTGGTGAAGAATTTGATTCAATTCGTGAAACATTTTCCATTTGGTTCCTTCCTTGCAATGTCAATTTTAATTTTATGTCATACTTTACCAATATATATATATATATATATATATATATATATATATATATATATACACACACACACGCATAAACATCTTACGTCTATTTGTCATGACTCATAAAGCAACAAAATCTCATACCCCTTTGTCCACAGTCTTATTATAGAAAAATGTCTATTCGAACAAACCCCTTTAAAGCAGTGCCTTTGTTATTGAGGCGCTTGACAACCATAGAAAAACATGCAAATTTGGATGATTTGAAGGAGGTGTTGATGAACATAAAGGACTTGTTTTGGATAGTGAAGAAGAATGAAGAAGAACTCCTCGACACATTGACAGAGGTGGATGACTATGTTCGCAACTTCAACACAAGAAAGTTGATGGAAGAGAAGGAAGAAATTTGCAAAAGAATAAGGAATTCAACTCAAAAGTTGTTGCCAGCTCATGGGTCATCAGGGAAAACATTTCAAGTTGGGGAGCCTGAAAGGAAAGAAATTGTGCACCAATCAGAACCCTCTTTAAAGCTACCTCAAGAGTTGGAAATGAGAATGGATGTTTACTTGCCTTCTGTACAACAAATAGTTTTTTTCAACTTTCTCTCAGCTCTCCCTCAAAATTCCGTTTTAAAGAAAAGGCAACTAATTTACTGGTGGTTTGGATCGCGTTCTCTCAACTATGAAATGCACGCTTTAACCCATGGTGCATTGGATTTGGAACGAAGAGTTAACCAAGAGAGAAAAGCTGCTGAGGATATGTTTTCTTTTCTTTTGGTCAAGAGACTAATTGTACCGCATGGTAATGGTAAGTGTCCTCTTGTTAATAAATATAAAATTAGTCCTCTCCTTCGTGATGTTAGGGAGCCATCGAGCGATGAAGACCAGGTATTTAGATTTTATTCACAAATAAAACCCTCATCTCATGATACTAGGAATCGGTGTTTAGCACTTGACCAACAAAAAGTTAAACTAAGTGATGAGTTAGGGTTTAAATTTAAGCGTTGGACAGTTATTTTTAATGTTAGTGCTAGTTACCTTGATATTGGACCTCAATGGATGACTGGAATGAAGAATTTGGAGATGCTTCATCTCGGTCGATGCCATGACTCAGCTTCACATCACATTGAAGTGGAGAGCGAAGAATTCCTGATGGAGTTGAGGGATCAAAAGTATTTGAGCTATCTTAGTCTTCGTGGGATATCAAGAATATCCAAACTACCACCCTCCATTCTTCAACTTGAGAGTCTAGAAATTCTTGATCTCAAGGCCTGTCACAATCTAGAAACACTTCCCAATGATATTTCATCATTGAGAAAGCTTAGGCATTTGGATGTGTCCCAATGCTACTTGTTGGAGAGAATGCCAAAGGGGATTGAGAATCTAACTAAGCTCGAATCACTAAAGGGATTTTTAATAGGTAATCCCAGCAAGACTCCTTGTAGAATATCAGATTTTGCAAACTTGAGCAACCTAGAGCGACTAAGCATACAGATAGGAAGTGAGGCTGTGATCCAAGATAAGGAGTTTGAAAGCTTGAAGAACTTGTCAAAACTTACGCGTCTCAAAATATCATGGGGTGGGTCTGGCACAAGGTATAGTGATATGAGGATCTTTTTCCCTTCATCTTTGTTTAAGTTGCATCTTGAAGGCTTTTCTGGAGAGGAAATTCCAGAATGGTTGAAGCCTTCAATGCTACCCAAAGGATTGAAGGTGCTTTATATAACAGGAGGGAAACTTAGAAGTTTGGCTCATGGAGACAATAATAACCTATGGTCAGTGGAGATTGTACGTCTCAAGTACCTAAACCATTTGAAAGTTGATGGCTTCACAGATTCGGAAGTTTTGTCAGATTTGCAACGCTTCTTTCCTTTCTTGAAATATGTAGAAGTGAAAAAAATAGCAGATCATTTAGACTTTGAATGGATCAAAGTAATAAATTAAGAGAGTGGTAAAAGCAAGTATACTCATAAAATGTTTCATACATGTATTTATTAGACTTAACTGTGCTTCTAAGTCTAAATAGTTTGATCAATGTGTAATTTTAGTTTTTATTATTTTAATTGTTTATATTAAATTATTTTTTTAATTGTTCAAATTAGGTTATTTATTTTAAATTTTTATTCATAAATTTGTATAAATATTTATTTGTATAAATTAACAAATAAAAATGTATATATTATTTATATATATATATATACACTAAATGAAATATATAAAATAGAGTAAAAAAAATTTTATTTATTATTTTTATGTGTTTCTATAAATTTGTATAAATCAATGACATATTACATACTTATTATATTTTTTATTGGATAAAATTTAGAAAAAATAACTTAATTTGAATAATTAAAAAATGTAAAATAATCGTATAATATAATTTTTGACTGATTATTTAAAAATTTTATTTTAATTTATTAATGCTCGTTCATTGCAAAAAAAGATTTACTAGCTCCATATTGGTTGATAAGTACAATTTTCTTCATTATTAATAATATTCTAATGCATATTTTATTATATTAAGTAAGATAATTAATTAGAAGACAATATGCTTATAAGAAATATGATATCCCTTCTGGTAATATGATCTTTATAAATAAAATTTTAATGCTTTATTAATAAGTTAGAAAAATAAATACTCATACTTTTTTGGTTAAAACTCGTATTAGATATTAAAATATCAAATTAGATAATATTTTTTACAATATTCTTTTTATTAGAAACTTTAAAGATAAAATTATATATAAATAAAAAATACTAAGTAAGTATTATATTAGTTTATATTTTATTTTTCTCTATTTAAGATATATATATATATATATATATATATATAAAGTAAAATAAGACTTTTACATTATTAAAAGTTGTGGATTTTATTTATTTTCATTAAAATAAAAAATTAAGAATGAAAATATGGAAAACTTATATCTGAAAGTTGGAAACATAAGATGCTAAAAAATATATGGACAGAAAAAAGAAAAGTAATAATAAATAAACAAAGTAATAAAGCTAAAAGAATAAAAAAAATGTCATGTAAAAATTTTAGTATAATAAATTTATTCTTATATATAATTTTTTTTTTACAAAAATAATGTACAAAATTATATTTTTTTTCCTTAAAAATTGAATAGTTGATATTCTTATCTAATTGATCGTCAAGAAATGAAATTTATGTATGGTAAAATTTATCGTAACTTTTATAATTAAGAGGGTTTGTTAATATCTCTTACATATGTTAATTTAAAAAGATATAAAATACCCTTTTAAGTTTATGAGTATCATAAAATACTTTTTTAAGTTTACAGGTATCATCCAATCATCTCCATGCATTTGTGAAAGAAAGGAATCAAATGATAGACTAATATGACAAATTTTCTTGTAAAAAAGAAAATAGCCAAACTTCGTAATTGAATTGTTTGCTGTAATAGTGGATCTGCTAGTATAATCTAATGTCAATTATTAATCAAATGAGATATACGGTTTTTACCTTAATCTTTAAAGCATACAAAGTTTCAATTATTGTCTATCTTAATCATTACTTCGATGACATGATTTAGCTTGAATCTAGTTCCTCTCAAATGTCAAATAAAACAATGGCATGTACATTTACTGTCTTATGTTACCCACTTTATTATTTTAAATGAATCAAATCCTACGATATTTCAAGTTGAATTCCAGAATCTATCTTGTAAATAAATTCTACTAAATTAAATAAACAATGCTCAACACTTACACTTCCTATAAAATAAACCCTAAAAGATTATAATCTACTAAATTAAATAATAGATGTTCGGGAATTGTTTGCAAACCTTTTTTTTTTTTTAAATAAAAACTAAAACGAAAAAATTCATATAGGTACTAAAAGACATTTAAACTATTTTGACCATAAAAAAATTTATCGTCTCCGAATTATTTCAAGAAGTGGAAGGGCAAAGAGGAAGAAAAAGTGCTGTTAGCCTCATTCAACAAACACTCAACAGATGTCAAAATGCGGCTTCTTGTCTCTCTTACTTTTCCCTGAAAATGTTGATATGAAGAAAATGCATGTAATTTATGGTGGATTGGAGGGGTTTTGTTGAAAAGACAAGGGAAAAGACAGTAGAGGAAGAAGGTGAGAATACGTTTGATGAACTTGTCAATCAAAAAATGATTATACACATCTTAATGGCAAATGTCCTACTGTGAATAAATTTAAAATTACTCCTTGGTTTGATAACAAGTTGGTGAGGCCATTGATACCAAAAGATGACAAGTTTTTGGGAATATTTGTCTCACAGAACATTCTCTTCTCATTACAATGACACTAGGCATAAGTGTTTAGCACTTGACCAACAGAAAGTTAAACTGAGTGATGAGTTTGGTTTTAAATCTAACCATTAGAGAGGTGTTTTTAATGTAAGTGCTAGTTATCTTGATTTTGGACCTCAATGGATGACTAAAATGAAGAATATGGAGGTGCTTCATCTTGGTCGTTGGCAGAATTCAGCTTCACATCGCACTGAAGTAGAGAGTGATGCAAGGAGAGAATGCATAGCAAGAGACGTTTCCTTTTGGAACACCGCAGGTGCAGAGAAGCACCAAGCAGTGGCACTTAGATCAGACTCTGATCTTGCCGTGTTCTACATCTTTGGTTACCAAGACAGCCTCTACGCTTACACAATGCGCCAAGTCTTCAGAGAATGCAAGATAACTGGCACTGTGGATTTCATCTTTGGAGACGCCATTGCAGTGTTCCAAAACTGTTTGATCTAACCCACAAAAGGGTTGCCAAATCATACGAACACGACCACAGCTGAAGGTAGAAAAGATCCAAATGAACCAACAACGGGTTTCTCATTTCAATTCTGTAACATCACTACAGATTCTGATCTTCTACGTACCCTTAGTTAGCACCACCCAAACATACTTGGCTAGGCCATGGAAGATTTATTCATGAATTGTTTTCATGCAATCGTACATGAGTGACGTGATAAGGCCAGAAGGATAGCTAGAGTAGAATGAGAATTTTGCTTTGCATAAGTTTTAATTTGTTTAAGCAAATTTTAAAGTGAATTTCGATTAGACGATCTAGTTGTCGCTGTAATAAAAGAGGATCCAAATTTAACATATTTCCATATAGACTTTCTTGATCCAGTTTAAAAAATTTAAATTTACTCAGCTTTTAAATTTAATAACCCAAATCCTATATTTTAACAGATATATTAAGGTCAGGTCAACTTATTTTATTATATTTAAAAAAAATTAAGAAAATCAAAAGGATGAAAAATTTTTGTTACTTAAAATATAATATGAAATCTGCAGTTTAATTTTATACGGGAGAATTGAAAATCGTATATCTATCAATTTTCTGTTATTTCTATTAATGATTTGATCATTGCTCAATTTTTATTTTTTACCTTTTTCCCTTTTTTGGCATTGATATAATGTCAGTATTTTTTCTATAATCACTACCAGGAATTGAAACTGGGCCTATGTTATATGCTTTGAAGGGTGGAATATACCTATTCCGCTACCACGTCTTTTTCTTTTATTATCTACTTATTGAAGCAACTTCTACAACTTGTTTTTCGTGGAACAAACACATCCTTACATATATATCTCAATCTCTATATGAGGTGGCTTCTAGCATGTCGTGAAAAGTTTGATAAGTGGACAGAAAAAGTGTACTAGATGACTTCTACCCTTTCCATTTTCATTTGTTGCTTTACGGGACCACCTAAGATAGCAATTGTTTTGGTCCAAGAAAACTTTCGAGATTGGTCATCTATAATCAAATATGTGACACAAATTCAACGTAAATCCTTTAAGGTTTTAATAGAATTCAACAACACCACGCATCCCCAATGCCCACCACAACATTTTGCCTTCTACTACCACAAAATTAGCATTTCTTCTCACAACCACTATTGAGTAGCTCCAACTATTTTATATCTTTCATTTCATATACCATAATTTGATTCCTCTTTCACTCTACAACATCTCCAATGCCTTCCTTAGTCCAACAGAAGTATACACCTAATTTTCACCACCACATTTGCAAGACCCGCTTGCCCATTTACTCGGCTCGAGTGTATTGTTCCTCCACCACCACCACCTCTAAGCCCAAGTCCAATGTCAAGCAATTGATCACTGGACCTCGGCTAGTGCAGCCACCACAAGCGGTGGTTGCCGCTTCTAACCACCGTCCCATGGACAATGACCCAAGTTTGCGATCAACATGGTCTCATAGAGCATGGGTAGCAGCTGGGTGCACAACTTTGCTCATCTCATTGGGAGAGTCAATAAAAGCTGCAATTGATATGCATTTTTGGGTTGAGCCCATTTTGGCAGGTTGGGTTGGTTACATATTAGCTGATCTTGGGTCTGGGGTTTACCATTGGGGCATTGATAATTATGGAGATGGCTCAACCCCAATTGTTGGAGCCCAAATTGAAGCCTTCCAAGGACACCATAAGTGGCCATGGACCATCACTAGGCGCCAATTTGCTAACAACATGCATGCATTGGCACGTGCGGTGACATTCACGGTGCTTCCTATAGAACTTTTTTGCCATGACCCTATTGTCCAAGGATTTGTTGGGGTGTGCTCTGGTTGCATTATGTTTAGTCAACAATTTCATGCATGGGCACATGGAACGAAGAGCCGGCTTCCGCCACTCGTGGTGGCGTTACAAGAGGCCGGCGTGCTCGTGTCACGGTCACAGCATGCCGCACACCATCGGCCACCCTATAACAATAATTATTGTATAGTGAGTGGAGTATGGAATAAGTTTTTGGATAAGCATAAAGTGTTTGAAGCCATGGAGATGATCTTGTATTTCAAACTACGGGTTAGGCCCAGGTCATGGAGTGAGCCTGCCTCTGAGTGGATGGAAGAGATTGACACCCCTTCTGAAATCCAGGCCCAATGATCTTTGTTAAATTTTTCTTTTATTTTTAAACGATTCATTGCATATATGTATCTTAGTATATGGTTGTTCTCTTTCCCTCTCTTTTTTTAATAATAAAAAATAAGTATTTTATTTATTTATTTATTTTGGTTCAAAAAAGCATTGTTCACTTGTAGATATTACAAGATTGATATATCTAATAATAAGTAGTTTTTAGCCCATGCAATTTATGTGATTTCAATTGTGTTTGAAAGATTAAAATATAATATAAGATGAAATCTTCATTTTTCCTTAGTCTTAATGTTTAATTATTCTTCATTTAAGCCTCCAAAAGGGGGAAAACTCACCCTTAAATATCTATCTCCATCTCTATATTAGGTGGCTTCTAGCAAAGTCACAAAAAAGTTTGATACATTTTTGTACACAAGCTTAATTTTATATATATATATATATATATATATATATATATATATATATATATATATATATATATTAATGAATCAAAATCAAACACGTGTGCAGGTATTCAAAGTAGATAAACCAATAAACCATAAAATTTTTAGTTTCAATATTTGTATCAAAACAAGGTTTAGTTTAACACTGCTTATTATGAAGAATGTCACCAACACACTAACACATTATGTTCAACAATATTGTGGGATAAAATATGTTTAAACTCATGAAATAGGTAACAAAACCCACTAAACTTTGAGCAACGCTTATTAAATGTCAGAAACAGAAAGTATTGCTATCATTCTTTCTTATATAGATAGCAACATTATTGATCAAAAGCTAGACTTCGCCAAAGTTTGTAACATGAAAAAAATTGCTAGTCGTGGACTAGAAAAATATATCAAACAAAAAACTAATCAACATTACTTTGATACTTTGCAATTAGGAAGCGGATTTTTTTTAAGTCAATTTAGCATGAGACTTTTCTGCTGTAATCCATTTTCAATTAGCTCTCTGTCCGCTCATCAAACCCAATATCTTCAAATAATTGGTTAAGGGAAGGGGAAAATTAAAAAAACAAAACAAAGACCATTTCCAGATTCAGATTGGCTTGTCATCACCAAATCTAGCTAAGCATATGATTGATGCATTCATATTTGAATGAGAAGAGGAAAAGTATCAGTATGGAAAAAAAAAAACTGACGGTCCAAATAATCACACTACTTTTAGCATCATTTACAGAAAAATAAAGTATATATTTCTAGTTCCCAATCACCATACACTTGTTGTGTACACTAGATAAACGGAAAACTAATCCCATATTTTAGGACAAAGAATTCAAGAAATCAAAAGAAATAATTGATTTAAAGTTTGCAACAATCTAAATATATAGGCCTTCAAAAATCAGACCTCAGTTTTCTTTCTATTAAATTTATTAGGAATCAACTCCTACATAAGATGAGATGGGAGACACACAAGGAAACCAGTACCGTCGTTTACCATCTCTATGACCATCATCAATCATTGCAAGTCCTTCCTGCATGAGCCAATAGTGTTTTCATATTATACGTGATTTGGAATTGATATATGTGGTTCAGATAACGAGAAAGAATATGATTTTTCTTAAGATTTTAGTAATCTTACGTCAAGTAATGTCTCAAGGGCATCAATGGCTCGACCAGAAGTCCAAGATAACCGCCGCTCTACTTCTTCAACAGTCACAAATCCTTGAGCCTGCCGTAAAGAAAATGTTATGTAAATGTGAAAAGACTAATCCTTCTCAAATGATAAACTAGTTCATAGCAACTTTTGCTACACTGGATAAGTGGACAGAAGAAAATATTTTCATCACAAGAAGGAATCCAGTTTCTAGCTAAGGTCAATCACATTAAACCAAACCATGGTTGATGCTTCCTGTACACAAACTTTCATTGTAATGCCTCTGTGCACCACTAGTTTATAGAAGTACACATTTTCACCAATAAGACAATATCCAAAGCAGGAGACTTCAAATTAAAGAATGAATAATCAAAGAACTAAAATAGAAAATCCTCCCAAACAGCAAACTCTAATACTACATTTTGATAATGAATAATCAACCTATATTTCTACAAGACAACTTTTTCCCTTCCATTAATATTACAACTTATTTAAGTGCTTATTCAATAAGCTCTTTTTAAGTGATGACTTATAACTTAATGATGAAACTTAAGAGGATAAGCTGAAAACAATTTATGTGAGTCATAAGTTGTTTTCTATAAATTGTTCATAAGTTCATAAGCTCTAGATAGACTTAAAAAGATGAAGTCAATAAAACCCACTTTGGGTATACTTTTAGAAAAGTCCTTATACAAGAAACAATTCAATATAAAAAATTAATAAAACTTTTTTTTACAAGTTAGAAACAACTTATCTCTTCAAATTTTAGAGAAGTTAAATGAGAGAGCTTCTCAATACTTCTCAAAAAATAGAGAAAAATTTTATTCATTTTTTATACTGATTTTTTCTTTTATAAGGATTTCTCTAAAAGTTTATCCAAACTGAGCCTAAGCAGCATTCTCTTTTGTAAGCCAAAAAGAAAACATCAACCAACTAGCTCAATGTCATCCTTTTTGATCTATTACTCAATGTCTCTCAAAAATATATAGATCTATCCTCAGGAAACAAGTGAAAGGAGCAAGTTAACTTTAGTGAGTAGTGCACCGTAAACCTAGGTCATACGCATAGGGTTGCAATGAAAACAAATATATATTAGCATATCCATAAAAGAAATATTTGTTACCTGGGCAAGTTCTAGAATTTCATTGTGATCTTTGTTCAACTCAGTTGGAACTGAACGAATAAGTTTTCTCTTTCCAACGGAAATAACTTCAAAACCACTGCCCAACACCTGAAATTTTAGTTACACATCAGTATGAATCACCATGATCTCAACAAGGATGCATGTAACAAATCTCTCAGCAAGTGGAAATACAAAGATTTATGTTCCAAAAAGAAAAATAACAAAAAGATAATGTACTACTCACACACATCATTGCACAATCCACATGCTGTTCTAACATATGCAGGCAAGCTGGGTTCACTACTTGTAATTTATTTAATCCAACCATCAGAAAAGTAGGCATCTTTTTACTAAAAACGAAAAATACAAGTTAATCATAACATTAACATCTTAAGATAAGCACTGTGATACATTACTTGACTTTCAGGAATTAGTTTGGTAACACAGGCTAAAATCCTGTTAATAAGGTGTTCTTTTTTCAAAATTATTTATTTATTTATATAAACTTAAAAACATAAAGATCTATTAACAATGGTGGTTGTATCTTCTATATACAATTCATACATTAAGGAAGAATTTTGTACTATCAAATTTCCCCAATTTAATTTCAGAAAACTGAAGGTCAATTCCTACAACTCAAGGCCACATTTCAGAGCAAGTCCAAACCAAAGAAGTGGAATCCTCCCATAATTAATGCTTTCACATCCCAATTTCCACTTTGACTGAGTATCATCAAGTTTCTTTTGTTTTGCTGATAAGCATGTTTGGCAATTGCCATTATGATCTTTGCTCATATCATCATCGAGTAATTCCTGGGATGCATCAAAGTTGCCATCCCATCCAAAATGTTTATAACGAAGGAGTACACCAGTTAAAAAAAATCATGCATTCAATGTAATGAGATTGTGAGGGAACTCAGGGAAGAGATATGCTGCTCAGTTATGGTTGTTGCCAGAGCTTAGTTATTGGGAAAGAGTCAAAGGCAAGCTTTAAAAGTAGTAGAATATTCACTTTGAAAAATGCACTGACGAGCAAACATATGGGATAGTAGAACAATTAAACAAACTTATTTGAGATTGTCTTTGGCATTTATATAAGTTTCCAGAGTCAAGCATAAACTATCTACATCACAGTCATAAACAGTAATGGTTATAACTTATAATATAGTTTATGGGCAACTTAAAATACAAGACCTTCAGCTTACTAATAGCACGCAGGCAATCATCCTCAGAAACAACTCCACGATCACTTTTTCGTCTTTGACGAAGGAGATGGCAGAGTTCTTGCAGGTTGATCAGTCCTCCATTGTGAGCTCTAGTGGCCAAGCAAATATCCACTATTTGAACACCTGTCTAGCCAAGCAGCACATATTAGCATACATGCTAGGAAAATAGTGAAAATAAGCAGCTTGAATTTAATTAAAAATATAAATCAGGAATGGTTTATTAAATCATAAAGATAAATACTTCAACAATTATAAGTTTGTAACATACTGGATTATAATGTAAAGTGAATAAAACCATAAAGAGAGACCACCATGTTCATAAGGAACATTGTACCTTTGAGGATAAAAGCCTAGTTAATAACAGACAGAGAATGTAAATCTCAACTCTTAGGGTTGACTTTAAGCAACAGATAATAGTAAGATTTTATTGAAAAAAAATTATTACACTTTTATTTGTATCTCCATTGTAATAAATGTTTCTTTTCGATAAAAACTTACTACTTATAGGTATACCAGACAATATACAGCAAAAACTACAGAAACAATAGAGAACCCCTCCACAAACATGGAAATAATTGAAATGGGTTAAGGCTCTGATACCATGTTAGATTCCATCTTAAAATGAATTGGAATCAAATGAAGTAGCCTGACAGGTATATAAATTGCACCCCAGTAATTGAGGCAAGCAATGTGGGACTTTCCAATGTACCTAACGTTAGTTGATATTACATTAAGCATCTCCGTTGTCCCATGACAACCAACCTAACCCCAACTCAATGTTTTTGATCCTTTTTTTCAAAACCAAAAACAAAAAACCTATATGAGAACCATCATCATTCATCCCATATGTTACATTGATATTATTCAGCCAGCTTATCCCTAGCAAACTAAATATAAAGACATGGTTAAAGGCAGAAATAGTACTGTACAAGAACAGTTGCAAGTGAATCTACAGCTTTTGAAGATAATATACACCATAAATTTACAGTGGTGTGCAGTATCTGCAGCTTTGACAAAACTGAAGTTTGATAAACAAATAAAGGATACAAGAGCTGAACAAGTTACTGAAATTATAGGAGAAAGTACTTGAATTTAATAATGGTGGCTGAAACTTGTCCGTAACTCATACTGGCAGGCAAAGATTCTACTATTTAGGATCCATAAGCACGTGTTTTCGGTAGTGATAAAGGAACATATGCTTCATATAATTGAGATTAACTAAGTTATCCTGTTCATGTGGAGTGCAATGTTATAAGCAAGTATTTGGAGCATTTTATCTCATATTTGCCTTCATAAACATAAACTACCATGATATGTATGCCTATCAGCCTACAGTTTTGATATTTCTTAAAAATCTTACTGAAGTCTTCTTCCTCAAAAAGTGAACACAATAAATAAGACAATAAATTCTACTATCTCTCCTCTCTGGATTAGAGGTGTTACTCTTATTTACTAGGAAAAAAAATCCACAATACTTGATCCAGCCGCAGTCCTATTGTTCAAATCCTGAAGAGGACATTTATGTATAGCACTACAAACTCCTGCATTTCTTGTCTTATATTTTATTCTCAGGTATTCTAACATTAATATCATAATAACATATGAATATTATACCAAAAAAATCCATAGATGCATAGGAAACTCATTTCAAACAAGGTTAAGAAAGATATTACTAACCAAGTTCATAATAGAAGTCACCAATTCCTAATAGCTCTGCCCAGAAACCCTTATTGGAGGCCAATGGATCTACTCCAACTTTAGCACACATTTCATGGAACTGCGACCTGAACGCAGGGTTCTTGCGGATGTCATTCTGAACCAGTGATATCAGTCATTAGCATGATTTGATTGAATCTTTAATTGCAAAAAGTTTTATAATTAAAGTGAGATTGCTTGAAAAGGCCAACAGAAGAAGACATGAACAATGTCACTTATGTAGTTCTTAGACAACCATGCCCCTAAGTTCTATCGCCATCAAATTGGTCAAACAACTCTCCTAAACATGTAGGCCACTCCATCATTCAGCAAACAGCATCATAGCCAAAAACACATCAAATTCATCCTATTCCCATGCTATGATAGCAATACCATTGTTAACTACCAGAAACATCACTATTTACAATTATAGCTTCTGCCATTAACCTCAAACTTGATGCCCAAACACATTGAAGTTTGTGAGGATCCCAAAACCAAACCAATCTCCAAAGCAACAAACTTTCATAAATTCCCACTCAAGAACAACCAAACTACTAGCCAGAAATCATCAAAACAACTCCTTTTGTACTCAAAACATAAAAGGGAATATATTAACCTTGACTCTTGAGACTCATTTTAAGCTTCCAAAAATTGATACTTTTTATTGAGAATCAGAACTCTTGTTACACTTTCATATTTTTAATGTAATAAATGTTTTTTTAATAAAAACTTACCAAAGCTAAATGTTCAACAAAACCAAACATAATCTTTTGAAAATCCAGTTGTGTTTTTCCAATAACCCAGATTTAAAAATCAAAATTTTATAGCACCACAAACACGGTTTCAACTTTTCACAGTAAAAACAAAGCACAAAGACAAAAAGGGGGCGAAGTTTTTTTTTTTCGAAAATAAAACCTTGTGTTTGCGAGCAAAATCTTCAAGCTGAGAACGAAACGTGGCAAGTTGCTCCTTCATCAAATCGGTTCTGATCTTTGCTACATTTTCACCCAACAAACGGTATTGATCCCTTGCAGCTGCAGCTGTCTGCAATCCTCCAATTCCAGGTCTTCTTCTCATTTTGCTTTTTCCTTAGCCAAATCTTTATTCAAATTCTCCAGTTCTTTTTATGCAAATTGGGTTTTCTGGGTAGTGCTTTTCGTTGATCGAAATTTAAAGGAATTGATGGTTTTGCTGAGAGGAATTACAATGATTTAAGGTTAAAAATAATTGACTTTTTGGATTTTCTCATCAAACAAGAGAATTTAAAAAATGACGAGTATTCTGCTGCTGCTGCTGCTTCTTTTCTTCGCTGTAATTACATTTTTTGTCCATATTTTTATTACTTGACTACGGGTATAAATAATTTTGGCTCCTCAAGTTTTTGGAGTTATTTTAGTTACTTTTTTTTAAAATTAAGTAATTTTAGTTTTATTAATGAAAGTTTGAAATGTGAAATAATTTTAAAAGTTTTAGAAGTAAAACTTTTAATAAAAAAAATTGATAAACTTTAAAGAATATTATAAAAGGAAAAAAATATTTTTTTTATTTTGGAGAAATTTTAATATTAATTCATAAATTTTATGTTAAAATATTTAAAATATATTAATTGATTTAAATTGTGAATATTTTAAATAAAAATAAAACTTTGGAATTTTTCAATAAAAATGATAAAGAGATTAAAATTACTCAAATTTAAAAATAAAAAATTAACATGCTTCAAAAATATTTACAAGACCAAAGTTACATCTTTATCTATCTTCTAATATATAAAGTAAAAATATTTGTAACCTTTTTTACTAACTCTCTGCATTACAATCCCTCTCAAATTAAGTATAAATAAGTAATTTTTTAATTCTACTAAATTATATTAAAATATTTAATTTAAAATTAATTATTATCATTCATCTTTCATTAAAAACATTAAATTATCTATTCACTTTTTTAACTAATAAAATTTTTTAGGTATCATTCTAATAAAAATTAACTATTTAATATTATTAACTATATATTTCTAATTTAATATTTAAATTAAAAACCAAAATTCCATGTCATGTATTTTTATGTTATTTTGTTTTATTTTAAAGTAAAACCATTCTTTAAGAAAACGATTAAATAATACAAAATTGTACTAAAATACTTGAGATTTAAAAAATGATGAAAAAATTATATAAAGATCTTTTAAATTTTAGCTTATTTTTAACTGAATTTTTGTATGTATAATATTGTATATATGTTTTTTATTATATATGGTTAAGCAGAAGTTGAAAGATTATATATATATAAACTGCGATAAGAAACTTTATATACACTGTAATCAATCTTTCAACAATAAAAATTATACCAATATACCTTTTCATTTGCTTCAAGTTCATAGCAACTGAGTGATGTGGACAAATTTGAGTGCTCCATTTCAATCCTTATTTTTGTAAGTAATTATATTTTAAAATTATTTATATCTCTTTGTTATAAAAAGATTAATTTAGAAATTTTATTAAAATGACTAAGATATATTCATTCATTGAAATATAGTTAGTACATTTTTTATTTTTCATTTAAGCAAGAGTATAAAAAATATTTTAACTGCAGTGTATAATTGGCAGAAAAAAATGCTGGAAATTCTGTTTAGTTTCATACTTATATTGCTAGTGCAGCTCTATCATCAACAATCAGAGTGGCGCAGCGGAAGCGTGGTGGGCCCATAACCCACAGGTCCCTGGATCGAAACCAGGCTCTGATACAGAGTGGCTTTCCGCATATTTTTTTTTGGTTTTTCCTCATTCTTACCATTTTAAGTCACAGACTATATAAATTTCTATATTCCACGCACTGCATTTCTTACACCAGTTATTTCAGGGCCAATTGGCTACCATTTGATTGGTTAAATCCAATTCACCAAAAAAATTCAAGCTTAACTTTTGAATGTGACTTATGATTCATCCATCAGCATTAGTTTTATTTTAATATATATAACAAAATAGTTGTGCAACATATTGGCACCCTACCTTAAATAAACAAATGAATAGTTTGTTTTGATAAAATGGTTTTTAACTAAATCTAATGGTTAAGAGTTAAAGATATTATAATCCTGCTTTTTAATGCTTCAAAATTGAACTTCTATGAAAAAGATGAGATTGATTTTTGAGACGGAGAGGATTAAACATAATAACAAATTAAGGCTCTATTTGAATGAGTTTATAAATAAGTCTTTATAAGAGATGAAAAATACTACAAAAATAATAAATTTTCTCCCATAAATTAAAATTAACTTATATTTCTCTAAAAATAAGTAAACATGATTAATTTTAGAAGTTACTTTCACTTAACTTCTCTAAAACTTAAAAAAGATATTATTTTTAATTTATGAAAAAAATTTATTCATTTTTTTATATTATTTTTCTTCTCTTACATAGATTATCTATAAGTTTACTCAAACAGGGTTTAGGCTACTTGTTTCTTAGTTGATAAGGTTAGAAGTGATTTTGCATGGACAGTTATATTTTGACTTCCACACAAACCAAAGCAAGTTGAACAGAAGTTTTAAATTTTCACTTCTCCAGCGTCAAGGGCATTGGCTACCATTTGATGGGTTAAAGCCAATTCACTAAAATCAAGATCAACTTTTCAAGGTTAGTTTTGATTCATCCATTAGCATTAGTTTGTCTTAGCTACGAAAGCTTTTAGAAAAACACTTTTTTTTTTAATAACAGAAACACATTCTTGAATTTTAAAATAAGAAAGATAGCTTAGTGAAGCAACTAACTACGCACTACCTTAAACACAAATGAATAGTTTGTTTCAATAAAAAATGCCTTCAAAAGCATTTTGTCAAGTGATTGGATTCATGTTTAATTGGTAATGGATTCACATATACTTCAATGTTGTTAGTGTAGCTTCTACATTAGATCCATATTTAAAAGATTTTTAACATGTTTTCACATACATTGACAATCGTTCAGCATCAAGGTGTAAAATAGACTTGCTGAACAAAATTGTTGTACAAGAGTATATACAATCAGTATAATCAGTGTTATTCTCAAAGAGAATTGTATAATTAGATTAATATGAGCCTCGTTCCCCTAAAATTTTCCCGTTTACAAGTGTAAAATATCAATTATCATAGACCTACAAAAACTAAGGAAGTCAATCCCAAAGGTTTATTGGCAGTTATAAGCTATGCTGATAAACCTGTGGCTTCCTTTGGTATCAGAAACAGAAAAGAAATTGGAATAAAATTGCACAAGGCATGGATGATGATGCCCAAGAGAAGATTGTCAAATGATCCTGATTCAATGTTCAATATAGAAGCCAACCCAGCACCCACAAAAGATCCTATTGTTGTTCCCAAATTGTTTATTGACATGAAAAGGGCAAATAAAGTCCCTTCAATTCCTGGAGGACATAGTTGTCCAGACAAGATCAGAAAAGGCATAAACCTGCAGTTTTTTCCCAAGGAAAAAAAATGGATAAGAATTGGAACTTAGGATGTAACACAAAATATGGTACAAATTATTACGCTTCCTACAAAAAAAACTCATGCAACAATGCAGTTGCACATTTGAAAAGACCAAAATGCACATGAAAAAAGATAGGCACAATCAATTATAAAAGAGCTTCTAGTTTCTAAGCCTATTTTGATGTGCTTGGTAGAGATGAATGTGAGCAATGATAATGTAAACTGTAAAGTATAAAAATGTTAAATTGGTAATATAAATGTAACAAAAATAAAGAGAATCATCATTTACATGCCATCCATACCAAATGTTTTCATCTCTATTTTGAGATGACAACGGAGTTGATATTTAATAAAATAACATGTTTTTCATGTTTTTCTTTATGTTTTTCCGGGATATATTTTTCATCTATCCTACTATGCACATCTATAACTTAAAAATACTTAATAAGAAACAAAAACTGAAAAGAATAGCATTGCATACTTGAACTGATTGATTCCATCAGCAAGAGCAGAGCCAAAGAGCACCATAATCTTGTCTGACACTCCAAATGCAAGATTTTTCCTAGACACTACAACAATCTGAAGAAGATTCAAGAATGCCAACCCAATATGGGCACACCTGTAATCATGATGAGAATATATCAGTCAGGTAAAGATACATAAGTAAAGTATCCACCAATGAGAAATAATGATTAGTTGCTTACATAAGAATTCTTCGTAGGGTCATATACTTTAGGTGACGATTATAAATGAAGGTGCCCAACATAAGTCCCAACCATCCAACAACCCGTGCAGTCCCAAGGAAAGATGGTTCTAGATTTAGAACCTCTGTTTGGTAGTAGAAGATGACAGTTGAAAGATTGGGAATGGTAATGAGAGCGAGGAAAAACCAAGACATAGGTCTGTCCTCATCAACATAAAACAAAGATTATTAATAACCAACGACCATTTTATAGCATTAATTCAGAGGAGTAAAAATCAAAAAGCTTAAATATATGAGATAAGTTACCTCAAAATCATGGGCTGTCTAAATGCACGACACAAATCATAAATCGCTTCTTTCAAAGAATGGAACCACTTTAATGCAAGGGAGTCTCCTTTCTCAAAAGTATTTGATTTGCTGGTATATTCTGATCTACTTTTTGCATTCTTTTTGCCCTTCTTTCTTCTTCTTGTGCTGCTGCGGGACCTTTTGTTTAAAGGAATGTCTTCATCTAGAGTACTTCCATTCATATGTGAATCCCTTACAATTGAATCCTCTGGTATAACTTTGTTATTTACAGAGTTTTCCTCTACAAAACAGCATGATAATAACTGTATGCATGGTAGTACAGAAAACAGAAGAAAAATAGCATCTATCCGTAAATTGGATAATGCATATCCTCCTAACAAACTGCCACATATTCCTCCCAAAGCCATTGCAGACCAAGATACAGACTGGAGATCTCCTGAAAATGAGGCCCTGACCAATGATGGAGATACTTAATCACTGAGTGTAAGAAGAAAAGCATTCAGCAAAGTTTTACATAAACAAAGTACACAGTTGATAGTCACACAAAAGGTTAGCACAAAAGCCAGCATTATGATTCATAAAGGGAAATCCTTCCAGGGAAAACCTTATCTATGGATCTAATAACCGAAATAAAGCTAAGGTAAAATGTTAGGAACTAAAGTTACAAAATGAACACCAAACACCCTTCATAATCCATTACTTTGAGAGATTGGTTGTCCATATATCACCAAAAAAAAAAAAAAAAACTATTGAATGCAATTATCTAGTGAGAAAAATATCAAATCAAAACAAAAAAAATATCATGTGCCAAAAGAAAAAAAAATATTAGACAAAATTGAAAAAAAAAAAAAAAAAAAGACAGTCTTTTAAATGCAAACTTGAACAGGATAGAAAACAATTATAAACAACTCTCATAAAATGTAAAACTTAAAAAAAACAAAAATAACAAAAGGAAATTGTCTGATATTTAGAAGTCATACCACTCTCATTCCCCATTCTTTTTCAAATTTTCATTCCTTTGCTTTTCACTGTGTTCAGCAATCAAGAACTAACATGCACACTATTGAACACCCAGTATTTGATTTCACCCTCCATCCGTGTTATGAAGATATAGAAAATCAAAATAGGCTAAAAAAATGATACTACAATTTGCATTATTAACAATATCTATATGCAGGAATAGTATTCAATATGAAGTTTGTTGGCAAAAATAAGAATAAGGAACTTGTGATGCAAACATACCGGTCAAATCTTACTGCTTCAGCTATCATTGCATCAACAACTACATCTGCCATTGCTGAGCCCAAGTTTTGCACTGTCAACAATACCATCAGGTGCCATGTTGAATCCCTCAAGGTTGCATTTAAGCCTAAAATAAACCATGGCACTAGGGAGAGCACAGTTGCAATCACTAAGTAGGGAATACGTCGTCTTCCTTTAATTGGAATACAATCAGAAAGTATTCTGTTGATCAGTAACCAAATCAGATTGTAAGGAGGTAGTATAAAATTGATTAAATAATACACATACACAAAAACTAAACAAACTAAGCTGTGGATTTTAATGGTCAAAACAGTTCTGTTGGTCAAACAAGAAAGAACTTGGAACTAGATGTAAAGAGGAGGAATTAATTTCAAGAAAGAATTTTCTGATAGCTTTCCATAAGCGAGATTATTACATGTGGCAGCAGTTAAGTAGCTAACTATATGGGAAGCTAACTAATGGTTAACAGTCAACTGAAGAGTTATTGAAAAGTAATAGTAAAATTTCTGTTTATGCAACTACTACTCATGCAGAATTTAAAAAATTAGTTATAGATAGCTTATGAATATTGCTTCCATAAGCTCTTTTCACCTTATTTCAAAGTTATTCAGTCTCCCTAATCAAAATTATTATTTTTCAGCTTATTTCAAGAAGTTTAATGGTCAAATTATGACAAGTCACCATATTAAAAAAAGCTTATTGAATAAGTGTTTAATTAAGTTATGTTTGCAAATGCTAAGCTTATTCATTCAGATGTACCTTAGGATTTTGCATTCTCTTAAACATTTGTGGCACTTTTCTTTTCCCATTTGATGGGAATATCTATGTTATTTTAAAAACCATGCCTGCATGATTTCATGACATCAAAATTTTTAATTCACAGACTAGGAACAGCATATATAATTTAATTTGAACCCATACTTTTCCCTTTCCTTTCCTTTCTTCATTATTCAAAATCCAAAGATAACTTCTATCATTCTGTCTTATCTTCTCAGTAGGCACGAAGAAAGAAACATAAGCACAGAAAAACATCACAATAAAATTATTCACATCAATATAATTTGCTAATCTACCTAAAGATATAGGTATAGAAATATCAGTTTTGTACTTTGTATGCATGCACAAATCTCCCTTCATGCATTATGTGTTTCTACATATGAATAATTGATATAAAATAAAATAAAATAAAATCAATGATATATACCCATATAATGGCTTAATGCTCCATGGGAAAAATGCCACTGAGAGCATAAATTGGGAAGCTGAGGGTGACAACTTAAGAATATCTTTAAGCTGGTAAGATATTGATGTCCACACAAAAGACCTAAAACCCTGCATTAATAGAGTTAATTAAGTTAAAAGGCAACCAAAAGGCAATGCATCAATTACCATTATAAAACTTTATGTCAGCATGTCAATCTATTATCAGCTCACAAGCTTATAGAATCATGATTAATCCGGAAATGGAAAAAAAATAAAAAAATTGACCAATAACACCTAATGTGACATAACAAATAAGTATCTATCAGATCTTAAAAAGAAAAAAAAAATATAAACTAAAGAATAACAAATTTTTCCTTATCTTTTAAGGTTTCATGTTTCGATAAAACAAAAAATTACAAACTATTTCATTTTTATTTCAAAAAAAAAAAAAAACCACCATCGATTTCACAAAACGATTTAAAATTTATATTAAACGGAAACAAAAGATGAAGAATTGGAACCTGGGTGAAGTAAATCAAGCAAATCAGCCAAAGAAACGAAACTCCAAATGCAGCATTCAGCTGCTTCGTCCATTCGATCATTGTACAAAATCTCTCTCTCTCTCTCTCTCTCTCTGTTCTGAGTTCTCACTATGAAGAAGATGCTGATTCCACTGTTCCTTTTGGAGAAGGAACAACAATTTCCATTTCCGTTTTCCCTCCCAACGGTTTCGACAGGGCGGAAGTTATTTCTATTTTGACGGTTTTGTATCTCTCTGCCTCCGTGAGGTGAGGTTAGTTTCGTCATTATGCTTCTATACTGACACGTCCATGAATCGAACTAGATTTCGCCACGTTAGCTATTTGGGGCCCACTCATAAATGGCTATGACCGTTTGACTTTTCTATTTCAGATGAAGACCGTTTGACTTTTCTTAACTTAACATGAGGACTTCGATTACGATTAGCACCGAATTTTTGTGTTGAACTTTTATATATATTTTTTATTTTTATTTTAACTGCGTGTCTCTTTTACTCATGCAGTAAAACTATCATATATTAAATCTTCACTCTAATCTTTTAAATATACATAATCAATTAAGTCATTTAAATTTAAATTTTAAAATATTAGTCTCTGAAATTTACAATTATCAATTAATTTAGTCTTTAATATTAAGAAATGTTAAAAATAAATAGTAGATTATTAATTTATTATTTTAAGTGACATAAATATATACGTGAACTTCAAATGACATTGTATTTATTTACATTGTGTAATACTTTATTTTTATTCATAAAATTAACTTATTATATTATAATTAACAAATTATATCCTACTATAATCTCATTTTCTTTAATTTTTCTCATTGAATTCAACTAAACATCAAAATTTATGAGTACGCATTGTTATTCCAACATTACCAACTTAAACAACATTCTTCTCTCTAACTTTATTTATTTTAGATCAATTTTTATTTCGTTAAACACATCTTCTTATTCTCTTTCCATTCATAATTACACCCAAAATGCATGATTCAAAATTGTTGAAGAATGAAGACAATGGCTAGGTTCATTGTGTTGAAATTGGATTACTTTATTGCGTATTTGTAACGATGAATTCATTTAAGCTTTCTAGTTAAAAATTTGTTTACCACTTTTGCTTCAACCAAGTTAATACTCAGATGCTTAATACAGCTATGGACTCGTGTGTTGTTTTCAGTTCTAAGATTGACTATTAATACACAATGAAACTCTCATTCAATTACTTCAAAGATGAATAGCTGAAAAGAAAGAACTTACGTAGTGCGAAAAGAAGTTAAGATTTAATCTGAAGTTTTAAGTAAAAGAAACCTAATTAAAAGAAGTTGTAAAACAACACCATTTAGAATTAATGTGAACATTTACATGTTACTTAATATTCTAAATCAATAATCTGTTACTTATTTTTAACATGTCCTAAAATATGAACTGAAATATCAAAATTTATTTTAAGAAACTAGATTTGTAAATTTACAATTTTAAAGACTAACTTTAACTACATTATATATTTCAGACACTAAAGTAAAAGTTTATCCAATAACAAAACATTTAGGATATAACTATTGAATAAAAAATAATAATTTTATATTAATTCATCAATATGCTTGATAATAACTTATATTATTTAGATGTATTCATTAAAGTTAAAAGGAAATAGTGAATAAATTTCTTTTATTTTATTAAAAAAATATGATTTTTTTTTTTATTTGGGATGACAAAGTATTGTATTTATAATAATCATTTGGAAAGAAGCAAGGTACATATAGTATTCTGAACTTTGGCAAAGAAAGAAATAGTCCAAAATACTACCTTTTTTTTTATTTTTTTTATGTTCTAACTTCTGAGATTGGTCCCCCGTCCCTGAAGAAAACTTATATGGACTTATTTGAATTAATTTTAGAAATTGATTGCGTTTTATCTATTATTCATTTATCACGAGCTTTGTTGTATCCTACAAATTCTCTAAATAATTCTTTTACTACTTTAAAAAATAAGCATTGAATTAAAAAAAATATATATGCATTTCATTATCTTAAAAGCATGAAAAGAGGGATCTAAATTATTTATCTGTCATACATTCTTTGCCTAATGTATGCCTGCATGAAGCCAACCGATGTTCTTTTTGCTGCAACAAATAAAAACAACGACAATAAATATCCTTTATTCCAATATGGCACTTCTAAAAATTCTAAATCACATGTTGGTTTTCACAAACTGAAGTATTCCTAAAATCCATTCTTTCACAAGTAATCCACCTCAAACTCAGGAATTTCATAGCAATATCAATAAGATAGAAAGCCATTCAAGAGCCAAGCTGTTGATCTATGCTGAAGACTCAATCATGTCATAGCATCATAGCATGTCTAGTAGAACCAGGATCCATACATTCAAACATTCAAGTACTTCAGAGCAGTTTGAACATCCTTATCCCCTCTGCCACTGCAGTTAACCACCACCTTAGTTCCATTTGGAAGGGTAGGGCAGAGTTTCTCCAAATAAGCCAAAGCATGAGATGTCTCCAAAGCTGGAATTATACCTTCCATCCGAGATACTCTCTTAAAGGCTGCAGATATAAAAAGGACCCCAATTCAATTTCTGATCTTGAAAAGCAAAAGAATATATTACATAGATAATGGCTCTACATGATAATAAACAGCAGGTTGCCCAAACAATCTGTTAATATAGGTTACTTTCTTTCAAAATTCATTAAAATTTTCACCAGGTTCAATGATTTTTTATTATTATTACAAGCAGACTCACAGCTCATAGACAAGAAGGGACATAAATTAAGAAACTCTGATTGCCAGTCTGCCCATAAAGCCATAAGGTGTAGTTTTGGGGCAGTAAGTAGTGCCAACATATTAAAACTTGGTTGTTAAAGAATTTATTTCCAGAAAATATAATCTTATTTTCGAACTGATAACCTATATAATGCTTGATAAGGTGCTCACATTTATGATTTGTCTCATTCAAATGTTCTGACACAATAAGTTAAAATACAGGAAAATGTGCCAACGACATCGCTGCAAAAGATCTCCTCAAACTGCAGCAGCATATATGGATCCCGATGCTAACAATACAGCAAATTAAACAGATAAGGGAAACACCAAATTAAGAATACTGGAATGGCATAACGAAATGACTATTGAACCTGGAAGTGTGATTCACAACAATTAACAACAGTTACCATTAACATATATACATATTCTATCTGAGCTAACAACAAGCCACCATAATAAAGGTGGGAGACAGTTATAACTTTTTCTTAGAGACACTTCATTCTTTTCTCGTTCATGCTTCTCTCCATTTTACGTTTTAGATTATTAGTATCTTAGGTATTTGAAGATTTATAAAGAGAACAAAAGTCATACAAAAACAAGAGAAAAACCAACCAAGGCAAATAAAATTGAAGTGTAAGATTCATTTTCTACCAAAGATATCATTACACATTTGACAAAGCGATAAATATACAAAAACAAGAGAAAAACAAACCAAGGCAAATAAAATTGAAGTGTAAGACTCATTTTCTACCAAAGATATCATTACACATTTGACAAAGCGATAAATATAGGGTAGTCCTACCTTCCAGTGCTTCTTCATCGGTAACGCTGTAGTATTCAGCACGCTCTACATCTTTCAAGAAACTATGCTCTGGTCCAACCCCAGGGTAGTCCAACCTATAAACGTTAACAAGAAAGAAAAAATGGAATGAACAAATTCTGGACAAACAAGTAAAAGGGAAACCAGATGAATTACCCTGCACTGATAGAGTGAGGCTCAATTATTTGCCCATCATCATCCTGCAAAAGATAGCTCATAGCTCCATGCAAGACCCCAATTTCTCCCTTCGTTAATGTGGCAGCATGCTTATCACTTTCTAGGCCCAACCCAGCAGCCTCCACACCAATCAGCCTAACATCTTTGTCATCAATAAATTCATGGAAAAGTCCCATGGCATTTGAACCGCCACCAACACATGCGACCAGAACATCTGGCTTCCCTCCCCACTTTTCCAATGCTTGCCTTCTTGTTTCTTTGCCAATCACTGCTTGGAACTCTCTTACCATCATTGGATATGGATGTGGCCCAGCAACAGAACCCAAAATATAATGTGTTGTTTCCACATTAGTCACCCAATCCCTTATAGCTTCTGATGTAGCATCCTTTAATGTAGCAGTCCCAGAATGGACAGCTCTCACCTACATGACAAAATTACCCAATCATCAAGCCCAGTGAAAAGAAGAACACTGATAAATTGATCAAACAACCAAGCCTTACCCCATCATTTAAGTCCACCCAGATCGATCGAACACTATGGATAAGCAAATTTATGTTAAAATTGTCAAACAAATAGTTTGAAGTTAATGTCTAGCGATGGACACACCCTGCATTCACAACAAGATGCCTTTCCCCATTTATATTTCCAATGTTAATACTTTTTAAGTTTAAACTTAGTCTAGGATACTTTGTACCCAACCATTTACACTTGATTGCCATCAGGATCAGTCAATTAGATAATTAACAAGAGCTCATAAATTTTTAGTTCGTACACAAAACGCACCACCCTAATAAAATAAGAATAAAATCAAGTTAGTCCTCAGAATTGTATAGGTGGGGCATGTTAGTCCTGAGATTTTTGAAACCCCTTTTTAGTCCCTAACTTCATAAAAAGTCATCCATAACTTCAGTTTTTATCACTGTTTTGCAAGGTTACAGACTAACGAAGTTTTTATAATTTCAACAACTAAACTGTCATATAATCCCGAGGACAAATTGAAAGTTGTCTCTTAAAAATAACTGTTGATAGCCATTATGCTAAGGCACATAGAAGACAATTCATTCATCCTAACAAACAAGTAATATCAAAGTTATCAACAAAAGATAATTTTCTCACAAATATTATCATTCTCATTCTACACCAAATGTAACCATCCTAGTAAAATGATACACTAACACCAACAATAAAGTACAAGATGCCAACACACCTCAGCACCAAGAAGTCGCATTCTGAACACATTAAGGGCCTGTCTTTCCATATCCTGAGCACCCATATAAACAACACATTCCAACCCAAACCGAGCACACACAGTGGCAGTAGCAACCCCATGTTGACCAGCACCAGTCTCAGCAATAACCCTTTTCTTTCCCAACCTCTTTGCAAGCAATGCTTGAGCAACAGCATTGTTGATCTTGTGAGCACCCGTGTGATTCAAATCCTCCCTCTTCAGATACACCTGAGGCCCTTCACCATCATCACCACCACGCTTGTAATGCTGTGTAAGCCTCTCAGCGAAGTAAAGGGGGCTTTCACGACCCACATAGTCCCTCAGAACCCCACTAAGCTCTTTCTGCAAAAGTCAGAAACTTTTTGGTCCCTGAAGATACCATTTTGCGTTTTCTTCAAAAAAGAGGTGAAAAATCCAAGTGGGCCTTTGGATTTCGACGGTGACGAAGCAATGCAGAATGAGAAAAGTGAAAGAAGAGAAGAGAATGGAACCTGAAAGTCTTCGTCGGCTTTGAGTGAATGGAATGCGGTTTCTAGCTCGGTGAGAGCGTGCATTAGAGTTTCCGGCACGTACTTGCCGCCGAACCGGCCGAACCGGCCAAATGGGTCGGGTCGTTGAAATTGAACCGAACCGGTGTGGCGGTCCTCCATTGAGAGAATGAATGAATGAATGAACGGGAAGGAGTAGAAGAAGAGAAGAGGAAGTTGTAATTTTGAGGGATTTGAAGGGTATGGTATGTTTTGTGCAGAAGAGTTGGAGAACGATCACTGGATATTGGTTTTGCTGTAAGAAACAGGGCAGGCTTGGGAGTTGGCAGGATAATTTTATTTAATTAAAATAATATTTGAGATCAACATTATGATTTTAATAATAAATTTATTTTCTTAATATTTCAGATGTTTTAATCATAAGATAATATAATTAATGATCTTTCTTTAAATTTATATATTTTTTTTATAACAAATTATTGTTATGGGTACAAAAACTGTTCTTTTTTGTTCCAATGTTAAACTATCAAGTATGTCTAAGATCTTGATGGGAAACACTACTAAAAACTGAAGATAAAAAATTTGAAAATTTCATAGAGTACTTAAGTCAAATCTTAAAATACTTAATTTCACAAAATTATTGTGCTCATACCAAACATAAAGTTACGAAAATATAACTTAATAGGAAATATTTAGCTATATATATTACTAAATTTTTTTCACTTAAAGTGTCATATGGCATTTTTTATTTTTTATTTTTATATTTAAACTCTCTCACTCAAAATGTCACATGAATTTCCTATTATTATTTTTTTAAAAATATGTTAACCTGAAAACAATATTATACTAGCCTAACACAAGTTAAATGTAGGAAAGTAAATGTATATACAAAAACAAACAATCATCATCACCGTAGCTAAAAAGGCAAGTAAGCAGATTTAAAGTTTTATGCTTCTTGGTTGTTTCTAATATACCAGAAAAATAAAAAAACCTAAAGTGAGGTGAACTGATAATTTTTGTCCTTATATTCATATTTGGGATATATGTAAATTAACAAGGAAAATGAAAAGACAACCCAATAAACTAGGTACAATTTAGTTACATAAAGTTGTTGAAAACATATTAAGGGATTGAGGTAATTTTAATATTGAAGGCATGGTACGTGATCTTGATACACAGCCAATGAGAGAATTCGGTAACTATGTCCATTGAAGCATCACATAATAATTATAATTCAATAATTAAATTGATAAAAATCATATCATACATAAAATTACTAAATGATGTAAGAATGTTGAATCTTACATTGATATAATCTTATCTTTCATCATGTATATGCATGAAAAAAAAAATTACATATTTAAGCCTTGGGAGTTGGGATCATTGGACTACTCTCAACGATAATGCCATTAACAAGGATTTTGCATTACTCTCAACGAAATTGCCATATACAATTATTTAAATACGTTTCATGCTCTACTTTGACTAAGCTCTATGTTGAAATAATAAATACATACCAGACACCACTACAGAAAATATAGTATAAAGAAAATATGCTCATACATTCATTAGTTTTATTTGAGTTCTACCAAGCATAAGCACCACTAGATTGAGAAAAAGCTAGTATATATCAAATGCAGTATGTTGGAACACTGATGGGTCTATAAACAAAGGTCCTGACAGTGTGTGAATATCCTGATGGGTGATTGTAACTGAATTTCACACCCAAGCTACCCTCACCAAGTTGAGTGCAGTGCTCATGGAAACTACTGATGGGTCGGGCAAGACACGCATCCCAACGATCGCTCTCAGGCATTGTCTCTGCCACTGTATATATCCCCTTAGCGTCTGTGAATGCCTGATAATTTAGAACCTCCCCAGATTTGGTGATGCATAGAACAGCAACCTCAGCACCTGCATTGAGGCACTCAATTACTTTCTTTTGTTAAGAAAATGAAATAATAGTCAATATGTTACATAGAACCATATTATAAATCAATCTATGGAAACTGCATTTTGGGTTACACAAAGATTTAGGAATGCACCAGTAAAGGGGTAATGTGCTAGAATATAATCCTATCTTATCTTCAACGGATTTGTCAGGAATGTGCTTGGTTGCAATAATTTTAGGTCAGCGAATAAAGGAGCAATCTTTAATCATGTTATCAAATACCTCTCATAGCCTAGCAAGAAAAAACAAGTTAGACACTGGATGATCTTCTGGTGAGGTTTCTATTCATAAATTTAGAACAAGTTTAATTCAAAATTAATTGGTAGAATTGAAATTATTTGTTTGTAACTGAAATCAACTAAGAGAATGTGGAAAAGGAAGAAACTTCAATTGCTGCATTTGTTGATCTGAGATGTATAACATGACTGAAACATTACTCCTACATTATGGTGACTGTAAGTTGCAATAGTTTCAACTTTTTACTCTCTGTATCATCCAAAATCAGTTTAGTGCCTATTTAGTGAAGGATGCAAAATCGGTTACTTTAGAATCGACAAATTTATTAATTTTAGCTGCTGTCCATCTTGCAAATAGGAATGTGCATATATTTTTATCATTGTTGATTTTTCATTGAAAATCGATTGTAAGTAAGGCTAACGGTATTCCAAACAGGCTGTTAGTAGTTTTCAATTCCTAAGAATTAGCATGTTTACTACATTTATGCAAGATATCCGCAAGCTTCGATCAACTTAACGCAACATATAAAACAGTTTTCTTACCCAAAAAAAAAAGAAGAAGAAGAAAGGGTACGAAAAAAGAAGAAGAAGAAAGGGTACGAAAGAAAAGTTAAACATCTTCACAATGATTAGAGAATACTAGTCAATGATACAAATAAACTTCAAACATATGGCAAGGCAAAGTGACCAAGTGGAAGCGACTATTATGAAACCTTTCTTTTCGAACCTACAATACCATCATTCAAAAATCAACATGTAAGATTGGATCAGGATCATAAATCTTCCAGAAATCAAATTACACTTAGAATTGGGGGGAAAAATTTTCCACACCCAACTGAGATTAATCAGGTTATCCATTCTTATGAATATATGCAAATCCATTGATCAAACCAATCAAAGCCATCTCATCATCCTTCTGTTCATTAGTGGATATAAAACAAACAATTCAGGATAATTGATCATCATAATCATTTCCTCATGGCAATAATCAGTTTAGTGTTGTATGGCAAACTTCTTCCACTGGTCAAACAACATAAAAAACAAGCAAGAAATTCATGCACTAAATGGTTAAAATCTTAATCACTAACTACACCACCGATACCAACACACACAAGTGCTGAGCACCAAGTTGAACAATTGGTGATGGAAAATGGAAAGGCCATGAACCACAAAAAGCTAACAACTTCCATCGAAGGGGGAAAACCCCATTTCGAAAACTCCATCAAAACGACAAATATGCAAAACAAAACGCCAATTGAAGAGAGAGAAAAACCTTCAAGAACATGGTCTTCAGGTCCAAGAGAAGAATCCCCACAAACATCACAAATAACTCTTCCATGAATTTCACCAGTCCAAGCACTCGCATCCGAAGCAAAGAACAACAACAGAATCAGACCCATCACCATCTTCTGCCTCCTCTTCACTTCCATGGTTGAGATTGAGAAAAAAAACCTAAAAATGGTACCTTTCTCAGAGCACTGTGTTTTTGGGTTTATGGGGTAGTTGTGTTACTGCTCCCAAGGGTGTTCAGAGAGCATTGGTTTTTCCACCGACAATATAGTTGAATCACTGAATCCAACGAACGAGTCTACCCCACCCTAGTACTGGCTAGGGACTGAATCGTCATTTAAGTGTCCAGGGACTAACTTGGAAAATCACACTATGCTATTTCTTATAAATACTGACCAAACCCTCATTTTTGTTGTTCTGATGTGCTGCTTCTGGTAGGGTTACGTAATGGTATGTTATTCTACGTTTGGTTGTAAGAAACTGTTTCTATCGTGAAGCTGATGTGTTTAGAGTTTCTGTTGTTAGGAGTTTATTTTTGGGGTTTGTGTATTGCATGCTAAAAAGTTCAATTTTTTTTACTCTGGGTGGTTTTTCTTGGTGTTTCTGAAGAGTGGAAAATGAACTCTGTTTTTTGTGTTGTTTAGTGTGGAGGGAAAATTACTTTGGGGTTATACTAGTATAGACCCTTACGATCGAGCTCAATGTGACTTGTTATCCTTCATGATATGTCTTCCATAGTGTTTTTATTTATTTATTTATTTATTTATTTTGGGAGTAGGATCAGTGTTGTGTTTGTGACTGGTTAATTTCTATTTTAAATTTTATGTTCTATTTTCCCCCTTCTTTTGATGGGAAAAACTTGTTATTTTTTCAGTTTGATTGGTAAATAATTTAAGATGGTAATTTCATTTTTGATGGTTCGAGAGTTACGCTGATTCAGATTTTTTTTACTGTACATTAAAATTTTACATTTTCCCTTTTAATTCATAATTTTAGGATACAGTTGGATGCATCTAGCTATTCCCTTAATTTTTTTATTTTGCAAAGCTTTCAATTAAAGGGTGCATATATAGTTGGGTTGGGTGATCACAATTGCCCTTCCTTGTTATGAATGGCTTTCCCTATGATGATTTATAATTTTGAAAGTAGTGGACTGAATTCCCTTGAAGAGAAGTGAAATCTGAGGGATGGTCAAATGTTTTATTACTGTTGGTCTTTTGCTGTTTACTGACCTATTGTGCCATGTAGCATCCTTTCTGAGATTCTAACATGCAGTGTCGTAAGCAAAATTGGGTAATTTTCTGGTGGTTTGATTGGCTTTTTGTAATGCACTGTTGTAAGATGTATAAGCACGGCCCTTAAGATCGCCTTCCTTATCATCCATGGAAGCGTTTTGAGTCATAGCCATGCAAAATCAACTTATTAGTTCCCATTAGGGTTTTCCTTCTGGGGCCTCCTCTCTCCCACTTGATTCATATATTAATGAGGCATAGATCCTTGTTACCTTTGGACCTGTTAAATCCTATTAAGTTCATTAATAGGAGTTCAGATCTTTTGGTACTTGATTAATGTCTATGTTAGCAAGTGGGAACACTTATATCAAATCTTACTTTCATATTTTTTGTTTGCTTGTATCTTGATGATTGGTTTGGTGCTGTGCTTGTCTGCATTTACTAATTCTGTTTTAGTTGAAATACAAAAGGCAAGGTTGATGAATCAATTAGATGTGTGATATTAGAAGTCCTTTCCGAACTCAAATTTTGAGGCATATTGATATATCTGACTTGTTAATTTTTTATGTTTTGAAATACTATGACATAATTAAAAAAAGTCACTAAATTAATATATTTATCATTTGCAGAAGGGTGTTAAGAAAGATCATCCCCCTTCCCTTCTCCTGTTCTGTTTGCAGGCTTGTATTGTGTATTAATACCAACACGGCTGCCAATGTTCAGTCTTTTGGATTTTGGGTTGAGCTCATTGATGTCCTCATTCTCTCCAATTTTCTTTCATTGCTCCGGTGTTTATGCATTACACATACACTAGGTACCATTTCACAGAGTTAGTTATAGCCAATTAGACATGACTTTGTTGGGTGCATATTGTTTCAGCATAGTCCCATCAACAGCATTGGGGTGCCCTTCTCTATCTCAAAGGCCCTACTTTAACCTGCACAAGCCAATCTTGTATTCCAAACCATCCAAACTCACTGGTCTTGTAACCAATGGCCACGGAAGGATGTAAGTTGCACTGATCTGCTCTTTTGTTTCCATTAACATCTTACTTCCAAGTTCCAAACACTGAAAGACCTGACCACAAAGGAAATTTTGCAGCTGTGATCTCTTTGATTTGCACCAGGAGCAAGTCCCTTATGAAGTGGCATGGGCTTGGCAAAAGGAGATTGTCAAGGACAAGAAGGCACAGATTGAAAAGGAAGGAGACTGCACTGATACCCTAATTATTCTGCAACACCCTTCTGTTTATACATTGGGTACCGCCAGTACTGAGGAGAACCTCAAGTTTGACATGAACAATGCCCCCTTTCATGTTTATCGCACTGAACGTGGTGGAGAAGTCACATACCATGGTCCTGGCCAGGTGCTTGCTCTAAATTACTTGCTACAGTTTTCCAACTTCCTATTTGTAATTTATTTTGAATAATGGTTCATAACACTTAAACTGTATTTTGCATTACAGCTTGTTATGTACCCCATCATCAACCTCCGAAGACACATGATGGATCTTCATTGGTACCTTAGGACTCTTGAAGAGGTTGTCATTCGTGTTCTTTCATCAACATTTTTTATTCAGGCTTCTAGGCTGGAAGGTTTAACTGGTGTTTGGGTTGGTAAGTCTATAAATCATATTGATATTACACATATAGTTTTGATGGTTTTTTATCCTCACTTCCTGCTCTGGATCTAAGCTATCGTGGTTATTATTCATATGTACAGTTAATAATGATACAGCCTTGGATGTGTCTTATCTTAATAAAAAAATTATTAAATATCTTCCAAGATCTTTCATTCTTGGTTATAACATTTGAGTTCTTTTTCTACAACATTGCCCTGAGGGATTGATTTGATTGATAAGATTTAGTCTCATACATACATCATAGAAATTACATCTAGATTACAGGTATTACCCGTTTACTATTATTGATACTCTGCATAGTTGAAAGTAAGTTGGATTGATCATATTTAACATTTTAGATGTTGCTTTCTATAAAATGTGTTTACTGGGTTTACAATTGTATGTCTCAGTCTCTAAATATTCATGGCAGAGACAACAATTAGTTTAACTGTTGTGATTCAGTATTAATTATTCATCCCCCTTAGGTTATTGTGTCTATTCTATAGATTGATTTCTTGGTGCCAGCATCATCTACCAAACAGGATTTGATTGACACAGCTCAGAAAACTTTGTGATGCTGCTGTCTTGTGCCTAGAAGTGGTGTCAGATTTTTAACCCTTTTTACTTTTGATTTAAGGCAGACACTAATACAACCTTTAGTTACTTTGCTCTACTGATGGTAGCTGTGCTATAAGATTGTAAAACACATTCAATTATGCTTGTGAATTTGTCATGATTCAAAATTGTTGAATTTTTCAAGAAGTTTCCAAAATCATTTGCTTTCTTCTTATTCTACATAGTAATTCGTTTCCAGGAAATGAGAAACTGGCAGCTGTTGGTATACGAGTGTCTCACTGGATAACCTATCATGGTGTAGCTCTTAATGTCACGACAGATTTGTCTCCCTTTAAATCGATCATCCCATGTGGAATACGGGACCGTCAAGTGGGAAGCATTAAAGGGTTGATGAGAGAAGGTAAGCTATGTATTGGTCATAGAAAAAGTGATTTGTATTGTGTGGACGATGCTAGTCTTATTCACATTACATATAAGTCCTTGATTGAAGAGTTTTCACAAGCATTTCAGCTTGAGTTCAGTTACAAAACTATTTCTGTTCCCATGTTGTACGAAAGGAAACAAAGCTGTCTTACCTAAGAGACTCGGCAAAGTTGAATGTTTGATAGACATAGTAGTCCCTTGTTTATTCACCTTTTCCAAATAGGTGGTGCAGCAAAAGCATTATCAGTCTTGCAATAAAACATACTTGTTACTTTATCTTCTGGTGGTGCAGCAAAAACATTATCAGTCTTGCAATAAAACACACTTGTTACTTTATCTTCTCTTGGTGGCTGTAGGTATGTGACTTGCCTATGTTAAATTCTTGTCTCTTTGTATTCTTGGTGCCGTGTTACTAAACTGCAGTTGATATGAGCCCAACATAAACAACGTGGTTGTTATAGTTTATTGGGTTGGGGGTGAATTGCTTCTCTTAACGTATTTTAAAAAGTAAAAAGGGTAACTAGCGAAGACTGCTCCTGAGTTTTAATAAATCGCCATTTGACACACAGCTTGGTTGTGTACTAACCATTCTCTACCGAAGGTAAAATGTCCCATGTGGGAGTTTGGATGGCCCGTTGGTGTTCTCATGTAATGTATTGAACTCAACAAGAGGTTGAAGGTCAAAAGACGGCTTGTTAGTGCTTGCATTGTCCCTGAACTTCATTCTTGAAATGCCCAAAACATTCTTCTAGATTGCACTCCCTTGCTGGTGTGAGATGTTTGAAATATGCTTTCTGCAACTATGGTTAAAAACTGGATGAAGTTAGAAGAAATATTTGAAGTTGGGGCAAGCTGACCATTGGAGGCATGCAAGTGCTTAGTCTTTACCATAAATTGCTATATTTAGAGGAGGGAAACATTTGGTTCTTTGATTGAGTGCCCTCTATTTGTTGTTCTTGCACACATCATGTTTTTGTGGTGGTAACTTTGTGGAATGACCTCATATAGCTCAAGTGAATCAAGCTTGTCACGCTTTATATTTGTTAACTAGATGTAACAGTGGAATGTGTGACTATAAGGTGCTATGGATCAGCAGCACAAAAGAACTGGTTGTTGCTACAATTGCTAGGAAAGGGTTTGCAAATTCCTTGGATGGGTGAGTAAAGCCATTGAGGTGCAATGAAGCTAAAAAGCGTAGGAAATGTGTTGATGAGGGAAGGCACATAGTAGTAGCCATTATAATATAGGAATTTTGCTTTTGTAGAAATTGGTTTTGTAAAAGCTGAGGTAATAGTTCTTAAACCCTCAGTTGAAGTAATCAGTATAATTAGGAGTAGCAAGTTTGGTACTGTTTGTGTTTACAACTATGCTGCTTTTGTTATCATTATCGATATCATACAAAAGTTGAAGCGGTGGAATGTACCCATTTGTTCCCAGTATGATTATTGCATTTTGAAATGAAAGATGGGTTTTAGTGCATTTGTTCACAGTATCATATATCCATTAATTTTTAATGCCAGTTTTACTGGAAAAGATAGCTAAAGGTGTTAGTCCAGTGCAAAACTTATCCAGTATGATGAAGTCCATTGGTTCATAGAAAGATTACATTCAACTATTTTTCTTCATGTTGCCAGATGTCAATTTACATAACCAAAAAAAAGTAGCTGCAATAGAGATAAGTTATACAATTGTCATAAAAACCGAGTGATGCTAGCTAACCAAAGTATTGTCACTTAAAACATTGAAGGGGGACCATAGTTTCTTAAAATATATATCATCTATCCATCAACCAAAGAATAAAAAACATAAAATTTATTCAGAGACAGTAGCATATTTAATAATTCCACCAATAGTAACACTTGTTTGACTCCTGAAGTTCCACTTATAGTAACTTAAATAGTAAACTTTTGCGTGATTGGTTTCCCCTTACTGCAAGCATGGCGTTATTGGTTCCTTACTTTGGTTCTTGTAACACACCAATAGATTCGCTTCATTCTTTTTTTTTTTTCCTTTTAGACTTGGAAACTTTTGTTGCCTTTGAAATTTGGCTCAGATTGAAGAGGGACTCCACTTCGACTACATTTGAGTGGCTCATTGAATATTATTCAGTGTTGGAGTTCTTTCATGCTGACTCTACATTAATCTGAGAATGGATTGGCCTTTTCTGGATTCCTTGGCAAATCTTGTCCTACTAATATTGTTTAGTTTAATCATTTCATGTACTTTTCAGTGATTTAAATTAATTTATTGTATGAATCTCAATAGAATATAATGACTCGTTAATTTCATCACAATTTTCACACTTCAATTGAGGATCTTCTCGCAGAATGTGACTTTCAAGTTAAATTGCTCTGACCAGTTTGAACATAGATCAACAGTGATATTTGGTAACTTCCAAAGACCCCCCTTTATTATATCGGACCACTGAACATTATTGTCACACCCTTTTGACTATATTGGCCATCTACAATACCTTGTTTTCTTGTTAAGATATGCAAAATCTTGATTCTTTGCAACATCTACCATTAATTAGTATTCGTATTGGTTAATCAATTTACCTCACATTCATTTACGTTAAAAACTTTTAAGCCAAGCATATGAATTAATGACCTATTAAAAGAAAAAGAATACACAGTAAAGTGTTGAAAGAAACATCAAACATGCCATTAATATGTACAAAATATACTGATAGAAGAAAACCGCAATTGATTTAAGAGTCAATAAATAGATGGAGTTTATAAAATTTTATTATTTTTTTAAAATTTAATACTTTATCTAACTACTTTATTTTAATGTATAATATATTATTTAAATATAAATGAATGTCAATTATAAAATTATATATATATGATGCTTAATTTGTTTAAAGTTTGACACTTGTGATCATAAAATTAATATTGCATAATTCACCGATTATATTAATAAAACTTGAGGAATATAAAATGTTATTAAACAAAATAGATAACCAAGATTTACTTCTAGCGCTAGACTACATAAATTTTTTTCAATATACCTAATATTAGGAATTTCAGTCTAACTTCTGTGTATCTCTACACTTGAATCTTCATGCTGAAGTGAAGCATAATACTTTCCTCATTCGAGTAAATATTGTAACTTTTTCTTTCTCCCCTACAGATAAAGTCAGAGCATTACTTGAATATAGTTTACTTTCAAGAAAAGGATTAAAATAAGATAAGGACCACAAGAAAGACGGCTAAATACGAATCCTTGTCTTTGGTTGATGCCATAACAACTAAGTTTTTTTTTTTTAATTAATAAATGTAAATCCTCCTGCTCTTTATTCTTACAAATTCTCCTAATTATTAAATCAAGAAAGTATTTAATATGTTTTATGTTTTTAATATAATAATAAATAAATTATTTTTATTTAATACTTACTTTATAAAATTGTAGGAAGATTATATTAGGAGGATATAACCAAGTTTTTTTTTTAACATTTTTGAACTTTAGATATAAATTGAATTAGAATATTATTATTTTTTAAATTTGAATTTAAAAATACATTAGGTATAGATAGAATTTAAAATAGACATGGGGTGAATATTGAAGGAACAAATAATACAATTGAATAGTATTTTCATACTTAAAATTATTATTATTGTAAACTAGAAATTTATAGTGTATAAGAGTGGTATATAGGCTATGTACTGTGACACAATTATTTAAGAAATAGTATAATAAAAAATTAAAAATAGTTTATTAGAAAGGAATACTAATATAGAACAAATAATAGAAAAAAAGTAATATATGCTCATTCCAATTCATTAGAAAATTGAATAGGAAACGTGGGATTCGGAGCATTGGTATATAAAAGCAAGACTAGCAACACCTCTATCTCCCATTTCACATCTATCATCAATATCCTTTTCATTCTTCGTTTCAACCTTGCAAAATGAGTACATATGGTAAGTCCAAAATATGGAGTATATATAGATGAAAACATTTATAAATTACCTTGCTAATTAATATTTTCAAATTTTCCTTATACAAAAAGGATACCATGATTGATATATATTAAATTTTGTATGTGTCTTTACTTAGTGTATACTTTTGGTTTGGTTGGTTTATGACATTTCCCTCACTCTATGTTTTCCTAATTTTAATTTAAATAGTTTTCTCATGGATCCTTGTTAATCATAAATTCAACAGAAATTGGAGGATCGGAACTTGACAATGGGCATCAATTCTCAGTGTTCCGATTGTGCGTATTAGAAGGAAGATGGGATTATGCATATCCAGCATATAAAAATAATAGTGTGTTTCATAAAGTAAAAATAAACGAAAATAGAGGAACTGCACTACACATGGCTGTGAATGATGGCAAACCTGAACTTGTTAATATCTTTGTAAGTGCAATCATAGAACATGAAGGAAGGGAAGGATTGAAGAGTGATAGTGCATTAAAATCAACCAATGAGAGAGGGGACACACCTTTGCATCTTGCTGCCTCAAGAGGGTTCATTGGTATGTGTAAATGCATCATAGGGGAACATGGAGAAAGAAAGGATTTGATTAAGGTTATGAACAATAAGGGTGAGACACCTTTGTTTAGGGCTGTGCTCACTTGCCAAACACAAACCTTTGTGTATCTTCATCATGTTTCCAAAGATATTGAAGTTCCACTGACAAACAATGATGGTGATACCATCCTTCATGTTGCCATTTGGAGAGAATTCTTGGGTAAGCAAGCTTTTAATTCCATGTTCAACTTTTTGAAATAATTATCTCTTTTATTAGTCTGTTATTCCTATTGCTTGTAGCAGAATTTGAATGTTAGTGTTAAACAAGGGTTACCATTTTAAATATGAAGTGTGGATTTACAGCTCTAGATTTTTAGATTAAGAGTTGAGATATAGTAGGGATGAAACTAATTTACATGTATATATGATAGATGAGTTTAAATTAATTGGTACATCTCTAAATTATTTTAAAAAATTTGAAAAAGTTCTTATGTTTTAAAATTTTGTAACTATAGTTTTAAAATTTTGTAACTATGTTTTTGAATTTTTATTTTATTTTTAATTGGGTTATTTCTCAAAGTTTCGTTAAGAAAGATTTAATTAAATTTTTTTAGATAATTTATAAACCAAGTCATAACTCTAATTATTTAATATGTTCTTAAAATAATAAAAAAAATTTTAAATAGATTTTTATACTTAACAAAACTTATAAATATGTGGTTAAAAACAATTAAAAATAGTAAAAGTTCATAAAAGTATTTTTAAACTTGAAAAATATAAAAAACTCATTCAATATTCTCATGGGCCCACAAGTAAATTTAACCAATAAATTATAAATTATAAAGTTGTTAGAATATTAAGCATCTTTTTTTTTCTTTAAACTAACTACTGCAACTTTATACTTTACTCTCAAATACTCTTAAATCCTTATTTGCTAGCTTATATGTACACTTTTTTAATGTTTACATGTAAAAATGTTGTGTCTAGTTAAAATTTCGGATTTTATGTGACATATCACTATTTTGAATTTAAACTAACAATGCAAAACAAAGATTTATGCAGCAGATTTATGTGAAATGAAAGAGCTTAATTCTATCAAAATTATGATTGCATAATTAACATTACTCATTAGTTATTTCTATGATCAAACAGATTTGGCAGTTATAATAACCCATTGCTATCCTAAACTTATTGACACATATAACAAAGACAAGGCCACTCCTCTTAAAGTTCTTGCCAGTAGGCCTTCAGCCTTCAAGAGTGGAACCAATCTCACAGGGTGGAAGCAAATTCTATATTATTGTAAGTATTACATTAAATTAGATGGAGCACACGCGCGCACATATATATATATACACATATAAATTAAATTTATTGTGATTCTGTGAATGTGAATCCATTTTCATTTTCTGTTTACAGTAACATCTCATTTTTCATTTTAGATGTTATTCACTACATTTTTAAATTCAGTCCCTGGTTATAATTTTTGGCTCAATAATAGTTAGTGTAGATAATTTTAATTTAAGATTACGCATAGGGAATGGAGATTTTAATTTATGTTTATTTTATAAAGAATAATTCTAAATTCTCTTACTCTTTATTTCTATAAATTCTTTTAATTACTAAATCAAGAAAGTATTTAATCTGATTTATGTTTTTAAAATGATAAAAAATAAATATTTTTATTTAATACTTACTTTATAAAGAAATTGGAGAATTACTAGGAGCATATGAAAAAGTTGTTTCATAAAAATCGAGATTCAAAGTATTAAATGATGAGTTGAATTTGTTCATAAGTCATATCTAATTATTTTTATAGAAATAAAATTAATGAAAAATTAGCATTAATTGACTTCATATGTTGAGTATATTATTGATCATAAAGTGAACAATCAATATTAATGTGAATAATATACTCTTATAGAACTATAAAATTGTTCAAATTTATCCTCTATATACACACAAATTTTTGTCTTCGAAAGAAAAAAGTTGACACTTCTAAGAGTTGTATTTTATGGTCAAGGTACTTTAAAAGCCATTAAAACACACTTCTAAGATTCATTCTATTATTATTTTGAAGGTCAAAGTATGCTCGTTGAGCCTCTAGATGCTGAAAAAGCTATAAAATCATATATGGAGAAAATAGAAAAATCTGACGACCATGATCACCAAGGTAAACTTCCATTGAATTATCTCAAATGTTAAATTTTCTTTACTGAACTGTCACACATATCTAACACATAGGTGATGATGTTTCCTCTCATTAGCTGCTTTTCCTGTTGCTGTTATAATTGATTTTCCTTTCTATTCTTATGATTAGTAATTTCCCTTTTTAAAACTACACGATTAGGAATGATGGTGGCAATGAAATTACCACTTCAAATATCACATGATCCTTATATTTTTATTTGATGAAATTTTAATTTAGCAGATAGACTTAAAGTATGATTAAACGATTTTAGTATATTTCATTACTTGGTACTGTTACACTTGGTGAATTGACTTGTATTATTGCGGTCACAATAGCATTGGAAATTGAAACCGAGAAAGCACAATCTTTAATTCCACAAAAGTGTACTTTCTCCGTTGGATTTGTAAAGAGCATTCTTCAGTTAGCATTCAAAGGTCTTAGCCTCTCAGGATTGGGTGTCACTGCAAAGGGTATGTAAGTCTCTCTTCAGCTTTTTGACACAAAAGGGTGTACTATTTTAATGTATCCTAATTTAATAAATTTTAGGATTCAATACTCTAATTGAATAGTTTTGAAAGGAGATTATCTTGAAAAAAAACCCTCTGTTCTTGATTAATTTCTAGAGATATTGTTTGCATTTAGTAGTTAATTAAGTCAATGATGGATATTGATCTTAATCAAAAGAAGGGGTTTATGTTACAATTGTTCTTGCTCCTTGCATGCACATAATTTTAAAGATTTGAAAGCAATAAGGAAGATAAGGCAGAAGCACAAATGGAGTCATCAACTCTTGAATGTTTTCTTGAAAACACCTTATGAGTCATACATGGGAAATATTGGGAGTCAACAAGAAAAAGTTCTAGACAGAGGCATGGCACAAATCTTTCTTACCCAACAACAGTCACAAAGTAAGTAATAAACACTTCAGTTTAAGAAGTTGTTGCAGATAAACTTCTATTATTTTAAAGTATAAGTTTAATGGTATTTTTACTCTTTATATTTTAGTTTTTGTGTGGTTTTAATTTTTCAATTTTAATTTTTATCTTTTAATTATTTAAATAAATTATTTTATTTTTATTAAATTTTTGTTCATCGACATAATATGGAGTATTAAAAGTGCTTGTCTGATTTGTGGTAGAGTGTGTTATGAGCTTAGTAAAATTTTTGCAAAAATTTAGAAGCTAGCTAATTGTGTATATAATCGAACAAACAGAGGGATGAAATTATACTTAATAAAAATAACATTGACTTTTATATTAATTAATATTTTTTATAAAATAATTTTACCATAAAATTAATTATTAGATTAAAGTTTTTTTTTATCATATAAATTATTTCTGTACAAAATTATAATAATTCAAAATTATTTTATATTTCAAAATTAATGTAATATACACTTTTGAAATATATAAAAATAAGAATTATTTGATTACATTCTTATAATTATTTAATTTTAACAAAATTTGACACATAATATTAATTTCAGTCTTTATGATTAATTTTAAAGGCATAAAAATAATAAATTTTTATTAGAAAATAATAATAGTTTATTATATTAAAGTTAAAAAATATGATAAATGTTTTTATTAAAAAAATTATTATTGTTTGTTTTGTAAATTAACTTATAGTTTAAAGTTATTTTTTTATAAAATTATTAATGATGTAAGAATTAGTGAAACTTACGCTTTTGTAATTTAATCCCTCTTCTTAAGCAAATAAAATGAACAAAAATATTTTAAAAATAAATTAACATGAAATAAAATATAATTTATCCTTAATTTCATATATCCCAATATAACTACCAAAGAAATATCCCACAATTTAATGTTAAACTAACCCTTGTTAGTATAAGTTTTTTTTTTTCTAACATAAATTAAACTATTAGCATATCCACTATAAATTTATACTAACAAAAAAAAATATCATAGCAATAAAGAATTTTGCTAGTAAATATATATATATATATATATATATATATATATATATATATATATTATTAGTATGTAAAATTTCAAAATTTAAAAATATACTTTTTCAAATAAAGACTATCTTAACATGTATGAACTATTGAATTAAGAACAAACATATTAACAATGACAAAAATAAACCTTTTGTGTAGTTTATTACCAAACCTAAACAATAGGGTTGATTTATTATTGTCAAACTGTACATACAACATTGTTTCTCTCATTTGTTCTCAACAATTAGATCCTACAAAGAATAATTTGTAATATCAAAAAAGGAATAATACAACTAATCCACAAACAATTATGTATACCCAGAATTTGAATTTGCGGCGGATTTGGCTAGCACAATACAGGGGCCACAGGAAAATATCAAAAGGGAATTTGCATTAAAAAATGAGAAAAAAGAGACACTTGTGGGTGTGACAAAAGCTGGGATAATTGACATTGTTAATGAGCTTCAAACTAAAGTGCCAAGTGCCCAACATGACACTAGCCCTAACAAGGATAGCACAGTGCGTGTGGCATTGAAGAACATCAAATACAAATCAGTTGAAAGTGTTGACAAATATGAGACAGCATTTTTGGCTGCAGCAAAAAATGGCATAGTGGAAATTGTGTTTGCACTTCAATCTGTAATACCAAGTGCCATACATGAAACTAACTCAAACAATGAAAATGTGTTGCTTGTGGCAGTAAAGAATAGGCAAACCAATGTTGTTGAGGTGTTGCGGAAGAGTTTAGATAAGGAACTCTTTGATAGCCTAATTTTCGAAGTGGATAACAGGGAGAACACTTTGTTACACTTGGCAGCTGGTACCACAAGCGGCAGCGAAAGAACTTGGAAAATTGTTGGTGCTGCCATGCAAATGATGTGGGATATCAAATGGTATCAGGTATGTAATATCGGCATCACCCATTTTAGATTCTAATTTTTATATGAGTGTATATTAATATTTTGATTATGAAACTAGTTAAAATAAACTGAAAGTAATGTATTTTAATGTTATATTAAAAAACTTTGATAATCTGCTAATACACTGTTCCAAAAGTTCTCATTATACGAGTATTAGTCCAAATATACTATCTTATAGCTATATTTTTTGTTAAGGTCAAATTAAATTTCAACATGATAATAGTATCTTTAAATTTTGTGTCTATTCCAATCATCATAAATACTCACTTCCTTTATATCTGTTATGAACGAGATGGGCACATTGTAAACATAATTTGTATGAAATGATTGAGAAGATCAATAATTGCTTTGGATTAACAATAATATGTGTTAATCCATTAACCAAACACATATATTACTAATCAATACTTGTGCATCCCAAAAAGAGAGATGAATCCTTTCAAATTGTATGTTCACACCTGACCATATGTGAAAATATTATTTGTATATCTCCATTAATGCACACAAATTTTGATAAAGCTTGTATATTTATTTCATACAAAAGGGAGAGATAAGTAAAACAAATTTGACATGGAAAGACCCATATTTAGCATTGCAAATTGTAATTGGCTTTGGCCCATTATTATTTATCATTTGTTTTCCCTTTATTTCTCACACATACAATAGGTAAATTAATTTGATGTAAAAGTTTGACATATATACATACACTTCTATTGATTGATCCCTTGATTCTATCATGGAGCAGTACATCAGAGACCTAGTGCCAGAGCATTTCATTTTTAGAAACAACAAAGACAATAAAACTGCAGGAGATATCTTCAAGCAAAGACACAAAGATCTAGTAAAAGAGAGTTCTGACTGGCTAAAGGATACCTCAAAATCTTGCTCAGTTGTGGCAGCTCTCATTGCTGGTGTTTCCTTTGCAACATCTACCACAGTCCCTGGTGGCACTGACAAAGGTAAACCTCAATTGGAAGACCAACCTGCGTTTGATTTATTTGCTATTGCTTCACTAATTGGACTATTCTTCTCTGTCACTGCACTCATAATGTTCCTTGCTATACTCACTTCTCGAAAACAAGCTGAAGACTTTCGTAAAAGTTTGCCAATGAAACTTCTTTTTGGCCTAAGTTCTCTCTTTGTGTCCATTGCTTCAATGCTTCTTTCATTTTGTGCTGCACATTTCTTTGTGCTTAAGGACAAATACAAGAACGTTTTGTTCCCTATTTATGCTGCCACATGCTTGCCTGTGACTTTCTATGCAGTAGTGCAATTTCCTTTGTATGCTGATCTGCTTAAAGTTATTTTCAAGAGGGTGCCACAACCAAGTAACAAGGGCAACCATTTGTAGAGGTGCTTCTCTGGTTCTTTTGCTTTGTCCAATTGTAGTATTGTTCAACTGAAACTCAGGAGTTAGGTAATTTGTAATGAATAATGTCTTGTACTTTGTTACCTATGGAACACTATGTCCCTATTCCATATTTTGGTTTGAATACTACTAGTTTCAAGATAAGTTCTCACAACACTTGCGGAACACCCAATTTTGTTTAAGCATTTTATTTTATATTTTAAAAATCATTAAAAATCTACAAATATAAAAATTAAATAAAAAATAAAAAAGTAACTTAATCCAAATATATCTATTAACCTGTTTATTTACTGCTAAATGTTAATGATTTCATTGAATGAATGAGTCATTCTGATATCAAAATACAATCCAAAAAGTAATATCACGTTGAATTTAATTTGAAAGTTATTTGTCAATTCTGCTTGAGGTAGAATAATATCCTATCAATTAATCATTAATGATTTTATTCATCAAATGTGATCATCATTTTAGAGTTCGTTTGATAAACATAATAAGATAAAAAAAAATGATAAAATACAAAGATAAACAAAAATAGAATATGATAAGAGAATGATAACTCCTTATGCTGTTTTATGTTTGATATATATAAAGATAGTAAAACATAAAATTATGTCATTATTTTTAATATTTTAGACATATAAAAATAATAAAACAAAATATAAATTATATTTAAATAAAATAATATTTTTTAATTAAAATCAATACAATTTTTAAAATAATTTTTATTTAATTTCTTTTACTTTTCAATCAATATATATATATATTAAAATTTAAAAAATATTTTTGTATATATAAAATATTAAAATTAAAAATTTTATGTATATAGAAAATTAAAATTTGATATTAAATTATAGTAATTTTATTCAATTTTTTACAATTAAAATTTATTTTAAGAAAAGAATTATAATTAGAACAAAAAATTATAAAAAGTTTTAAAATATAGTTTATAAGTTATTAAAATGTTTTTTATAAATGTTTTTTTTTTTAAAATATACTTTTCTTAAAATATATGTAATTTCTTAAAATTAATTTTTATTAAAAAATGTTCATATAGTTTTTGTATAAAAATAATAAAATTATATATTTTTTTAAAAAAATATTTTTATAAAATAGTTTTAAAAAATTATAAAGTATGAATAAAAATGTAATAGAAAAAAGTTATATTATCTTAACAATTCCTAACTCAAAACCCCCTTCAAATAAAAATTTAAATTATGACAATACTATAGAATAACTCAGCATGATAAAATTGTGATATCCTGTTAATGAACAAATATCATAAGTAAAATTATACAGATAACTTATCTTATTCTATTATCTTATCCTATTTATTAAAGGAACTTTTAATGTGTTTCAACTTTCTTTTGTATACCTATTTACACTACATTCTTGATTCTTCATTTTAAATACACCTGATTATATTTAATTAATATAATTTGTTAGAAATATTGAGACAATGTTTATTGATTAGGTTGTATTTCTTGAAGAGCCAATAATTTTTTTTTTCTCGTGAATAAAATATACTGCGGTAAAATATCATTCATCACACTCTAAGTAGGAGAGATATAAATTTGATTTATTCTTTATTGATCAAATTATTTTAAAAATTACTCTCATCAAATTAATATGCTAAATAAAGTTTATAAATATTAAATTTCATTCTTATATTAAGAAAATTAAGTAAATAAATGAAGTTATAAACAAATTATACAATTTAAAAATCAATTAACCTTTCATTGAGTAACTTTGTTTTATCTTATAATCCAATTTTTATAATATAATTATATATATATATATATATATATATATATATATATATATATATAATCTCTATATCAATCATTACCGGTGAATAAAAATTTAGCTACTAATTCATTCGTCAGATTGGTCGCTAGTTCATAATTACACCAAATTAAAGAATTGATAAAAAAAAATATTATTCTTTAAAATCGGTTAATATAGTAGCTCTTTTTTTTATCTGAATGGGATATTTCTAGTAGTGAACATTTGTCACCTATGTAGTAATTACAAAACTTTCTTATCCGTGTATATATATATATTTAAAACTTTTATTTAACTTACATGATCAGATCAATAAAATAATAAATTATAATTCATTAAATATAAATTAAATAAAAAATTCAAATTCAATTTAAGAGTTTTTATATTTAAACTAATGGGAGAATAGCATATATCTTATATATATATATATTCGGAGCAGTCTCCACGGAAATTCTCGCAGCTGGAAATTAATTGCCCCTCCTACTAAATGCTCAAGCTAAATAAAATGATTAATCAAACATAGTAAAAAAAAATTTGAAAATTCAAGCAAGTTATTATTTCTTTTACATAAAGGGATACAGAAAGAGGTAGACACAAGAGCACGGAGTATGCTCTTTTCCTATTATTTTAATTGAAGAAAATGTCTCATGAAATTAACAACCAAAAGAGAACACCACTATTTAAAAGTAAACTTTTTGTTTAATGAAGTATCGTTTTATAATTCAAAGAAAGAAAAATATAAATGAAAAGGACAAGATGTTTCGATCCTTTAAAAATTAAATTAAAATAATGATATAGACACCCACATCAAAGATTAGGCAATAGATAGAAATTAAAACATTTTTCTGTATATATCTTTATATCTATGTTGACTAAACCAACCCAAATCCCAAATTAATGTGCAACCCACCCTCAAAATCAAATATAACACAACTTAATTTCCAGTCAAACGGCTTTGATCAGAGTATTGTCACTCGTGCTGACTATATTGGTCATCCACAATTGCTTGATTTCTGGGTAAGATGTGCAAACTCTATAATCTTTGCAACATGTAGCATTAATTTATATTCCAATTGGTTAATCAATTAAGTTCACATTCATTTACTTTATTAAACTTTTATGTCAAGCTAATGAAAGACCTATAAATGAAAAAGAATATACAATAAAGTAATGTAGAAAGAAAACCATATTATGTACGTGTATATATACTCAAGTGTATTCATACACAGAGAGAGACCAATATTTGAAATTTCAACCAAACTCTTGCGGAAGTAAAGCATAATTCCTTCCTCATTTGAGTAATATTGTATATCTTCTCTTCAGCCAAAACTAAAACTCAAAATTATAGCATCCGACAAAATTTAGAGCATTACTTCAATATAGTGTTCTTTCAAGAAAAGGACTGAAGTATGATAAAAGACGAGAAGACAGACGTCAAGATACGAAGCCTTATCTTTGGTTAAAGCTAAAATGAAAAAGACAATACCTTAGGGTTTTGCTTGAGCTTGTGTTTTACTCAACCTCGATATGCAATTGTGCTTATTATTATGCAAGAAATTTTCCTGAATTCAATTCGGGTTAATATGATGCTTGACTTGTAACATTTTCGTCCAACTTTAGATACAAATAGAAATCTTCTTTTCTAATGAGCAAGGAATAGAATTCTATTTAATATTCTTACTTTTTAATGTATACATATATTAGGTGAAGATAGAATTTTAAATAATAGTATACGTTGAATATAGAAGAAACTAATAATACAATCGGAAAATAGTTTAATAAATGGTAAAATAATATTAATGTAGTAGACTACCATGACTCGGTTTCTTCTTCTTCTTCTTATTATTATTATTATTTGGTCTATCTTCCACGTCATTATCATTATTACTAAGAATAGGGAAGCGTGAGATTGGGACATAGGGGGTATAAAGGAAGGATTGCTTTCCAACCAGTACCTCACATTTCACATCTGTCATCCTCATCCTTTTCATTCTTCGTTTAGCCTTGCAAAATGAGTGCACCTGGTAAGTCCAAAATGGAATGCAGATAATAACATTTATAAACTATCTATCTAATACTTCCAAATATTCCTTAATTATGCTTAGGTTACTATGATTAATTGTTATAAATTTTGTTGAAATTTCTTGAACATCTTGTACGTCATCCTACTTTTGAATGAATTCTTCGTTGTTATTGTTAGAGATACATGTAACAAAAAAAATAAAGCGTGCCACCATTTAGTAGGTTTACGCTTTTTTATTAGGACCGATATATAATTGATTGATGATATTAATTAGAGTCTCAGTATACTTATACAACCAAATTGTGGTAGCTATTGTTTGATCCTTGATGTTCTAGAGAAGATGTAATATGAAATTATTTTTTAATAAGCAAAAAATATTAAATGAGTATACAAGAGGGACCCAAAACTATTGGTTTTTACAGAGAAACGAGACACAGAAATGTGTGTCTTCACCTAATTATTTCTACTTTTGGTACAGTTGATTCACAGTATTTAACAATGTATTCTAATCAAAATTTCCCTTACCCATTATTTTCCCAACTTTAATTGAAGTCATTTGCCATCAACATGTTGTGATTCCATTAATTCAAACTATGTTTCAACCTATGTTTCGTAGGATCAATGTCAACACCAATTGAAGGATCGGAAGTTGATGGGCATCAATTCTCAGTGTTCCGAGTATGCGTGTTGGAAGGAAGATGGGATTATGCTTTTCCAGCATATAAAAATAATAGTGTGTTTCACAAAATAAAAATAAACGAAAGTAGAGGAACTGCACTACACATGGCTGTGAATGATGGAAAAGCTGAACTTGTCAATAGGCTTGTAAATGTAATCATAGAACATGAAGGAAGGGAAGGATTGAAGAGTGATAGTGCATTAAAATCAACCAATGAGAGAGGGGATACACCTTTGCATCTTGCTGCCTCAAGAGGGTTCATTGGTATGTGTAAATGCATCATAGGGGAACATGGAGAAAGAAAGGATTTGATTAAGGCTTTGAACAATAGGGGTGAGACACCTTTGTTTAGGGCTGTGCTCACTTGCCAAACACAAACCTTTGTGTATCTTCATCATGTCTCCAAAGATATAGATGTTCCACTTAGAAACAGTGATGGTGATACCATCCTTCACCGTGCCATTTGGAGAGAATTCTTGGGTAAGCATATATTTTTTATCACTAATGCAAGCTATTTTTACATGTTGATAATCCAAATATGTACCTGACAAAAGTTGCAGATAAATTAAATTAGACTGGTTGATGAACGTAAAATAAATATGAAGTTACAAATTTGTTATTAAAACCAAAAATAGAAAATGAAAACAAAATGATTTCTCAATCAAATAGCTTCTTAATCTATAGTCTTTACTACACGCTTTTATTTTCTTTCAAAAATTACTACTAACATTCCAATAATTGTTGTGTGATTGAACAGATTTGGCACTTATAATAACTCGTTTCTACCCTGGACTTATGGACACGCGTAACAAAGACGGAGTCACTCCTCTCAAAGTTCTTGCACATAAGCCTTCGGCCTTCAAGAGTGGATTAAATCTCTCATTGTGGAAGCAAATTCTTTACTATTGTAAGTGTTATCTCCTGACATATATACCACATAATTTAAAATTAACGACCATTTTATTAGTCTTTAAGGTTTTAATTTGTTAGTTTCATTCTTAATTTTTGAAACAATAAGTTATTTTGATTCAATATTTTTAACTCATTGTTTTACGTAAATTTTGAAATTCGTGCAAAACTGACAAATTCTACATGTATCTAAGAGTGAAAAGCCAACAAATTTTTAGAATTGTTTTGGTTGTTTGCACATTTTAACATTACCCTTTCCCAGAACGAAAGTATCATCTGCAAGTTAGTTCAACATTCTCGTTCATACTAAATTAATTAATAGATGTCAAAGTTAGAGTCTTATTTTGTGAAATGGAAGATAAAATAGATTGGAGATACTAATTTCAAAAACTAAAGCGATATTTTTACTCTTTCACACAGCTTGTGGTTGTAATTTTTGGCTTAATATATAATCATCGGTTTCTAGATTTTCAGAGACTAAATGAGGGGAATGAGTATTTTATAATATATTTTATTCCATAGAATTATTAATGTAGAATTGAACAAATTTAACAGTGAGGTTGAAGTCCTGTCACATTGAGAAAATTTTCACACACTAGAAACCAAAAAGAAAGTTCACTAGAAATGTCCTATGAAAGCAAAATTAATGAAAAACGTTTACAATAATGAATTATTTTGAGTATACATAAACAATCAATTAACAAAAAATTAATATCAACGTGATTGGTATATACTCATAATGAATTATCAATTGAAAAGGATTACAATAATTTTAATTTTGCATTTTATATCCTCTAACTACATCTTTGAATGAATAACCTGCTGGTGATTTTAACTAAAAATCTAACCTTACTTGGAACTCTTTTTCTTAGAAAAAAGTGAAAGATGAGTTTATGAAGTAGAAGACTGAAATAACTTTTATTTGGATTATTCTATCTGTGTCAAAGGCCACCATAACACACTTTCTAAGTTTCCTTCTATTATTTTCATGGCAAAGGTATACTGGTAGAACCTCTAGACGCTGAAAAGGCAATAAAATCATATATGATGAAAATGGATAAATCTGATGTGGACCATGAACACAAAGGTATACTCCTTATCTCAAACATTGTAAGTTATAATTGACTTTACCGAATTCAGTGATTGTCAAACATGTTGGTCTTACACATGGCTTGAGAATTCTATCTCATTCTGCTACTTTTTTCTTGCTGCTTTAATAATGAATAACAAAATGTATTAATTTCTTTGTTTTTGTGAGATTTTGCGTAAATAATGTGATTTTGAATATATATATATATAAAGAGAGAGAGACAGAAAGAAATTAGACCTCACTTAAGTTAAGGAAAATTAGAAACAATGCAGATTATATTTAATAAGGGTAATAATAATTAATTCTAACAGTACGTCAAGAAAAAAGGGTATAGTGATTTTGGTTTATCTGGAAGACATGCAATGAGAATAGCATTTCATATACATATTTTTTTTCACCTGCAAAGTAAGATTATCAGAATCCTTATTCCAAACAGTAGAGCATGGAATGAAATTATCAATATTGTACCAATTGCAACTTCTTTTGCACACTATGAAGTGGAATCATTCTCTACTCGAATAGACTTGATTTCTTAATTGAGCGATTTAAGGATATTTCATTACATTATGTATATATTACGTTTAGTGAGTAAAGTTGTATTTTTTCAGTCGCAATACCATTAGAAAATGAAGCGAAGAGAGCACAAAATTTTATTAAACAGAAGTATAGTAAATCTGTTCGATTTGTAAGGAGCACTGTTCGGTTTGTTTTCAGAGTTCTTAGCCTCTCAGGATTGGGTGTCTCGACAAAGGGTATGTTGGTCTCTCTTCCTAATTATTAATTTCCTAATTAGTGTATTAATTAATTAATGCTTACTTCATTGATATTGATCCTTAATAAATCAAGTTAGATTAATTGCTTGCACTTGATGGTTCGATGTACTTAATCATTTGAAGAATTCAAAGAAATAAAGAAGACAAGACAAAAGCACAGATGGAGTCGCCAGCTCTTGAATGTTTTTATGAAAACACCTTATGAATCGTACATGGGAATTTCTGGAGGTCAACCTTTTCTGAAGTTTGATGGAGATGAAGACAAAAATGTAGCACAAACCTTTATTACCCAACAACAGTTAGAAAGTAAGCAACAAATCACTTAAACTTTTGTGCATGGTTACCTAAAATCATCATTAATTCGCTAATTTAATTGAAGGATTTTTATAATATGAGAAATGATAAGAAAGTACTATTTTGATTCTTTTATTGAAAATAAAATTAATAAAAATTAGTTACATACAATAAATTTATATTATATTTTAAAATATTTATTTTAATAAATATTAAATTAATGACCTGTATATTAAATAAATGAATATATTAATAACTTAAATATTTAATGAGTGAGTATTTGTTAATGTAAATTTTATAATAAATAAAGATATAAAAATTTAATAATTAATATAGATAAAAATAGATATTTAAAATTGAATATGTGGATTAATAATAAAGTGTTGCTCCAATTTAACTGTAATGTCAATTATGAATTTTAATAAATATAGTTGTATCACTACTTAGAAGAATATTTATTTCAAGAAAATATTGGTAATAGTTTTTTATAAAAATGAGTGATGTGAATAATAAATTATAATATTTAATAGTATCAATAGATTAAATGATGTTAATTTTTTTTTATGAAGAGTCAATTCCTTTTAGAGTTGTAATAGGTTGGAGTATTTATTATACTCTAAATTTATCCTTAGTAAAATGTTGATATTTTAAAAAAAAGATATTAAATTTTATTTTATATAAATTCTTATAGAAATTAGATTAAATTAGAAGAATATAAAACATGGCATGAAAACTGGATGTGTACCTTCAGAATTTACACAAATTGTAGAATAACTTATATTTTAATGCTCGAATGATTTGATAAAACTCTAGTCGGGCATACATATTATAAATTGGTTTTGAAAGATAAATTAAATTGATCAAGGCTATTTTTTATTAGGATGGGACTAAAATACAAAAATTTAGCTGTAAAGAATTCACTCCCAATAATCATAGAGCTGGGAAGAATAGTGACATTTATCATGTAATATATACCTTATAAAAGGAATAGTGCAACTATTGACAAGCATTTGTGTATATTTGTAGATGTCCATCCACAACTTGCAAAGTCAACACAGAACTCACAAGAAAATGGCAAAAAGGAATTTACAACAAAAAGTGATGAAAAGGAGACAACATTTGTGGCTGTGGCTAAAGCTGGCATAGTTGAAATTGTGAATGAACTTCAAAGTAAAGTACCAAGTGCCCTACATGGCACTACCACTGACAAAGAAAGCTTAGTGGTTGTAGCAATGGAGAACATTAAATACAAATCAGCAGAACATATTGACAAACATGAGACAGCATTTTTGGCAGCAGCAAAAAATGGCATAGTTGAAATTGTGTATGCAATTCAATCTGCAATACCAAGTGCGGTTCATGAGACTAACTCCAACAATGAAAATGTGTTGCTTGTTGCAGTAAAGAATAGGCAAACACAGGTTGTGGAGGTGTTGAGGAAGGTTTTGGACAAGGAACTCTTTGATAGCCTAATTTTAGAAGTGGATAATAGGGAGAACACTGTGTTACACTTGGCCGCAGGTACAACAAGCAACATTGAAAAGTCTTGGCAAATAGCTGGTTCTGCCATGCAAATGATGTGGGACATCAAGTGGTATCAGGTATGTATTTAAATTTATAATATCAGCATGAGCCTTTGCTACATAAACTACAATTTGTTCTAGTACCATGAATTTCTTTCAAACACTACTAAATATTTTAGTAATTAAAGCCTATATTTCGTTTTTAAAGCTCAAATTAAATTTTAACGTGACAAATTATGTTCAACCTTTCTTGAATTTTTTCTATCTTTCTTTTCTTGTCATATCACTTGTATTACATTCTTCTGGTTCCATTCTCTTCTCTCCAACTGTATATGCACGTAGTGACTGTATAATAATCATTTTTTCAATATGAAATAGGTACCATACTTGTTAATATCTATTAAGCTCCGTTTGGAAAAGCTAATGAAAATAGCTTATTAATCTTATAAGCTTTTTTATCGTATATTCAATATAGCTTATCCGAATAAACTCTTTTCAATTTGTTTCATGAGCTTTTATAATCAAATATATGATATAAGCTCTCATGCCATAACAGCTCGCTGAATATACACTTAGAAGAAAGATGAGCGCGATTTAAATTAACATAATTTGTTAAATATATGACAATATCTATTTTTTAATAAGTGAGGAATCAATCATTGGTTACCAAAACATATATTATTCAGTTGATAAACTAAGTTGATGTAACATATACAATATATGTACACACATATATATTGATCCCTTGGTTCTACCATGGAGCAGTACATCAAAGAACTAGTGCCAGAGCATTTCATTTTTAGGAACAACAAAGATGAAAAAACTGGTGGAGAAATCTTCAAACAAAAACACAAAGATCTTGTGAAAGAGAGTTCTGAATGGCTAAAGGAAACATCAGAATCATGCTCAGTTGTTGCAGCTCTCATTGCTGGAGTTTCCTTTGCAACATCTAGCACTGTCCCTGGTGGCACTGAGAAAGGTAAACCTGCATTGGAAGGACAACCAACATTTGATGTATTTGCTATTGCTTCTCTAATTGGACTTTGCTTCTCAGTTACTGCACTAATAATGTTCCTTGCTATACTCACTTCTCGAAAACAAGCTGAAGATTTTCGCAAGAGTTTGCCACTGAAGCTTCTTTTTGGCTTAAGTTCTCTCTTTGTGTCCATTGCTTCAATGCTTGTTTCTTTTTGTGCTGCTCATTTCTTTGTGCTCAAGGACAAATACAAACACATACTCTTCCCAGTTTATGTTGCCACTTGCTTGCCTGTGACTCTCTATGCAGTAGTGCAATTTCCATTGTATGTTGATCTTGTCAAAGCAATTTTCAAGAAAGTGCCACAACCAAGTATTAGTAGCAACCATTTGTAGAAGTTCTTCTTTCTTCTATTGCTTCATTTTCTTGACAGGGTTGAGTTGAAACTCATGAGTTCGGCATATATGTACGTGAATAACGTCTTCTTTGTTAACATTGGAACACAGTATTCATATTTTATCTGTTTTTTGTTATCTTTAAGTTTTGTATATATTATTACTAGCTTTGACAATATGTAAGGTTAACCATATGATGTTGAATTGATATAGATAGTAATTTTTAGACATACTTACAGAAAAAATAATCAGGAGGATGTGTCTCCTCTAAGTGCTTATCACTTTTATTTAAGTAATTTTTTTAATTTAAAATACACTTTTATTTCTTACAATCATATTAAAATTAATAGTAAGAAAATTTTAAATAAATATTAATTAATTAAGAGCAACAATCACTAACAATCACTCCCTAATAATAAATCTTAATAAAATATTTATACTAAAACTCATAAAAGTTAAAATAAAATAAAAATATATATTATAATATGACTCCAAGATTAAATTATTTGACTGAGAAAATGTCAAAAAATTATTAAAGACATTTTAAATCTCATGAAGTAAAATGTGTGACACTAACAATTTTAATTACTAAATTAAATTAAATTTATCTACAGTTTTTACATTATCATATAATAATAAATTTTTATCTTAGCTAAAATTATTAATTTATGTATTAATTAATATAAAAATCATACTTACCATGTATTCTAATTAGTTTATAGTGAAAAAATGTTTACACATATCAAAATTAAACTCTTAAAAATTGAATTTGATTTAAATACACTGATGATGTGATATTTTTTACATAGTTGTCAAATAATAAATTTTCATATCAACAATAATTATTGATTTCTATAACAATTAATATAAAAATTATATTCTTAGTTAATAGCATAGAAATTCTTACACTGCTAGTGTAGTAAAATTAAATTCTTCAGAATTGGCCTTAATTTAAATACATTGATATAGGATAAACTTTTAAACCGTCATCCAATTATTAATTGCGATATTGAGATTTATTTTTGTTATAATTGATATAAAAATGATAACCATGATGTATTCTAATTAATTGACAGGGTAAAATAGTGAAACAAAATTAAAATAAGGAATTAAATTTAATTTAAAAGAACTAATATTGTAATAATTTTTTTACATTGTCATCTAATTATATATTACAATTTTAGTAAGATTTATAGATTTCTGTAATAATTAATATAAAAATCATATTTATAATGTATTTTAATTAGTTGACTGAAAATATTTATACTAACAATGCACTAAAATTAAAGTCTTAGGCTAAGAATTTAATAAGTTGATTTGAAAGATACTAATTACCTTAACATTCATACATACAAAATTTTAAACAAATTTACTTATATTTAAAAAAAAAGTATATATCGAAGTAAAATTAACTCAATAAATTTTATTAATTTTTAACTTAAAAATTTTTGTAAATTAAACTTAGCTATTAATTTTTTGTTTTAATGGTCGATTTTAAAATATATAAGAAATATTAAATACAAAATAAGTTTGACAAATTCTTTCCTTATTCTCTTAACCCATCCCTAAGTAGTTTATAATTCCATGTTATTTTGGCTGAGATGTGTAATTTGCTGTTTGTAGCAACCATGAATATAATGGTATTGCTCAACCATGAATATAAGCAGATGGACTACCCATAAAAGAAAAAGAATATACAATAAAGTGGACAAAGAAAAAATGATGTTAATATGTACATTAAAGCCATACTTGTGTGTCTCTACACTAAAACAAGTGAAGCATCAATCTTTCCTTGTTTGAGTAATGTAACTTTTATTCCCTTTTACAGCTAAAAAAAAATAAAAATACTCTTAATAATCTTTACACTACCCAACAAAAATCAATGCATTACTTTAATATTTAACATTTAATTATCATAGAACATGTATATTAATTACAATTGGTAGAAAATTATTACAAACCTAAGTAGAATTTTGAGTCCATATCCTAAAAATGCAGTTGTATTAAGATTAAATCTCTAGTACCTTTTACTATTAAGAAGATTTATTATCTTTTTTTGTGTAAAACAATCTTAATAGTTAATTTTAAATTTATAGATAATAGAGTTAAGAATTTAAGTTAAAAAAAGATATTAATATTCTTTTATTTTTAAGATATTAAAAGAATTATATAAAATATTTTTTTAAATTTAGAGGTACCACATAAATCACATGTTATTATAACTTGGATGAATTTTGCTGCCCTTAATAATCATATTGCACTAAAAATGAATAACGAGTCGAAACAAATTATAACACATATTGCATGAAATAAAGAAAGTACTAATAATAGCACAAGAAACATGGCAAGATACGAAAATATTACATTGATTTTTTTATATTTTTTTTTATCAATGTGATCTTTTAATTTTTATTTTTTTTATTTTTTAATTTTTAAATGTCAATTAAAGTCTTTCTCTATTGATTATATTATTCGTTCAATTATTATTTTTATTATTATTTTTAATTACTGTTGTTGTTCTTGTCTTTATCTTTTTTCTTTCTTTTCTATTTGATAATGTAGTGAAAGGAAAAAATATATATTTGACGTTTGAGAGTTAAAAAATCACAATAAAATTAATTTATATAAAAAATGAAATTAGAGTAGTAAAATACTTTTTTTTTTTTTGTCTTTTCTTGAATTCTAATTCATTAACAATTAGGTCAATTTGGTGACTTGTAACCTTTTTTTTGGCATTTTTATTTTTAATCACCTTTTATTCACTAATCAATTTTTTTAATATGTGTCAAAGCACATGTTAGGAAGTTAAACACATAATTTTTTTTTTATTAAAAATGAGTAGTTACTATCTGAAAATCATAAAAATATTATATAAAGACTAAAAAGAAAACATTCAATAGATACTTTTTCTATTCTCTTCTTTACCACTTCTAAAAGCTTTGGTTCCTTCTTATTTGTCATTTTTCAATAAATATTTATTACTTTTTTTTATTAATACCTTTACACTTTCTTAAGGTTTAAATATTTTACATATAAAGTATAAGATGTATAAGTAATTAGTGTAAATTTAAAATATTAGTTAGATTAAATTAAAAATATTTTTAAAATTTACTTATATAAATTAAAAATTTTATCTAACTCTAATAAAGTAGAAACTTATAACATTTAATAATATATATAATAAAGTAGACAAAGAAAAAAGGAATAGAATCTTCTTATAAGTATAAGTTTAAAAATTCTCACATTTGATTTAAGTCTTTCATTTAATTTACGTCTAATTGTTAGTAAAATAATAAATTATAACTTGTTAAACGAAATATTCAAATTAAGTATAAGAGTTTTTAAATTTATATTAATATAAAAAAAATTTAAAAATGATGTTGTTACTTAATAAATACATTACACCCTTAATTGTGTGTCACTACACTATAACATTCTGGCTAAAGTAGAGCATAAATCTTTTGTTGTTTTAGTAATGTAACTTTTATTCTCCTTTACAGCTTAAAAAACACTCTTAAGAATCTTTACACTACAAGTGAGAGAGAATAGCTGAATACCGATCCCCCAAAACCGGCCTTATCTGTTGAACTTAATTAATTAATTAAACACCCACATTCGTGATCTAATAATTTTATATATCCTATTCTGTATTTTTATGAGCAGCAGTAAAATTCTGTTTAATATTCTTACTTTTTAATGTATACATATATTAAAAGTAATATTATACGTTGAATATAGAAGAAACTAGTAATACATATAGAAAACAGTTTAATAAATGGTACAATAAAATAGAGTGCCATTGCTCAATTATTAAATAAATAGAACAATAAAATACTTAAAAAATTAATTAGGAGGAATAATAATACGTAAAAGAAAAAGAGTAATAGACACTCATTTCCTCATCATTATTAGAATAAATAGGAAAGTGTGTGATTCGGACTAAGGGGCTGTTAGGAAGGATTGCTTTCAACCCAGTTCCTCACATTTCACGTCTATTATCATTCCCCTTTTCATTCTTCGTTTCAGCCTTGCAAAATGAGGGCACCTGGTAAGTCCAATATGAATGTAGATAATAAGATTCATAAACCAACTATCTAATACTTCCAAATTTTCCTTAATTATGCTTAGGTTACTATGATTGTTATAAATTTTGTTGAAATTTCCTGAACATCTTGTCATCCAACTTTTGAATGTGTTCTATCATACTTTTTCTTTGTTGTTATAGTTAGAGATACATATGATAATAATAATAATAAAAAAAGCGTGTCATCATTTAGCAGGTTAAACGCTTTTGAGTAGGATATATAATTGATTAATGATGATGTTAATTAAAGTCTCAATCTACTTATACAACCAATTGTGGCAGCTAGTGTTTGATCTTTGATGTTCTTGAGAAGATGTAATGTGAAATTATTATTTTTACTAAGCGAAAATATTAATTGAGTATAAAAGGGTACTCTACCCATCATCACATGATACGCGACTACATGTTCTTTCAAATTATATAACAAGCCTAAAGTGCTAGGACCCAAAACTATTGACTTTTACAAAACCATACACAGAAATGTGTCATCACCTAATTATTTTAATTTTTGGCACAGTTGATTCACAGTATTTAATAATGTTCTATCAAAATTTCCCTTACCCATTATTTTCCTAACTTCAATTTAAGTGATCATTTGCTATCAACATGTTGTGATTCCATTCAAACATGGATCCTTCGTTTCAACCTATGTTTCATAGGATCAATGTCAACGCCAATTGAAGGAGCGGAAGTTTCTGGGGATCAAATATCAATGTTCCTAGTAAACGTGTTGGAAGGAAGATGGGATTATGCATATCCAGCATATAAAAATAATAGTGTGTTCCACAAAATAAAAATAAACGAAAGTAGAGGAACTGCACTACACATGGCTGTGAATGATGGAAAAGCTGAACTTGTCAATGCTCTTGTAAGTGCAATCATAGAACATGAAGGAAGGGAAGGATTGAAGAGTGATAGTGCATTAAAATCAACCAATGAGAGAGGGGACACACCTTTGCATCTTGCTGCCTCAAGAGGGTTCATTGGTATGTGTAAATGCATCATAGGGGAACATGGAGAAAGAAAGGATTTGATTAAGGCTATGAACAATAAGGGTGAGACACCTTTGTTTAGGGCTGTGCTCACTTGCCAAACACAAACCTTTGTGTATCTCCGTCATGTTTCCAAAGATATTGAAGTTCCACTGACAAACAGTGATGGTGATACCATCCTTCACCGTGCCATTTGGGGAGAATTGTTAGGTAAGCTTGCTGTACATTCTATGTTGATTTTTTTTATTTTTTTTTATAACTAATATATACAAATTTAACTATTTTTACATGTTGGTAAGTCCAGAGATGGACCTGACAAAAGTAGCAGATAAATTAAGTTAGACTTCCAAAATAATATAAAAAATAATAGATATAATTATATATATTTTTTCAAATAATATCACCTTGCATACTTTATATTTTCATAATGATCGAATTATAATATATATATATATATATATATATATATATACCAAAAAAAAATTATGAGCTGTTTTGTTTTGAGAAATATCTTGTGTGTTTTATTTTAGTTTTAACTACAAGATTCTTACGTTATTTTCATTCTATTTTTAAATATTTATACAGAAAATAGTAAAAATATTTTTTGTATAATTTTATACAAACTTATAAAAATAAAAATAAATAAAGTGAAAAATAAAACTGAAAGTAGAAAATATAAACAAAAATAATTTCTAAACCAAAGTGCTCCTTAATTTTTAATATTTCCATTCAACAAGTGAGTGCTCATTCTTTAGTCTTACTACACCTTAGGTCCTCCCCCACACTCTTTCTTTGCTTTCGAAAATTCCTACTAACATTCCAACAAAAGATTTCACATTATTTATGCTTTCTTAAAAGTGGATGAGGCCTACCTTATTTTTGTAATATTTATACCTTAAAATGATCACTCTGTAATTATCCGTCGCAGAAATATTTTTGTGCATATATAAAAAAAATATATAAAAATTTATTGTATTACCATAAAGGAAATGATTAGTTAGATTTATTTTTTCTTATGCACGAAGGTTCTTATGTAGTTAATCTTTTTAAGAAATAAAAAATTGCCAAAATTAATACAAATAATTTCTAATAAAAACTTTATGTATGATTAGAAATATATTTATATTTCCACTATTCGTATTATTTAATTGTATCTTATTTAATATATTACTTATAATTTATCTAAATATATTATTTCATTCAAAAAGTTTAACCATTGAACTTTGAACCAGTACATTGACCAGTTCAATAACCAGACCAGTTTCTTGAACATTGGGTTTAATAAATATTTTCAATCATTGTTTATCAAAATTGTATAAATGCAATTTGTCATGATTGTTGTGTATGATTGAACAGATTTAGCACTTATAATAACCCATTGCTATCCTGTACTTATGGACACGCGTAACAAAGAGGGAGTCACCCCTCTCAAAGTTCTTGCGCATAAGCCTTCGGCCTTCAAGAGTGGATTAAATCTCTCATTGTGGAAGCAAATTCTATACTACTGTGAGTGTTACCTCCTGACATTTATAGCACATAATTTAAAATTAACAACCATTTGATTACTCTTTCAGGTTATAATTTGTTAATTTCATTCTTAATTTTTGAAACAATCAGTTATTTTGATCCCCTATTTAATTTGGATTATTTAATTTGTGTCAAAAGCCACCATAACACACTTTCTAAGTTTCTTTCTATTATTTTCATGCCAAAGGTGTACCGGTAGAACCTCTAGACGCTGAAAAAGAAATAAAATCATATATGATGAAAATAGATAAATCTGATGTGGACCATGAACACAAAGGTATACTCCATATCTCAAACGTTGTAAGTTATAATTGACTACTTTATATATATTCAAGAATTTAAGGATATTTCATTACATTATATGTATTGTTACATTTACTCAGTGAACTTGTATATTTCCAGTCACAATATCATTAGAAAGTGAAGCCCTTCAAGAACAAAATTTGATTAAACTCAAAGTTCGATCTGTAAGGAGCACTGTTTGGTTTGTATTCAGAGTTCTTAGTCTCTTAGGATTGGGTGTCTCTACAAAGGGTATGTTGGTCTCTCTTCCTAATCATTAATTAATTCTTAATTACAGTATTAATTAATGCTTACTTCATTGATAATAAATCAAGTTGGATTAATTGCTTGCACTTGATCGTTCCATGTACTTAAATCATTTCAAGAATTAGAAGATATAAAGAAGACAAGGCAAAAGCACAGATGGAGTCGCCAGCTCTTGAATGTTTTTATGAGAACACCTTATGAATCGTACATGGGAATTTCGGGAGGTCAACCTTTTCTGAAGTTTGATGAAGATGAAGACAAAAATGTAGCACAAACCTTTATTACCCAACAACAGTTAGAAAGTACGCAACAAATCACTTAAACTTTTGTGCATGGTTACCTAATATGATCATTAATTCGATAATTTAATTGAAGGATTTTAAAAATCAAGGAAAAAAGTACATAGGATAAGAATTTTTGTTTTAGCTTTTTTAGTCAAAAAAAATAACTAATTTATTAGGATGAAAAGTTTAAATAATTAATTTTATATTATATTTCAAAATATTCATGATATAATTGATGATTCATACATTAAATAAATAAATATATTAATTACCTTATATACCTAATAGATGAGTGCTTTGTTAACATAAATCTCACAATCATAAAGACATAAAAAGAATTTAACAATTAATACATATAAAATTAGATATTTATTTCTTATAGATAGGACAAAATAGAGGTAATTATTTTTCATAAATATGATTGAACAAAATAATATAAAATTATTAAAAATATATAATATTTAATAGTATCAATACATCAATGACATAAATTTTATAATTTTAAATAAAATTTTTATTATATATAAGTTCTTAAAAAAAGATTAAATTGGAAGAAATATAAAACATGGCATGAAAACTGGATGTGTGTCTTCGGAATTTAGACAAAATTGTTGAATAATTTATGTTGTAATGCTCGAACAATTTAATAAAACTCTATTTGGGCGAACATATGATAAATTGGCTTTTGACAGATAAATCAAATTGATCGAGGCTAATTTTGATTAAGATGGGACTTAAATACAAAGATTTAGCTGCAAAGAATTGAAATGAAAACAAACATATTAATAATGAGCACAAAAAATACATTTCATGTACGTCAGTTTGTAACAAAACCTAATTGGTTGATTAGTCTTTTATTATTTTATGAAGACAAAATTTAATTATATTAGTGTTTATAATAATATTTTTTATATAATACTAATTGATAAGGCCTCATTAATAAGTGTTATAAGATCTCATATATTAAAACTCATAGTTATAGTTATGAATTCGAATATATTAGTATAAGAACATTATTTTTAATTGAAATAACTTAGTATACCAAAAAGTTAAAAAGTGTTTTTATTTTTTAGAATAAAAAGCCTTCGTATTTTTAATGCTATGTATTTAATTTATTTAGAGCTGTGAAAGCAAAATGATAATATGAGTCGAAGCATGGAGATAGGAAGAATGGTGACGTTTATCATGTAGTATCTTATAAAAGGAATAGTGCAACTATTGACAAGCATTTGTGTATATTTGCAGGTGTCCATTGTAACATCCTCGTTTTTCTAAACAGTTAATTTGTTAATATAATTATAATTTAGATTATAATTCTTCAATTTTTTGGAAAATAAAAATAAAAATAAAATAAAAATAAAAATAATTGTTCATTTATACCGGTTAAAATTGCTCTATGAGGATAAAAATAGCATTTTTAATTACGAAGAATTATTTTAAATAATAAAATTTATATTTTTAATTAGAAATAATATTTGGAGTGTAAAAATAATTATTTTGGTAATTATTGCTTATTTTTAGATTTTGGTTGATACTGTTTTATGTGTTAACAGGAAGTGTGTGATTAGTTTTTTCTTTTTCTTTTTCTTTTTAAGTGATAACCAATGAGATATTGATGTCAAAAATTATGTTATAATTATTTTAATTGTTTGACATCAATTATTTTTATTTTTGAGTTTTATTCATAATTATTTTATTTAATTACATTAAAATAGCAAAATAATTGATTATTATATTATTATTTCTTTACCTATTTGACTAAATTGACCACTTTCTTACGTGAACCTTCTTCTTCTCCAAGTCCATAACCCCTTCTTCTCCCTTTCACCATTTTCATTTTCTTCCACTCATTTAAGCTTGTTTTAAGGTATGTTTTTAATATATATCCTTAATTAAGCTTAATTATTTGTTAATTATCATTTCATCCGATTAAAATTTTAATTTTTCCATGTTTTTTTGGCTGTCATGAACAGTAAAAATGGGTCTTACTTTGCTTCAAAATTATTGGTTTTAAACTTGCTTTCTTTTGTACTATATGTAGACTATGCATGGCTTATATTGTTTACATAATTAGTTTTTCAAAAATGTGATTAAAAAGCACTAAACCCTCACAAGGGTTGGCTGCCATGTGGTTTTAGAGAAGGTGAAGTGAGTGTTTTTCACTTCCATTTTATTCCTTTTATATTAGTTAGATGATAGAAACTAATTTTGTGTTAATCGGACTTTTATAGCAAAAGTTAGAAAATTTCAATTTTTACATATACATATAAGAGTATAAAATTAGCATCTCCTTAGTATTAATTATGTTTAGGCATGATTAATTGATTAGGTTGATCGTTTCGAAGATTGGATTGTTCGAGTTTTTCTAAAGAATCAGAAAAAAAAAAATCATCCATACCTTCATCAAAGAACATCCGTAAGGTAAGAGGTGGGATGATTTTATTTCAATAGGTGGCATTAAGAACCATAAGGGAATAATTCTCTATTGTTCTAATCAAATAAAATGAATTTGGGTTGTTTTAGAGCTAACCCATAATTTTTAGTAGATTTTGTTATAGTACTGGACATGTATGAAAGGTTGCTTTAGACCAGGAAATTGATTGAACAAGGACTCTCCCTTATATGTAAGGTCCTTTGTGTATTTAAATTAATGTATTGGAATGATTTATGGTTGAAGTGTTGTATTGAATTATTTCTTTATAATTAGTTGAATTCTCATTATGTGTTTGTGTAGATATTCTTGTTGGTATGAATGCCATATAATGGTAAAGATTGGAAGTAATTTAGTTTTATGTGATGTGAGCATATGGATTGACATAATCTAAATGTCCATTCAGACTTGTTGGAGAGAAGAAAATATGTTTTTAAGGTATATATATATATATAATTATGTATTTTATATATAGTGCAAGTATCTTTTGACTTCTTTGAAAAATGGATTTAATAAAAATAAATAAATAAATTATATTACTGAGAAAGTAGTATTGGATATTTGGAAGGCTTGAATCATTTTTTTTTTAAAATGATTAAGTCCTCAATTTTTAAGCATGAAAACATATTTAAAGAAAGAGGGAAAGATACGATTTTCTGGTGATGGAGGTGGAATTTAATGAATTAGAAGTATTCTGGATTTTTTTCTGGTTGTTTTACAGGAAGAAGAAAATTTTGGAATATCTGATTTACAGAGGAGACTCTGTCGAATTTCATTGAGAAAAGAAAAAGTTAAGGATTGTACTTAACAAAAAAAAAATTAAATTTTTTCTCTAATTAAATTAATTAGGAATGAAGACATGCATCATGAACATGTGATAGTGTGATGAGTGAACAGGGAAGTATAAGAAATCTAGGGGCGGCTCCAGGGTAGTCTTGGGGATAGTGACGTGTGATTGAATCTGACAGTGGCCAAGGCTCGCCATCTTGTGCTGTGGACTCTCACTGCAAAACTTTACTATCCTGACTGGTCCCGAGAGATTCTTGTATTAGTAGAGCTGTTACTGTATTATGAGATTAATAAAGTTGGCAGTTAAGTAACAGTGAAACTCCTGATCCTTCCCTGAGTAAAAGAAACAGATTGATGGTTCTGGGCCCACATGCATGTGTCAAAATGTACTAAGTTATAATAATAGACTTGCATCATTTCTCATTCATGGCATATGCATTTGCTTGGTAGATTATGGGTGTTGATAATTAATTGTGTGATTGAAACCCTTATATGTCTTTTGCTGCTGGAGATTGAATCGAATTGTCTCACCCTTTTATTGCTATGTGTGTTGTGTGTGAATATGTTTATTAGGTAAGAACATTGATGGCTCGACCACCATACCAATTCAGCATCTCGATCAGATATGATCCCGAGGGAAGATGGGTGCACGACTTGGAGCAACAACGATTCACCCACACTGGATCTATTACCTTTTTGTTAGATAGAAATGGGCCAGGCCCACGAGCTTACCCTATCCCCATCCGAGTACCCATGAGACTTACTTTTCCATTTCCTCCAGATGTACAGTTTGTGCGACCCCCTACCCCACCTCCTGTCCCTGTATTATCACCCCCGGTATTACCTCCAGGTTTTCTTAGACCTTTACGTCCTTCTATACCATATTTACCACCTGTTGAACGGACTAGTTTAGTTGACACACTTTTAGCAAGACCTATCTCTATCTCATCCACTTCCTCTTCGTCTTCCTCTAGTTCTTCAGACTCTCCTGATTCTTCTCACTGTTCAAACACCTCTACTGCTATCGGAAGGAAGAGGACTGCTTCTCAAACAGGACTCCTTCCTAATTTTACCTCCTCTGAGTAGGAATCTAGTGGAAAAGGAGAGTAGGATAGAGTCGAGTAAGGAATAATCTATACATATACGTAGGTGTAAGTATTTTTGACTGAAAAGAAAAAAGGGTATATAGGAAGTCTAACCTTACCGTTGTTGAATTTTGGGAGGAAATGGGCACTTTAGTGATCATGGATCCAGGGGAAAGCTCGTGAGGTCTTCGTTTTGGGTTGTCATCTCTGATATCGTGACCCCACTTTATTTCGTATGTAATTCAGTTATGTATATATTTAGATAACTGGATGATTGTATAAATTAACAGATGACGTGTATGTATGAAATGAAGACTTCTAGTAATGGTAATGTATTTAATTTCACTATATCTGAATAAATATATATATACCCATGCATGTGATGTTCTTACTGCTTAGTTATTTTATGATTGTATTTATATTTATTGCTTAGTAAGTAGTAAGGGTGTCACATTAAGTGGTATCAGAGCGGTTCTTTCCATAGGCCTGGGAAAGGTATATTATGTTTGTCTGTGTGCTCTTGTGTTACTATTTTCGAAAGAAATTGGTGATACAAAATTTAGTGCGTAAAGTAATTCTTAGTTTGCCTAGTCTTACTTTACGTATAGATTGGATTGATTTTTTGGTGTGTATGCAGTAAGTTATGGCTGGAAGACTGAATATTAATGCTGCCATTGGGGCTATGCGAGACATGGCTGATGCGACTGCTCAAGTCTTGCAGGAGTTGCGTAACAACGCTACTATAAGAAATGATGTTGCACAAGGATTGGCAGATTTCCAAAAGAATAACCCTCCTTCTTTCAAAGGTGGCTTTGATCCTGATGGTGCTGAATTGTGGATCTAGAAACTGGAGAAGATTTTCTTGGCAATGAATTGCAATGACAACCAACGGGTTACATATGCAGTTTTCATGTTGGACAGAGAAGCTGAAAACTGGTGGCAAGGATACAACAAATGATTTTTATGAATTCTTCCAAATAAGCTCATAATACATTTCATTTTATTTGGATGAAATGTTTGAACAGAATACAACAAAGGATTTGAAGCTTAAAATCATTTTTAACAAACTTCTGAACAGGCATTTAAAAAAATAATATTAAATTAATACCTTGTAATTTTACCTTTTCAAAAACTCATTCATCTCTATCTTTTTTATAAACTCATTCATTTGAAAAGTAAAATGCCTATCCCTATGCATCCCTCATGAACACAGTACACATATAGCAGCTAATAAACTAATTACTGTCATTATAACATATTTATAACTTACACATAGCTTGATCCTTTCAATCATATCATGAAACAGTACATCGAACAACTGGTGCCGTTGCATTTCAAATTTAGAACCAACAAAGATGGTAAAATTGCAGAGGAAATCTTCGAGGAAAAACATGTAGAACTTGTTAACAAGAGTGCTGCGTGGATAAAGGACATAACCGAATCTTACTCAGCTGTGGCAGTGCTCATCGCTGGTGTTGCCTTTGCATCATCTAGCAATGTCCAAGGAGACAACAAATATGTGATGTTTAGACTCTTAAATCATACTTTTAGTTGTAACTACTTAAAACAGTTTTTTCTGTTAATATATTTTGTTGTACATTCAGTTGCTCTATTCTATAGAGCTTATAAATATGTAGAGAAGGAAATAGAATGAGTGGGATTCTCTCTCGAGTAAATACAAGCAAGTTTCTTTTAGTTCTTATTCTTTTACGTTTTTCTGAGTTACTGTTAAACGTCGAACCTAACAATTGGCGTCGTCTGTGGGAAACAAGAACGAAAGAAAGACTTGTAAGTTTTACCGATGGCCACCAAGTTTGACATTAAGAAATTTTTTGGCGATAATAACTTCGGATTATGGAAGATCAAGATGGAGACTATCTTGATACAGCAAGGGTGTGCCGAAGCTTTGAAGGGTGAGTCGAACATGCCTGCATCTCTGTCTCAGAATGAGAAGACGGACATGATCAACAAAGCCAGGAGCGCCATAATCCTGTGTCTTGGAGATAAGGCACTTAGGGAAGTCGCTAAGGAGAAGACCGCCGCATCGACGTGGTTGAAATTAGAGTCATTATTATATATGAAAAAATCTCTGGCACATAGTGAAACAACAATTGTACTCGTTCAAGATGAATGAATCAAGAACGATGGTGGAGCAGCTAGCAGATTTCAACAAGATTCTGGATGATTTGGAGAATATCGAGGTAAAGCTTGAGGATGAAGACAAGGCTTTACTTCTTCTCAACGCCTTGCCCAAGACGTTTGAGCATTTCAAGGACAATTTGCTGTTTGGGAAGGAACAAACCATTACCCTGGAGGAGGTTCAAACCTCAATACGGACTAAGGAGTTGCAGAAAATTCAAGAGTCGAAGGGAGAAGATAGTGGGTTGAGTCTTAATGTATCAAAGTTGAGGGATAAAAAGAAAAAGAAAGATAAGGGGAAGAAGTTGAAGCAACCATCTGATGATAAAGCAAACAACAAATGCTTTAATTGTCACAAGAAGGGTCACTTCATTGCCGATTGTCCAGAGCCGAAGAAAGAATGGGGTGAGAGATCCCGTGGTAAGAAGGAAACTGCTGATGTTGTTGTAGCATCTGAAAATTATGAGTCTGCTAGAGTGTTGGTGGCATCTGCGTCTGATACACAAAGGAGTTGGGTCATGGACTCAGGGTGCACCTATCATATGTGCCCAGTAAAGGAGTTCTTCGAGACCTTGGAGCTGAAGGAAGGAGGAATAGTTCTCCTTGGGAACAATAAAGCCTGTAAGGTGTAAGGCATGGGGACGATTAGACTAAAAATGTTTGATAACTGGGAGATGTTGTTACAAGAAGTGAGGTATGTTCCAGAACTCAAAAGAAATCTTTTGTCTATGGGTATGTTTGATCTCATAGGTTTGACAACCAAGATCGAACAAGGAGTGGTGAAGATTCAGAAGGGAGCGTCTACAGTTGCCAAAGAGGTAAAGAAGAATGGCCTGTACCTATTAGAGGGATCTACAATAATCGCGCATACATCTGTTGCTAGCCAGACGATGCAAGACAAGACGAAACTGTGGCATTTGAGGCTGGGACATATAAGCGAGAGAGATTTGGTGGAGTTGAACAAGCAGAAGCTGCTTGGAGATGATAGAATGGAAGAGCTGGAGTTCTGTGATCATTGCATACTGGGTAAGTCTCATAGATTGAAGTTTGAGACCGGTAAGCATGCATCCAGTAGACCATTTGAGTATGCTCACGCGGACTTGTAGGGTCCAACAAGAACAAAGACTCATGGAGGAGCGCCTTACTTCCTCTCTATCATAGATGATTACTCACAGCGAGTGTGGATTTATGTTCTGAAAAGCAAGGATGAAACTTTTCAGAGATTTAAGGAGTGGCACACCATGGTAGGTAATCAATTGGAAACCAAATTGAAGGTGCTGAGGACGGATAATGGGCTAGAGTTCATCTCTGAACAATTCAATAAGTTTTGTAGAGTTCTAGGTACACCACAGCAGAATGGTCTGGCTGAGAGGATGAATGGAACCATTTTGAAAAGAGTGAGGTGCATGTTACTGGGAGCTGGGTTGCCTAAGTCTTTCTGGGGAGAAGCTGCAAACACTGCAGTTTATTTGATAAACAGGACTCCATCATTTGCTCTGAATTTTAAGACTCCCATGGAGATGTGGAGTAAGAAGCCAGCAAATTATGCAAATCTGAGGATATTTGGCACTTTGGCATTCGCACATGCCAAGAAGGATAAGTTGGAGGCACGAGCAGAGAAGTGTATCTTCATTGGATACACTGAAGGAGTGAAGGGGTATAAGTTGTGGAGGTTGGAACCTGGTGAAGCTAGGTGCTTTATTAGTAGGGATGTCACATTCGATGAGACTTGAATGGCTATGATGTGCAAGGATTCTGAAAGGGGCAAGGAGAAAGTTCATGTGTAGGTGAAGTCTTCTAATGCTGGAGCAGGATCAGACGATAAGGCATCAGACGATAGAGCATAACCTTCTACCTCTTACTCGAGAAGGCTAGAATGTGCAGACCCAGACTCAGGCTATCAACTTACGCGTGATAGGGAGAGGAAGATAAGCAAACCTACGCAAAGGTTTGGGTATGCTGACTTGATTTGTCATGCGTTGGTTACAGGTGAAAAGCTAGAAGGTGCAGAACCTAAAAACTTCAGAGAGGCAACAGAGAACGTAGAAAGTCAAAAATGGCAAGAGGCCATGGAGGAGGAACTCGAATCCCTGAGGAAGAACCACACATGGACACTTGTTGATCCACCATGAAGTCAGAAGGTGATCGGCTACAAGTGGGTACTCAAGAAGAAGGGAGGAATACCAGGTGTGGAGAAAGAGAGATTCAAGGAGAGACTAGTGGCGAAAGGTTTCTCATAGGTTGAGGGGATAGACTATAATGAAATCTTCTCACCTGTGGTGAAACACTGTCCGATAAGGATCCTTTTATCAATTGTTAACCAGTACAACCTGTTGTTAGAACAATTGGACATGAAAATCTTGAGGAGACCATCTACATGCACCAGCCGGAAGGGTTTGTTAAAGAAGGAGGAAAGGTGTGCCTCTTGAAGAAATCACTGTATGGCTTGAAGCAGAGTCCAAGGAAGTGGTACAAGAGGTTTGATGATTTCCTCAGAGTGACGAGGTTTCAAAGGAGCAGCTACGATAGCTGCGTCTATATTCAGAGAAAAGAAGAAAGGTCAGTGTTGTTCTTACTCTTATACGTAGACGATATCCTTATAGCCAGTCAGTATAAACATGAGTTAGATGAGCTCAAGGAGCAATTAGGATCAGAGTTTGAAATGAAGGATCTTGGACCCGCAAGGCGAATACTTGGGATAGACATACATACAGATCAGACGATAGGAGCTCTGCATCTGTCTCAGCAAGGTTACGTCAAAAAGGTGATTGAGAGGTTTAGGATGCATGAATCTAAACCAGTGAGTACACCTTTGAGACACCACACGAAGTTCTCAATTTCCCAAGCTCCAAGTTCAGAGGAACAAAGGAGGGAGATGAAGACTATTCCATATGCGAATGGAGTAGGAAGTATCATGTATGTAATGGTGTGTACCAGACCAAATCTGGTGCATGCAATGAGTGTAGTTAGCAGATTCATGGCAGATCCTGGACGTGCTCATTGGAAGGCTTTGAAGTGGGTGCTAAGATATTTGAAGGGGACAGCAGCGTCTGGTTTGGTGTTTAGGAGGACTACCCATGGCGGAGCTGCTTTAGAGGGGTTTGTGGATGCTGATTATGCAGGTAACGTTGATACCAGAAAATCAACTTATGGGTATGTATTCACGTTGTTTGGGACTGCAGTTTGCTAGAAAGTCAATGTGCAATCAGTGGTGGCTTTATCTACTACTCAAGCATAGTATATCGCACTCACAGAAGGGGTGAAGGAGGCTCTATGGTTGAAAGGGATGATAGGCGAGCTAAGTATTTAACAGGAGTGTGTGACTATTCACTGTGATAGTCAAAGTGTGATACACTTAACAGATCATCAAATTTACCATGAGAGAACTAAACACATTGATGTGAGGCTGCACTTCGTCAGATACGTTGTTGAGTCTGAGGCGGTCAAGATCGAAAAGATAGCTTCGGAAGATAATCCTACAGATGTGTTTATAAAGTCCTTGTCAAAGTCAAAGTTTTGGAGCTCATCCATTTTTTCATTTGAGAAAGAAAAACTTCCATGATTTAGAGTCTAGGTGGAGAATTGTGATGTTTAGACCCTTAAATCATATTTTTAGTTGTAACTACTTAAAACAGTTTTTTCTGTTAGTTTTTTGGTTGTAAGTTCAGTTGCTCTATTCTATAGAACTTTTAAATATGTAGAGAAAGAAATAGAATAAGTGAAATTCTCTCTCGAATAAATACAAGCAAGTTTCTTTTAGATACAGGTAATTAATCAACTTTTATATACATAGTTAAATTATTAACATCACTAAAAGCTAACATTATATCTGAGATGATGTATTGATATCACATTTGTTTTCTATATTTTCTCTAAAATAATCGACCCACCCCATTAAATTATCTTTTTGCATGTACAGGTAAGATTGGAATGCAGAGGCAACAGCTGATGTCGGATGCATTTTCTATTGCTTCTCTAATGGGACTTTCCTTATCCGTCGCTGCACTGCTTCTGTTTCTTTCAGTACACAATTCACGAAAACAAGCAAACAACTATCGCCTGAAGTTACCAATCAGTCTCCTTTTGGGGTTGAGTTTCCTCTTCGTATCAATTGTTGCAATGATTGTTTCTTTTAGCGCTGCCCATTTCTTTGCGCTTAAAGACAAATACAAGCTTACCTTGTTGCCTGCTTATGTTGCTGCTTCCTTGCCTGTGGCTCTCTTTACCATGGCACAAGTTCCATTTTATCTTGCACTTTTCCGGGAATGTCTTCGCCGACTTCCATAGATTATATATTGCATTTGAGTTGTATTCAATGTTTAGATCATTACAATAGATAAAAAATTAAGTTCATCTTTTCTTAACCCTAATGAAATTAACAAAATATAGCAGAAAAAAAAAAGAAGAAACTGAAATATATTATAAAAATAAAATTCATGTTCTAATTAACGGAAAATTATAGAAAAATGTAGATGTAAGAATCACTATTCTATTACAAAGCAAAAGGAATGGAAGGATATAGCTCTACTTCTCATCAAAATCACGTACAAAAGAAAAGAGAAAATTGAATGATAGACATTTATACATAGGGATGCATAGAAAATCTAAAATTTTATGTGTGAAAAGTGTAATAAAAAAGATGCTATCTTTAATAGAATATTATGTTTTTATATGCTTTGTCAGCAATATATATCCTCATATTTCATACTTTAATTATCGCACTCACTTTATATTTCTCTTTCATTGAACTTTTTACTTTGTCACATTACTCAATATGTTTAATAGTTATATAAATAGATAAACACTGTTTGTTCTTATCTGTCTTCAAAGAACAAAAATAAAATCAAGATAGTAAATTTAACATACCAATAATGGCCAATTGTGCTCCACACTACAGTCCTTGCTGAAGCAAAGCATAATTCTTTACTTATTTAGTGATATGGCTTTTCTGTCTCCCTACCTATAGCCAAAACAAAAGCTGTTCATGGTAAAAGTACTGGTCAAAATTCCAATATAGTGTACTTTAAAGTGAAGAAAGAAGCTCAAATATGATGAAGAGGACAAAAAACATGACGCAATTATGAAACCTCAGCCAAAATAATGAAAAAAAGAAGAAGCTTAATTAGGTTTAAGATAAGCTTGTGTTTTAATCAGCATGGAAACAAACGTGCATTGCGTTGTGACATTTTGGGCTGTTTAACGTAGTTCACAGAAGAGGCTAAAAAAGGAATGACGAGGGAAATAAATAAAGCAAATGGTTGGTACGTGGTGTAATATTGTATGCCTTTTTCTTTCTCCAAAGACGTAGACAAGAAGTGATACAGATGTACTTTAAAATGTTCATCTTGATTTAGAAGTTACTTTAACACAATAGTGTTGATAGCATAGAAATCACTTTATCTTCACTCTACTAAGATTCTATTTGGATTTAATGTTTAGGAGAGGATAATGAAATTTAATTTTTATTTAGAAATTACTTTAATAAAAAGAGAATGATTACAAGATTTTTTTAAACCTAGAATTTTTTTTAAAAAATTATAAAAATAAAATATTAATTTTAAATTTATTAATTTTTAGAGAGAAAAAATTATTTTATTATTTAAAAAATAAAAAACTATATAAATAAAAGGTATAGATGCCAATAATGTCATTTACATAATAAAACTTTCTTTACTCTCCCCTCTCAATGTTAAACTTCTAAATAAAGAAAGAGTTTAACTCATCACTCCTCCTTCTCATTTCAAATTCTTTCATTATCTTTCCTCTAAACAGGGATAAAAATAGGTCAGACTGCGCGTGTGATAGGAGCCTATGGCCTAACTTTTTTAAAACTTAGCCTGACTTAGCCTATTTAATTAATAAATTTAATTCAAATATTTTAAAAATTTAATTAATTAAATAAGTCAGGCTTAAGTATAAGAAAAAACCTATTAAATCTATTAGAATGACCTATTTAAAATTCATTAAATTTACAATAATATATTAAATAAGTTTATATAAAAATTATAATATATTAAATTTTAAAATAATAAAATCTTAAATTAAAAACTTTAATCCTTTTTATTAGAGTTAAAAAATGTCTCTAGTACGTATCATCTAAGAGAGATAGCTTTTCTTGTTAAGGTTTTTTGCATATCCTATACGTATAATCATCTTTTTACAATTAATACTAATGTGTAAGACTTCAAAACTATTAGATTTGCTTAATGATTTATAAATTGATGTTTGTTTTTTATTGTATTTTTTGTATGTGTAGTAATTTACTTATTTAAATTAAATATATGGTTTGAAAGTGATAAATAGAAATACATAATTTTATTATACATATTCAAGGTGTTGAATTATTTTTTAATAGTTTATTTATATATAAGCCTAATGATGTAGGGGCTATTTTAGAAGGACTACTTCCTAACAAAAATATTTGTAGGGACTAATCACAAATGACTTATATTTATAGGGACTAAAAATATAATTAAGCCAAAAATTAATTAGAAGGAAAAATAAGACGTAAAAAAAAAAAAAAAAACTTAATAGACACTTCCACATAATTAGAATAAATAGGAGAGTGTGGGCTTCGGACGTAGGGGGTATGAAGAAGATTGCTTTCAACCAAGTTCCTCACATTTCACGTCTGTCATCATCCTCCTTTTCATTCTTCGTTTCACTTGCAAATTGAGTGCACCTGGTAAGTCCAAAATGGAATGTAGATGATAACATTTATAAACTAACTATCTAATACTTCAAAATTTTCCTTAATTATGCTTAGGTTACTCTGATTGTTATAACTTTTGCTGAAATTTCTTGAACATCTTGTCATCCTACTTTTGAATGTATCCTATCGTATTTTTCTTTGTTGTTATTGTTAGAGATACATATGATGAGAAATTTTTTTTTAAAAAAAAAGCGTGTCATCATTTAGCAGGTTAAACCCTTTTTGAGTAGGATATATAACTGATTGATGATGTCAATTAAAGTCTCAATCTACTTATACAACCAATTGTGGCAGCTAGTGTTTGATCTTTGATGTTCTTGAGAAGATGTAATGTGAAATTATTATTTTTACTAAGCGAAAATATTGAGTATAAAAGGGTATACGCGACTCCATGTTCTTTCAAATTACACAACAAGCCTAAATTGCTAGGACCCAAAACTATTGATTTTTACAGGAAAAAAAAAGACACAGAAATGTGTCATCACCTAATTATTTTAACTTTTGGAGCAGTTGATTCACAATATTTAATAATTTATTCTATCAAAATTTCCCTTACCCATTACTTTCCTAACTTTAATTTAAGTACTTTCCATCAACAAGTTGTGATTCCATTAATTCAAACTATGTTTCAATCTATGTTTCATAGGATCAATGTCAACACCAATTGAAGGATCGGAAGTTGATGGGCATCAATTCTCAGTGTTCCGAATATGCGTGTTGGAAGGAAGATGGGATTATGCTTTTCCGGCCTATAAAAATAATAGTGTGTTTCACAAAATAAAAATAAATGAAAGTAGAGGAACTGCACTACACATGGCTGTGAATGATGGAAAAGCTGAACTTGTCAATAGGCTTGTAAATGTAATCATAGAACATGAAGGAAGGGAAGGATTGAAGAGTGATAGTGCATTAAAATCAACCAATGAGAGAGGGGACACACCTTTGCATCTTGCTGCCTCAAGAGGGTTCATTGGTATGTGTAAATGCATCATAGGGGAACATGGAGAAAGAAAGGATTTGGTTAAGGTTATGAACAATAAGGGTGAGACACCTTTATTTAGGGCTGTGCTCACTTGCCAAACACAAACCTTTGTGTATCTTCATCATGTCTCCAAAGATATAGATGTTTCACTTAGAAACAGTGATGGTGATACCATCCTTCACCGTGCCATTTGGAGAGAATTCTTGGGTAAGCGTGCTCTTAATTCCATGTTGATTTTCTTTTTCTTTTTTTTTTCTTTTTTTATCTATGACTAATACATACAAAACTATTTTTACATATTGATAAGTCCAGAGACGGACCTGACAAAAGTAGCAGATAAATTAAGTTAACTTGTAAAATAATATAAAAAAAGATATAATTATATATTTTTCAAATAATATCACCTTGCATACTTTATATTTTCATAATGAATTACAATACACAAAAATTAGGAGCTGTTTTATTTTAAGAAATATCTTCCGTGATTTTTTAATTACAAGATTTCTTAAGTTATATTCATTCTATTTTCAAAGATTTATACAGAAAATAGTAAAAATATTTTTATATTTTTATACAAACTTATAAAAATAAAAAATAAAGTGAAAATTAAAACTGAAAATAGAAAATAAAAATAATTTCTAAACCAAAGAGCTCCTTAATTTTTAATATTTCCATATATTCAACAAGTGAGTGCTCATTCTTTAGTCTTACCACACCTTTAAGTCCTCCCCCACACTCTTTTCTTTGCTTTCTAAAATTCCTACAACATTCCAACAAAAGATTTAACATTATTTATGCTTATGAAATGCTTTCTTAAAAGTGGATGAGGGTAACTTGTTTTTGTAATATTTATACATTAAAATAATTAGTCTGTAATTATCTACTGAAGAAATATTTTTATGTACATATATAAAAATTTATTATATTAACATAAAGGAAAGGATTAGTTTTATTATTTTTTTATGAACGAAGGTTCTTATATAGTTAATCTTTTTAAGAAATAAAAAATTACTAAAATAAATAAAAAAATTCTAATAAAAATTTTCTACCAATTGCTGTGTGTGATTGAACAGATTTGGCACTTACAATAACCCATTGCTATCCTGGACTTATGGACACGCGTAACAAAGACGGAGTCACCCCTCTCAAAGTTCTTGCGCATAAGCCTTCGGCCTTCAAGAGTGGATTAAATCTCTCATTGTGGAAGCGAATTCTATATTATTGTAAGTGTTACCTCGTGACATTTATAGCACATAATTCAAAAGTAACAACAATTTTATTAGTCTTTAAGGTTATAATTTGTTAGTTTCATTCTTAATTTTTTAAACAATCAGTTGTTTTGATTCCCTATTTAATTTGTGTCGAAGGCCACCATAAAACACTTTCTAAGTTTCTTTCTATTATTTTCATGCCAAAGGTACACCGGTAGAACCTCTAGACGCTGAAAAAGAAATAAAATCATATATGGTGGCTATAAAATCTGATGTGGACCATGAACACAAAGGTATACTCCATATCTCAAACGTTGTAAGTTATAATTAACTTCTTTATTGGTGTCAGAGTCATGTTGGTCTTACACAAGGTAAGTGATTTCTATCTCATTCTGCTACTTTTCTTGTTACTTTAGCAATGAATAATAAAATGTATTACTTTTTTCAATTTTGTGAGATTTTACGTAATTGATGTGTGTTTTTCAATAGGGGGGGGGGGGGTAGTAATTTTTTGTTTTTCTGGAAGACATGCGACATTACCATTTCATATTTTTTATAACATCAAATATGATCAGAATCCTTATTCTTCACTCGACAGATTGTCAATGCAATATCAAAATACTTAGTGCAAGTTAATTATTTAACAAGTTCACATTTTTTTCAGTCTTTTAAGGCATATCAAATCAGATGATCGATACACCAGAAGAATTATTAAGTGTTTTTATTAAAATTATATTACTAAATGTTATTAATATATCAAATTTTGTAATATCTTATAAATTTTAATAAAAAAATTATTTATAGTAGCTTAAACTCAATCTAAAGACTTTCGTTTTAAAAAAACATATTTCTATTCTTTATATTTTTAATCGATGGTATTTTAATTTAGAAGAGAGACTCGAATAGACTTATTTCTTAATTCAAGAATTTAAGGATATTTCATTATATCATATATATTGTTACATTTATTTTACTCAGTGAAGTTGTATTTTTCCAGTCACAATACCGTTCGATTATGAAGCAAAGAAATCAGCACATATCTATATTAAACAGAAGCATAATAAATCTGTTCGATTTGTAAGGAGCACTATTTGGTTTGTGTTCAGAGTTCTTAGCCTCTCAGGATTGGATGTCACTGCAAAGGGTATGTGAGTTTCTCTTCAGCTTTTTGACACAAAAGTGTGTACTATCTTAATGTATCCTAATTTAATAAATTTTAGGATTCAATACTCTAATTGAATAATTTTGAAAGGACATCATCTTGAAAAAAACCCTCTGTTCTTAATTAATTTCTAAAGATATTGTTTGCATTTAGTACTTAATTAGGTCAATAATAGATATTGATCTTAATCAAAAGAAGGGGTTTATGTTACAATTGTTCTTGCTCCTTGCATGCACATAATTTTAAAGATTTGAAAGCAATAAGGAAGATGAGGCAGAAGCACAAATGGAGTCATCAACTCTTGAATGTTTTCTTGAAAACACCTTATGAGTCATACATGGGAAATATTGGGAGTCAACAAGAAAGAGTTCTAGACAGAGGCATGGCACAAATCTTTCTTACCCCACAACAGTCACAAAGTAAGTAATAAACACTTCAGTTTAAGAAGTTGTTGCAGATAAACTTCTATTATTTTAAAGTATATAAGTTTAATGGTATTTTTACTCTTTATATTTTAGTTTTTGTGTGATTTTAATTTTTCAATTTTAATTTTTATTAACTTTTAATTATTTAAATAAATTATTTTATTTTTATTAAATTTTTGTTCATCTACATAATATGGAGTATTAAAAGTGCTTGTCTGATTTGTGGTAGTATGTGTTATGAGCTTAGTAAAATTTTTGCAAAAATTTAGAAGCTAGCTAATTATGAGATATAGTCGAGATATAATCGAACAAAGAGAGGGTACATAATAAAAGTAACATCGACTTTTATATTAATTAATATTTTTTATAAAATAATTTTCCCATAAATTAAGTATTAGATTGAAGTTTTTTTATCATATAAATTATTTCTGTACAATATTATCTTAATTCAAAATTATTTTATATATCAAAATTAATTTAATATACACTTTTGAAATATATAAAAAGATTTATTTGATTACATTCTTATAATTATTTAATTTTAACAAAATTCGACACATATAATATTAATTTCAGTCTTTATGATTAATTTTAAATGCATAAACATAATAAATTTTTATTAGAAAATAATAATATTTTATTATATTAAAGTTATAAAAATATGATAAATGTTTTTTATTAAAAAAATTATTATTGTTAGTTTCGTAAATTAAACTTATAGGTTAAAGTTAATTTTTTTATAAAATTATTAATGATGTAAGAATTAGTGAAACTTAGCTTTTGTAATTTAATCCCTCTTCTTAAGCAAATAAAATAAACAAAAATATTTAAAAATTAATATGAAATAAAATATAATTTATCCTTAATCTCATATATCCCAATATAACTACCAAAGAAATATCCTACAATTTAATGTTAAATTAACCTTTGTTAGTATAAGTTTTTTTTTTCTAACATAAATTAAACTATTAGCATATCCACTATAAATTTATACTAACAAAATTATATATCATAGCAATAAAGAATTTTGCTAGTATATATATATATATATATATATATATATATATATATATATATATATATATATATATATTAATATAGTATCAATATATTAAATGTTAGTATGATGTATTATTTATTAGTATATAAACTTTCAGAATTTAAAAATATACATATTAACAATGACAAAAATAAACCTTTTGTGTAGTTTATAACCAAACCTAAACAATAGGGTTGATTTATTATTGTCAATCTGTACATACAACATTGTTTCTCTCATTTGTTCTCAACAATTAGATCCTACAAAGAATAATGACACTTACCTTGTAATATCAAAAAAGGAGTAATACAACTAATCCACAAACAATTATGTATACCCAGAATTTGAATTTGCAGCGGATTTGGCTAGCACAATACAGGGGCCACAGGAAAATATCAAAAGGGAATTCGCATTAAAAAATGAGAAAAAAGAGACACTTGTGGGTGAAACAAAAGCTGGCAGAGTTGACATTGTTAATGAGCTTCAAACTGAAGTGCCAAGTGCCCAACATGACACTAGCCCTAACAAGGATAGCACAGTGCGTGTGGCGTTGAAGAACATCAATTACAAATCAGTTGAAAGTGTTGACAAATATGAGACAGCATTTTTGGCTGCAGCAAAAAATGGCATAGTGGAAATTGTGTTTGCACTTCAATCTGCAATACCAAGTGCCATCCATGAAACTAACTCCAACAATGAAAATGTGTTGCTTGTGGCGGTAAAGAATAGGCAAATCAATGTTGTTGAGGTGTTGCGGAAGGGTTTAGATAAGGAACTCTTTGATAGCCTAATTTTCGAAGTGGATAACAGCGAGAACACTGTGTTACACTTGGCAGCAGGCACAACCAGCAACATTGAAAGAACTTGGCAAATAGCTGATTTTCCAATGCAAATGACTTGGGATATCAAGTGGTATCAGGTGTGTATATAGTATATATGTGGGTCATGTAGAAGGCGTATCACAATTAATACACAACTTAATTAATTTATTTTAAAAAGATTTAATAAAAAATTATTAAAATAAATATTAAAAATTTTGAAGAAATTTAAATTATTTCTATGAATTCTTCCAAATAAGCTCATAATACATTTCATTTTATTTGGATGAAATGTTTGAACAGAATAAAACAAAGGATTTGAAGCTTAAAATCATTTTTAACAAACTTCTGAACATTAAAAAATAATATTAAATTAATTAATTTTTGTATAAATTAAAATTAATTTATACTCTTACCTTTTCAAAACTCAATCATCTCTATCTTTTTTATAAACTCATCCCTCATGAACACGGTACACATATAGTAGCTAATAAACTAATTACTGTTCTTATAACATATGTATAACTTACACATAGCTTGATCCTTTTAATCATATCATGAAACAGTACATCGAACAACTGGTGCCATTGCATTTTAAACTTAGAACCAACAAAGATGGTAAAATTGCAGAGGAAATCTTCGAGGAAAAACATGAAGAACTTGTTAACAAGAGTGCTGCGTGGATAAAGGATATAACCGAATCTTACTTAGCTGTCACAGTGCTCATTGCTGGTGTTGCCTTTGCAACATCTAGCAATGTCCAAGGAGACAACAAAGATACAGGTAATTAATTATCAACTTTTATATATATATAGTTAAATTATTAACATCACTAAAAATTAAAATTACACCTGAGATAGTGTATAATATCTCATTTATTTTCTATATTCTTTAATGTGTGTCCTAGTACAGATGTTAACAAGTATAGAAAGGTTTTATTAAAAATAAAAATATTCACTATCTAAAAATAATCCACCCCATTAACTTTCCATAAGATCTAAAAGGATGTAACCTTTGAGTTCAAATTTAAAACCCAGGAAAGCACACTTTTCTGGATCTTGAATTTGAAGTTTGGAGGAAAGTGTTGTTGCTTGAAGTAGCACAGCTTTTCTTGGCAAAGAATGGTTGTCTGCATGATAATAATCTTTTTGCATGTACAGGTAAGATTGGAATGGAGAGGCAACAGCTGATTTCGGATGCATTTTCTATTGCTTCTCTAATGGGACTTTCCTTATCCGTCACTGCACTGCTTCTGTTTCTTTCAGTACACAATTCACGAAAACAAGCAAACAACTATCGCCTGAAGTTACCAATCAGTCTCCTTTTGGGGTTGAGTTTCCTCTTCGTATCAATTGTTGCAATGATTGTTTCTTTTAGCGCTGCCCATTTCTTTGCGCTTAAAGACAAATACAAGCTTACCTTGTTGCCTGCTTATGTAGCTGCTTCCTTGCCTGTGGCTCTCTTTACCATGGCACAAGTTCCATTTTATCTTGCACTTTTCCGGGAATGTCTTCGCCGACTTCCATAGTTATATCTATACAAATTCTTCTTTCATAGCCTCCATCCCCTTCATAACGCTAGCTACATTCAAAAACATTAATTCTATTTGTACTGAGTTAATGACAATGATGATGATAATAATTTTGAATTTCATTGTTTATTGATGGCTTTTAAATCTCTAAATTTTCTGTCCTGTTTAGAACATCTTCTTCTGACAAGAAAAGATCAGTCAGTCTCTAGAACACATTGCCTTACACCAATTTCCATATTTTGATTAATTTTTTATAATTTTATTTTCAGTGAAAGAATAAAAAATTGTATTATTATAACTGTAGTAAAATAATTATTGTATTTGCTGGGACTTGAAGTGATGATATCTAAAAACGATAAGAAATATTAATGATGAAAATTTTTTATTCTTATTTTTTATTTAACTATAAATATCTTTCATTTAAAACAATATTATATTTATTGAGACTTAAACTGAAAATTATTGAAAAAATTATTATGTAGGACACAAAAGATATTGTGATAATATGTATTAATAAAGTAAATAAAAAATAATTAAGAAAATTTTGACATGTATAAAGAAAAGTATTAAAAATAGGATTGAAAAGAGTTTATTGTCTTGTGAAAAGTACAAGACAGAAATTAACCTTAAATAATTCCGTCAAAAAATTATTAAATAATATTTTTGAAAAATAGATTTTAATCCAGTTTAGTAGTATTTTATCGCTCATCTAGCCTATCTCCAAATAAGATAAGGCTTTATTATTATTATTATTATTATTCGGGAATATCTTTTAATGCTATTTTTAATATAAATTTAATCAATAAATGATAATTTTCTGCAAAAAAAAAATATCTTTGTAGGAGTTTTGCAAATTGAATTAAGTTGTCAAACTGCTAAAATAATTTTAAAAATTTGCATTTTATAATTTAACTTAATTTTTTTAAATTCAATTTTTATCGTGAAAATTGAATCAAAGAAAATGAAAATATACCTATAATATATTTATATTATGTTTAGTATTATATTTTTATATAAAATTATCTTTTAACTTTTACTATAACATTGTATATATACAATGCTTCACTTGACTCACTTCTAACTATTTTAGACTTTTTTTAAAAAAATTGAGTCTTTTCAGAATCAACTAACAAAATCATTCTTTTACAATCTATCCCTTTTAGTTAATATATTTTTCTCTATTTTTTATTTTCTTTATAAACTCACTTTGATTAATAGTTTACTCTTTAGTCTAATTAAAAATATATAAATTTTAAAATAATAATAATAATAATAATAATAATTTAAAAATAATTAAACAAATTAAAAATTCAAACTAATTAAATCAAATTTCATAATATTGATTATTTATTTAATTTTAATATTACATTTAAATTAAACTGTATTTAATTTTTATGTTCAATTATAAATATATTTTTTTAAAAATCAAATCAAACTAGACTACTAACGTCATTACTCTTTTGTCAAAGTCACAGTCAATCAATTAAACATCCATAAAAATTGAAATTTGAATTAAGATTAATTTATTTTAATTAAAATAAAGATCTGTATTGCTTTTAATTTAAATTTTTAATGCATAAACTTATCATGAATTAATTAAAAATTATACATTTGATTCAAAAATAGGTTCTATATTTGAGGTTAAGAATATTAATAATACTATTTATATTTTAATTTAATATAAAATAATTTCATTATGCATTATTTTATGTAAATATAAAAATATCTTTATATCAAACTATCATTTCCTTATTTTTACTTTCTACCCAACCAAACAGATGATAAAAAAAATTAACTTTTTTATATTTTTTTCTCTCTCTCAATCCAAACAACTTAAATTAAAATATCTAATCATTATTAATTACTTTGTATTCTCTTTTAATTTTGTTCATCCTATTTTTTCCTTGTAACTTATTCCTTCATATACAAACAAAACAATATCACTTTATACTTTGCGCATGTTGCACTCATATATGTTAGTGTTGCTCAATCAATTCATGTCACATTATTCATTTATTTTGTTAACAATATATATATCCTCATTTTTCATACTTTAATTATCGCATTCACTTATATTTCTCTTTCATTGAACTTTTTTACTTTGATACAACACTCAATATGTTAAATAGTTATATAAATAGATAAACACTGTTTGTTCTTATCTGTCTTCAAAGTACAAAAATAAAATCAAGATAGCAAATTAAAATACCAATAATGGCCAATTGTGCTCCACACTAGAGTCCTTGCTGAAGCAAAGCATAATTCTTTACTTATTTAGTGATATGGCTTTTCTGTCTCCCTATAGCCAAAACAAAAGCTGTTCATGGTAAAAGTGCTGGTCAAAATTCCAATATAGTATACTTTAAAGTGAAGAAAGAAGCTCAAATATGATGAAGAGGACAAAAAACATGACGCAATTATGAAACCTCAGCCAAAATAATGAAAAAAAGAAGAAGCTTAATTAGGTTTAAGATAAGCTTGTGTTTTACTCAGCATGGAAACAAACGTGCATTGCGTTGTGACATTTTGGGCTGTTTAACGTAGTTCACAGCAGAGGATAGAAAAGGAAGTGAGGAGGGAAATAAATAAAGCAAATGGTTGGTACGTGGTGTAATATTGTATTCTCCAAAGACATAGACAAGAAGTGATAAAGATGTACTTTAAAATGTTCATCTCGATTTAGAAGTTACTTTAACACAATAGTGTTGGCAGGGTTGAAATCGCGTTATATCTTCACTATATAGAAGCATCTTTTAAGACTGTGTTTGGTTGGTTTCAGAATATTTTTTATTTTAATTATAAATTTGTTACTTTACTTTTATTTTTGTTTTGTAAGATTTATATAAAAAGTAATTAAAATAAAATAAAATAAAAATTCTGCATTTTTTGTGTAGCATTTTTATTAATAATTATTTTATTATTTATATGCATATGATTAAAATTACATTCTATATTTAAAATTTTAATAATTATGTTCATAAAACAACGTTAATTAGTATGATGCGTAGAATATATGATAGACCACTTATATATTGATTATGAGTTGAAAGCAATTGAACTTTCACGTAGTGTTTTTAAAATACTAACGAAAACATAAAAAGAGAAAAAGTAATATTAAAAAAAAGTACATTAAAAATATTTTTATTCTCCTTTTTATATATACTAATAAAATAGTAATAGTACATAGAGAATATTAAGTTGGAAGAATCAGATTGAGATGTTTTGTGTATATAAGGGAAAGGGTTGCATGCACTTGGTCTAGTATCGTAAAGCAGCACCCATCTTCCATTTCTCTCATCCTTGTTATTTTCATTCTTCGTTTAAACCTTGGAAATCCATTTCTCTGATTTGAAATTTGATGAAAAATTTATTGGATTACTTGAGCAATTAAATAACTGGATAAGTTAAAATCTGAATTAATGTGAGAAAAACAGAGAATGTGGACAGGAAACAGTTCAGAGAACTTGTAATGGAAGGTAAGTGGGAGAAGGTTATTCCCCTCTATGAAAAGAGTTGCAAATATCACAGAATGAAAGTGAACAGAGCAAACAATAATGCAATGCACATGGCTGTAAACGACGGCGACGAAGCGTCTTGTAGATGCAATTGTAAGGCACGAAGAGGAAGAGGAAGAGGAAGAGGAAGAGGAAGAGCGCGTGGGTTTAGGTGATACCGCCCTGAGATTGACGAACGAGGAAGGGAACAGTCCTTTACAAGAATGAGTTTAATTCTCTATCCTTTCACCTCCTTCTCATTTTAAATTCTTTCGTGGTCTAACATTTTTAAAATTTAATCTAACATTTTTAAAGTTTAATCTGACCTAATCTATTTAATTAATAGATTTAATTCAGATTTTTAAAAAAATTTAATTAATTAAATAAGTCAAATTTAAGTTTAAGAAAAAATCTATTACTAAGCCTATTAAAATAACTTATTTAAAATTCATAAAATTTATAATAATATATTAAATAATTTTATATAAAAATTATAATATAATAATATATTAAATTAATTAAATTTTAAAATAATAAAATTTTAAATTAAAAACCTTAATTTTTTTATTAGAGTTAAAGAATGTCTTTACTATGTATTCTCTAAGAGAGATAGTCTTTCATGTTGAAGTTTTTTGCATATCCTATATGCATAATATTATTATATTTATTACTGGTTCGTCTCATCTCATCTATCATCTTCTTACACTTAATAATAATGCGTAAGACTTTATGCTATTAGATTTACTTAATGATTTATAAATTAATTCATTTTATTGTATTTTTTGCTATTAAATCGCTCTCAGAAGTATACATTAAAAAGTTGTTCTCTATTAACCGCTCTTAAAAATATATATTAGAAAGCAGTTAAATATTAACCGCTCTTAGAAGTATACTTTAGAGAGCGGTTCAATGCTAACTGCTCTCTAAATATATTATTATAAAGCGATTAATATTAATCGTTGTCTAAGTTAGCGCTTCAAAAACTCATTTCTGTTATAGTTTATGTAACTTTTATTATACATATTCAATGTGTTAGATCATTTTAGCCTTATAACTTTTAAAAGACATACCTATTTATAATAAAATTTAATAAACTATTGAATGTCTCGATACGAAATAGGTCATTAAAAAGGCTAGTAAATCAAATCAGACTCTTAAAAAAGTTAGGTTATACTTAATAAAAAATTTATAACAAGTAATATGTGAGGCTTAAGCTTCAATATTATTAGACAGACCTATTTTATTTCATTTTATTCAAAATCAAGCCTATTTATTTAAAATTTAACTTAACCTAACATATTTTCATCCCTACCTCCAAACATCTAAATAAAGCAAGAAGCATCTTTTTATGACTTTGTTTAGTTTCAGAATTTTTTTATTTTTAATTATAAAATTTTTACTTTATTTTTATTTTGTAAGATTTATATAAAAAATAATTAAAATAAAAATTCTGCATTTTTTTGTATAAACCTTTAAAACTAAGAAACGAAATAAAATCATGGTGTATGATTAATTAATAATTGTTTTATTATTTATATGCATATGATTAATTAAAATTACATTCTATATTTATATATTATTATTAAGTATGTTTATATAACAACGTTAATTAGGATGATGAGTAGAATATATGACAGACCATTTATATATTGATTATTAGTTGAAAACAATTGAAGTTTCAAATATGGAAGTTATTTTGCAAGGTATTTTTTCAAAAAGAAATATTTTATATAAATTATGGAAACATCCCTCCTAATAGAAGCAACAGATACATCCAAAAAGAAAAAGAAACATGAAACCAGACAACATGAAACTAAAGGCAAAAGACCAGCTTTTTTTCTTTACAAAATTAATTATTATAATCGTATCAAGAACTTTATATAGATTATGCAGTTTATTTATTTCATTGTTTATCCAACTTAATGTCAAAGTCAAATCACTTTAGAGAATATATAATATTTTTAAAATAAAAAAGTGACATCAGAAAATCCATTCATTTTGGAAGGCATTTACACCCTCAATTCAACTACATATTTTTTTCATTTTAAAATTTTAAAAAGTTCCAGAAAAAAAAAAAAACTTAACAAAAACTTTACTTTCCATGTAATCAGTAAACATAGCAAAAGAAGGAAATGGAAGCCCTTTGCGTTTTTCAGGCCAACTTTTTTTTCTCTTTTTGTCTATTTTGTTATTGTATAGTTAAAAAGCACATTCATGGAATAGAAACTAGTATAAACTCTCATGTTTTGTGTATATAAGGGAAAGGGTTGCATGAATTTGGTCTAGTATCGTAAAGCAGCACCCATCTTCCATTTCTCTCATCCTTGTTCTTTTCATTCTTCGTTGAAACCTTGCAAAACCTTGTTCACCAAAGAGAAAAAGCCCTTGCAAACGATGAATACCGAAATGACAGGTACATAAGAAGCTTTATTTTGGATTTTTCTATTGATTTGAAATTTGATGAAAACTATTTTATATGTTTATTGGATTAGTGGAGCAATTAATTAAGTGGATAAGTTTAAATCTGAATTAATGTGAGAAAAACAGAGAATGTGGACACGAAACAGTTCAGAGAACTTGTAATGGAAGGTAAGTGGGAGGAGGTTATTCCCCTCTACGAAAAAAGTAGCAAATATCACAGAATGAAAGTGAACAGAGCAGACAACAATGCAATGCACATGGCTGTAAACGAGGGCAACGAAGGTGTCGTTGAGCGTCTTGTAGATGCAATTGTGAGGCACGAAGAGGACAAGCACGTGGGTTCAGGTGGTAGCGCCCTGAGATTGACGAACGAGGAAGGGAACAGTCCTTTGCACACTGCGGCATGGAGAGGGTACACGGGTATTTGTAAGTGCATCATTGGAGAAAAGAGAGAGAGAGAGTTTGAGCAGAGTTAAGAACAACAAGGGTGAGACGCCTCTGTATTGGGCTGTTCTTGGAGGCCAAAAAAAAAGCTTTGCTTATCTCCATCTTGTTTCTCACACAAACGATCCCAATATTCTTATTGACAACAATGGTGATTCCATCCTTAACATTGCCATTCGAAGAGAATTTTTCAGTAAGTCTACTTCAGATATTCTCCTATCTATTTTACTTCTTCAAAATCATCATGGAATAAGCATTAATTCAGAGATTCTATCAATAATTTGTATTTGTATTTGTATTGCAACAGGTTTGGCAATTTTGATAAATCATTGTTACCCTGCACTCAGGTCCAGGGAGAACAATGATGGAATCACTCCTCTTGAAGTTCTTGCCACTAGGACTTCCGCCTTCAAAAGTAGAAGCAAGCTTTCATGGTGGAGGCAAATTCTATACTATTGTAAGTGTTCCATCACCAAAAACCAAATTAATTTGCATTGTTCTATTTGTGCTATAAACCCTGAAACGCAGTTCTAAGATTCAAGTAATTTTCACGTCCAAGGTATATTTGTAGAACCTCTGAACCCTCGCAAAGAATTGGATTTATATTCAAAGAAATATGGGACGCCTGAGAGCACTGAAGACAATGGTAAGCTTTCATTATCAATGAACTTGCTCAAATATTAAGAAATTTTCCTCCCATATGTGGCTTAATACTTGCCTCCTTTTTCTTAATTCATTTCGTAAAATATGATATTTATTTGGACTGTGTACAACTTTAATCTCTTAATTTATTTTCTAGTTAATTATATCTTTTATTTGTTCGATTTATATATTTCTTTATTATTTTAGTACAGAGTGCGTGTATGATTAAAAAAAGGGTACTTGTATATTCGTAAATTTGACAAGAAATATCTTCTTTAAATTAACGATTGTAATTCATTTAATATTTTAAAAATGAAAAAATATTAATTTTTTTTTAAATTAAACTATTAATTTTATTATTTATTTATATAAAATTAACTGTTAAGATTGTTTTATGAGAAAATACTTAACTTTCTCAGTTACTTGGAGTACCCTAGATTTTACCTTAAAAAGGTTGTGGCGTTGCAGAGAAAGATGAAAGACACATATCAATATGCTTCTCTTCACCACGTCTTCGGACTTGCGTTGTATCAGAAAAATTTGAAGACAACGACGCTCTTGAGTCAGCATTAGCATTCCTTACTCTTGGCCTCTCTAAACTTTGGGGTATGTATGTCTCGTCCTACAATTTTTATACAAATAATTTTTTTTAATATCTATCTTCACAAAAGATCTTTTAATTATTAAATAAAAATTTATTGAATAAATTTTATATTTTAAAGATAATAAATACATGTATTAATTAAATATTTCGTCCGTTTAAAAAATACAAAATTTAGACTTTATTCTATGAAATATTTTATTAAAATATAATCTTTATTTTTTTTATAAATTATTATTTTAATCTGCTTAACCAACGTAGTTAATTGAAATACTGATAAATGTCAATTTTTGATTGGACCATAAAAATTAGAGTGACTAAACATAAATAGTTAATGAAAAAGTATCATATTCTAATAAGATATTTTATAAAAATTAAGTATAAATTATATAACTTTTATGATGACCGAATACTTAATTAACCTTTTATTTAATACTTACTTTATATGATAATAAAAATATTATTAAAAAATGTATTAGAAACATATAGTAAAACTCTTTTTATATATGAGAAAGAATTAAATGAAGTCACACCATTGTTTACGAAAAAATATATATTATCTTATTATATATTTGTGTAATTTAACAATATATATAAAAGTATATTTCTATTATTCTCTTCATTATTGCTTGTTTTTAAGTCAAAGATATTAACTTAATTTGCACAAAACAATCTTAAGTATCACAATTTTTTTCTCCGTGTGTTACTTTTCTTTTAAGTCCCAATAAGGAAGATGAAGCAGAAGCATGCATGGGGTCGTCAACTTTTGGACGATTTTATGAAACAAGCCTATCAATCATACATTGGAAATTTTGGGGGAAAACCATTCGAGGAAGAAGAAAAGGAACAAATGGAAGAGGATGAAGAAGATCCCTTTTTTTTTTCTACCCTAAGACAGCTTGATCGCAGTAAGCAATAAACCACTACAATTTAAGCTTGTTACATAATTATATTTAAGCTTTAGTTCGGATAAACTTTTTAAAATATTATAAAAACATTAGTAATAAAAACAATTCAAAATCATTTGTGTTTTTTAAACTTTTTTTTGAAGATTTTTCATTTATTTATTTTTTAAATTTGAAAAGATAAATTGTTTCTAATCTATACGAAAAATTTTATTATTTTTTATACTAATTATTTCTCCTTTTCTCTCAAAATTTACTCAAATTGGATCTTAATTAGTAATGCGTTAATAGTTTAAATATCTTTTTAGTCTTTATACTTTTGTAATATTTTAATTTAAAGTGTTTTATTCTAATTTTTTAAAAAAATCAATGTTTTTAGTTTCTTTCATTGATATAGGACAGAAATTTAATAAGTGATAATCTTTTAGTTAATCATGCTATTGCTAAAGATTAAAAATAATAAGTAAAAATAAAAATAAAATAAAATATTGAAAAATATAAATATCAAAATCATATTTAAATATGAATTAATTAAATTAAAGTATAACATGTTGTATTGAATGTTTTATTTCAGAATAATTTTTGGATTAATATATAATTTATGTACAAGTGATATTGTATTGGAACATGTATACCCGTGTGATTCAAAAAGATTGCATCTTAATTACTCCTCTTTAAAATTTTACACTTGAAGCTGACTCTCCTATGATTTACTCTTAGAATGTAGAATAGAGATAGACTCTCGCATGTGCCAGACTTGATAAACTTTAGGTTGACAAACTTAATATCAACAACAAAAATAAAAACTAAAAAATATTGTGGTAATTTGTTATACGAAGAACAAATGTTATAATTAATCGATACAATTAAAGAATTCTAGTTAAGAAGTTTATTTTTTTTTATTTGCTCCAAAGGAAATAAAGAAAAAACAATATACTTAATTACAGCCTGGTATACATAACTCAAGATTTATCAGCAAAGTTATTTATGGTGCATATATACATAACTCAAGAAAGTACATTATTGGATCCCCTCTTGATACTACAAAGGGGAATTGTACAAAACATTGTAATTTATATTTGAAGATTTCGTTAGTGAACTTATTATTTAATTGCGTTCATCTTGTTTTCTGTATATTTGCAGGGAATTTACAACATGCTGAGGGAACAACTAGCTCATCCCAGATACCACAGGAACATAACAAAAAGGAATCTGCATCAAAAAGTGAAGAGAAGGGAACAACTAGCTCATCCCAGATGCCACAGGAACATAACAAAAAGGAATCTGCATCAAAAAGTGAAGAGAAGGAAACAACACTAGTAGCTGTGGCCAAAACTGGCATTGTTGAAGTTACAAATATGGATGAGCTTAAGACTAAGATACCAAGTGACCCCAATGACTTTAACTATACCAAGGAAGGCTTATTGCTTGTGGCAGTGACGAATAACAAAAGTGAATCGGCAAAAAAAATTGACAAAAATGAGACAGCATATTTGGCTGCAGCAAAAAATGGCATAGTTGAAATTGTGTTAGAGCTTCGAAAACACATACCAAGTGTTGTCCATGACAATACCTCAAACATGGAAAATGTATTGTTTGTGGCAGTGAAGAACAGACAACCCCATATTGTTCATAAATTGCAAAATAGTTTGCCCCCTAAATTATTTAGAAGCCTTATTTCAGGATCAGATAACATGGACAATACTGTGTTACACTTAGCAGCAGCAGGTGCAGTAGGCGACAATGAAAAGACTTGGCAGATACCTGGCGCTGCCATGCAAATGATGTGGGATATCAAGTGGTACCAGGTAATATATAATATTAATTATTGCTCAGTTATAATCTACGCAAATAACATATATCTCTTTAAACACTACTGAAATATCTCAACATTTTAGTTATGCATGCCCTTTGCTTAGTTACCGATAATTTAATAACCATTCAGCTTTAGGTTAATCAACTGAAAGTAATAATTTAATGAGTTTCTCTCTTCCACACACATATAATATCCAATCAATTATTTGAAATACCATACTCAACGTACACATAAATTGATCCTTTGAATCAACCGTGAAGCAGTACATTGAAGGGCTAGTGCCGGATCATTTCGCTTTTAGAAACAACAAAGATGGTAAAATAGCAGTAGAAATCTTCCTTGAACAACATAAAAAACTCGTTGAAGAAGGTTCTGAATGGCTAAAGGGAACCTCAGAATCATGCTCAGTTGTGGCAGCACTCATTGCTGGTGTTTCCTTTGCAACTGCTAGCACCGTCCCTGGGGGCACCGACGATGGTAAACCTGCATTAGAAGGCGAATCTGCATTTGATGTATTTACCATTGCTTCACTAATTGGACTTTTCTTCTCAGTCACTGCACTAATAATGTTCCTTTCTATACTCACTTCTCGAAAACAAGCTGCAGATTTTCATAGAAGTTTGCCCTTTAAACTTCTTTTTGCCTTAACTTCTCTATTTGCATCCATTGCTTCAATGCTTGTTTCCTTTTGTGCTGCCCATTTCTTTGTTATCAACGAAAAATTCAAACGCATATTCTTCCCTATTTATGTTGCCACTTGCTTGCCTGTGACTTTCTATGCAGTGGTACAATTTCCATTATATGCTGACCTTGTTAAAGCTATTTTCAAGAAGGTACCACAAACAAGTGGTAAAGGTATCCATTTGTAGAGGTGTTTCTCTTTAGTTCTTTTCTTTCCTTTTGATTGTGATGAGTTTAAAATTATCAGTTTGGCTTGTGCCCAAATAAGGTCTTGTTATCTGCTTCCTATGTTTGGAACATAGGATTCATATATTTTATTTTGGTGGTTGTAATTTGAGTGAGTTTGTATTATTAATGACTATGGCAATGTTTAAACTCATAAGATGATGAATTGACATGGATAATGGATTGTGCAATTTTTTTTTATATGTAAATGTATAGAATAATAGATCAGCAACATTTCCCTACCCCTTGCCCAAAAGCAAGCATACACAAAAACCTTAATAATTTATCACTACCAATAAAAGTTCTTCTTTAATATATATATATATATATATATATATATATATATATAAGAGAACCTATCTAAGAATTCAAGCAGTTTATGAACTCTTAAAAGTCAGTTTCTGATATATTGTTATTTTTTTTATTAATTAATTTCAATCAAGCTTTCGGAACCACTGCACTGTATGAAACAAAAACAATAAGGATTTACCTTTTCTAAGTAAGTATTTATATGAAAAAAAAATAAGAAATTAAAATAAATCAAATTTCTTTAATAAATTTAAATTAAATTAATCTTATCTACTTTTTAAAGATGTTCTTTTATTCAACTTCTCTAAAAAAACAAGGTACATAAGTTGATTTTTTATTTTTTTTTTGTGTAATATAAGTTAATTTTTAGTCATGAGAAAAATTTCATTAATTTTATTTCCTATTTTGTTCTTGTAAAAGTGTTTCTATAAAATTGAGGCAGTGTGTGGTAGGAAAATTTAAGACCTCATTATTTCTTCAAAAAGGATAACGTTTAAAGTGTTATATATGTCCTTAACAACATAGGTTCAATTGGATTGATCTGCCTAACTCGTCCAAATTGGGGTGACGAATTGAAATTTTAAATTCAAATATTTGCTTTGACTCACATCTCCTTAACCTGCATTTTAAAACGGATTAGGCAAAAGTAAAATAGGTTAATTTGTCAGCTTAACTATTTTTTAAAATTTAATAAAAAATATTCTTTATATTTTTTATATGTATAAATTTAATCACTATTAAAGTTAAATCTTAATATCAATAAAATTAGTTATTTATGTAAATTAAAATATTATATATATACATTCTTCGTTTAATTTATATGATTTTAATTATTTTTAATCTTTAATTTGCTAACCCAACAATCCACTAATACAATGGGATGGATTGATCTATTTTATCATCCTTAAAGATTGGCCACTGCTGATAAGCTGAATTGCACATCTAATGTTTACACTCTAATCCACTGTTGATATAATGCTTTTCTGCTATGTTGGGGAGGAGAATTTTTTTCATCATCATTCATATGTTTGGAGAGGTTTTTTCTTTACTAAAATAGTTTTCTTTTGTATTTCTTTTCCCATTATAAAAGTTGAAAAAAAAAACTCTTTTAATTAATTTTGACTTAATTAAATTTGTTTATCCTACAAATTTTATATTTTTCTCAATTATTTTTTATTTTTAAATACTTTTAAATAAATGTCTGATAAAATAGTTTTTTTTTCACTTTTTTCCCTATTTATCTCTTTAAATATCACAAGTTTTTCATGTAGTTCATCATTATAGGATCAAATGAAAAGCTCGTCATATACAGGGTTGAAATGAGAAATATGTGATATTTAGACGAACTAAATAAAAAAATTAAATATTAAAAAGGAATAAATAAAAATAAATACTACAAGAAAAACATTTGATGAAAAAAATAATATGGACTCATTTCAAAATTAAAAATAAATAAATAAAAAATTATAATTTTTTGGAGTCTTAAATTAAACCATTAACTTTACAAAAGATCTACTTGGTGAAACTTCTTTTTTTGTTAATAAAAAACCAAAAATAAATTTTCTATTTTAATCGCAGACAAAAAGACAAAACTCTAATCTTTTTTATTCTATTAGAAAAGATAGGAAATAAAAATAGATCAAACTCTATCCTTAAAAAATGACACCTCTTTAGTTTCAATTTTTATTATTGTAAATTTCAAACTGTAATTTCCTAAATTATTTTTTCTTACGTTTTATAATTTTTAATAAAATTCTTACCTTTTATACTTTACATAAACAAATATGTATATTTATTTACATTTGAGGATTTTCCTTGTTGCCTTTATACTATTATATGTACAAAATTTCTCTTAATAGTATGGATTTTTTTTAGAGGAAAAAAAACATTAGGATGGCAACAAATAAAAGCACAGAGAACGATTTGTTTCAATTCTAGTCATTCATCAGAGACGTTAGTTTTTTGTTGAAATATTTTCATGAAACAAAGGTTACTTTCCGTTTTCTCTCACCTTAACACAAATCCACTGTGTAATAATTCTTTTTAGATTTTATTTATATAATTTCTTTGTATATAAATTTACAATAAAATGAAAGATAAAAAAAAAAAAAAAAGATGTATATGATATGATTATGTGACAAAGAAAGAGATAGGGAAAAAAATGAATAAGTTTAACTATTTTTAATCTCTCAAAAATTTAAACTCTTTATTTGATTTTTTATTTTTAATTTTTTTAATAAGTCATTCATAACATTTTTTTTCTTTATTAGACAGTCTCCTTATGTGTTTAATCTTTCAAATAATACCTCTAAATATCATTAAATTTTTTATTTAATTCCCTAAAATATTACTAGTTTTTTTGTATTTAAACCTCGTAAATGTCATGAATTTTTCATTTAGTCCCATAAAGTGAGAAAAAAACACAAAATATTTAAAAGGGTCAAATTAAAAATGAATGAAAGAAAACATTTTTAATAAAAATATTTTTTAAGGACTTGTTTAAAAAAATTAAAATATGGACCAAATAAGAAAACAATATAAATTTTTAAGAGACAAAACTTAATTAAGCGAAAATAACATGTTTTTAAGAGACTTATTTAAAAAAATAAAAAGTAAAGACCAAATAAAAAATATGAATTTTTATGGGAAAAAGATAAGTCAAAAAACGTCACGGTGTTATTATATTATTGTATAAATAATATAAATAATATAATTATTGCTGTGAGAGTGCTGTTTGTTGAGTTGCAGAGTGCAAAATAGCATAACGCGTCCGTTTTCTTGCCGCGTTACCCATTTTGGAGTGATGTTAACACAGTGACAATGTGAAGTTCTAACAAAGTAACCAATTTTGGAAAATTGGGTTCATTAAGCTATCAACACGATTTTATCACACATGCACATTGTTATCCATATATTTTCTAGTTGAACAACCAAGCACTTCAGTTTTTGTGTCAAATTTGCAATATGAATGAATCAATGGAGAGCATCATGGAGGTGAGGGAAGATTGCATGCTTTCACCTGTTGGTGATAGTGAACCAACTTTGAGAATTGCCCATTTTCTGAAACCCATTTCAAATTCCATTGATGGATCAGTTTCTGAGACTCTGTCATCTTCTGTAACTGTGCCACCTGTGTTTGAACCGAAGGAGTGGCCGTTGGTGATCCATTTCAACGGGTGGCGCCACCCTAAGACGAAATGGTTTGAATGGGTGGATACCCTTCAAGTCAAGTATGAATCAGTGTGGAAAAAAGTTGGTATCTTTGAAGCCATTATGTGTAGCACAAAGTGCCACATAGTGAAAAATCAAAACTTGGCTATTGGGGTTGCAGAGAAGTGGTGTTCTAAGACGAATAGCTTTTTGTTTCCTTGGGGTGAGGCAACAATCACGTTGGAGGATATGATGGTGTTGGGGGGTTACCCTATTGTTGGTGAACCTGTGTTCACCCCACTTCAAAGCCAGGAAATGAGAGAGGTGGAGAAAAAATTGGTTCTTGCAAGACGGGAACCTTGGAGGAGCAGAAAAGGTAAGGCTACTACAACTGCATGGATGGATATTTTTTTCAATAGTGGGAGTGAAATTGAACATGAAGCATTTCTTGCAACTTGGTTGTCAATGTTTGTTTTTTCTCACAATGGCTTGATAAATAAGTTTGTGTTCCCTATTGCCATTCACCTTGCTAGAGGGAATTCCATTGCTTTGGCACCAGCAGTTTTGGCTTGCATTTATAAGGATTTGAGTTTGTTGAAGAAAACAATAGTTGGTTTGACAAAACCTCATGTAGTGGATGATAAATTGCAATTGGAGGTGACTCTTCAATCACCCTTTTACTTGGTTCAAATTTGGGTGTGGGAGAGGTTCAAAAATTTGCAACCACAGCCCAAGTTGATCAACCATGAAGACCCTATATTGTTTAGGTGGCATGAAGTTAAGGCCTTGAAAATTCACAATGTGAGATTTGAACTAGACTCTGCTATGGAGGATTTTCTTTGGCGCCCTTATGTTAAATATGCTGGCAAGTGCAGGATGTTTTATCCAGAACACGAAACTTGTGTACCGTTTGGGACAGATTTGGATAAAGAGATAGTCTCTTTTGTTACATGCTTGAGAGTTTCTGAGCTTGTTGGAATGGAGTCCATTACAAAGCAGTACCTTCCTCACAGAGTTGCTATGCAATTTGGAATGGATCAAGATGTTCCAGGTTCTGTGCCTCGATTCAATGGGAGTAGAGCCATTGCTTGGGCAAATTACTGCAGGCCTATATCTGATAGGGATTTGTATTTTCCATCAAGGCTTTTTGAGGCAGATGTTACTACTCGTTATGCAAAGTGGTGGAAGCAATCAGTATTGGCTCATCAGGATTTCGCCAAGAATATTGTGCGTCGAAAGAGAAGTGCAAGGTCATCAAATCACAGGCCTCGTGTATCAAAAGCAAACAAAAGTGGTAATGATGCTGATGTTCCACCTGGTTTTCCTCCTAAACTTGTTAGAAGAACTGTGTTTTTTGGAAAACCTTGTGATGATGTTTCGGATGCTAGGAAAGGTGAAAATGATGCTGATGTACTTGCTGGTTTGGAAACTGTTCCTTCTGGAAATTCTGTTCAAGATGGTTTGATTGCTAATGAAAATATTGATGCATATGTTCCAACAAGTTTTTCTCCAAAAGATGACACTTTGACTCCTTGCATTTCTGTTGAGAATTTTAAGCCTGTCTTGGATGAAAGTAAATGTGGTGGCATGACTCACTGTTTAGTCAAAGTGAAAACTGATCAATGTAAAAATTTGTCCAACCAAAGTTCTTCAGCCTCTACTGCAGATTATGGAGATGTTGAAAGGATATTACCACTGACAAAAGCAGTTGTAAAAGATGTCATTGAACCTACAATAGAGGGTTTGGAGGAAGATTTTGAAGATGCAAATGGGAGCAAAGAATCAAAGCTATTTGGGACTCAAAGTGAAAGTGGATATGGAATAAAATTAAAGGAACTTGAAGAGAGAATCAGCAGACTCGAGACAATGGTTACAAAACTAAAGAGAGCAAGGTTTGGTCATAGTTGAAAAAACTACTAGCTTAGCAAACTAAAACCTTACCACTTGTAAACATGTGTTACTTATTTCATATACTAACAGAAAAACATGCTCTTTCAGGATCATAGTGCTGGTACATTGTTTTGGTTTCCCTGCATTACTTAAAAACATGTTTACCAATTGGCAGTTAATTTGTAGAAACATAGCTAGCTATTAAGATCTTTGCTCGTGTAGGTATGAGGAATGCTAGTAACACTTTTTCTGCATCCTTTATTATTGAGAGGAATTCATGTGAAACCAACTAAGCACGTGATTGAATACTCTGCTTCAATTCAAATGTGGGTTTGTAATTTTGAACCAGATTTAGGCGGATTTTTAGTTTGTTTAGTTCTACTCATCCCCCTCTTTCAAGCAGGATTTTGCAAAAATCTATACTTGGAGGAAGCAAAGAGCTCATTGCTTTTGTAGTGAGTTGGTCAAATTTAATGCTTCTCAATTGTAATTTTTCTTCTCATTCCCATTTTCTCCTCCTTCTCACATTGGCTTCTTATGTCTGTGGCTTCTCATGTTTTCATTTCTGATTATATAGGTGTTTTCCTTTGTCTTCTCTCACTTCTGGGTTCTTTAAATCTGAAATTTTCCCTTCACTAGATTTTGATATGCGGCTTTGTATATTGATCATCTAAAAAAAATGGCTTCTTGTTCAGATCAAGAAGAACCTTGTTCTTAAGAATGCAACCTAGGTTTGAAGAATCTATGTATTGAGTCTGGAAGGTGAAAGTTAAGTCTGTTGGTAACGGGAGAGTTCTTGTTAAAATAACCAATGGCAGTGCCATGGTAGATTTTACAGATTCTAAAAGGTATCTATTCGTTGCACACTGTTAAAATATACAATGTGGGGTAATTGTACTCTTTCCATGTTAAAATGTCTCTTAACTGTATTCATTACTGATACTGATTAGAAAACCAGACATGATGTATGACCTGATCAGAAAATTTGCGCATCCAATATCAATGACATTGGTTGTGAATAAGCATGGATTTTGTGCATCCAATTGTCAAATTAAGCATGTTTCTTATCCTTCTCAAACAGTTTCCTGCTTTCCTCTTCTCTTTTTCTGTTAAGTTAATCACATTAGGAGCTTTGATTGTGATGGCCATAACAAGGCTCAAAATCTACACTCCTTTCAGAACATAAAATCTTTGCAGGTCTAGAAATGTTGTTAGTGCACCTTAAAGGGCCTTGTGGCTTTAATGCTAAATTATGAAGTTAATATGATAAATGTATAATGCTAGGTTTTCAGTTGAGAACGTATTTCAACAAATATAGAATTAGGACTTTGAATTCATGTTAAGTATCTATACTTAGTTCACACACATTTGTTTTGCTTCAATTTCATTTATAATTTAAAAGATTAACATTAAATTATGAAATTCTTACCTTTTTAAAATAATTTTATGGTTAAAAGTGGTTTTCATACATACAACCTAAACTACATTCATTTTATCAAAATTAATTTTGAGATAAAAGTATACAAGATAAATTATATTGCTATAAACCCAATTTTGTCAAGTTAATTCAAATTCGAGTTGTTAATTCAATTTCAAAGATGCATTAAATCATGATAGGCCTACTCCTTATTTAGCTATACTAAATTACATATTCCATAGTTTTGAAATTTTGTTGTCCTTCTTTTTCTTTTTCTTTTTTTTTTTTTTTTTTTTTGGAAGGTTCGAAGGTGACCAAGAAGAAACATGCAATGAGTGGTCTTAAGGTTATATGTGAAAAGTACAAAAATTATATTTGTATTATATTTTATTTTTAAAAATAAAAATATTTTTTTAAAAGGGAAAAACATGTTCTAATTCTCTCTAGAATTTTTCTAAAAACTTACTTTTTGCACTAATCTTATTAATCAATATTCCTAAAATATTAATTAAAAATTATATAATAAATGCAACGTCAAAAGAAAAAATATTAGTAATACATTTTCTAGCACTTTTTAAATTTTAAAAATTTTGAATTATAAAAATTATTTATTTTATTTTGATTTTAGGAAAAATAAAATATATCTTCTTTTTTTCAAAATTCTAATACAGAACTCACATGTCTTCTATTTAGTGTGAAATTTAGAGAGAGAAAATATTAATAATACATTTTTTAGTATATTTTTAGAATATATGTTTTAGTATTGACTAAAATTTATTAAAAATATTAATTAAAAATAAAAAAATACGTAATTTTTTTTTGTAATTTTTCAACAAATGTTAATCAAAGTGAGATGTTTTAAGAAGAGGACCGTAAAAATTGCGTTTGTTATCATTATGACGGCACAAAAATCAAAGAAATTTGAAACCAAAAGTGGCTTCGAATTCAACGTCAAAAGGGGACCATAAATTCCACATGATTTACACAAATGCCACAAACAAGAGCGCAAACAACAAAGCGAAGAAGTCTTCATAAACAGTGCGTTAGCCACGTGGATTAATAAATAATAGTAACCTTTTATTAAAAGTTATATTGATTTAATTTTTTTAACTTAAAAATAAGTAACTGAAAATATAAATTTTTATTAGAAAAAATATTTTTTATCTTAAGAATAAAAAAATACAATAAATATTATGTATTTTAATAAAATATACTATTTATAGGTATTTAAATTCAGTTTTAAAAGTTAAAATTAATAAAACTAAATATCACTTTAAGATATATTGAAAATTATAAAAATAGCATATTCTTAGTTTTATAATAAAATATTTTATTTTTGAATTTTTAACCTATAACTAAAATTACTTTGTTATCATTTTAAAGGGAAAAAAAAGTGACTAAAAGTAACAAATACTTTGCAACACATTCAATTTTCCTAAACCGCTCTCCTTCATGCGGGAAGTGTTGTGTGGTTCTGAATCCTTCACACGGTAAGTATTTTTCTTCATTGAATCCAGACTCAGCCACAGTATAGATAACCATATATTAAAAAACACATGAGAACAATTAATCTTATCATATAATCATATATTAATTTTATTTAAAAAGTTGATCTAATCATTTATATGATCAAATAACAATGCTTAGATATATTATAAGGTGCATGAAAGAAGAGTTAAACGAGCATATAATTATGTATATGATCAAATAACAATGCTTAGACGTTTGATATTGATTTTACTTAAAATTAATCTAATCATTTACATTAGTTCTTCTCACATATATATTATTTGGTGAGTGTTGTGGGTGTAAAGGTGAAAATGTACAAGACAAAGTTGCAAGAGTTTTGCCACAAGAGAAGGTGGGGTTTGCCTAGGTACTCTGCTATGAAAGATGGACCAGATCACATGCCAAGCTTTAAGGCTTCTGTTTTTGTTAATGGTGTCACCTTTACTTCTGGTGCCTTTAGTTCCTCTAAAGAAGCACATAACCAAGCTGCCATGCATGCTTTTCTCAGCTTCTCTTCAGGTACCCCAGTTCTTTCCCTTTTTGAGTTGTGTTTTTATCCATGGAAATTATTGTTTTGTGAAATGAGTTGTGTTTGACTCCTTGAATTGTTGATAACTTTTTGTCCTTGGATTAGTATTGGTAATGACATTTTCTGGTATGAAATTTAGCATCATGTCCTATATTGTAGAATCTCAATATTTCAATCAGTTTTGTTAAAAAGCTTTCATGTATAGCTTCCCTTCTTACTATTATGCCTTGAATGACAGAACAATGCAAAAAACAGAATGATGGTAGGAACTAGTAATGTTAAATCACGATCATATCATATGGTAGAAGTTGTGGCACTATATTTGTACAATTGTGCTCCAATTAATATTTGTGCTTTATGATTGTTTAGACTCTTTAATGCCAGCTACTGAACAGGATACAAAAGAGCAAATTGGACAGGTGAAACCTCAGGATATTCCAATTCCAGCACGATCTTCATCCATTATAGATGGTGAAGAAATTCCTCCCTCCTTACTTTTGAACTTGTTTTCTAAGCTTTGCTATATCTTATACCTTGTCAACAAAATTCAGATGATTTCAATTTAGTTCTCTACATATATCAGTAAAGAAAATTAACACTTTTAATTTCTTTCTAGTTCCATTTCTAAAGTACAACAATATTCATCAAACCCTCCAAACACCAGATTGCTTTCTCTTGTCAGTAGAATATAATCTTCGTAGCTGTCTAGAATCACTCTAGGCATGTAAAATGCTACAAGGTGTTCATATGCATCCCAGTTCATTTTGGAAATTGCAATTCTACTCACATTTCACTATTGTACTTTGTACTTATTTAAGTTCAAGTTAAATCTATTCTTTCTAAGTCCTAACAATATATTGGTAAAGTTGTCTCTGGATGTTCTTCTCTCTGTAAACATCAAAAGTGTACAATGCTTCTATGTCCATGTGAGTATTTCTTCTGCAATTCGCTTATGATTGTTCAATTTCTAGCATGTCAAAGGTTATTATCGTCTTTGTTTACCATACAAACACATTCCCCATTTTTTCAGAGCCATAAACTGTGACAACAATTTTTACATATACAAAGCAACTAACTACATATGAACATAGTATAATACATTGTTCTAGTGAATCTTTAGAAACATTGTCAAATTACTTTCATGTAATTCACTGTTGTATTTCACATTCATCAACCCATTCCTTCAGATATGGATCGTTTGTGCAAAAATCGCCTGCAGAACTATGCTCAAAAGAACAATCTTGATCCACCTGCTTTTACTTGTAAAGCTGAGGGCCCGCCTCATGCCACTCACTTTAAGGCCACAGTCCTGTTTAATGGGCAATCTTTTGAAAGTCCTTCATTTTTCAATAGTTTGAAAGAGGCAGAGCAGGCTGCTGCAAAACTTGCTTTGATGTCATTGTCACTTGATCTCTTTAAGAAGGCAAGTATCCTAATAATTTTTTTTTTCCTGGTTCCTATTTGGATTCTTTATGATCATCAAATTGATAGCTAGGTGTAGAGGGTTAAAGAAAATTTCTTATGACTGCAGAGGGTTCAAGTGCCAAAAAAGGGTTGCTAAAGTGGTTATATAGAAGTTTCATCTAGCATTAGTTAAGTTAGCATCCTAGTTCTCAAACTAAATGTTTATATGCTAATTATTTGATGTTTTCCAGGAAATATGTAGAATGCAACAATAAGTTTCTTTTCTTATCTTTTATAGAATATTTATATATAAGATTTTTCAGTTAAGAATAGTTTTTGAATCTTTATACTACATATTATTTCAGTGTTTACTTATTATTCTGTATGAAGCAAAGTTGAGTTATAGATGAGATTTAGATTTTTAATAGATGATAATTGATAACCTGATTTATTAGTAATTTTAGATCCATTTTGTTCACAAATTTGTGGGTAATGTCGACATTAAAAAAAAAATTGTAATGAGTGAAATTGGATTTGTATCCTCCTTGTTTAGGGTGACTCTGGTCCATTCAAGACTTTACTGTTCAAATTAACTCAGAGAGAAAGCCTTTGCAAACCAACATATAAGACTATACAATCTGGTTCTCCTCATATGCCAACTTTCTTCTCTACTGTGGAAGTTGAGGGCATGGAATTTCACGGAAAAGGAGGTAGATCTAAAAAACAGGCTGAACAGGATGCTGCAAAGATTGCTTACATTGCCTTAAAAGAGTGTATGTTGATTTGTCCCTCTACAATGGCATCCATCTCCGATTTTCTTGTCATGCATAAGAACCATTTTCAGGAATTTTGATATATTGTATAAATTTGATCTCTATTCTTGTGTATCTTGAACAACTTGAAATTTTCATGTTTAGCATGATATTTTGTTAAAAATCTGTTTGTTCATAAAACTTTTGATATTATTGCATTGATGAGTTTTAAATGATGTACGAGCAGGTAAGCAACTGAGCATACATGCATGAAGATGTTGGATGAACATCCTAGACCAAATTCTACTTTTTTGTGAAGAACAAATATGAGTTTTAAAATAATTAAATCATATTTTGAAGACTTTCCACTCATTCTTTCAAATTTCTTCAAATTCCTTCTATGTACATAAATTATGACATCTGCTAGTGATCCTAAGCTGATTTAGTTAAAACAAGGTGGATTTTGCTTTGGTGCCTTAGGATGAGAAAATAATTTAAGGAAATCTATTGCTCCTTAACTATGTGTTGCATCATGTAGCAGAATATACATGAATATTAATATGTTTTGATAATATATGTCCTGCACAGGTGGAGTTAATATGTATGCTGCTTTTTCTTCCTTTCACATTGAAAATGATGCAATACAATCAATTTATAAATCAAGCATCACTAAAAGCAAGAAGAATCTCAAAGTTAACGGTTTATTTCTTTCAACTTCATTCACACCTTATCTCACTTATCAAACATTTCTTTGAATCATTATGTAACTTTTTAAAGTTGTACTTAAGACACTAACCATAGGCTATATTTATGGCTTTCTGTTCTAGTAGATGAACTTTTGGACGTAAACTTAAATGAGGTGTTACCTGCTAACGTGAAAGTCAGCAATGAAGTGCACAATCCATCTAATCTACAACGACCTGAGGAAGACATGATGAACAATAGGTGTGAATTAGTATTTAATTCTTCACCAAAATCATCACTTCTTTCACAAAGTGGTGTTTCTAAGACTCCGAAAACAAGTAGTTATCTGTTGAGTAACAGGTTCAAGGTCTATACATGTTTTCCAAATATTCCATTCCCTGAGGGAATTACATTGCTACCAATTAGTAACAATGAGTGGGTTGCAGTGAGCCTAGAATTCCCCAATGGTAAAGATCCTTGAGTTAGAGATAAACTTCATGACTTTGCTTTAAGTATAAAAAAAGAACTTAAATTTCACTTTATGTTGAGTAAAACTCTTGATGAATTATCTACAGTGTAGATATGATGCTATTAAAAATTTAAGCATGTCTTTTACAGAGTAAACACATATGGTGATACTGATGCTCATACACTATTTAGTTGACTACCATTCACACACTATTCTAACAAATGATAGCTATTTTTACAAGTTTATACGTGCACATAAAAATTTTGAGCTCAAAATTATGGATTTTCACTGTTGGGTTGGCCAAATAATAAACTGAAAGTTTATATGCGACTAAGTCTTAGTCCCAAGATTATGAACAGGTAAAAATCATATCATCTTACTAAAAAAAAATAGAATTTAAATTCATATTAAATAGCTTGCTACAAAGAAAATCTATGTTTGAGATATGCACCAATAACTCGAAACTTCATTAGCTGGAGTAGGTTTATTGCAAATCCCAGAAAAATTTTCATTGTGAGCACAGATATTGATTCCAATCCTGTTATTAGAGTTTACTGCAGAAAATGAAATTGGTAGATGCAATCTTTAGACCTTCATTTTGTACCACTGGAACCACATAATTCATCACATATCTAATTTACTTCTAAACAACTAGATGATATACATATTTGAACATACATTGAATTTTGATAAAGAGAAAGATCAATCAAATGAACATATTAGGTAATAAGTACTCAATAATATAAGAAAATCCAATTTATCTGTGACCAACTGTCATCTATTTGGACAGATCTAAAAAGACATTTAAGGGAGAAACAAAAATGTTAATAAACGTTTAACATGCACTAGATCTTTTTTATTTAAATATTATTATTAATTTAATTACCCAATAAAAAAGAGTATTTTATATATAAATTATTTAAAGTGGAGCGGCATAGACATTTTAAAGTGACAAAAGACTCCCTTCACAAGTAAAGGTGAGTTTTTTAGTTTCCTAAATTTTTCATTATTGTGAGAGAATTATATGTCATTAATCTCATCATATCTCTAAATTTAGTCCAATTTTTAGCAATGAATTAAATTTTCAAATAAAATCATAAAATAAATAATAAATATTAAAATTAAATATTAACATATAACTAAAAAAAATATAAAAAAAAACTAAATACTAAGAAGTTTTTTTACACAAATAAAATAAAAAGAAATTAATATTACATATATGCACCAAAATAAAATATTTTACACAAATGTCCTGCTTTAAATTTCATAAAAGTCGATTAAAACTAATTTCAGACACAAATACAAAAGTCGATTATAATTATTTTTGTGAAAGCTCAATGACGAAGTCGATTATATGTTACATGAGAGTCGATTATAATTGACTTTTGTGTTACAAAAGAGTCGATTATAATCGACTTCTATGTTATCCCTTTGATCTATATATATTGGCTTATAAAAAAAATTTAAATATCTTACCCAAATTAAAGAAAAATAATAATTTTAATTAAAATTTTTAATATTTTTGTATAATAATTTTATAAATTATTAAATGATATCAATATAAAAATAATATTCTAAAAGATATAAAATTAAAATTTCAAAGTACATAAAATTAAAATTCTAAAATACATAAAATTAAAATTTCAAAGTAGATAGTCCATAAAATATGTAAATCACTATTAGCATATGTGACTATGGGTAACGTATGTTGCATCTGGACTGCAAGGTGACTCCATGTTACGTCATTTGCGTGCAGATACACGTGCTAGTAGATATCAGTACCGTGATGAGGCTTATATATAAGCTGACATTCTGGCACATGATGTATAACCTGATGTAAATATAACTGTACAGCATACATCACACTAAGTATACCACCCGACACCCACATACCCCAGTCATCACTTCATATTAGGTCCTAGCCAACAGCAGTACATGGCTGGTCCTTCTCAGCACCAGTTCATACTGGGCCCTAGCCAACTATGTATGACCCTTAGCCAATATTTTATGGCAGGCTCTAGTCATCAGTTCATGTCAGATTCTAAGTTTACTCTCACTCCTATGCAACATTTTGTCATAGGTCTAGCGTAGAGTGATATTGCACGACATATCTTTCAATCCACCTTTTATGTTAGATGCTGAGGTTATGACTTGGCTAAATTCGACCAGTACAAGCATATCTATGCCACCACCAGATAATCTATATCGACCATCATCAATACATATCTAAACTCCCTCCTTTAATAGTTCAGCGGAGTAGGAGGAGCATCAAACGAATGTCCAACCGTAGGAAGCGGATGACCAATACATGCATGACCAAAGTCAACAAGAGAAGGAACATGCACATCACAGACCTACGACAAATTGTATATCGTCGTTGTGCTACAGCGAGTCACCTTGCTGGGCCCAAACGCAACAAACATGGCCCATAGTCATATATGTCGATAGTAATCTACATATTTTATAGACTATGTATTTTGAAATTCTAATTTTATGTACTTTAGAATTTTAATTTTATGTATTTTGAAATTTAAAATTTATGTCTTTTAGAATATTATTTTTATATTAATATCATTTAATAATTTATATAATTATTATACAAAAATATTAACAATTTTAATTAAAATTATTATTTTTCTTTAATTTAAGTAAGAAATTTAAAAAAATTATATAAGCCAGTATATATGAATCTTGATTCAAACTCACAAAGGGGTAACACAGAAATCGATTATAATCGACTCTCGTGTAACATAGAAGTCGATTGTTATAATCGACTTCTTCATTGAACTTTCAAAAATAATTATAATCAACTTCTGTACTCGAGTCTGAAATTAGTTTTAATCGACTTTTATTAAATTCAAATCAAAATATTTGTGTAAAATATTTTATTTCGGTGCATATATGTAATATTAATTTCTTTTTATTTTATTTGTGTAAAATACCCTCTAAGAAGGAATGAAATAGGTTACTTCAAAGCCCCACTATTTTGTATTTGTTAATGCAAAATCTTTTATTTTTAAAAGCTACTTAAATTGATTCGTATTTACGAGGATAATTCTATAAGTTTCTTTAGAATATGGTAAGGAATGAAAATAAATCAAATCACTGTCAGTAACTTGCGACCTAACTCGCATCTGGCGAAGGTCAAACCAGACCTATTTGACAAATAATAAATTAAGTCATTTTTTTAGAAAATTTATTTAGCCAAAAATATCAAATGTTAGATCATTCAAAAAGTCATTTAAACTTAACAAGTTAACTTATTTAAATAAATATAAATAATATAATGATGATAAAAATATTGTATTAAATGTTTATTATATATTTTATATGAAAAAAATAAATTAAATTATACTTTTTTTCGTAAAGTTTTAATTTAGTCCTTATTTTTTTAATTCAATTTTGTTCTTAAAATCACTTTTTGGTGTTAAAGTTTTTCTCCTAATTTTGATTCATCTTTTATTTTTTACTAATTCAAAAAATATTTTAGTGTTTGATAAAGATATAAGTACATAATGGAGATGGTTAATAATAAAAATTATAAATGTATGAGATTTGATAACGACAATAGTTTCACAATGATTGTTAAGTATTTACAATTTAAAAAAAAAGGAAAAATGGGTATTTGGTTAGAAATGAATTTTGGACAGTTAAACCAGTTTTTAGTAATAATATAACAATTTTGGATGATAAATTAACAATACAATGCATAGAATATATTTTCAAAATTTTGGTTAAATTAAAAGATAGAACAAAGTAATTACAAAATTATTTTATCCTAACAAATAACATAAAAGGAATTAATTGAATAAAAAAAATAAAAGAAAGATGTAAAATTTAAAGGACTAAAGTGAATAAAAAATTATAATATATAATTAAAAAATTACTTAATTATTAATTATAGAGAAAATAAAATTATAATTTTACCCAAAAAAAATTACTATTTATTTGGTACTATTTTCGTTTTGGTACTAAGCCAAAAAATTATCATTTACAAACAAATAAACATTATTAAGTGTTAAAATAATCTTTGTTAATATAATCTTTGTATAACAAAGAAATTATTAGTATTAATTTTAAATATTGATATTAACAAATAACTCATTATTATTTTTATTAACAAAGAAATTAAATATTTTTAATTAACTTATCAACTCTAAATTTGTAAGTAATTTTATCAAACATAACCTAAAATAAATTTATTGTCATTCAAATATCTATTGTAATTTTTTTAAAAATTATTTATATATTAAATATTTGTATTTGTAAATTTAAATTAATTATAATAATACTTAATGTTTCCTAAATAAAAAATAACATATTTATATTTTGAGTCTCGAAGGTAAAATATATATGAAGTGAGCTATGTATGTCGTTTCATGCACTCACTCTACATCCAACCCTCTTCACCTTCTTCCATTCACCAGCAACACCTACAATGGAACCATCACAAGACATCATTGAAGTTAAAGAAGAACTCATGGTTTCACCACTATCAGGTCAAAATCCAACTCACAAAACTGCTTATTTCATCAAACCATGCATGGAAGATTCAGCACGTAACCTCTTTCTTCTTCCTCGTTCCATGTTCTCTTGTGGACCAACCATTTTGACTTCCAAAAATGCAAAGCTACCACTGGATGTAAGATACAATGGATGGCTATATCCTCATGAAGAATGGAAAACATGGGTCCGACAAATGCAACAAAAGTATGAATATTTGTGGATAAAAGCTGGAATAGACCAAGCAATCAAAGCTTCTACTTATCAAATCCATAGGAATGATGGGTTGATTCTTGAGCTTGCAAAAAGATGGTGTTCAAAGACTAGCACTTTCATGTTTCCTTGGGGTGAAGCAACTATAACGTTGGAGGATATGAAGGTTTGTTGGGGCTATTCTGTTATGGGAGCTCCTATTTGTAGCACTCTTGTGAGTGATGAAGAAAAGGAAATAGAAAAAGAACTGATTGCAGTGAGAAAAATGTTTTTCAAGTCTACGGCCAAAAGGGCAGATCATACTCCATGGATGAAGCATTTCATGAAGAATGAAAGCCAAGTTGAGCATGAAGGGTTCTTGTCTTTGTGGTTGTCAAGGTTTGTTTTCCCTGCTAAATCATATAATTCCATGTTGAAAAGTGTTTTCCCTATTGCAATTCATCTAGCTAGAGGGACTCAAATAGCTCTTGCACCAGCTGTTCTAGCAAGCATTTATAGGGATTTGAGTTTGTTGAACAACAAAATAAGAAATGCCACAACAGGGGAGTTAGGGATTACTCTATGGGCTCCTTTTCAGTTGGTTCAAGTTTGGGCTTTAGAGAGATTTCCAGCACTGAAGATTCATCCTCGTGTAATTGAGCAAGGCCAATCCATAGTGGCCAAATGGCACAAAGTGAAAATGTCAAAAAATAAAAACTTGAAATTGATTTTTGACTCTTTCGAAACAAGAAATGGCTTTCTTTGGCGTCCGTACAAGAATTCTCCAACCCTTAAGATTTACAATGAAAAAGACAAGTGGGTATGCAATAATCTTGATTTAGATGATGAATTACAATCCTTCGCGCGCTGCTTGAGGGTCTCAGAGTTGGCAGGTATGGAGTGTATAGAACAGTATTGCCCAAATCGTGTTGCTATGCAATTTGGGATGGATCAAGACATTCCTGGTATGGTATTACATTGCAATGAGAATCCTTGGATAAGTTATGGCCAACCAGTGATAGATTCAAATTTTTATATTGCATTATGTGCCTCTCACCAGCCAAATGTTACTTCTAGGTACTATCATTGGTGGAAGCAATCAAATCCCAGCAAGGCAAGAGCCAAAAGAGACATATATGATTATTGTCTTGTAAGCAGCTCAGAATTGTTACCAAATTTTTTATCTAGGCAGGTAGAGGGTGAAGGGTGCTATGGCCCACCACCTGGTTTTGCTTCCAAGTATAAGAGAGATCAAACACAGGATTCTGATAAAGAGGATAAGTTGTCATCAATTATTGAATTGTCCAGTTCTTCTAGTAAAGTTAGATGCATTGATGATCAAGTTGAAAATGACAAGGCTTTATCTAGTCCTCAATCTGGTGTTTTTCCATCATCATGTGTTGAAGGAGCAAAAAGTTTCAAGGATGATGGAAATGAAGTCAATATTAAGAATTCATTATGGGATAGAAATGGTGCCAATAGCATGGAAGGGGAAGATGCTAGTCCTTGTACAGCATTAGCATCTAATCTTGAAAACCGGATTTGGAAGCTTGAAGAAGTGATTGCTAAGCTTAAAGCAGCAAAATTTGGCCCTAAAGTTCAAAATATTGGAGCAAGGGCAAAGCCATAGTACTCCTTGATTTCTAAATACAAACCAACCTTTTTTGTCACTAGGAACCAACTTCCTAAATCTGATGCTCCGTTTTTTTTGTTTTGGGGGGGGGTGCAACTTTATTTGTACTTGGAAATTAGCTGTAGGTTATATCAAAGATATCCGAATTTGTATCAGTTCATTGATATTTCTCTTTATCAAAGTAAGAATGTAGTTTGAAACTTGTGTTTCATCTTGTTAGTCAGAAGTTAATTTGATTTGTGCTGACTTACATGATGATACTGGCTGAAGAAAGAAAAAGCTGAAGATTTCAAGAGTTTTTATTTACTGTAATAAACTACTAAATTCGAATATTTACATTGACAGTAATTTCAAACACAAATCTATTTCCAATTCAAAATTTTTATGCTATTGTTTCAAGCCTCAGGTGAGGAACAGGGATTATCTATGTACAAACTTGTTGTGACTATCTGTCATCGTACCAAATTACAGATTTCATCGTTTTAAAGTTTAACTGCGTCCTTCTGTGCCTTGAGAGTATGGCTGGAAGGTAATTGAAGGAGGTGAGAATCGAAAAAGATACAATGGATGCTCTTAATATGTATAATGTTATTCTGGTCCTCATGGGTTTCTCTCTAAGCAAAATTTATAAGAGGTTTTTTATTGGATTTGTTCTACTTGAAGTAGTGCTTCTATATTTCATTATTATCTGCTATTGTTTTTATATTTTCTTATATTTTACATTTAAGTAGGGCAGATTGTTTTCATTTATTTGCTTCTAAACTTAGCATTTTTAAAAAAATACATTCAAAAGTGCAATGCATATGTCCTATAATTTCTATTACTTTAGGAGCTTCATTTATCATGTATTCTCTTATATGCAATAATTTGGTGCCATGCTTGTTGGTTTAGATGAGTGCATTTAGAATATAATTTATGCTTAAAGCTCACTTCCTGATTCAGTTTCAATTTTCTCTCATCTCTCCTTGATCATCTCCTCTTCTTAATTACTTATTCTGAGTTCTTTCATTTGGTTAAACAACGAAAATCTTTCTTCTTTATGTTTCTTTCATTTCTCTAATTAAATTCTATATGCATTCCTTCCTGAAACAGTTGCAGACAATGATCGAGTTTAAAAGTATCAAGTAATTGATTTTAGCTATCATAACAATGCAACTTGAATATATCTAATGTATGACTTATTAATTTATTTAAAATATAAAATCAGAGACTATAACATAAATAATTTAAAACTTGCACTAAATGTGTAATGTTTTTCACACTATCTATGTAAAAGAGCCCTAGAATTAATTTAGAAAGTTATTTTATGAGAAGAAAATTTTTTAAAATTGTTTATATATATATAATTAATAGTTTTGCATCATATATTAAATAATTACATAAGCATTTGTGTTTCATAATTATGTTTATTTAAAATGATATTGTGCTAGGTAATGCATTAAAATTAAGCTAAAGTATTTAGATGGTATAATAAACTAATTTTTATTTGGATTTCATGTTGAGGTAGGGATGGAAGAGGGAGGGAAGCGTCAATTATCACTAACCTTTATTTGAAAGTTAATTAAACTTGAAAGGAAGAGTTAAGCGGTTTCTCTAGCTCCCCAAAACCTTCTTAACGTTGCTTTGTTTTTTAGCTTTTGCATTTTAAAAAATTTTACTGGCTCATGTGAGTTTATCATTTATATTTTTATTTATTAGATTAAATATTTAGTATGGTTTAGAGTTAGAATAGTAAAAAAAATAACAAAAATCAAAAAGTGTTAGTTTTTAAGGTGAGATTTTTCCAAAATTATAAAAAATAGAAATAAAAATTTTAAAATATTAATTTTTAGAGAAAGAAAATTATTTAATTTTTATATTTTAAAAAAATAAAAAAATAAAATATATATGAATAAAAAATATAAAAAGATAATAATGTTAATTACATGTTAAACTCTTCATTATCCTTATCTCTCAATATTAAACATCTAAACAATGAAAGGATTTACTTCTCTTTTTCCTCTCATCTTTAAGTCCTTTAAACTATTAATTTTCTTTTTTTTTTTCAAACTTCCAAATAAAGTCTTAGTTCTTCCATTTTAAAAAAATTTCAATATTTCATGTGATGAAAGTTTTAGTGTTGCAGTAAATATAGCTACATTTGATTTTAGTCTTATAAAAGATTTTATTAACTTAATCCTCATAATTTTTTAAAAAAATTAACGTAGTTGTTACTAATAGCACATGTATTTAATTATGTCATGTCATTTGTCACTTTATAATAATCATTGATATATTATAAAAATAAAAATATATCTTTTTTAAAAAATTTAAATTTTATAAGAATCAAAATTAACAAAAAAAAAATATTGAGAACTAAAACTAAATATAGTCATAGAGATTAAAAATATAATTAGACCTCCTAAACTAAATAAACACAAACATATCAACTCTGATTATTCCTTAAATGGAACATGCTATTCACATAATAATATTTATTTAATAGTGCATCCTGATTTATAATTAAATTTTTACATGCTATTCAAGGCACTATATAGATATATTAAAAAAAAGGTGTGTGTTATGATATTTTAAAATTTTTTTATGGATATCGTATCCAAAAAATTTACACCAATAAAAAAAATATATAGTAAATTAAAAAAATATTATTATATATAATTTATTTAAAATTATATTATTTATATTATTTGCTACATAGTTCTATTATTATATATATATTTTATATTAAATTTTTTATTTTATTTTTATCATTTTTTTAAAAAAAATTAGTTTTAAATAAAATATAATTTATATTTAAGCAATTTTAATTTATTATAACATAATATATTAACATAATAATTAAATAATTAAATATTAATAATAATATAATTAAAAATATAAAAAATATATTAACATAATATTATTATTTTATTTTTAAATTTTAGTTTATTTAATTTTGATTATATTATAACTACTTTTTAACTTTCAAATATAGTAAATATAATAATTTATTATTAAATAAATTTATTATTTAAATATATATACTTAAATATTATTGGTTAGAAATTTTTTATGTACGGTACCTTTAAAATTTACCTAAAAAAATGGGATTGTTCTTTCATTCCAAAGTCTTTATACATGTAACTGAGGTAGATGGAAAGGACAAAACATATGTAGATATGTTCAACCATTCGAGGGAGTTAGCATTATTCTTTCTGAGTTGGATTCATAATGAGACATCCTCTATTAGGTGGAATCACGTGGCCCAAGACATGTGTTAAATCCTAATTGTTGTAAGTGTAACAGATAGATTTTAGGCAACAAGAGCCATAGTTAAACATGAATAACTCACTTTGGCTATTTCTGGTTTGGCTTATTTGACCAAGTCTTCACATCCATCCCAACTTCATATACCTTGAAGAAAAGGAAGCACAAGAACCCATGTAAGAGATTTCAAAGATTCTCAGAATCTAGAATATCTTGGTATTTTTCAAGACAAGACAAGGTTTAGATTAAGAACATCGAAACAATATTTTAAGGCACTCGTGGAGTTGTGCATAAGGTTGATAGAACATTGGATTATAGGGTAACATTTGCATACTTATCAAAGAAGGATTTGGAAATCCAATAAAGGAAGCTTTGAAATTTTGTAAATTTGGGGTTTGATCAGATGAAATTGTAGGAGTGGAAAATGAGTTGCTTTTCATGTTGTACGTCCCAAGAGAGGATCAACAAAAAGTCATTGAAGAAAAGCGTTAAGGAATGTCATGAAGCAAAAGCTCTAGCTTCATTTGGCAACATCTCTTTAAAAACAGGTACATTTCCCAACTTCAATGATAATTTTCCTCATGGTTACACAATTTTTTTCTCCAACTCCTATTTGGATGTGGGGTTCTGAATTGTAGGTTCCTCATCATTGAATTGTATGATTTACAAGCCAAAATTCTGTAATTTAATGTATCATCTCGAGCTAATGTTGTTTTAATTATAATCATTTGCTGGTACTATTCTAATTCTCTAAATATTGAGGTCTAACTTGAAAATATATGTAATGTTAGTACAATCACGATTTCAATGTCATCAACTCTTATTTTTTCTGGTGCATAGATTTCATAAACTTTATTCTTATAGCAACTAGTATGAGGAGAGAAGGAAAAAATTGCAAATCTTAAGTACTAAACTTTGTCAAATATAAATACTAGTGCTGAAAGTTTGAACAAATTTTATCTTGTAGATAGTGGGAAGAAAAAGTTCATAGCAGAAGAGATAACAAAGCTTGGTAAAGGAAATATTACCTCAAAGAATTTTTCTTACCGTGAATTATGTGCTGCAACTCAAAACTTTCACCCTGCCAATATGATTGGTGAAGGAGGCTTTGGGAGGGTATACAAAGGACACCTTAAAGACACAAATCAAGTATTACTTCAACTTCTCTTTTGAATATTATGTTTAAGGAAGAAGTTTATTCAGGTTGTAAGTAACCTTCTAACTTCCAAGTGTTGTGTCACATGCAGGTTGTTGCTGTGAAGCAACTTGACAGGAATGGATTTCAAGGGAACAGGGAATTTCTTGTAGAGGTTTTGATTTTGAGTCTTTTGCACCACCCTAACCTTGTCAACTTGGTAGGGTATTGTGCTGAAGGGGATCAGAGGATTTTGGTGTATGAATACATGGTCAATGGTTCTTTAGAAGATCACTTACTTGGTAAGTAAATCATAAATGTACTTATGCAAAGTTAGAATGACATCCAATTTAAGTATCCAATTTAACAAATGGAATGATTAAAGAACAAAACTTAAGTGCAGTTTTTCAAGTGCTGTCGGTACTGCTTATCAATCAAAATTAGAAATTTAATTTGATAATATGCGTTGACATTAAATGTGAATTATTGCTCAAAATAAAACTTCAATTTTAATTGGTAAACTGCACTAACAATACTTTAAAAATTACATATAAATTTTGACCATAATTAAACTAAGATTAAGGAGCAATATAATATGAGCACAACGGGTCATCATCATGGTAGTTTACAACCTGTTTGGCTTGAAGAAAACATTTTCAGTTTTCATTTCCTATTTCCAGAAGTAATTAGAAAACTATCACACTATTTTTTCTCTGTTTCCTATTTTTCAAATATTTATACATCTTATGTCATTATTTAATAATTATAATCTAAATGTTATCTGAACGAACAAAATGATTTTCAGAATTAACTCCAGAAAGAAAGCCTTTGGACTGGCACACCAGAATGAAAATTGCTGTAGGTGCAGCAAAAGGACTTGAATATTTGCATGAAGTAGCAGACCCACCTGTGATATACCGAGATTTCAAAGCATCAAACATACTACTAGATGAAAACTTTAATCCAAAGCTCTCTGATTTTGGACTTGCAAAGCTTGGTCCAACTGGAGATAAAACACATGTATCCACCAGGGTGATGGGAACATATGGCTATTGTGCTCCTGAGTATGCATCAACAGGTCAATTGACTACAAGATCAGATGTGTACAGTTTTGGAGTAGTCTTTTTGGAGATGATCACAGGAAGAAGAGTGATTGACAATTCAAGAGTATCAGAAGAGCAAAATTTAGTCATTTGGGTATGTCTTGAAACTTCCTCTGTCTACCAAAAATCATTGCATTTCTCGAGTGAAAAATGATTCTTCTGTGAAAAATGTTTGTTTCACATCACATTTAGGTACACTTCATTCTCACCTTTTTTTAAAATTTCAAATTATTTGACACAGACAAAAGAAAGAGAACAACAAAATAGATTTTTTGTCAATGGGGTAGATAAACAAAAAATCAACTTGTAGCATGTTTGATAGTAATTGTTTTAGTAGAAATTATGGCTTATTTTTCAAGTGCTTCTCAAGAATAAACGATTATTTATCTAAAATAGGATGAATCAAACACATACTTATTCTTAATTTCTACACCTACCTTAAGCCAGAAAAAGAAACGATTATTTCTAGACTTATTATGTCATATCATTTATTATATCTATCACATAATCTATTTTTCCTTTTTGTTTATCTTTTCCCTACCAAAATGTATACACCAACAAGGGATGTGAAGAAAATTATTTTTTAAAAAGAAAAAGTGTAGTGAAATAACCAGGATTCTTGTTCTTTCCAGGCACAACCACTCCTCAAAGACAGAAGAAAATTTACACAAATGGCTGATCCATTGCTAGAAGAAAAGTATCCTATAAAAAGTCTATACCAAGCTCTAGCAGTAGCAGCAATGTGTCTCCAAGAAGAAGCTGAAACCCGACCTTTGATCAGTGATGTAGTTACAGCTATTGAATTTTTAGCAAGGAAGAAAGTAGAAGTGGATGAAGATGAACTACACTCTATAAAAGAAACTTCTCCTGAGAATGGAGATAGCAGTGAAAACAGTGAATCTGATGTTGTAGATAATGATGACAATGATGATGATAATGAAAACGATGAGGATGAAGAAGAGAAAGAGAACACTAAGAAAAAGGAGGAGAAGAATGGTGATGATATCAACAACAAAGAATAGGGAATGGAAAATGTTACTTCAAATGTCAACATTCATTTTCCTCTAACAGTGCATGGTTGAAGAACTTTTTCTCACTGTGTGTTCTCCAAGTGGTTAACAATGAAAATGAAACCATGCATGGCTGTTAAGTTGAAATTTCAACAGCTACTTGTCAATCATAATTGACGACATGCCATTCAATTTTTTGAGTTACATGCTATGATCCGTTTATTTTAAGATCATGAAAGAATTAATTTAAAAACAAATTGATACATTAATTAAAAAGAATCAACATTTTTATTTCAACCAAGTATCCATTGATATATATTAAAAGTTTCTGTTAATTCGTGTTTTTAAAGTCAAATAATAAAATTAATTTTAAAAAAATGTATTGAAATGATTAAAAAAATACGAAAAAAGTACATTTTACATTATCTAATAAAGAAACCTTAGTTTTAATATCTCATTAGTTAGTATTATCCATATATTAAACACGTTTTAAATAATAAATATTAAAATTTATAAAGAATGTAAGAAACAAATTAATGTTAGTGTAACAATGTGAGTTTAACTTTAATTTAACTATTATTGTAATTGTATTATTATTAAGATAGATTGGTGCAAGTATTTATAATTTAAATGAAATGAAATGAAATCATTTTTATTCTTAAAAATAAGATTTTATTGGATGATATTGGTATTTTTAAAAACCTTTAATGGCCATGTTGAGATCTTCATGATTAAAGACATATTTTAGTGGTTTTCTAAATAGGTTGACTGTTTATAGTAATTTACTCGTAGAACTATTATAGAAGTTTTAATTTTAAAAAATAAAAATGTTTCTCCCAAAAGAATTTTTTAATAAAAACTATTATTTATTGAAGAGTGTTAATCATAATTCACGCTACAAACTTTGGAATTGAATTATTTTAAAACAAGATTAGAGTACATATGTTGAACTTCAATTTAGACTACAGAGTCACTTAAAAAATTCATATATAACTTGAGTTATAAATGAGAGGTAATTGAATAAAAAATTAAACAATTAGAACAGAGTATGAAAATGAAAGAAGATAAGGATGCCATAATTTGAAATTTTGATCGGTCAAAATAAAGAATAGAGATTCTTGACAAATTGAAGTTCAATCTAAAATTCTCATTCAAAATTTGAGTTGTTTTTTTCTTTTTTTCCAAAAACCCTAGATATATTGATCAGCTAAGCAGTTGTTCCTCCAAAGTCAAAAATGTAATACTGAAGACTTAAATGGTAATTGTTCTCTCTATGTATATTTTTAAGTACAAATTTTTAAATGACAATATTTTGAAGTTTTTTTTTTATAAAAACACTTTCAAAAATTAATTTGTTTTCTTGTCTTGTCTGATAATTTTTTTCTACACTATTTATTTTTAAATTTAATATTAACTTACATTTTGATTAAGTATAAATTGTATTATTATTAAGATAGATTTGTGCTAGTATATATAATTTAAATAAAATGAAATAATCTTTATTCTTAAAAATAAGATTTTTTATAATGATATTCTTAGAATTAGTAAATTTCAAGAAAATCTTTATAAGAGAAACAATGATATAAAAATAAAAATTTTTTTTATAAATTAGGAATAACTTTTAGTTTTTTATTTCCTAAGAAGTTCTTTTATTGAGGAAATGAATTTTTATAATTTATAAAAAAAATTATTCATTTTTTATACTAATTTTTTTCTTATAATTTTTTAAATATATTTAATTAGTTTTTCATATTAAAATTACTGGTAGGTTGACTATCTATGGTAATTTACTCGTGGAACTATTATAGAAGTTTTAATTTTAAAAAATAAAAATGTGTAGCTCATAAGATTTTTTTTAAGATAAAAACCAATATAATATGTTAAATTTATTTATATAAAATTTTTAATAAGTATTTATAAAAAATAAAAATAGAATAAATAAAAAATCTCATATAAGTTAACATCAACTTATGTTCTATATTTTTATAAAACATTTTATTTAATTTTTCCAAAAGGTAAAGTGAGCATTACCTTTGTATTTTTTAAAAAAGTTTTTATCTAAAATTTTATTTAAACTAGACCATTATATAACCCGTTACATAATAAATTACTATAATTAATAAATTATTTGTGTATTGTATGATTATTATTAAATTGATTTTTTTAAAATAAAATTTTAAAATATATTAATTAATTAATTTAAATTTTAAATAAATTTATCCTTAGTAATAAATATTTTATTACAATAAATAGGATTAAATTAAATAAATAAAATTTCTAAGATTAAAAATGAACTATGAAAAATAATAAAATTATAATTAAGTTAAAAATATATAAATATTAAAAACTCAAAAGGTAATTGACCTCTCTGTATATATTTTTAAGTATAAATTTTTAAATGAAAATGTTTCGAAGGGTTTGAAATGAAAATACTTTCTTTTTCTTATTATGTCAAATAATATTTTTTACAGTAAGCATTTATTTTTTAATTTAATGAATTTAAATTTTGAGTTTTTTATACTTTATTTTTAAATTTAAATATATCTCCCTGTAAAATTTATTTTTTATTTAATATAATAAAATATTTATTATTAATAATTGTAATATTTTTAATTTTTAATTTTATTAAATTTTATAATAATCATCTAATATATTTTAATTATTTATTTAAAAAATTATTTTAATTTAATAATGTTCATAAGGTGTACAAAATATTACCAATAACTTTTTAAAACACTTTCATTAAGATAATTCTTTAAAGTATTTTCATTTAAAAATAATAATTAACATCTAATTATCATTTAAGATTCTTTACTACAATGATTCAAATTTGCCGTTATACATTTTTTATAATGCTTACTTATAGTGATAAAAATTATTATTATAGAATATTTTGAATCGTTAAAAAATTTCTATTTTGTAATAGTATGGCATCCAAATTAATTTAAAAAATGAAAATATCTTATTTTTAATATATATTAAAGATATCTCTCAATTAACAATTTAAGATGATTTTTTTCCAAGTATAAATATTTTAAAAGTTTTTTTTTTTAGCAAAATTATAAATCTGAACCAATATCTTTAAGAGACTTAATTATTTATTAACTGTACTAAACTTTATTAATAACATAAGATTCATACCCCTCATGGCCCTAAAAAAATCATATAACTAATAACCTAAGATTCAATACTGAATTATCAAAGGAACAAAATGGCCAAGCCCGACTCTGTAACAAGAAGGCTTATACACCAGACAATACATAACTCAGCATCAAGCAACACCCTAACCTAATCCGCACGTTTTTGTCCCTTAAACAATTGACTATTCAAAAAAACAACATAAAAGACAAGCCCTTTTACTATGTTTTTCATTTTTCTTTTTAATATTTTTATTCCTCTTCATTCTCCATTTTGTACTTGCATGAATTTTCAAAGTGCCAGGGTTTATGACCTCTCTTCTCCTTCTAATCCCTCTCTTCCTCTCTCTTATTATTACCCTCCAATGGCCTCACTTTGCACTGCCTCACTCACAGAATGCACCTGTGTTGATACTGAAATAAGGCCTTGACCCACCTTTCATACTTACCCTTTTTGCCACTGCCCTTTTTGTCTCCCAACTCTGGCACACACAAAGCTTGGGAGGCTTGCAGCCATGGGGGTCTCTTCTCAGAGCACCCCTTTTAGACCTTCTTACTATTGCCCCTCTTGTTCCCGCCCCTTTCGTGTTGCTCTCTCTTCTTGGTCCCTTTTGTCTCCACCCCACCCCAGGTTCTTTCTCCTTCAAAGTTTTCATCTTTTCTTCATTGGGTGTTTCTTTCACCTTTGCCCTTCTCTTAAATCCCTCTCCTTTCGTGATTATCGAAAAAGGCTCTGTGAGGTGTTGGGAATTTTTGGTGAAATGTTGAATTGTTTTTGGTTGTTTGTTAGTAATGTGTGTATGCTCACTGTGTTGTTTTGTTTTAGTGATTGACTTTGTTGAATGGCTTGGAGAATATGATTTGCTGTGGACTACTGTTGAGCTGAACTGTCTTGTTCTTTGGTAGCTTTGGTTTCTCTTTGCATTTTATCTTTTATTAGTGTCAATGATGCATTTAAATATATGAATTTTGAAGTATAAGTTTTGTTTCATTTGTTCTTTGTGGTATTTTGTGAGGTCTCTAATTACTACTGCTGTTTTTAAAGGCGTAGAAATGGTTTGATTTTATAGTGAAGTATGGAAGGATTTTGCCTGGAATGTATTTGTATGTGCCTGTTAGTAGTATGTTGAAAAAATTCTTTTAGGGGTTTTCGTTTAAGGTTGTACATTGTAACTGCGTAATTGTAATGTTTAGTTTATGGATGGTTGGACAAGATTTTCACTCATAACTTGAGGATTCAGGGTATTAGGATTTGACATGATTTGAGCAAAAGGTAAAAAAGGCTCGAGGATATATAGTAGCTGTTGCACTGCAAGCCACAAAGGGACTGTAAAGTTCACACAGATTTATGGTTGCTGGTTGACTTGATATTTATGTTAATAATCGTTTTCAAAGTTGTTAGTTGCTTAACTTCTAACTAGTGATTAAAAAAAATCAGCATTGAATGGCAAGTTGATAAAAGGTGAAGGGTAAGTTGTAAATCATGAAGGGATATGTAAATGATGTTGCTGCAGTTCTGTGGTCTTCCTATTGTTTTCTCTTCTGCACATTTTGGTATTTTTATTTCGAAATCATTATTTTGTATTACTCTTCAAACAAAGGGTAGGCTTAAATTGTTTTTTCTGTTAATCATTGACTTTTATAGTGTAAAGATCCACAGTTGCACAAATGATATACTGGATGGTGGAAATATTCTATTATTATTACTCATGAAATATGTATTATTTTATCTTACATGACGTAAGTTTTTTATTTTTCTTTGGCTAGTGCATGGCTGGATAGTCTTGTTTGCCCTAGGTGATTGTTCTTGTATTGCATCTTCTATATGCCAAAAGTGAAAAGTTAAATATGCTGTTACATATTCCATTGATTACCTTTCTATATATATATATATATTTAAACTTTTTGCATGATATGTAACAGGGGAAGAAAAATCCTAACAATCCAGACTGCCAACCATGTCCTTCAACGTAGCACATTGTCTAGTAATTCTGTTCAATTCAGAGAAGGTTTATACTGTCCAAAGAGAACGTCTTTTGGGTTGAATAAATGTAATGACATGGAGTATAGCCGTATATCCCCAGTACATATTTCAGTTATGAAATTTTCAAATGTGTCATATGGCATGTTGGAGGAAATGACACATGAAGAGCTGGGTTCATTACGTTCCAGTAATAGACAAGTAAGGATGGTGGGTTGGGCTCCTCAAAATTTTGGATTGCCCAGAACCTCTGCTAATAAAAAATGTGGGAATGAAAGAGACTGGGTTAAGGAAAGTATTAAATTGTCTGAAAGAAAAAAGAATATGCATGCTCTGAGTAAGTGCAGTGTTGCATCTAATACAATTACTTCCACTGGTCAGGAACAAGCTGTTTCTGTGAATGGGGGGCACAATCTTGTGCAACAGGATCTTGGTGAACCTGCCTCATCTTCAGTCAAACATTCTATATTAAACAACTCAAACATGTTGATAGACACTAAAAGGGTGGGCACCCAGTTAAATGTACCTTCATTAGAGATCTGTAAAGAGAAAGTTGATAGAGTTAATGGCAATCACAGTTCGGGTACAACTGCAAAGGATGCAACTAATGCAACATCTGTTAAAAAGACACGTAGTAGGGAGGAACAATCAAAACTTTGTGACAGGCTTTGTAGTATCTATGAAGATGTATTGGTTGTTAATGATATTTCTCTTGCAGAGAAAGTTGCTAAGATGCTTACAGTAAATTACAGGCATCTTATTCATGCATGTGATACTGAGGTATAATTTTTTACCGTGTTAACTTGTATTATGGTTGTGCCTTGGTTGCAACATTGTACAACTAGATTCTTTTTCTAATAAGTATCCTTTGAACATGCGTTCAGTGGTTTTGTCCTTAACTCATACAAATTGAAAAGATATATTATTCTCATAACCCTTTCTTCAATTGCTTGCACATTAACAGCTATATAAATTTGAATCTTTTGGCTACTTGTATTTCTTAAATGTTGAATATGTAATATGTGCCAATTTTTAATGTCTTCAAAGGTGGCAAAGATAAATGTCAAACAAGAAACACCTGTAGATCATGGGGAAATAATATGTTTTAGTATTTATTCGGGGCCAGAGGCTGATTTTGGAGGTGGAAAGTCCTGTATTTGGGTAGATGTTCTTGATGGTGGAGGCAAAGAGATCATGAATAAGTTTGCTAGATTTTTTCAAGATTCATCCATCAAAAAGGTAACCTTATCTTTCTTCTGACTGTTTTTATGTTGTATCCTATTACTAATCTGGATGTACACAAAATAAAATAGTCCTATGCGCCATGCTTCAAGCACAAATATAAACCTTTGACTACTTGTTAGCTTGAACTTTTGGATTGGTCGTTGACTAATATCATAGTAATCGTGATGTGACAATCTGCTATGTGCTAGTCTTAAATTATCCTTGGATAATCTAGATGTATATAAAGACATCCATATTCCTTTCCAATGTGTTTAGGGGTAGGATTAGCAATTTAATTTGTTCTTTAGTGTCATATTAATACTTGATTGTAATCAGTGCTGAAAGCCTGATACTTGAAATTAATTTTTACCTGGTGGAAAATAATTGGCAGGTACATGTTTTATGTCCAGAACAAAGAATTTGCATCTTTTAGAGGAGCAATATTTGTTAAAGTTGGTTGTTTAAGGCAGTTTGATGTTCTTATTTCATTTTGTTGTAACTTAAACAGGGAAGAGTCACACATTTTTCAGTGTGTCACATATTATTTCTGCCTATCTCTAGTCTCTTTTATCTAAAGGCAGCTTCTACTGGAATATATACCAACTACCGAACCTGGCATGTTTATTTTGGTATTATTTTGTGAGGTCCATCGGAGGTTTAGAAATTACACAAGGGGAGGGTTGTAAAATGCTAGTACAATGCACATAGATCTCACAGGGTACTTGCCAGTAAATATGTGAGCAAAACTTAAAAGAGATATAGAGAGACAGAGATGAACTATAACAGCTTTCTTTGAGGGAATGAACAAAACTCTAGGAATTCTATAAAATGACTAGAATATCATCTTCTGTGTTGTATTATTTACTTGGTGAATGTTTACTTCATATATTTCTATGCTTAGTTCCTCTTACTCTAACGCAAGCACATAATGGTTATGATATGGATTGTCTTACAGTTATGTTGGATACATCTAAACTTAGTATAATAAATATTTTCCTTTTCATTCCTTAATCTCTGAATATTGCATGCCCTTGTATGTCTCCCATAATAGAAACCTACAAATCCCCTCTTAATTAGTGATTGATCCTCTCTATGGTGCATGTGAGTAATGTCTAACATTTGGGTTTTGTCTATGCCTTACAAGTATCCACCCCTTATTCTCCTGCAACAAACTAAATAATTGGTGAAAGAATTGTTTGTTTATACTTTATACAGGAGGCTGATAGAACTGAATCAAAATATAGAAAAGAAATTGAAAGATTATTGATAGAAACCTCTGCCCTTGACCTGTATGGCCGTGACACAAGAACGTAGATGAGGAAATTTGAACCACAGTCTCCTCCAAGTGCTTGAGAGACTTGTGCACTTCCTCCCAATTCCACACCAAAACCAAAAAATCTCTTTTCTTTCCTTACTATTTATTTATACTGTCTCATCACTTCCTTTCTAATTAGGTAATATAGATTTGGCCCCTCTTTTTAGTGAAGTATTTGTCAGTGATGTCATTCCATCAGGTGTGGCAAAATAATGACCCTTTTCTTTATACTTTTTTTTAAAAATTATTTTAATTAAAAACGATTTATTTTAAAAAAAATTAGATTTAGCAAAAAGAAAAAGAAACTGAAAAAATCAGTTTTATGTTTTTCTCAATAACTAAAAATGGTAGCTTCTGTAAAAAAAGGTTTAAAAAAAAGTATATAATACTCAGTTTAAAAGCTTTTCCAATCACATAGTTCTAGCTTCATCTTCATAAACTCATATTTGCTTCATATTACTGGGTTTGTGTGATGTGATTAAAATTAAGTTTTGAAATAAAGTCACTGGTGCCTTCTGTAGGTCTGGCATAACTATAGCTTTGACTGCCATGTTATACAAAACTATGGATTTAAAGTTTCTGGATTTCATGCTGATACAATGCATATGGCAAGACTATGGGATTCATCAAGACGTTGGGTTGGTGGTTATTCTCTTGAAGCACTCACAGGTGACAGAGAGGTCATGTCTAAGGCTAAGCTGGACCATGAAAAGGATTTGATTGGTAAAGTGTCAATGACAACTATATTTGGTCAGAAAAAGGTGAAGAAAGATGGATCTGAGGGTAAAATGATCACCATTGCTCCTGTTGAAGTGCTGCAAAGAGATGAGCGTATACCTTGGATATGTTACTCTGTCTTAGATGCTAGAAGCACTCTGAAGCTTTATGAGAGCCTAAAGAGTCATCTGTCAGGTATGCCCTGGAATCTTGATGGAGTACGTGTTTTACACAAAAACATGTATGATTTCTACCAGGAATATTGGCAGCCATTTGGAGAGCTTCTGGTCAAAATGGAATCTGAGGGAATGCTAGTTGATCAGTTATATCTTAAAGAGATAGAAAAGGTGGCCAAAGCAGAGCAAGAGGCAGCTGTTAATAGATTTCGAAAATGGGCATCTAGGTATTGTCCTGATGCCAAGCATATGAATGTTGGAAGTGATGCACAGTTGCGTGTACTGCTCTTTGGTGGCACTGTGAACAGGTACACATTGTTTAAATCTTGTGTGGAGCATTTGTTTCTACTTTAACAAACTGATAATTTTGAAGTTGCGGTAGGTACCATGGAATCTTTTACGGAAATATGCTATGTAAAAAGATAGAGACATATTACATATGATAAGAACCTTGAGAGAACCACACCATAAAGCTAGCCATTGTAGTTAAATAGTTGGAGAGCCTAAGGCCTTATAAACTCCACATTAGTGTTATCGGCAATTTTATATTGTATGTTGAAACAATTCAACGGTAAGAGTACTGGTTCTTATGCTCTTTGAAGTGTAACTTGTCATTTTCATGGAACTTTGATGGCCAGATCATTGTGTTATATTCTCTTTATTGCTATAGAGTATTCCATAGGATAAAAAAGGTTCTTAACTTCTAGTTTTTATTGCTTGATTGTGACATTTCAAGATACTCCTAATACTATTTTGCTTGGTATGATGTCACCAGTCATAAATTTTTTGGTTTTTCATTTTTAAAGAATTTGATATTTTTATTCAGTGTCAATCATAATATGGCTGACCTTGATATTTTTAACCCATTCTGCTGGAGGGGTGAAGGATTTTGAACTTCTAGGGTTAGGCTTAGGGATAGGGTCTATTCTATTTGTATCAATATGGGAATCATTTAAGTATAATGTATCCATGATTCTTAACCCTTTGATATTTTGTATGTTGTTCTAGCTTAGCTCACAAAGGGGGAAAAAGTTACAATTCCATTTAAGAAACATTATTCTCTGTTGTTTACGCGAAGTTGTCCTAGTATATAATATATACTATATAGATAGAAGTAAAGTTTTCATTGTCCCCTGTTTATTCTTATTCATTACAGAAAAAACCATAATGAGGTAATTCCAACCGAGCGGATTTTCAAAATTCCCAATCTTGATAAAGTGATTGAAGAAGGGAAAAAGGCGCCCACAAAATTTCGTGATATCAAGATGAATAGCATTGGATATAACCTAAATGTTGAGACGTACACGGCAAGTGGTTGGCCCTCAGTTAGTGGTGATGCTTTAAAAATCCTGGCGGGCAAAGTTTCTGCTGAATATGACTTCAATGAGGAATGTGACTTGGATCTTGAAGATGAAGATGGAAATCCTCCTCAAAATGAAGTTGCACCTGTTGAAATAGACAATTCTGCTTATGGAACAGCTTTAAATGCTTTTCCAACATATGAAGAAGGGAGAGAAGCTTGTCATGCAATTGCCGCACTATGTGAAGTCTGTTCAATCGATTCTTTGATCTCTAATTTCATCCTTCCCTTGCAGGTAGTCATTCTTCTCTGAAAAATTTTATTTTGAATTATATCCCTTTTCTGGTTGTGTTTATTGATTTCATACTGCCCCTGTAAAATTTGCTTACCCAGTGTGATTGGCATTAATAGTGTTTGTCATAAGTGCAATATAAACACAGTCAAGGCTAGTTTTTGTTTGTGTGAGGATGGAATTAGGAGCACTTGATTAATCCAGTGGCTGCATGAACTTAAAGGAGGTTGTTAGTATAATATAGATTATGTATACATATTTAAGTTTGTTATGATTCGGTTGTTTTGTGATTGTGTATGCTCTATGTTAGCTTCTTGTTCTCAATGGCAGGGACATAATATATCAGGAAAGGATCAGCGTGTTCATTGTTCCATAAATATCAACACAGAGACAGGACGCTTGTCAGCAAGAAGGCCAAATCTGCAGGTTCTTTTAATTTGCAAGCTTATTAGCTGTTGCCTGTTGGTTTACATGAAATTTTTTAAATTTCATATTTTCCTTTCCTTCATCTGTATATGTTTATTGACTGATGATGATATGATTCCATCTTTTTGTTATGTGTCTTCACTTTATAACTGAAGCTTTTAGAAGAGTTGATTATTGATTTGATATCAAAGCCTTTGTTGACCAAGTGGTCTTAAATTTGATCATAGTTGCTCTCATTTTTCTAAATAAAAGGTTACTTTTTAGCCCAAGGTAGGTTTGGCCTATGCATTGTCCAACATCACTCAAGCTCAAAGGCCTCTTATATGACAGGCCAAGTTACATATATAATTATTTGTGTGCCCTTACCTATTAGCTTAAGCTAGTCAGTTCTTGACAATGCTAAGTTCTTAAGGTACTAAAATGATTTTATAATAATAGTTGTTGAGCAACTCACTTATTGATAAAACACTAAATATCCAAACAATTATTATTGATATGAAATAAAAGCTTAATTTAAGATTATTGTTTTAGATAATAACATGAGCCAACATCTTCCCCATTGACTGAAGTTATTTCATGACCTTTTTCTCATTTTGAGAAAATTTCTTTATCCTCCCTGCATGAATCAACAGTTAAGTTTAAGCTGTTAGGTGAAGATACATAATTGCTTAATGCATGCACACGCACACTCATACAAGAGCCATTTGGGCTTGAAGCGTGGAAAATGCTTTAGCCCACCTTGTGCTGAAATTCAACTTTTTATTAGAAGATGAGGGCAACAAAGATCAAACTCTCAAGTCTCAACCACTTGGTCATAGAGACTCTAATACCATGTCATGGACCATCTCAAACGCTTAAACTGTTAGGTGAAGACTGAAGACACATGAATGATTTTATACACTAGCAATTTTATGATAAAAGAAAAGACAACTCACTAAACTCTTTTTTTTTTCTTTTTTTTTGTATTAACACATCTTCCTTCCTCATACAGAATAATGTATTCATTTAATTTGGATTTGGAAGAGGATGGGGAGTACAAGTCTTAACATATAACTTTCAACTAGAAACATTCATTTTCTTTTCTAATTTCTCCTTGGTCTTGATGCATTATCTCTTAAATTTTTTACAATCATTTGAGCTTAATGTTAGTTACACTGCATTATGAATTTAAGTGATTTTTAATTTGAACTTTGAAATTCAAATACGAGTATTAGATGGATTAGATTAAAATCATTGGCTTTAAAAACGTTACAGATTTAATCTAACATATAATTCATAAATTAGAATCAACCTGCTTTGGAAAAGGACCGGTACAAAATCCGTCAAGCATTTATAGCTGCTCCAGGGAATTCTCTTATAGTTGCTGATTATGGACAGGTTAGCAATCTACTTATCTAGCCGATTGAATTAGTTGCAAGAAATTTCATTCTCTTGATGGAGTTTCATATTGTTACAGTTGGAACTTAGAATTCTTGCACATCTTGCTAATTGTAAGAGCATGTTGGAAGCCTTTGAAGCTGGTGGAGATTTTCATTCAAGAACTGCAATGAATATGTACCCATTTATTCGTGAAGCAGTTGAGAAAAAAGAAGTTCTTCTTGAGTGGCATGCTCAGCCTGGTGAAGACAAACCCCCAGTTCCTCTCCTGAAGGTAAATTGTAAATTGTCGTCTGGTGAAGACAAACCCCCAGTTCCTCTCCTGATCATAACACCTGCTCTGAGATACACAAGTATATCTTGTTAATTTGGCATATTTTGTAATCTATTGTATGTCAATTAGGAAGATAAAGCTTTTTGTTCACATTGAATCCCACCCCTCACTCATCCCCAAAAAAGTGAAAGAATGGTTTCCAGGAATTGGCTGCCAGCTGATGTACCTCAGTTATCAAGAAAAGTTATAGAGGAAATAAATTCTCTGCTAGAAAGATAGTAGCAACAATGGTTTGATGAATGTTAAATTGAGAGGAGAGATACTTAAAAAATTGAACAAAGTCCCAGAATTCAAGAACTTATCGCTGGAAATAAGGGGCAGTGCCGCAAACACTGATGTACATTGATAAAAGTAAGCCTGCCAATGTGAGGCTTAATTAAGCTTCTTTTAGCAGCTTAGCATTGTTATATTATGCCCTCCCAACCCAAGGTAAATGCTCCCTACAATTTTATTGTAATAACAACTTACGAGGACACAGGCACAGTACTTAGTAAATTTAAAGTCAAGATTAGGCAAAAATATAGACAGCTGTTCCATATAAACTGTGTATAATATTTCATGTCAATTTTTAACTTCCCTTTTTCATTTCAGGATGCCTTTGCTTCTGAAAGAAGGAAAGCCAAAATGCTTAACTTCTCAATTGCATATGGAAAAACTCCAGTTGGGCTTTCCAAGGATTGGAAGGTACCCTGAATTCTATAACTTATTGTTGAGGGCTTGAATATGTTACAAGTCCCCTTGATTATTGATTTGGTTATCAAAATAAGGTTACATGTATTTTTCGCTCAGGTTTCTGTTAAAGAAGCTAAAAGAACAGTTGACCTTTGGTATAATGATAGAAAAGAGGTGCTTATATGGCAAGAGGAACGCAAAAAAGAAGCTTGCGAATCTCAATGTGTTCACACATTGCTAGGACGAGCCCGGCGGTTTCCTAAAATAGACCCAGCTTACAGCTACCAGAAAGGTCATATTGAGCGAGCTGCTATTAATACTCCAGTGCAGGTCCTTGATTCTTCCTAATACATTAATACAATAATGTGCTACACTCCCTCTGTCTGTCACTACTTTTAAGTTTGATGATTACTTATGGTAAATTTCAAATATACTGATTTCCTTATCCTAACCCCACCATATAAATAAGGTGACTAATTTTTACAAGAGCAGGCCCACAATATATTCAATTACTTTCAGTGAGTATTTGGTATTCTGTTAGAATAGAGCTTAATGGACTTTTGGCCCAATGCAAAAATTTACATTTTTCACCTTGTGAAATAAGATTTATGGCAACATGACTATTATAAAAAGTTAAATGAATTTAAATAAGTACTGCAGGATCCAAATATCAAAATTTACTTGTCTCATTCTCATTTGAGGGACTCAATCTTTTATTATAACCACACCACCTTTGAAAATTAACTTTCTTGTTAGAAAATGTTTATGGTGGGTAATTGATACATGGTGTTTTTTATTAGTAAAAGACTAAAAGATTTATATTCTTTCACCATTCTCCATAAATCCATAAAGTTTGTTATCCATCCCCACCTTCATACCTTACCTTTTTTGTTTTCTGATTTGTCAAATGCAACAGGGTAGTGCAGCAGATGTTGCCATGTGTGCCATGTTACAAATATCCAATAACAAGAAGTTGAAGGAGCTTGGATGGAAGTTACTTCTACAGGTTAATACTAAGTCTAAATTTTTCTCCTTTTAGATTTCTATGCTCACTTTTTGTCAAGTTCCATTCCATTCAAGTATGTTCATCTATTTGGGGTTTAAGTGATCTATTTGGGGTTTAAATGAAGTCACTTTTTCATTTACTCATGATATCATCCCGGTTGTGTTGCTTCCATACGTCATTCTAATAACAGTTGCATTGCATTCGTTGTAGTTATTCCATCATACAATTACAACATAAAAAAAGGTTGCTTTGCTTTCATAAATCATAAGCTTATTAGAATATACTGGTAACATGATTGTTGTGATTGTTTATTGACTGTTACTCAATCACTATATTCTAATATCTATGCTATTTCAAATCTGAATTTTTTTTAACATGTAATTAATCACACTTCCTTGTACATGGTATCATATGGCAAAGTAGGTTCATGATGAAGTCATATTGGAAGGGCCAACAGAGTCCGCTGAGGTCGCGAAGGCCATAGTTGTTGAGTGCATGTCAAAACCCTTTAATGGCAAGAACATTCTTAAAGTTGGTCTCTCTGTCGACGCCAAGTGTGCACAAAACTGGTATACCGCAAAGTAGGTCATGAAATGCCGTGATGGTTGGTTTTCCACCCTTGATTTCATACAAAGGCCATGGCTGGATTTGAGAGAGATGTTTTCTCGTTCATTTGGCATTGGTTGTATCTTGCATGGTTCCTTTGGTGAGTGTAATCAAAAGAGGCTTCTAAAGGGTGCCTTCAATTTTCATGGGAGTAGTTCTAGTGCCCTTGATATTATCCTCCTTGATTTGTAGAGGTTTTTGACATCTTAGGAGGAGTAGGTCTATTGTGATGTTTTGGTAAGCATGGCATTTTTAACTCTGAAGGATGAAGCACAAAGGGCCAAAATCACTGGTGTCGACATTTGACTGCATTTTTAGCCGTTCTCCTTTTATTTTTGAATGTATACATAGATGTCATTCCTTGCATCTTGTACTAACATGGCCCTCATGGCTTGATTCAACTGTATCATTTTGTATTGTATATAATATGAAATTTGCTGAATTTGTAGCTAATTTTTTTTCTGTACAACTTCAGTAGGATCCTCATGAATTGGTATTTTTTTAGAAAATCTAAGTTTTACATTAAGAATTTTCATGCTAATGGGTTGTAGACGTAGCAAAATGTACGATGTGCTTTTGAGAAAGGTGGAATATTCATTCGGTTAGAGCTTATAGGGGTGTGTGAATATTTGGTTGTTGTGAGCACGTGCGCATACACGCGCCCATATTTTGTATTATTTTTTACCATTTAATCAATTTTTGTTTTCAATCATACAGTTCTTAAAAAAATTTATGTGAATCCTACAATTGCACATCACTTCTAATTTGTGTTTTTATTATAAACTTTTTAATATATTTTTAAACATATTTATACATAGAAGACTAATTCTTAATTTGAAGGGGCTAGATAGTAATGAGTTTTGCTACATTGTCTTATTTATTCTTTTAATATTTTTCTAATTATTTTATAAAGTAAGCATAAAACAAAAATATGTATATTTATTATTTATTATCTTGAAAGTATGAAAAATATATAACATTTCTTTATTTCATAATTGCAAGGATAATAATAAAATTTTGAAGGATTTAAAATTACTTAAGCAATATAGTAAGTTTTTTGGGGTTGAGAACCCCAAAGCAGTGTTGGTTCTATGTATTTTCATAAGAATAAAAGTTGTCTTGATATATCAGTGTGTATTTATTTCTACAGAGAAAATGAGCTTATGAATATCTTTAGTATTCATTAAGAAGAATACTCTTTGCACCACTTTTTTTTTTTAACTATTTGTACCATTTTTTATCCTCACTTTCAAAATTTAATTTCTAAAATTATCTTTAATACCTTCTGAAACTTAAATTTTGAAAGTTATTTGTAATTCACATTTAGAATTTAATATCTATAAATAATTTTATACTTCTCAAAATTTAGCTCTGAAAATAATTTGTAAATGACTTCTGAAATTTAATTTTGGAAATGTTAAGCTTATTTTCAAATTTTAAATTTCAAAATTAAAAATAAAAAAGGCGGTGATTGAAATTAAAAAAAAGGTAACACAAATAGCAATAATCTTTTATTAGTTGGTACTCCCAATCTTGGAATTATGGGCTAAATTGGTATTCTGAAGCTCAACCCAAATAAATAAGGCCTACAACAGTTGCAGCAAAAATCCAACAGAAATAAAAGTCAATAAATAAAAAGCTTGACCAAAACAAATAAATACGTATGCAAGCCGCAACTGAAATCATTATTTAAAATATTGAAGCTGATGGACTAGAAAATAATGGATGAAGCTAGTTAAATTTCAAATTGACCTCAGCCCATAATTCAGAAATTTAAAGGGAAATTTTAGTAGAATCTCTTATTTGATTAAAACAAATTGAAAACAGCACAAAAACTTCTAAATAACCTCTTATTATATGAGAAGTTTCTATCATAAATTTAATCGTAAAACTTATTAATATAAACAAAAAATATTTTAATAAATTATATAAAAAAACTTATTGAAAAGAACTTTTAAAAGTTATAAATTATTTTTTAATAAGCTCTTTCAAACGCCTCTTAAATATAACACCTAATTATGTAACAAAGGAAATAGTAATGCTTGTCAATATCAATAATAGCGTGTTTTTATCTCTTGTATCCTATCAGGCATAATCATCTTTTACGTTTAAAACAAAAACAAGAGAAAATGATACAAATGAATGTAGCAAATGAACAAATTACACATAATTACACGGAACAATTGTTCATTGGTCTCAATTTACATTGTTTTAAAGCAGACTAGTTGGGCACTTGCTGACAACCAGACACTACCTTTAAATGGTCAAACATTGCTCTGACCGGTATAGGATCATCCAAAGTTCACCAAGATACAGGAAAAAATGGAGCATTAATTTGTGCCATTGTAATTGTTACGTGGAGGTCCAACATTTGAACAGCATATGTATTTCAAATCTTACACTCATCACCATCCATGTAGAAAATTAGAACAATCTAGGATATGACCCAATTCAAATCCAAAATATGAGAATCTTAATACCAGCATGGTTTGTTCTCTGTGAGCTACTTGTCATGTTGTTGTAGATCAATTTCCCAGGCTGATGCCAACTGCAATAAAAGTTGATCCGGTGGTACACCTTCCCAGTCCTCAGCTGTATCTGTTGAAGCTTCATGTAAATTCAGCAGGAGCTCTTTCTTCACTTCCATAGCAATGCCAAAGGTATCAGGGCCATTTTCCAATACTATCTCCAGCAACTGACCATTATGACCATGAATTCAATATTTTAAACACGGATGAAAGACAAAGCAGGCAAAAGGAAAGTAAAGGCATAATTGTTTACAATGCAGGTACAAACCAATTGCCAAACAAATAATTTGCCACGGTCTCAGTGTGGTAATATTGGTCCAAGGAATGAATGTGTTATTGAATATGCACTATATTATATGACCAATAACTTTCCAAACCAGATCAAATACATCTTGAAGAAAGAAAGTTAGAACCATTCCATTTTCTGTTTTCTCTTTTAAATTATCATTGCTTTCATTATGTTTTCAATGTAAACACTGATATTCGAAGAGGCAAGGGATATACGTGGCTGAACTAATCAAATTATCTAATTGATAATAATAAATAGAAATAGACGTATGCAAGTCCTACAACTAAACATACTCAAGAAAACATTAATAGATGCTGCAACTTCAGATCTTTCACTCAAAAACCCTCAGGATATATGATCTTGAAGTAATTCAAACACCAAATCTTGAGACAGTGGAATGTCTGGCTTCTAAAATAATTACACACGAGTCACTGAAACCCTTCAACTTCAATGATTTGAAGTCATTTTTGGTAGATGAAGATCTATTCCAGTGGTTGCAAAGTCCAAACTACATAGTTTTGATTCTCATAAGTCATAATAAAAACAAGAGGAATAGAGTATCATAAGAAAAGTCATACCTGTTGAATCCAAGACAAACAGATGTCGTACAGGTTCTGCTCCAGCAAGAATTGTCCAATGGCGTGCACAATTTCACATGCAACCTCACTTGAAAGTTGGTCAATTACAGGGCCCGTTCTATCCATTATCTTTACAAGCAAGAAATCATCACCAGTGGACAGTACCTCTGCAAAGGCTGAATCTACGTCACCAACTTGAAGGGCATCCATTGCATTACTCCAAGAAGTCCAGATGGCATCCCTCTCTTGTCCAACATTATCATCGGCCAGAGCTTCTGCAGTCATTTCAGGGATTGCTACCCTTGTTGCTCGAGATGTTCCATTGTCCTCACCAGCAACCCTAATTGCTTCCAAGGTAGCTTCATCCTTCGAAGCTTGCCAGACACTTCTTGCAGAGGGCCCCTCACCAAGCCGGATGGGCATTGCTGCTTTATCCCAGGCTCTCCTATTGCCCCCTTGATCACCCTCATGCACTGATTTTGGTGATCTTACATCAGCAGAACTACCACCAAAAGCCCTTCTTGAGGAAATCTGACCATTTCTAGATGCACCATACCCAGGAAAATCCCATCCCTCAGACATGTCAGATCTCCAAGATGGCCCTCTTCCCCTCATTCCCAAAGCATTTCCCTCTTGGGCATATCTTTCACCAAATGGGAGACGTCCATCACCACCTCTTCCATACTTGGAACCAGAGAAGTCATTAAAACCATTATACTTGCCAGAAGGCCTACTGGATGATCCCTCAAATCCTGTATAGTTACTGCCCCTACGACCTGATGATATAGATAAATCCCGTGACATGTCTTCAACAATTCTCTCAAGACCTCGTACTCTATTCTCTAGAGTCACCATGCTATCATGAGATCCACCCATGAAATCCTGCAAAATTGCTCAAACATCAATCACTTATGAAGAATATATACCAAACTAATATTTTGTGCCAGTGTCCATACCTGCAGCATGTTCATCAGATGAACCTGTTGTCTTTCCAGCTGCAGTAACTGCCTCTGGATGGCCAACCAGTTTCCTCTGTTGTTATTGGAGAAAGGTACTTCTGATTGACCATCATTCTTAGAAAAACCTGCAAGACTGGCAGAACCCTCCCTCTGATCAATTTCAGTCCTCTCATCAGTATCATAAGCTTTTGTCCTCAGTTCTTTTGCATTCACTCTCTTTTCAGGGTATCTGTCATGTGCAATGTCATCATAATACCTTTGTCTGGAATTTCCATCACTGCCTCTCTCAAAGATACGATATTTATTACTGGCAGATCCATGAAAATCATCATTAGGGATGTTGCCAACAGAATTTATTCTTTCTTTTGAATCTTTAGCACTTGCCTCTGATTCTTGGTCATTGTTAGAGTTAGAAGAATTGAGGCATCTACGAGGAACAACTACTTCCACTGGTAAATCACCTGAACCCCTTCTTTCAAGTTTCTGGAAAAATTCTGCATTTAGTTCTTTATCAGTTAATGCAGGAGCTTTCTTTTTCAATATTACAACTGCCTTCTCTGAGATGCCAGCTGCTTTGGCCTTTGCAGTTGGATCCATGTTTGAAGAACTAGATGATGAATCCTTTACTGATGGGTCAGTCTTCTCATTAATATCTACTTTTTTCAGGTCACTTGTTTCGGACAAACTATCTGTTTCAGGATTTCCATTATCTAAAGCATTAAAAACAATCACCACTGAGATAAACTAGGACAGTGTGATTGACAACAGACAAATGAAATACACCTACCAGATGAGGGCTTTGAATCATCAGGGGATCCATCTCCATTCCCTGCAACCTTTTTCCACAATTGCAATGCCTCTGTGATGCTATCTCTAACAGGTTTTATCTGACAGTAATAATAAAATATTCTTTAAAAAGCAAAGAAACATTTCTCCAGTAATGAGGTTTCAACAAATTACAAATCTGCCATACTAGAACGAATAACCCTAAACTGGACTCAACAAGAGAACAGTATATGTGGTAGTGATACTATTGTCAAAGACACTTGCTAGACCAATTACATAAAATGTACTATCAGTATCACCAATTTACAGGCATGTAACAATTTCAGTGTTCTTTAAAAAAGGTACACTCAAATGCAAGCAACAAAGTAAGGAAAAATATGTACCTATCTCCCTAAATGTTTTAAGTCCTTACTCTTATTGAACTAATTCCCCTTCTATAAACAGAACATTTTATTAAAAATAAGAACTGTAAGAAATTGTGGCCTTTGAAAGGAGAGAAACAAGAAAGAAAAATAAGATGGGAACTCAACAAGTTATGATAGGGCAATCTCATTGCAAATGCTACCTTGTCAAACCGAGAAGCCTCAAGTGCTGCCACTGTGGGTGCCGCTTTATCAGTAACCAAACTGCTTGAATGCAAAGCCAAGGAACTTAATGCCTCAGCTGCTGCTTTACGTGTTGCCCAATCAGTACTGTTAAGGCATTCATGAATGCTAGGCAGCAAATGTTCCAAGCTTTGTGGTGCAATTGCTCCAACCTGGAATCAAGACTTAATTAATTAGGAATTTTTGCACTAGTTCTTTTTTATCATAAAATGGTAATTTCATGATATAAGAAGACACTAACTAACAAAGACCTGCCAAATTGGATTTCCAAAATCATTCTCATTACATGAAGCGATGTTAAATTGAATTTTCGAAATGCCATAACGCTAATATCAACAGGTCTAATTATATCACAGTTTTTCATAATCCTAATGAATCAGCTACATTAAACAAACGCTACATTTTCAGTCATCCTCCCAAACATATTTTTTAGTCTTTAGCTGAATTTCCAGTTCCAATATCACCTGCTCTATTCCATATTTGGAGCATTCTAAAAATAGAACATAACCGTTCATAGGGTTAAAATCTAATACATTTTGGTTCCTCTAAAAGAGATCAACCTTTCCCATTCTCTTCTATCCACGCACCAAAGGGTACATAACATAAGGCTATATTTAGGAGTTGGGTTTTGGAAGGGAGAGAAGGAGCGAGCAAATATTTTATTTTTAAATTAAGATATTATAAAATAGACAAAATATTAACACAGTAAATTTATATTAATACACTATTTATCTCCTTTATTTTTTTAAAAAAAAATCATCAAATTAAAGAAATTTTGACCTCTCCGAAACGTACTCTGAATTTCAAAGCTCAAAAAATAAAAAACTTAAATCTTCACAAATCATTTCATAACTCATTTCAATTATCAATTCATCAACCGCTGATTCAATTCCGCCAACCCAACACTGAAACACACACCACAACAACATCAATTAGCATCTTCACCTGTGACAAACTACCAACAACAGGCAAAATCGCAGCCTTCGCCAAGAAATTAGGGCTATTGAGCAGCTTGCAGATCCTCGGACACAGCTTCTGAAACGCCGGCACCGGCACGTCGCCGGCGCATTCCACCATCTTCGCCATGCAAACTGCCGCACCAGCCTGCACACCCTTGTTCTGTTCCCCCATTGCCTCAAACAGAGGCTTCACAAACAACCCCACCACCGACCCCACTCCACCACCACCACCATTGTCGCCGCCGCCACCGGCACCCTCCCCGGCCTTCAAGTACCGCGCCGCGAGCGCCCCGACGGCGTCACGGCACGCGTCACGCACGGAAGAATCGGCGTCCTTAAGGCGCCGAACGACGTGAGCGATAATTCTAGTAAGGTGAGCGGCGGCGGCGTCGGGGTGGGCGGCGCAGACGACGGTGAGGAGGCGGAGGGATTCCTTTTTGACGGCGGGTTTGGGGTCGGTGGCGGCGTCGTAGAGGCAGTTGAGGATCATGGGAATGGCGTCAGGGGAAAGCGCGTTTATGGTTTTTTGAAGGTCGTCGACGGCGATCTGGTGAGTGTCGCGGTCGGAGAGCTTTGAGAGTGAGGTTAGGATCCTCTGTTTGAGTTCCACCATAGCAAGGTGGGATGAGAGAGAAGAAGAAGATCTTGAAGTTGAAGTTGATGAAGATGATGGTGTTGTTGGTGTTGCTTGGTTTTGTGGGGGCTTTGGGTGTTTCATTTTTATGTGTTTTTGAAGAGACTCTGAATTTGTGGTGTGTTTGTAGTTTCAGAGAGAGTTATGTGAATGGAAACTGGGAAGTGAGGGAAAGGGAATGGTAGATCTGAGAGTGGAAGAGAGAGTGAGGGAAAGTGGTTTTGAAATGAAATACCAAATGTGAAGAAAATTATGCCCTTTTTCTTTTTCTTTTTCTTTCTTTTGGTGAATTGTTTTGTAAGTCAAGGTTGCAGGAATCACTCATGGATGGACCCATACAAATCTCATTATCTGTTTGTAACAAGAGTGAAATAAAGACAAATTAATTAGAATGATGATAAATAAAAAATTAATTAATTATATTATTTAAAAAATTAATTAATTCCAAAAATTAATATTTATTATAATAATTTAAAAACAAAAAATGAGGCACTTTCATTATTCCTCTTTTATTTCTCTCCCCCAACCATGGTTAGTAACACTCTTTCATTACTTTTTAAAATATATTTTCATTATTAATTGAAATTTATTAAAAATATATATGAGCTTTATTCTTAATTTAACATTTTTAATAAATTCCATTAACAATAAAAAACATTATTATTATTATTATTAACTACTTTTGTTTAGAACATTTTTTAATCAAATTAATTGTAAAAGTATTTTAAATAAAATTATAATGAACACGTGAGAATAATAATGGACATACTTACTATTTTAGAATATTAAGTAGGTGTAGAAAAAAAAAAACAAGAAAATAAAATATAATGTAATTTTTCAAAATAAAAGTGTTTTTCTTATCAATTTTACAATGAGGTGACTAAATGATAAGTAAAATTATGTCAAACCACTAGTACTTCTTAAAAAAAATTAAGTCAATAAATCATTGGATGAAAAATAATGAAAGGTCACTAGGATTTTTATCAAGGTTAATAATGATCTTTACAATAAATAATATCTATTTTATAGTTATATGAATTTTACGGCTATATAACAATAAGAAAATGACATTAAAAAAAATGATAAGGATTATATTGAAAAATTTACATAAAATTTTAATCAAATATTAATAAGTTATATTTTGTAGAAAGACAATGCATATTTTAACCTCAAAAGAACAGTAAGTTATTAAAAGTAGAAGAAGGTGTTGAATAAAATTGAATAAATTTATCTAGTTTTACAATAAAAATTTAAAATCATAAATGAAAAATTTCAAAAGTTTTTTTCTAATTTTTTTTTCTTTTCAATCAAACAATATAAATTTAAATTATAAAAAACTTTTTATTTCTTTCTCTGTCCAAACAATACGAATAATTTTTAGAATAATAAATTAAAAAAAGTAACGTTTGGTAGGACTATGCAATTTTCAATTAACGAAACAACCAATCGAATTATTTTGAACAATAAATGTGGTTCACTTTTTAATCTAAATTGCATTCCATTCACAAGAAAAAACTAAAGTATGATAATTAAATTTTCTCACACTTTATCAACCAATTCAAACACTTAAAAATCGAAGCACATGTGATCTTAACTCCACCCAAATTCTCCATAGTAATGCACTAGAATATGATGTAGTACTTGAAAATTAAAATGCTATTAAAGCTCCTCTAACATTTTAAATTGGTTTAAGGCTTATTTATTTTACAGTTAGAAAATCAGTTTTCATATTTTGTTTAATAAAAATTATAATTTAATTTACACTGTTCAGATTAACTTTTATATATTTTAATTTTAGTTAATAGCATTCTTTTTCAACTTCAAATTAATGCACATTCAATGTGTTAATTTTCAAGAATAGGTGGCACATTTTTCTGACACCAAATCCTCTTCACAAGTCATGTTAAGGGATACCAACCATTAAAAGTTTGCAATGTTGTCAATTAAGGTGGTGACTGTGAGTTTGCATGAGCTATTTTGGAATTGTTATTGTTATTATTAAAAATCTAATATAGAATTTATCTGCTGTAAAAATTAAACTAATAAAACTTTTAGTATCAAATAAAAGAATGAGAAAAATATGTATATTACATAATAGGATCCAATAAAAGAGATAAAAGTAGACGTAATTTATAGTATTAGCTTTTTCTATGATTTATACGAACCATATTATTAAAAAAAGTCAAATATTAAAAAACTTATATCATATATATCATAAAAAACTTACCGAACCAATTTCAATTTTAAATTATTGTCGCCTGTTGGTTTATTTATAGACAACAAAAGGCTTTTATACGAGAAAAAAAATTAAAATATAAAATTTAAAAAATATGAAAATTTGTAAAATATTAACAAATTTGATTAGCATTTATAAAAAATATTAAATAAAATTTATGATATTCTTTGTAAATGTGAGAATTTGATATTATTTCTTACACGTAAAATAATTTTGATCATTAATTTTATAGATTTTATTATAATGTTCATAAAATTAAAAAAAGTATTTTATATCATCTTTAGATTAATGATTATGATTTTTCTATTATTTTAAAAATTAAAGAGTATTAATATTTTTTTAATTAAATCACTAACCTCGTTATTTATTAATCTAAAATTAATAATAATTTTTTTTACATATAAAAGAGAATATTAAACTCTATAAATAAATAAAAAACCGTAAATTTTACCTTAAATAGATAACAGAATTAATAGTTTAGTTAAAAAAATATGTTAATATCGTATTCTCTTAAATTTTTAAATATTACAAAATGCTAATGATAATTTTGAATAATTTAAAATTTTAAATACTTTATAATTTTTAATTGTTTTATATAATGTAGCTCTAAAGCATGAGGTGGCTTAAGGCAAAGACTTTTCCTATAAAAGAGACATTGAAATAAAAGCTTAGCTAATACTTATTACCAACATAAAACAAGCAGCACCATGGGTTCATAATTTGACACGACAAAATGTTGTCAATGATAAGATGTTACAATCCCTAGACAAACTTTAAGAAACTGCAATATATAAGTAATTTGAATAATGATTGGAACCCACTCACTAGGTTAACTATTTTGAGGTTTCACTTTATAAAAAGCATAAGTTTTCATTTTTAAAAGTTCATTATACTAAAAAAAACCAACCACACTCACCCTAATTTTTATAATGGGTGAATATTCTTCAATAATGAGAAATATATTAGAAAAAATGTAATGTTTTAAACATAAGAGTAAAGATGACATTATCTAAGAATATTGCAAGAAATGCCCTATTTAGGATTCAAAATTTGACTTTAAAAAAGAATTCTAAAACCAGGGATGAAACAAATTCATATATATATATATTTTTAAAAGTCCTTTGCAGTGTCTTTAATTCTATACAACTAATTGTATATCACACACACGTATAAATGGTTATTATTATTTTTTGTCATTTTCTTAAAAAGATATTGTTTTTAATGCACTATAAAGGGGGAAAGTCTTGCATTCAAATCCAGTGAAAAAAATTTATTGGGCCATTGGATGAAGCCCACTGGGCCTAAGTAGATCAGGCAGAGATTCGAGCCGACCCGGCCCATTACACGTTGGTATTGTTGAAATTGCAACAACTAGTAGCAGCAGAAGAAGAACCCTTCTAAAAACCTGCTTCGAAGAGGCCACCACCACCTCTCTGCACAAAACGATGTCGCCCAGCTTCGTTTTCGAAGCCCCGAGTGACGAGGAAATCGAACACTTCGAAGAAGAGGGAGAAGAAGAATCAGAAGAAGCAGAGTCAGCTTCAGAATCAGAAGATGAACAGAAAGAAGCGCGAGTGTCGAAGAAGAAAACACAGTCTCCATGGGACTTTGCTAAATACACTGAATCAGTGGCCGAAGAACACGCTCGCAGAAGCACAACCTCTGTGGACGACAAAATCTCCAAAGCACTGAGACAACGTTCCACGCCGGTCGTTGCTGTGCCTGACAGAGAGGACAACAGCTCCGAGTCCGAATCTGATCAACAAGTATTACTAGGGTTTTTTGTTTTTCTCATACATGCATACATCCTTTTGGACTATAACTAATTTACGATTAAAAAAGTGCTTATTTGTCTGAATTTTTTTTTTAATTTTGTTGGGTTTGTTTAAAAATATTATGGAAAGAAAAAACTTGTGTCATTTTTTCAGAAGTTGCTTTTCTTATTCATTTTAGAAAAAAGAGGTAATTTGTTTATTTTTTTTTATTTTAATTTGTTGGGTTTGGTTTGGAGGACTATAGAAAAAAGGGGCTTGGTTAATTGTTTCTTAAGTTGCTTTTAGATTCATGATAGAGAAAGTGCTTATTTGTTGCAAAAGTTGTATTTTATTTATTGGGTGGGTCGTCTGTTTCAAAAGTTGATTTTTGAATTTGTTGGGTTTGTTTAGGAAGATTATAGACCGGATGAAGATGATGTGGAAGAGGGTAATGGTGGTGATAGCAAGTCCTTTTTTGCTCCTTCTGATGGAGCCTCTTTCCATGCTGATTCCTTCTTGCAGCTCAATTTGTCTCGCCCCTTACTTCGGGCTTGTGAGGCCTTGGGGTATGCTAAACCAACACCAATTCAGGTCCTTTTTTAATTCTTAGCATTTTGGTTATATAATTCGATGATATTTAGAACATTTTGCCTTGAATAGTTTACTGTGTTATTGGAATTAATTATGTGAATTCATGCTGCTTAGGACTCTTCATCTTGACTTTGTTTTTTTGGGATTTTGAATTTTTATGATAGGCAGCATGTATACCATTGGCATTGACTGGTCGTGACATATGTGGAAGTGCCATTACCGGGTCAGGGAAGGTAATCTCTTTGTTAATTTTCTTTGGGTGATTGTGAATTTATGATACTAGGCTTCTGTGATTTGGTGCCTGGCTTTTGTATAATGGTGTTTCTTTTAATGCCCTTTGTTCGTGATCTGCTTTTTGTGTTTCCATGCAGACTGCTGCGTTTGCTCTACCTACTTTGGAGAGATTGTTGTTTCGTCCAAAACGCGTTCGTGCAATAAGAGTCCTCATTCTTACTCCAACGAGAGAGTTGGCAGTCCAGTAAGTATTCTTATAGCTGTTTGTTCTGATTATTGCTTTAGATCACATTTCTCATTAAAATATTCCAAATAAAATATTTAGCTGTGCTGAGCAAGTGGCCTATATGTATGAGGTCCTACTTGTATATACGGCTTTGCACACACGTTCTTCAGTGCCACCCATGCTAAAGCTTGAGCTTATGAGCTTCAATGAGTATATATAGCTTAGAGCTCAGTGCATACCCATCTGTTGGATGGATCTAATATTTTGCTGTCCTTTTTTCTTCTTTTATGTAAGCTAATGACATAATTTTTTGTTGTAAATTTAAGTACAAACTTGTTGATGCTCAAATTCAAAGTAGGCTTCATTTAAATCAAGCATTTTTTAGAAATTGTAGCTGTAAAATTTTGGAAGCAAATTTTTATGATGATTCATGTAAATTTCTTTCCAAATATATTCATTACTGATTATTTTTGACAGAGTTCATAGTATGATAGAGAAGCTTGCTCAGTTTACTGATATAAGGTGTTGCCTGGTTGTTGGAGGTCTGTCAACAAAGGTAAGATTGCTGTTTCAATTTCATGATGACTGGATTTCTAGCATGTGCTGGTGGGTCAGAATAGAGTTATGTGCTTCTTGTGTATGCTGTTTGGCCTTCCTCCATGAAAAATATCCTCTTTTGTCTTCAGTCTGCTTTACAGTTCCATCTACAATTCTGATCAATGTTGGTCCTGTTACCATGCATTTCTTGTAATCTATTGTTGGGTTTCAACTGATGATTTTTCTTTCTTACTAGCAGTGTATTAGTTTGAGTTTGACTTCTTTGAGTACAATATATAATTGGGTCTCAACATGTTTTTGATTTTATGAGTTTTTGTAACCAAGAATTTTATAACAACCTGCTCATTTTTCTCATGACTTGCTGGATAAATGAGCCTTCTTAAGAAATATTTCAATCTAATTAGCTAGTAAAATACAAAGAATTGCATTTGATAAATGAAATTTTGATGGTTTTGTAATCTGTGCTTTGTCCCCTTTTTACCAAATGTTATCTCATTGATGATATTTACATCATATGGACATGGTAATGTGTTTTATTTTTTATGATTAAGAGAATGCAAGTAGTTTTTATTGTTTTGACAATTCCCCCTATTATTGAGTTGGTTGGTAAATGGTAATGCAGATTGTCTCCTTTGTTATTTTTATCTATGCTTTAAAACTGGTCTTTTCTCATTCTAGGTGCAAGAGGCTGCCTTGAGATCGATGCCAGACATAGTTGTGGCTACTCCAGGACGCATGATAGATCATTTACGCAACTCTATGTCAGTGGATTTGGATGATCTTGCTGTTCTAATCCTTGATGAGGCAGATCGTCTTTTGGAGCTTGGATTTAGTGCTGAAATTCATGAACTTGTAGGTTTTAGTAGCCCGATACTAATGCAAGAACTCCAGTTAAAAATGCTGTTTTACAATTTATATTGATTTCATCTTTTGGAATAAAATGACAAACAGGTTTGATTGTTTTACAGGTTCGCTTGTGTCCCAGAAAAAGGCAGACCATGCTTTTTTCAGCAACCATGACTGAGGAAGTTGATGAACTTATTAAACTTTCCCTATCAAAACCTTTGCGTCTTTCTGCTGATCCATCTGCAAAACGGCCTGCAACCTTGACTGAGGAGTAATTTCTTCATCATTTCTCTTTCCCTTTATATATATTATAATTTCATCATTAATTTCCATTTTGTATTGTAGTGATAAATCACTAGTTATTCTGAGAGAATTTATTAATTCAATGAGTAATACTTTTTTATTGTTCAGCCATATGTGGATCTTTTGGAAGGATGAACATCGAGACTTCTTTAGAAACAGATGGAGAATAGTGTTTTTCATTCTTGTGCAGAGCATATTTTATTCATAAAGCTTAATTATGCAAAACTATTATGTTGTTATTCCTTTTTGAAGTTTGCATTGCTTCTTTAGCCATCCAGTAAAATACCTTGAGCCTTATTAACCATTGGTTTCGTTTTTCAGGGTTGTTAGAATACGAAGAATGCGTGAAGTAAATCAGGAAGCAGTTCTTCTTGCAATGTGCTCCAAAACTTTTATTTCTAAAGTTATCATCTTCAGGTTTTATTTCATTGTTATTTACCATGCTTATACATGCAGTTTTTTATTGTTATTTTCATGAGTTGTTTATGAAGTCCCTTATGTAGCTATTTGTTGAAACTGATTGGCAATAACAATGAGATTGATTACAATCTGTGTTGACTGATCATACTAATTATGCTCCCGTTCGTTTTATTATTACAAAATCTATTCTCTCACTTTCCATTGAAAAACACATGTTCCAATGCTAATATGGAGTTCAATTTAGGCACACATCTCAGCCACATTCAACTGTTCAAGTTCAATTCCATTAAAATAAAATATACTAAACCCTAAACCATATGTGCACTATGCCTATTATTGCAATGGTGGGTTCCAACATTGATGGTTGTAACTTATAGTCATGGGGAACCTTTTGTGATAAGCTGAAATCTCTAGTCTTTTATTGCATATTTTAAGTCTATTTCCTTCATTTCCACTGTTTTTGGATTGTTAATTCCTTTCTGTGGTTCTGGCTCTATTCTACATTTCTACGACTGTTAACACTATCATTTTGATGTGCAGTGGAACAAAGCAAGCTGCACACAGGTTGAAGATTGTTTTTGGATTAGCTGGCTTAAAAGCTGCTGAGCTTCATGGAAATCTTACTCAAGCCCAGCGCCTTGAAGTATGTTTCTTATATTTATGTATTATGGCTTTGTAGTTATGTTACTATTACATTTTTGGGTTACCAATATGATGATGTTTGCTTGGATTGGATTTGTTAGTTTCTTATTTTCCTGTTCAAGGGCTTTGCATCATTGAATGTGTTTGTGACAATATGCTCACTTCTGAGTTCTGATTATTTGATTAGGCTTTGGAACAGTTCAGGAAGCAGCAAGTGGATTTTTTGGTTGCAACTGATGTGGCTGCTCGTGTAAGAATCAATTCCTGAAAATTTTTTCTTTTTTCCTCATTTTGAATATGGAATTAATATCTCAAACACCCCATTTTTATCCCTTATCCTGGGAGACAGGATAAGGATAGTGAAACTGCATTAGCTCAAGGGGAACATGCAATGATTAAATCTGTGGCTTATTATGATTTTCTATTGGCATTTTGGATATAAATTTGACACTAATTTTATGGATAGGGCCTTGACATTATTGGTGTTCAAACAGTTATCAACTTTGCATGTCCGCGTGATCTTACCAGGTATATTTTATGATCCATGCTGGTGATAACTCTTCCTTTGATGATTAATATTGGACATTTTGCAGTTTTATTGCACATCCTGCAGTTTTTGTCATTTTTCTTCATTGCTCGAAGTTACAAATATCATACATGATTCCATGTTGAACTCACCTAACATTATCTGATTCTCTTGTTGTGAAACCTGATAACTTTCATTTTTAACATTGAAGCTATGTTCATCGAGTGGGTCGGACTGCAAGAGCTGGCAGAGAAGGATATGCTGTCACATTTGTGACTGATAATGACCGGTCACTATTGAAAGCTATTGTGAGTATCATTCAAAGAATTGCTGCATCTCTTTTAAGCTTTATTTCATGGCAGCTATGTCGCTTTGTATATTTGCTTGTGCAGTGTTACTTATCAGATATAAAGTTCATGCAAGTTAATATGGATTTTGGGTCTCAGTAACATAGATTCTGTCAATAATGTTAATTTTCCCAATTAGTTATTTAAGTTTGACATTTCGTTAGAAAGTTTCTACATAGAACATTCATAGAGCGTCGTTTACAGAGAAATATGCCATTCATTATGCATCTTAGTATCTACTGGTTTTACTTTTCTTATGTTCTTCTGGATTATATAGAATATGCCCAAAGAGAACCAAGATATCTTTATTGTTTTCACAAGTTGCTGTATGTCTAATTTCTAGGAGTGATTTGGATATCCCTAGTTGAAAAGTTTATTGATTCTCTGTTAAAGTAGAGAATGCACAGTAAAAAAGGAAATGCTTTTTTAAACTAACCATCATATAATCTTTGTTGATGGTTGATTTTCAACTAATTAGGCAAAGAGGGCTGGTTCAAAGCTGAAAAGCCGCATTGTTGCAGAGCAATCTATACTTAAATGGTCTCATATAATTGAGCAAATGGAGGATCAAATTGCTGAAGTACTTCAAGAAGAGAGGTTTTGATTAAATTTAATTGTCAAGGCTTTATTCCCTCTATCTCTCTCAATATTGGGCTGTAATTATATTTTTAATTTATTCAGGGAAGAAAGAGTCTTAAGGAAAGCTGAAATGGAGGCCACAAAGGTACTGATAAGTTTTTCTTTTGTTTTACTTGCCTTCAATCCTGACATGCGTTGGATTACACAAATTTAATTATTTCATGTTTTTATTTATACTTCGTGTCTTATGGTATATCTTTTCCAAAGTAGTATCACTTAGCAAATTGTATCGACTTAAATATTGCTATATAATATACTTTGGTTGTGGAATCCTATATTGATTTTTTTCATTTTCTCATCCTTCACATTTTTCCTTCAATAAAATCATGTGCTTGTATGATATGAGCAGGCTGAAAACATGATTGCACATAAGGAAGAGATCTTTTCCCGCCCCAAAAGAACCTGGTTTGTCACAGAGAAAGAGAAAAAGCTGGCTGCAAAAGCAGCAAAGGTACAATATTGTTCCATCTTCCTGATATTCCTCAAATTGCTGGCATTTATTTTCCTAGTTTACCGTGGAGCACTATACTTATTCAAAGAACAATCTGATTAGGGATAAATTGTGTATGGACAGTCTAAACAAGGGCTCGCCGTAGTAGTGCATGCCTGGTTTAGCTTATTTTGAGGAAATGGTCTGTCTCTCCCCCCTCCATTCCTCCCTCCCTTTTGCTGCTTTCTGAGAGAGCTTTCAGAAAAAAGCAACTATTGCTCGTGTAAAAGATAAATAGAACATGCTACTTGTTAGTCTTAAATACGATGACTCAATCCTAATTATGAAATTATAGGATTCTTAATTAGCCATAAGATATCGAAGATATTCTAACAATTGTGATACTATGTGAGGTTTGCTATGCCCATGTTCTGCTACCTTTTGCAGTGAAGGTGAGATGCCAGTCAAACTAATGATCAAATGACAAGTTGGTTTTATTTCAAATTCTTTCTTGGGTAAAACGTTGCCTGATGTTGATAAGAAATGAAATGACTGTTGACAGGCATCTGTGGATAAGGACAAGAGTTCTGGAAGAGAGGTAATTAGTGCTGAACAAGCTGAAGACCTCAGAATGAAGGAAAAGAGGAAGCGAGAGCGAGAGGTAAATACTCTTTGTTATGCATACAGAGACAGATTTGTGTTTTTATACATATAAAATGTAAATAAGCTTACTTGCATGAAGTTATATGTATTTACTTAATGAAAATATCTTTGGTGTAGAAAAATTTGCCTAGAAAGAAGCGTAGAAAGTTGGAAGCGGCTAGAGAAATGTTGGAGGATGAGGGGCAGGATGACAATCCAGTGGAAGTATGTACTCTTACCTTTTTATTAACCTTTTCTATGCAGTAAAGGTTGGAATATACACTTTGTTCCTCACTTTCTGTTGTGCTGAAAATGAAACGAAGGCTAAGGGAACAAATAAGAAAGAAAAGGGTGGAATGTCACTTGTAGATCTTGCTTATCGACGAGCCAAAGCAGTGAAGGCTGTCAAGAGGGCATTAGATTCTGGCAAGATTGTGAAAAAGAGTACAAAGAAATCTAGTCATCCTTCCAGAAAGACTTCTTCAAGAACCGAAGAGATGCGAGAGCTATTCCAGACTGACATGAAAGATAAAGAGCCAAAAAGAAGAGGTGTTGGAACGGGAAAGAAGTCCAAGAGTTCATTCAAAAGCAAGTCAAGGTATTAAACAAAAAACCTGTCTCATTGCTAAAAATAGTATCAAGCTGAACTTTTAAACGCCTAACATAATATTGATCTTGATTGAGTCATTAAGTAGTCTTTTGCTTCTAAATTTGATTGATCTGGAGTTAGGCTTTTGAGAGGCCAACTTAACGAGTAATGATGTAGTCAATTGACTTTTTTTAAATCTCATTTTCATTTTGTTGGCAATCTAATTGTATTTGTTATACCTTGTGATTATAGAGCTTGCTGGCGTTTGTAGATTTTCTCTTGTTCCTCCAAATAGAAAGCAAAACGTAGCAGTCAATAAATTTAGAGAACTTTTGTTAAAAGTTAAAATAAGGTGTATCATTTAATGGTTTTAGGTGCTTATTGTAGTTGTGATACATTCCCGCCAGTAGGTGACATGTCTAGATCCCATCTTGGTGGTATATCATGTTAGGACATGTGCAATGCTGAAAACTAAATAAGGCTCAATTTAGGTAAACTTATAGAAAAGTTCTTATACAAAAAAATTAATAGTATGAAAAATGAATAAAACTTCTCTCATAAGTTAAAAATAACTCATGCATCTAGATTTTTTAAAATGTTTTCTCATTTAACTTATCTAAAATTTGAAAAGATAAGTTGTTTATTTATAATGTAAAGACTTATCTAGAAATTTATCCAAACTGAGCCTAAACATGTTAGGAGACACTACTCAATTTGCTTTAATATTTTTCCTCTTTGGTTTGTTAAAGTGGTTATTTTTTTGCAAATAAGATATATTTGGCTGCTATATATTTTATTGTTGTTGTAAAATATGGTGAAAATTCAGAATGTTTGTCCCCCTTTAATTCGAAAGGAATTGCACCGGTAACTTTATGCATCTTAAGATTTGTTTGTGCAATGCTAATAAATAAAGTCTAATTCAAATTTCCTTTTCAGGTACAAGCGCAAGTAGTCTGAGGCTAATAATCATTGTCATAAATACGCGCATGAAAGGATCATAAACCTGCAAATGGGTATCCTTAATCGTTGACCTGACATGCAGTCAACTGCTTATACCACTATAGGAGGTGATTAAATGTTCTCACGTGTGAATTTCAGCTGATGCCTCTAGTGTTTTTGAGTGGTCTTGGTGATGGGTATGATGCAATCCATGTGGGGGGTGGTAATAGTAACTACTACTGTCAATACCAATTTTTTTCTCCTAATTGCTATTGTATCACTTGAGCTTGATTCTTATCCTTATCGGACAGCATATATACATTTATAGCTGCTCAATTTTGTAATCCTAGCATAAGATTGAGTTTTAAATTTAACCAATAGAAAAGTGTTTATTTCAGGTGACCCTTCGATTTTTTTGCGTCTACGGTACATGTGTTGTTAAAGGTGCCAATCTTTATGCAAGGCTTGAATATGGTATAAATATTACAATTTTACGAGATTTTGACTTTAGTCCCTCTATTTTTTTTTAGTCTTAGTCTCTAATTTTTTTAAATTCATCAGTTTTGGTCCTTGATGATGTGTCTTTACAAAAAAATTGACACATTATATCCTCTAATCTTACAAAAATGAAGAGATTAAAATTATATTTTTTAGTAGACAATGATATCGCCATGTTGGCATGTGATTTATCAATTTACTTGGCTAGGAAGGTTAAAATGCTCCTCCATTTACTCCAAAGCCAAGATGTTGGCAATGGTTAAACTTCAGGAAATTCATTATGATAGTACGCATTAAATGCTCCATCATAAAAATCGTAAGAAAAAGGAAGCAGACAAAACTTTTGTATTACACCTATTTTTCAGACGAAGTTGCATTAACCTCTTTCATTGTGAGAGGAAGTTTTAAAATTTTATTTCCTGAAGTTACTTTTCTTTTTTTAATCAAATTAATAATATATTGCCTACATTTTCCTTCTTGTCATTTAAACAAATTATATATGGATTTGCATAGTGACTTGTGACAGAAAGAAAGCGGTTCGCGAGCATCCATCACCATTAAACTGAAAACCTCATTTTCTTTTCAATTTCAATTATAAGGTTCTGTTACAATTAATTATCACTGTATTCTAATCTTCATCTCTTTTTCTGTCACATTTTTCCTGGTAACACAGTTTTTAGAATAAATTGTAATCATATTCTCATCATCGTAACTATCTTACAACATTACGGATCTGTCTTTGTCTTTGACGCAACTCTAATTTGTTGTAAAGTTCTCAACTAATTTGGAAGGAAAAAAAAGAAAAGAAGGAAAAACCCTTTTTAAATTTTGTGACTTTTTTAAGAGGTTCTTTTGCACGATTTTTTTTTTTTTTTCTGAGACTTGCAATTGTTTTTATTTTGTGTTCTAGAATCTTTTATTTATCGAATTTTATGTAAATTTGAGCATGCGTGCTTAGTTATGTTATATTTACATTATGTGCACTATTGTAATACTCTTATAATATAATTTAGCATTCTTCAGTATTAAAAATCCTAATCAATGATTTTTATTAAACAAACAAATAATAACATTTTTATCAATTCCCCTTCAACAAAGTCAAACTTAGCATTATTATTACTTAACAAGATCGTCGTAGGAAAAATATATATTAACTTTATTTTTATTTATTTGTTAAAAAATAAATTACAAAAACTTAGAAATTACATAATTGTTTTTATAAATGGGTTGTATTTTAATTTTTAAAACTATTCAAATACTATAAATATTTTATATGTATAAAAGTATATTCCGGAAAGAATAAATATTCATATTATTTTGTAGACTGATAAATAAAAATAAAAGTAACAATTTATAGAATAATTTAAATTATTTAAAGTTAAATTCATAGATCATTGCACACAGTAAATTTGTTAGTTTATGACGGAGTTGCTTTATTACGCGTTAATTTTTATGATATTTTTTAAATTAGAAGAATATTTTATATCTTTTCATACAGAATAATTATCACTATTAATAAAATTAGTAATTTATTTAAAAAATATGTATTAAAATATTAAAGGTGGCAAAGATGATATAATGTTTTTATCAAATTCATAGTTACCGTACCTTAACTTGTCACGCAAGACTTTTGGTGATAGTGGACTGTGTGTGTGAGTTGATGGGAAGTTTTGTTTATATTCACTATAATAAAATAATTAAATTGATACTGAAATTCTTTAAAATGATAAAAATAGTAATACTTGTCTAGAAAGTTGAGTAAGGATTCACTGTCAAGAAAAAAATTAGATTTTATTCATTTTAATATTATTTCTATGATATTAAATTAAATCCAAACATCTTTAATCTAATTCGCTAAAGTTAATACTCATCATTGCCCGGTACAAATAAGTTTATTGAATACAAGTGAAGCCTAAAAATTATGTTTATTATTTTAATTTATATACTAATAAAATTGTGAATTATATATTTAAAACTATAACTATATACTTATAAAATTTATATTATATTTTATGTATTTTTTTTATTTAACAAATTTATAAATTAAAAAAATAGTATGATTTTTATAATTTGTTTTGAAAAGGAATCAAAATAAAATTATGAATATTTGATTTGAAAATTAACGCCGCGGCGCGTACAATGGTTGCAATTAAATCAACGACAGTGAATCCGACACAGTCCGTTGTAGAGACACAAAAAGTTTGTCTTAAAGTTGGATTTAGATATGATTTTTGTCGCTATTTTTGTTTTTTTCTTAGAAAAAAAATGTGATTTTGCCTGAAGACCATTTTGTCCAATTTGCCTTTAAACCGAAGATTCGTTTTCAGTGATTCTACTCTGCAAAAAGATTATCTTTACCTTTTCCCTTTTTTATATGTGAGAAAATCTAGCTGGGTCTATTTCAAATCTTCAATTCTGAGACCTGAGGAGCTGTTTATGAACTGGACTGCAATGCTTGTGAGTGAGATAGCTAACTACATTTCTACTCCCTTTGATCTTATAGCATGCTTGGTTTTTCAAAACTTTGTCTCTGGGAATTGAAAGAAATAAGCGATTTTAAAAAAAAAAATTTAAACAAACATGCATTTTACCTAGGTTGCTTTCTGCATCTACAATGTATGGCTTGTTAATATCAAACTATCTTGATTTAGGAAAAAAATCTGCATATTTTTCAAAAGCTCGCTCAGAAAGTTGAGAACAAAATAAAGTAGTATTTCTTTCAAATAAATTGAAACAAACATGCACTAAATTTGAGTGTGCTTGTGTTTTTATTTGTTTTCTTTTTTATTATACGAGTCTTTGTTTATGTATACCAAATTCGATGTCTAGTTTGTGTTTGATTTCGAAGTCTTTTGGTGGAGTTGCTTCCCTTCTCTTGATTATGCTAATGTACTCCCTTTAAGGGTTGGATGGCTTTCTGTAGAATTGATTCTGTATCATCTTAACCACTTTGGGTTGATAGTCCTTTTGGGTTTGTTTCTTTTCTTTTTCATTCTTTTGTTATTGAAAATTGTTATTATTATTGATGATATTATTATTTTGTTACCTTAATGCTATGGTCTCAACTGAAAACAGATGATTGTTGTTGGCATTTTCAAGATTTGATGTGTGGTTGGTTGGGAGGCAACATAATATATTGTGGCAATGTGCATTTATATTTATGCTTATTCACCCAATAAATCATTCTTTATTTGCTTGGCCTACTCAATTATTGTGTTTCTGGAAAATTGGTTTCCCTTGTTTTATGATTGGAATCACCAAAAAATTCTTGTAATCAAGTGGGCATAGTATAAGGATAATTTTGAAATTACTGTTCTGCTGTTGTGGTTGATGTGTTTACTTTCAATTGTGAATTGTTAAATGGTAAACCAGGTTACTTACTATCATTTTCGTAAACTATTTACAAGTATTACAACTCTTCTGACAATTTTCATCTTTCAATCATGAATTGATAAACAGTTCATTCGGTAAATTTGCTGCCAATATCCATATATCACAGAAGCTTTGAACATTTGGGCCTTCGATTGGAGCTAAGAGGAGCATGGAAGGTAGCGATGAAGGAACCATCATGGTAGGAACCACTGGAACAATCAGCTCATTGATGACAAAAGAATTGGATCAAATTCAGAACTCTTCCCCTCCACACCCGCAGGTATCTTCGACAAGTAAACCTCGAATTTCAGTTACCCGTGGTAGCACTACTCCTAAACAACTACAACCGAGAAAATCATTTGGTGAAGCAAGTAGTAGCAGAAGCAGCAGTAGTGACATCGTAAACCATAGAAGCACTGGGATTGGCTCCAAAATAAAACTTAATGGAAAACATACCCATCAAATACCCATGCTTGGTTCCAATAACTTTCCATCGGACACTTGTCCAGTTAGGAAAAAAAATGACAAAAAGAAAAAATCTAACATTGTCGAAGTTGTAGACATCAAATGTGGTTATGTAGATAAAGCTTGGGCTACCCCTATAACAAATTCTCTCAAGAAGTTGGGTTTCTCCAAGCTCTCTGAGAGCATTACCTAAAGCTGGAATTTTATGTCAGACTTGTGGTTCTTGTAGCTGAAAGCATCCCATTCGGCTTACTGTTGTTGGATACATCCATCATATGGCACATACTTGGTAGGATCTTGCTACTTCCTCACATTTTTTTTGTAGTTTCTATTCTGAATAAGAATCTGAAATTTGTACTAACCAAGTAACCCACTTAGAAAGTTTGAGCTGTCATTATGCCAATTGTCTTGGGAATTTAATTCAAGCTGGCTAAAGTACTAAATTTCTTGGATTAGAAGGGACCCAATGGTGCCTCTGGTGCCCATCTCTTGTGTTGCCTGTGGCAAGGATGATGTGTTTATGCATGCCTTTTTGGTTGGTATCAAGGAGAAAGCAAAATCTTCTGATTGAGGGGATGGTTTGGGGTACTATTTTTGTGGGGACCTTGCAGACTCATTTGAAGAGATTTAGTTTCACAATAATTTGCCATTTTATTTATATAAAGGGCATGTAATCTTTATGTGTAGTTGGAGAGCTAGTTGATGGCATGGTCATTGTCTTCATGTGTTTGCTGTAAAACACTCAAGTTCCAAACTACTGTACTATCCTTGTAACTTTTAGGTTTCATCAACTTGTCTTAGGTACATGTGACCTAAGGTCTTTGGTTTGTGTAATTTGGACCAGATAGAATTCATGTCATGTGAAAAAGGTGATGGATGTTGAATTCATGTCACACACTGGTATTCCATTCATTTGTATGTTGAATTCTTTTGGACATGGATTCCTCCCCACAAGATGAAGAAAAGGTTGTCAACAAAGCTAAAAGTACCCTTCCTCATTCATGAACAGAACCAGCATCATACCATTTGATCTATTGTATATTTTAAGAATACCACTACTCTTAAAGATAATCAATTTGTATGTTATTGATATTTTCCTTGGTAAAAGATACTTCACACCCGTGATGACGTTTCAATGGCATTTGAAACCCCCAATGCCTACTTACAACCTTATCTTTTAGCACCACTTTAAAGGCCTATTACCTATAAACTTCTGTAAGAAATTTTAAGTTCTTGGGGCTCAATTTTTTTTTAAAAGCTCATAAAACCAACTTCACATATAATAGGATACTCAAGGAAAATCTCCTTCGAGATATTGAACAATATTTAAGTACTATGGTATTAGTCCGAAACACAAATCTCCGTTTTGTTATCTGGGTCTGGTGGCAACTTGTAAACAAAATCTTTTGGGGAAAATTTTAAATCCAAGGAAGAACCAACAAAGTAATAAATTTTGGACAAGTTTGCTTATGTCAGAGGCACACCTTACAATGATTATGATGGTATCTTATTTTTCATTCGGAAATTTAAGAAAACTTTATGGATGAACAAATTACATTTTAGCAATCAACCGTGCTTCTGAATAAAGGTTTGACCAAACATTATCATACCAAATACCCAAGGATTTTCAATTCAATCATTTTCGTATAACTATAAACCATAAATGACCATACATTTAACTGGAAATGGAAGGGGCCGCGCGAACGCAGGCCCCCACTGCCACAAATTATGATGTAGGCTCTGCCACTTGGGCAGACCTTAGAGCAGCACCCCTCCCAAGTGCAATGAAGGTCACTGCCCTAGGCCATGGGCCTTCTTGATCACCCATTGACCCCATCCAGGTAAGTATGTTGCTCATTGTCTTGTGCTTTCATTTTATATTCCATTCTTCACAATACTTTGTCTAACATTTTCAATGTGGGACTCACTTAAATTGAGTGCTTCGACGGCGGATTCAAGTGATATTAAGGTGCTTTTTCTCAAGGAAAGCAACCAGTCGTTCTAGATCTGAAGTACAAGGCTTTGCTTCCAAGAATCGGTGTTCAATTAATAAACCTCTTGTAGTTTAACTTTCCACTGTGATTTGTGTTGCCTGTGGCAAGGATGAGGAATTTATGCACATTCTGTTTTGTTGGTGTCAAGGAGAAAGCAAAATCTTTTCATTGAACAGGGGTATCGTTTTGTTGGGGAATATGCACAGACTGGGGGGCCATTTACTTAGTCGTGAAGAGTCTTATTTTCACTAGAACTTAGCCACCTTATGTAATTTATACCAAGTTCATGGCATCTTTTATGTGTAAATGGAGAGTTAGTTGATGACATGGTATAATGTTCTTGTAGTAACTTCTACTTTCATCAATATGTCCTAGGTATATGGCAGGTAATGTAACTACTTGGGACTCTGGTCAGTATAATTCCGATTATATGGGAATCATGTGAAAGTAAAACATAGGACAAGCAAGTTGTATTGAAGATCTGTTGGTGGGATGAGCAAGTTGAGAGATTCATTTTTTCCCTTTGCTCAAATATGCTTGTGTTATCCTGCAACTGTATTATTATATTATGCTTCTTACATCTGTATTATTACACATTAAAATTGTTGTATACATTATGGAACCGATTTCTTTCTTTGGTGCTTTCTGTTTTCTACATTATTTTGTTGTCACCCCCAACTTTTCTACCCAAAAAACTCTGCATGTTAGGAAATTGTGCAATCACTCCAGATACCACCAGTCCTGGTGGACCCTTTGTGCTTCCTTCTTTGTGGTATCACTCATATTCCATTTATTTGTTTGTGGATTTCTTGGACGTTGATTCCTTTTCACAAGATAGAACAAAAGGTTGCCACAGAGCTAAGAAGTGCTCTCTCTCATTCACAAACAGGACCGGTTCCTTACCATTTGATATATTGTGCATTTTAAGAGTATTTTCAATCATTTGTCACTGTATCCTTAAAGTATGATGAACTTTTCTGATTTTGTTTCGCTTGTGAGAGATATATCATTGCTAAAAGATACTTTACATGTGATTACGTTATCTTTTGACGCCATTAAAGATTTCCTTAAATAAAAATGGCTTTCATATAGTTAAGGCCTAATGAACTTCTGCAATATTTTGTTAAGCTCCTGGGGTTCATTTTATTTTTGCAAACAGTAAAACCTCCCTCAAGATATGGAACAAATCTTTGGTACTATAGTATTATTCGGTCAAGAAAGTGAAATTGTCCTTTGAATTATGATTGTGTTTATTCTTAAATTTAATTTATACTACAATGCAGTCTTGATTCACTAAAATTCAAAAGATTAAAAATTGACCGAACAATTACCTTTTCACTTTAACGTGAAAGCAAATTCATCTTGGAAAAAAAAATTATTTCGAAACACACTACTGTTCTAATCTTAGGCTTTGTTAAGAGGGCCTTTTCTAAAGACTAGGGTGGCAACTTATAAACCCTGTAATTTAGGGGGAAATTTTGACCAAACGAATCTATGCACTGGTAGGGTGAATTAGAATTCGTGGATAGAGTAATCTTAAATAAGCTTTATTTATCATAGTATCAATTAGTAACCTTCAGACAACTCAGACAGATAAGGGTCAATGTATGATATTTTGTAACTTTTGTTGTTGGAAAATTTAAAATAAATCAGCTCAATAAATTGAAACCAAGTACAAATGAACATTGGTAAATTTCTCGTCTTATTTTAGGGTAGTGCATCTACATTCCATAACATGGAAGTTTCAAGTGTGGTCACAAAATAAATCAAATGCGTGCTGTATTAAAAAGTAATACCCCTCCACTCCACTTTGGAATGGACAAACCCTGGAAACAGGACAATTGTCAAGTATAGAAATATAACAAAAACTGTAAGAAACCTAAAACTTTGAACAGAATTGGAAGGGGCCGCGCGAACGCAGGCCCCCGCTGCCACAAATTATGATGTAGGCTCTGCCACTTGGACAGACCTTAGAGAAGCACCCCTCCTAAGTGCAATGGAGGTCACAACCCTAGGCCATGGACCTTCTTGATCATCTATAGACCCCATCCAGGTAAGTATGTTCTTCATTCCCATAAGCTTTGCTTTTATTTCACATCCTCCATGCTACTTTGACTATCTTGTTCAATGTGGGATTCATTTAAACAGAGTGCTTTTGAAAGGGTAATGCAAGTGGTCTCTGGTTGCAGTGTGCTCCTTCAAACTTGAATCATTATAAGATGTGCTGATCCTGGTTGCATATACCCAATTGAAAACGTGGTGGCTTCAAGGGTCTTGTATCTTTGAATAAGACGAACAAGAATTAAACTCTAGCATTCAGATCCATTCATGATTTTCATAATAAAGACTACATTTGCTACATCAAAATATAATGGTCCCAAAAAATAGAAATGATAAAAATATGATAACAAGATAAAATAGAAACGATAAAATAATATGACAAGAAGATTGGACAAGAACTTTCGCCTTACATCAACAAACTGAAACAGACTCGCTCACTCATATTCTCAGTATAAATAATGACACATGCTAATGTAATTTCCCACAACATTTGTCATCCAAAATACAAATACGACATTTGCAACTACAATTGGAGGAACATTTATTAACTAAAATACATAAATACAACATTTGCAACTAAAATTGAAAGGAGCCGCGTTTATGATGGTATAGTGTATTTTTCATTCGGAAATTTAAGACGTTTTAACAGATATTATCAAACCAAATACCCAACGATTCTCCATTCAATCATTTTCGTGTAATCATAAAACATAAATGACCAAACATTAAAGAACTAGAAATGGAAGGGGCCGCGCGAACGCAGGCCCCCACTGCCACAAATTATGACGTAGGCTCTGCCACTTGGGCAGACCTTAGAACAGCACCCTTCCTAAGTGCAATGGAAGTCACTACTCTAGGCCATAGGCCTTCTTGATCACCCATTGACCCCGTCCAGGTAAGTATGGTTCATATGGTCATAAGCTTCAATTTTATAGCTTGTCTTACACGCCACTTTGGCTAATTTTTAGATGTGGGGCTTTTCTAAACCATGTTGGACTTGTGGTTTGTTCTCGCTGCAGTTAAATTTACTTTTTGTTGTCTCAGTTTGGTTGAGATATTTCTTTGGAAGCTATTTTATTTATGGGTCAGTGGCGATTCTTGTTTTCAGGAAAAGATGTACTGTTATTTTTTGGTTATCTGCTTCTTTAATTTGACTTAAAAACAGAATGGTAGTTCTGAATATCTAGATAACAACACTTTGAAGGATTTGCTTCTTGTAGTTTACTTATCCACTGTCTAGTTTAGGCATATACTTAGTTTTGTTGGTGTCAAGGAGAGAGCAAAATCTTCTGATTGAAAAGGGGTGGTTTGAGATGTTGTTTTGGTGGAGAAATTGCAGAATCTGGGGCATTTTCTTACATTTGAAGTCTCTTTAGTTTCACCAGAACTCACCACCTTGTGTTATTTGTACAAATTGCATGGCACCTGTATGTGTAAATGGAGTGTTAATTGATGTGACATGGACATCGGATTCATGTGCTGGTAGTAAAATACTCAGGCTCCTAACTATACTAACCCTGTAACTTATAAGTTTCATCAACTTGTCCTATGTACATGCTAGCTACAGTAATTATTTGGGTATCTGTTCAGTGAATGTTGACCAAATGGAATTCATGTGAAAGAAAAAAGTTATGACAGTTTCTTCCGTTGACTTATTTTGTTTGTCACAGAGCTAAGAAGTGGTGCTCTCTCTCATTCACAAACGGGAACGGTTCCTTACCATTTGATATATTGTGCATTTAAGAATATTTTCAATCATTTGTCACTGTATCCTTAAAGTATGATGAACTTTTCTGATTTTTTTTTTGCTTGTGACAGATATATCATTGGTAAAATATACTTTACATGTGATTACGTTATCTTTTGACGCCACTTAAAAGATTTCCTTAAATAAAAAATGGCTTTCATAAAGTTGACTTGAGGGTTAATGAACTTCTGCAATATTTTTTTAAGGCTCCTAGGGTTCATTTTATTTTTGCAAACAGTAAAACCTCCCTCAATATATGGAACAAATCTTTGGTACTATAGTATTATTCGGTCAGGAAAGTGAAATTGTCCTATGAATTATAACTCTGTTTATTCTTAAATTTAATTTATACTACAGTGCAATCTTGATTCACTAAAATTCAAAAGATTAAAAATTGACTGAAGAATTACCTTTTCACTTCAACATGAAAGCAAATTCATCTTGGAAAAAAATTATTTCAAAACACATTACTGTTTTAATCTTAGGCTTTGTAGGAGGGCCTTTTCTAAAGACTAAGGTGGCAACTTATAAACCCGTTTGGGGAAAATTTGACCAAACGAATCTATGCACTGGTAGGGTGAAGCTAAATATGGAAAAAGTATGCTTATGTCATAGAGTTTACATAGCTTAGAATTAGTGGATAGAGTAATCTTAAATAAGCTTTATTTATCATAATAGCAAGTCGTAACCTTCAGACAACTCAGATAAGGGTCAATGTCTGATGATATTTTGTAATTTTTGTCGTAGGAAAATTTAAAATATGAATCCAAGTACAAATAAACTTTGGTAAATTCCTCGTCTTATTTTAGGGTGGATACCATCAAAGATTGAAGTCCATATATGAGTGCATCTACGTACCATGACATGGAAGTTAAGTGTTGTCACAATAAATCAAATCCGTTCTGCATTAAGAAGTAATACCCATTTATGTCTGCGATGATATTTATGTGATAAAAATGATCAGTTCAACATCTACTGCCATATGTGCAATTAGTTTTTAATGCAATTAGTTTTTCAATTCTTTGTGCAATACTATGCAGCATCATCAGTTAATGAACGTCAAATAGGCAAAAAACAGACAGTTTCATTTTTCTTCCCTCTACTTCACTTTGGGAAGCTTACGTATGGACAAACATTGGAAAAGGACAATCGTCTAGTCGAAAAATACAAGGGCCCCCACCACCACAAATTATGACGTAGGCTATGTTACTTGGGCAGAACCTCTCCTTAGTGCAATGGAGGTCACTGCTCTAGGCCATAAACCTTCTTGATCACACATCATTAACCCCATTAAATATGTTGATAAACGTCATAGTCTTCAATTTTATAGTTCATCCTACGCACTAATTTGGCTAATGTTTTTGATGTGGGACTCATTTGAACATGGGGTTTGGGACTAATACAAGTGGTCTAAAATTGCAGGTGATTTAAAATCTGAAGTAGGAGGGATTTTCACTTCACAGGAAATATATAATGGGTTCAATGCTTACTTGTGATGACTTGTAGAGGTTCATTCAATAGATGCATATATTCAACTTAAAACGACTTTGTGTTCATTCTCTTAGCAAGATAACACAAGAAACACATTTAAAGACCAGCTGGCTTCAGAGGATAATTATTGGTCTAGCATCTCGAATTCTTGACACATGTTTTGTGTCTTTGGTTTTTGATGATACAAAAACAGGAAGCGATCCTTCTAGCTGGACATTGTTCATGTGTAAGTCTTTCCAGATTCATTCAACCAGCGATTTGATTCAAGTTATTCACAAAATGTAATACACTGGAAGATGATGACAACCATAAGTCAATTTTTCAGGGACAGATAGTACCGAATGATAATAAAAGACCAAACCAGAAAGAAGCAACAAGAAGTCTCAATTAAAACATCCTCAAGAAAAATGCTATTTCACCAGCTTTACTTTTTGTTAGTCATCCATGACATTAAACTTGAAAGTTTCAATTGTTGCACAAAATAAATGAAGTGGGTACTTTACTAAGCAGTGTGCATACGAATGATCAATTAACTGAATTAAGTGAGTGTTTTGATGTCAGTTAAAATGGCATGTATGTACGTTTTGGATCCATTAGCTACTTCAAAAAAAAAAAAACGCAGGTCAACCACGCCAAACATACACTAAACAAATTTGTTGCGATGTGTGTAAACAGTTTTTTTGTTCTTTGTATAGTCTGCAAAATTTACTGTAAGACATCGTAGCATGAACCAAGAATAATATGTTAATTTCATAACAATTTTAGAATGACAGAAGCTGAAACGGCGTAATTCTAGCTAAATTAACCATAGTCGCGGAATCCAAATGCAGATACATCATGGTATCATAGTCATTTCCAATGTAAGATATATCTATATTTATATCTATATGCTCTGCATGGAAATAACTCAACAGATGCAGATTCCTAAAAATCAAACTACTATCAAACTTGAGAAATTCCAATTCGAATTGGTTTTTTCGAAGGATTACAATTGACCTCTCTAAATTAAACTGAAATTAGAAGGAGCCGCGCGAACGCAGGCCCCCACTACCACAAATTATGATGTAGGCTCTGCCACTTGGACAGACCTTAGGGAAGCACCCCTCCTAAGTGCAATGGAGGTCACAGCCCTAGGCCATGGACCTTCTTGATCATCCATAGACCCCATCCAGGTAAGTATGTTCTTCAATGCCATAAGCTTTGCTTTTATTTCTCATCCTCCATGCTACTTTGACTATGTTGTTTAATGTGGGACTCATTTAAATGCAATTGGTCTCTGGTTGCAGTGTGCTCCTTCAAACTTGAATCATTATAAGATATGCTGATCCTGGTTGCATATACCCAATTGAAAACGTGGTGGCTTCAAGGGTCTTGTATCTTTGAATAAGACTAATAAGAATTAAACTATACACATGAAATTTACATTTTGTGTCAATTTCACTGTATCTACTCAGAATATTTTTTTGTCTGATTATTACACTACTTTCACTTTTTTATTACTCAAACAACAACAATCTTTTAAAGCTGTACATATGGGCTTGCCAGAATAATTTTCACAACTTTCATCCGCAGAAGTTCCACAGCATCACTGTATTCTACAAGCTTATAAGTTCAGCTTTGATATTTAGGTAAGACTCATATCTTAAAATATGACCATGCCGCTAAACATCCAGTAAACAAAAGACAGTACTCTAGGATTCAGATCCATACATGATTTTCATAATAAAGACTACATTTGTACTACATCAAAATATAATGGTCCAAAAAAATAGAAATGATAAAAAATATGATGACAAGATGAAATAGAAATGATAAAATAATGATAACAAGATTGCACAAGAACTCTCGCCTTACATCAACAACCTGAAACAGAAAACTCACTCATATTCTCCAGTATAAATTACTGACACATGCTAATGTAATTTCCCACAACATTTGTCATCCAAAATACAAATACAACATTTGCAACTAAAATTGAAAGGAGCAGCATGCAGACCTCACTACCACAAATTATGATGTAGGTTCTGTCACTTGAATAGACTTTAGAGCAGCACTCATCCTAAGTGCAATGGAGGTTACTACACTAGGCTATGGATCTTCTTGATCATCCATTGACCTCATCCTAGGTAAGTATGTTGCATACCACAATAAACTTCAAATTTGAATATCATCTGCTTCACCACTTAGGCTATTGTTTTTTCACGTGGGATTTATTTGAACTGGTGTTTTGAAGGCTTGCTTTTCAAGTCCGCTATGAACGTTCTTGCTGAAAGATTACTTTTCATTTGTAATTGCAACATCATCATTATGAACCTTGTTTTTGGTAAATGAATGAAGAAAGAGAGAGAATGAATGACTAGCGGGCTAGCCTTCTTCAATAGTGTTAACTAATTTCAAACACCATTCAAGTTGCATCATACTTTGTCCGAAGGACAACGGGATTGTCTCCAAGATTCAATTCTCTGGTATACGTCAACAAAGAGTTATAATCGACATAAAAGGAGAAAACACATACATCTTTCATCAAGACCTTCTATTTTATTTTGTTTATTGAGTGATGCAATATCCAAATTCACTGATTCAAAAGCTTCAACTTCCTTGTCATAATTCTTTGGTTTTTAAAAATATTTCTTTGGCCGTGGCAAAAGTTATAAATATTGTCAATCATATTCTATAACTAATGCATGCGTTTCATTCCATTTATCAACACACTTACATTCTACCACTCCATAAGGGCTTGCCAAATAATTTTTACAACTTTCATCTAGGGAAGCTCCACAGCATCATTTGTATGGAAGTGCCAGTAGTTTACTTTACCAGTGGGCATTAACTAATTAAAAATGGAAAAAGTTAAAAACTTGTCCTATTTAGCTTGGTCTGATATAAGATAGATCAGACGCATTGCCAATTTGCTGAAAAATGTAAGTCTTTAGGGGACCAGATCATCCTGTGCATATCAACTATGGCTTAATACAGGAGAAAATGTAAGTAATTATTTTTCTTCACCTTTCTACACATATTAACATATTAACCCCACCTCCTGCCAATTGGACAACATTTACGGCTTAATTGGTAGGGGCCGCGCGAACGCAGGCCCCCACTACCACAAATTATGATGTAGGCTCTGCCACTTGGGCAGACCTTAGAGCAGCACCCCTCCCAAGTGCAATGGAGGTCACTGCCCTAGGCCATGGGCCTTCTTGATCACCCATTGACCCCATCCAGGTAAGTATGTTGCTTTGTGTTGTATGCTTTCTTTTTATATCCTTTCCTTCATACTGCTTGTTTTAACACATTCGATGTGGGATTAATTGACACATGGTATTTTGCGAACTTAGCTCTACAAATAACAAGTGCTAGAAGATTGGTCTCCATTTGTCATTATGAATCTTTGTTTTCGTAAATAAATGGCAAAATAATGAGTAATAAGATTAGCCTCCATCATTAATGTCAACTAATACTGAACACCATTCAGGTTGCAACAAGCTTTTTGCCTTTAGGAGAACCACGACCAACATTCAGTACTCGAGTTGTATACTTCAACCATAACTTTTTGTTTGTTTAATATATGATACAATATCTAAATTCTATACGTTTTGGCACTTAACACTTCCATTTGCAGTTGTAGGAATCAATGTTCTCTTTTTCAAACTGATGATGTGAATTCAGATTCCCAAACTTTTCCTAATAGGAAATTTGAATTTACGAGATGAAAGCTTGGAGTTACGAAAAATAAAATCTCAAGGAGGTGTGTTAGAAACTGTATGTTCAAGAAATTACCTTGGTTAAAATCTGAGTTTGTGCTTACTTTTGAATACAAAAGTTTGTGAGCAGTTTTAGGTAAAATCAAATCTTAAAATAAGTTATGACCCTGCCCAACTCGCTGAGCTAAAAAGAGCACTGCTCAAAGGATTATTTTTTTTTCTTAAGAAAGATACTCTAAGGAGCTAAATCTGCATTTGGTTTTCATAAAAAGAATGCACTACGTTAAACGATTAGAGCAAAGATTGGACAAGAAAATGGAGAAAAATTTGAGAAACGAGTCTAAATATATGATTAAAAAGATACATGACTGAAAATGATAATTGCATGTTTTTTCTATGGTTTATGGAACTTCTGTTACCATTTGATGAGTCACTATCTCATCTAGAAAATTAAATATTTTTAATCATATTTCATTGAATTTAAATTATAAGTCAATGCAATTAATTAAGAAATTCAATGGAATGTTGTATTTGCTGAAAAATTTATGAATCACTCATATTCTAATGGCTGACAATTTTATTTTGAAGGGATTAAAAAGAAATTCTGCAATTGGACTTAAAGAACGAAAATTAAATGCTACAGGACACACTTTGTGGGGACACGAACTCTTATTTGTGGGAACACGATACTGACTGATACATATAAAAGCGAAAAAATTCTGAAAAGGCAGCATCTTTTATCTTTCCTTTTTAGAATATTCTAGAACACAGTTTCCTAGGTTTTACATACAGTTTTACGTAGAATAGGGTAACTAGGATATTTTCTTTACATCTTTGTTAGAGGATTAGGATAGGAACTTGGATTTCCCTCCCATCTTTTCTGATTTCTGTAGTAGAACAGTAACTCTTTTACTTTATCAGTTCATTGTAAGTTTTTCTGTGACTATGAATTTTGTTTCTACAATATATCTCTGTTTTAATTCATTTCCTTTCATAATGTCTAGCTAAATCTCTTTGGGGTTGAGTAAAGATGAACTTATATCTTTATCCATTGCAATGAACTAAACATTATATGTGACTCAAGATGGAAGCTTTAATCTAACTTTTTAATTCTGAACTTAATGTCTCGCTGTTCTACGTGAATGGAGTTGATGAAAAGAAGTTCATTACTGGAAAGTTGTGGACTTTCTTGGACTGGGGTTAAAATGCTTATTATGAATTGTCTAGGAATAGAAATTTATGATAATGTGGTCATATGGGTTTTATCCTTAATGCTGAACGTTTTTGGTTTACCTAAGGGATTAGGAGATTAAAAGTTGTTTTAGAACCAATTACAAGGAATTGGAGTTGGATAATTTAGACAACCTGACCATTAGATTGGCTATATTTTGAGTTACAAGTATATTTTAAGCAAGGGAAAAGGGATAAGGGATTCTAAACTCAACCCATTTATTAATATTTGCAAAAACCTATTTTCTCTATTTGAGTTATTTACATTCTGTAGTTCTGTTGCTTATTTTCTGTATTAAGTTTTACTTTTATCCATTTATTAATTGTAATTCCAGCACATTTACTTTCAATTTTATAATTCTGCTATGTTTAATTTCGTATTACTATATATACTTTGTTTTTTGTGACTCAACTAGTAATATTCTTATGGTTTGATACTTAACACTTATTCTTTCTCATCCTTATCGACAAGCATAAAAGTTAGTCTAAAAGCAACACTTTCACTATCTCCTTTGAATTATGACTCTTGAGTAAATTATATCCTTTGTTTTTAACTTCTAAATCAAGGTTTCAAAAAGCTGGATGTAGATCAATTATTTTGCGTGAAAGTTTTGAATAATCTAACTAAAAGAGAGATTGAATTTCTTCAAATTAGAGTTGATAGTGTAATCTTGAAGGAAAGAAAAAAGCTTCACTATATTAGAAAGTGTCTGTGACGAAAAAGAATCGATTTCTGCAAAATTGAAAATTATTTCTTGCCATCCAACGTTTATCGTAAATAGTAGTCTTAGAAAAATTTTAACAATAGTATCTTACTTTAGTTATCCTCCACGGGTTGAGATATAGGTCTTAGACTACTTATTGAAAAATACTAAAATAATTTATTAACCAATCACAATAAGTAAATTGTTGGTGGTCTAAAATTCAAATAGATTATCTTATAAGAAATCTTATATCCATAAGCAATGTAGCTTACCTTAAAAAGACTCCAACATTCTTTCTACAAAGTTGAAACGGCCCCCAATGTTGTATTTATAAGAAACTCATTCTTTTCTCACGGTTAAAATTCTATCAATAAGGGAGTTATTAATATTTAACATGTTAGTTTCAATAAAATAAAATTATATTGAAGATTTGAGCATAAAGTGAACCAAATTCACTTATAGATAAAATGTTGAAGATTGTTTCCTTACAATTTATTATTGCATAAATGACACCTAAAACTATCAAATTTAATCAACTCAATTCATTCCAGTTGGCACACTACGAGTTGAATTATAAAATAAATCCATTTAACCCAAACCACTTTTATTATATGTTAAAAAATAACATTAACTCATATCACAATAATTTCCCACTTTATTCATTTATATTTTATATTAAATTAAGTCCGTTCAGCTAAAAAACAAAACCACAACATTGTTGTCCTTATCACAACACGTGACCAAAATCATGTGAACGGCCTAAATGTTGCTGCACAGCTAGATAGAGTGCATGCCAAGCACCGTATCATTGCCCTATCTATCTTTCAATTTCAGACATGTGGATGGATAATAGAAACATAGACATAAGTGAAACTGAAGTGGAACAAGCAAATTTTGTTTTAGAACTCAAGAATGGCTTCTATCCCATGCATCACCCAGCAACCCATCACTTCTAAGTTTAACAATGCCTTTCCTTCACCACTTGTTTCTGCCCCAAACTTGGCTTCACGTTTTCTGGGTACCCGAAAAAGTGTTGGGTGGCTCAGCCTCACCTCTAGAATTGGACCCTCTAATGGTTCCAAAGCCACATGCTGGTTCAGGTTTGGTAAGAATGGTGTTGATGCTGAAGGTGCTGGCATTTATGGAAGCCAGTCCCGGGATGATTTTGATAGAGATGATGTTGAACAGGTTGGTAATTGAAATTCTCTATGTTGGTACTATTCCCATTGGTGTGTGGAATTGTTTCACACTTGTGCTTGTGGTTCTGCTACTTAGATATTTGTTTATTTATGAAATAAGAATTATGCTTCTATGTTAGTTTTTTGGTAAGAATTGTGCTTATGCATTACTGGTATGTGTTATCGTAATTTTCATTTTTTACAAATTTTTGAAGAGAAGCATGAGTGCAGATTCATTCATGCTTCAATGCTAGAGTAGGGTAGATCACAGTTTTGTTGAAACGAAATCTGGAAAAGGGAAGCATAATTTTATGTTTTCATATATAACAATTGAAACTAAACTAGGGGGGCCGCGCGAACGCTGGCCCCCGCTACCACAAATTATGATGTAGGAGCTGCTACTTGAGCAGACCTTAGGGAAGCAACCCTCCTAAGTGCAATGGAGATTGCTACCCTAGGCCATGGGCCTTCTTGATCACCCATTGACCCCATCCAGGTAAGTATGTTGCACCATGTTACCCACTTTGATTTTATATCTCATCCTCAACACTACTTTGTCTAAGTTTTCCAATGTGGGGTTCACTGGGGGCTTTGGAGGCACCCCTCTCATCCTCCATTTTCCTAAGAGTAAGACCTGCTTAATTTGTCTCATTGAGACAATAGTTGTGAATGACGTAGAAGGATCTTCTTCAACTAGTAAAATGATTTTCTTTTATTCTGGAAACCTTTAAGTGTCTGAAGACTGTAATTGATAGGAAAAAACTGAATATTCTGGGAAAGGGATATGTTGGTTAACTATGCTAAATGAACCTTCGTGAGGTTCTGAAGTTACTTTAAAGGAAGGAACAGACACAGCAATAAGTCATTTGGAAAATTATTATCTAAATTATCTCAATTAATGAACTTAAGATCATCTCATCTACTGTGCACATATCTGATATAATATGATGAATTCATCATAAATTTGATATCTTCAGAACTCCAAGACATTATTTGTCACAAATAAGACAAGCAAAGACATCGCCTAATTTTTCACTGCATTAGGATATAACCACTTTTCTTATGACCTTGAGGCATCTGTAGTAGCAGATTTCAAGAGTTTCTCTATATTTAAATGTATAGTTCAGTTGAAACACTGAAACTTATTGGGTATCTATTTTATTAAAATGCTGCATTAGAGGAAAAGTATGTTTGGCAGGCTCTGCATAGTCCATCATTGCTACTGGTTCTACTCAGGAAGAAATTTGAATTTGTCTTAGAAGTATTTATTTGACATTCCCCTTTTTCTACTACTTCAAATTGTTTTATTGCAGGCATTCTGAGTTTCAAATTTCCTCAACTAATCTACTTTCGAGAATACTATTAATTCAGTGTTGTTATTAGTATATTATTGGTTTTGTTAACTTAGAAAGGCTAAGTTTAAGCATATAAAGATAGTAAACTTTTACTAGAAAAGGAAACATTTATTATGTTGGAGATACAAAAGTGTATAATGCTTCATCTTTCAATAAAAATTTACTACTCTTTGGACTAATGTTAACAAAATAGATATTCTATAGCTTTACCTATTCTTTTATTGACTATCCTTAGGTATTTTAATTTGGAAATTCAGTTTTGTAGTTGAAAAAAATGCATGTGATTAGAAAATGATTTTATGGTCCAGCAGGATGCACAAGCTTTATAATTATATCATAATCTTTTGCAGTACTTCAACTATATGGGAATGCTCGCAGTAGAAGGATCATATGATAAAATGGAGGCTCTTCTAAGCCAAAACATACACCCTGTGGACATCCTTTTGCTGTTGGCTGCCTCAGAAGGTGACAAACCAAAAATTGAGGAACTCTTGAGAGCTGGAGCAAAATATGATGTAAAAGATGCGGATGGACGAACAGCTCTGGATAGGGCTAATGATGAAATTAAAGATTTCATTCTTAATTTTTCAGTGCAGAGGGCATGATTTTTTTTGTTGCCATTATAAGCCAGTTCAGCTACATATTTGTTTACATTTTCATAACTTTCAAACTATGTTAATTTATAATATATGCTTTGGATTGTCACAAGAATGAAGTTTATCTCAATAATCAGTGTATACACAATGACTAAACCTAGACATACTATACTAATTAAGAACATGTAACACTGCAACCTATAAAGTAGTTAATACAATCCAGATGGTGTGGACAATATTATATAGAATTGGGTTGCCATTTTGCAAATGAAACTCCCCTCTGCATATAACTTGTTGATACAAGTACAACCAACTCTTAAATTGCCAGTGCCAAGTGCACGGTATATTGCTGCTATTGTAATTATCTAGGTCCCATGAGCTTTTGTTAATGATCAAATTTGGCACAAGCTTTGGTGAACTTGTGTCATGAAATTTCTTTTGATTGTGAACATGTTCCAGCTTAAAATGTCTGATTTATTTCTTGCTGAGGTTGTAGAAGCTGTTAAGATAGATTAATTTAATAGGAATGAAACAAAGGTTTCTTAACTTATTTTTATATTTCATAATGTCATTTTTGCAAAATTGTCACGTAAATCCTCAATTCGCATGCCATGCATATTAAAATGAACCTGCTTATACTTACAGATGCTGAAGGCAATGTATACTTTTCATATATTTGAATGGGGCGTTTCACCTATACATTGCACATTACTTATTCACAATACCTGCATTTACAACTTTGTTGTTTGTACATGGTCGCATCCTACATCTTCTTTATCTCAGTACGTCTCTATCTTCTAAGTTGTGCTTTTCTTTAATTTTTCTTAACCACTGCGTCATAATCTTTTAGTACGTATCAATTCCTTCAAAATCATTTTTTCCTATTTCTAAATACGTTATTCTACACGAAGAGAGAGAACTTAGTTTAATTATGTTTCTTTTAAAACATTCAGCAAAACAAAATTGTTTGTGTCAAGTTGGCATCATATGGTAGAGACCTAATTGTGTGATCGACTGCAGTTTGAGAAACTAATGAGATGATTTTAAAAAGTTAGAGATTGATATACTCAACTCTTACGATATGTTCTTGGACTCGTTTTGGGGGGGAAGACTTCTCGTTAGTGTGGAAAGGAGTCGAAACAGAGCAGGCATAAACAAACTTCAAAGTTTAGTTGCAAATAAACTTAGTTAACAATGGAAGGCATATTATTAGAGTCAACTCATAGGTATACCTATCGCTTCATTTGTTAACCTATGCTTAATCTTAAAGTATTTTAATATTGGCTAGTAGACAATTTTTAAAGGATTGTAGAAAGACTTAGAAGGTTTGCTTTTCAAAAATTTAATGGAAAATGCAAATTTTGTAGCCTTCGCTGCTAATAACAGGGTGGAGTGGGCTGTTTCGATAATTTTGCACAGGGCCATGGTTCAAATTGTCTCATTTGTCCGGAAATATTCAATTGAAAATATTATTTTTGTTTCAAATTTGAAGTTACTCCTCAATAACACATTTTATATTCTCACTAAACTATATTGATATTTTTTGGAACATGAAGCAGTTTTTGAACATACGATTGGAAGCAACACTGAAGAAAAATGTCAGATAGATTAGTAAAATCCGTAAATTCACTAGCAGCAATATAACCTTGGCAGGCCAAGAAAGACCAATTGTCAAGCCTTTCAGAAATTGTTGATCAAGTGTAGGAAAAGATTGCATAGGAAATCATTTCCAGCAGGCATTATTGACCATTGACCAATTATAAAAAAAGATAAAATCAACAAAAGAGACAAGTGCATCCTAGCTGTACACTAAGATAAGAAAAGAAAGACATGCACACATGCACTGTTTAACGACACCAAGGTGAGGTTGTGCTGAGAAAGAGACACAAGATCACCTATTTCTCGCTGCATCTCCACTGGGGGTACTTAAGTCACTCGTCTCCATTCAGGTATAGATTTAGGTTACTCAATATCTTAACTTGTTTTGCTTCCTTATTTCCTAATTGCTCATAAAATCTGAACACTCTTTGGTTGAATCTAACTTGATATATTTTGTTTTTGTTTTGGGGTTTTTGATATGAACAAATCAGGTTTAGAACAATTTCAAGTTTCTTGAGAAGTGAGAACAGTGTGAGGTTTCACTTTTCATTTCTTGGTAACCAACTTCCCTTGGTCTTTCACTTTTATGTCATAGCATGTTTGTTAGTTGTTTCTTAGTTGTGTAATTCTGGATCTATAACAAATAACGGATATATTTTGTGTTTGATATGCTCTGTTATTTTAAACTTCAATGATGCTTCACGAATGTGTATTTGTGTGTCTATGAAATTAAAGTGCACACAGTATGCCCCTTGAAGAGAATTTTGTTCAGTTCACTTTTTCATCAAACATTAAATGAGAAAAATATATGGTGATTCAGACCTAATGATGTACTGAATAGGGAAACTAAGAAAGAAATCAATTTCTAGAAATCTGCATTTAGATGAAGCAGTAAATAAGCTAGGCTTACATTTAGCTATTGTAGGGACCAAAAGATGAGATAAGATACTAATAAAAATATTGTGGCACATTTAGCTACGGTGGTGAGGTTATCTGATGTTATGATTTTACCATGTTGAACAATAATTTGGTTAATCAAATTGAGTTCAATCAAGTATGCATTTAGTGCACATTTAGGTAATAACAATGGTTTTACAATGAGTGTCTTTGCCATAACTGAGAAGAAGCTGGTTGGTGTAATTGTTAATTGCTCCCACAACACACCTTTCCTTCTCTCTATTATGATCTTGCAATCCCCTGAATGTTCAAACAACTGATCAATTCTACACATTATCCAAATCCTTTTACATCATCCACTAAAAAGTCACTAGATTTCTAACCCATAAATTTTATAAACTCAATAATCAGTTTAATTTTTCAGATACTAAATGTTGAGAGAGAAGAGATTGATAGACATCAAGTGAAATTTGTGTGTTTGATATACGACCGAGAGCTTTATTTATAACTAGATGTAATTCCTGCGTTCCCGAGCAGATTTATAAAATTAATTTTATTTATAATAGTTAATAATAAAATTGTTATAAAAAATAATATTATTGGTAATTATTTTAAATCAGATTAATTATTATTATCAAACAAATAGGCTGTAGTAAAAAAATTAATTATTATATCATAAGTAAATATTCTACAATATATTCTAAATGAGAGCTTATTATTTGGGAAGTAAAGTGTTCCGGAAGCTACTTGCTTTCACATTTCACCACATATAGTATTAATTCAACTAGCAGTAAGAAATGGTTCTTTTTATCAAAACTTTGGGTTCAACCCATTAGAGCACCTAGTAAACAAAATATAAAAATTAGAAAACAATTTAATAAAAACCCAATTATGAGTATAAGCAAAAACAACAAAAACTTTACTGCAGGGCTAAACTACAACACAAAAATCAACAAAAATAAGAATCAATTTAACAAAAAAACAAGTAAAGAATAATAATTTTTGAAAATGTGAAAAATCGTGCCACTTTGCAAGAAATAATTGAGTACAACAAAAAAATTAATTCGTAAAAAAATTAATTCTTTAGAAAGACCTGAAAGCTCAAAGAAAGAAGTTAATGATTCAGATGACAATAATATGCATCATTAGACAATTATTTAGACATTCTAAAGAACAAACAGGGTTCTGTTTAGAACTAGGATTGTGTGATTGCAACGATTGCATCATTCCACAAATTAATGATTTAACATCATACAGGAGTTATAATTTCTATTATATATAAATTATAAGACTCCCCTTTAAGAACAAAATTCATTGGTAAACTTAATGAATTAACACAAAAAATAGAATAAATTGCATTAGAAGTTAAACCTATAGAAATGAAGGAAATATTCTCTAGGTTTAAAGAACTCCAAAATCAAGCAACAATGGAAGACTTACAAAATGAGATTAAAATAAAAAAAATATTTTAGAACTAAAATAAAATCAATTAACTTTAGAATATAGGTTAATTGAATTAGAAGGACAACAATTAATAAAATAAGTTAAATTAACAGAAGAAAAAGAACTTGAAATTTTTCAAATGTAATTATTAAGTTTAATCACAGCCCATAAATGGTGGCCTGAAATAATATTAGTAGTTGAAAAAAAAAAGTTTAATTTTATTATACTAATTGACTCAAGTGCAAATGCTAATCGTATACAAGAAGGTTTAATTCTTACAATTTTTTTTAATAAAAATAACTGTAAAAATAACAAGTGAAAATAGTAATAAAATGATAATTAATTACAAATTGTCTAAATTAAAAATTTGTAAAAATAAAATATGTTTTACAACAGCTTTAGTTATAATTAAAAATATGAACAATCAAATAGGAACTCTCTACTTAACATTGCTACATCCTTTTCAAATTAGTAATGTCGGATTATCTGCACAGGTAATTCCAGAAAAACAATAACTTTTTGAGTTTCTAAAAGCACCTAGGACAAGAAAACATAATCTATTACAAGAACCTTCAATAAAGGAAGAAAACATTATAGGAAGAAAACAAATCAAATAGTTTCTTAACAAAGAGATTCAAAACAAAAGAATAGAAGAACAACTGGAATCACCAAAAACAAAAATATAATAAGAATTTTCAACAAAGAATAGAGAAAGAATTTGCGAAACAAATTCTGTGGTTTTTCTCTTTATTAAGAAACTTTATTTGATTTGGTGTGGCTTTTTGCAAAATCCAAACCATGCCCACCAATATAGCTACAAGCTAACAGTTAAACAATGCATATGCTTCTTTCAAAAGTTCATGAGGATATAAGGTATGAAGCTTGCTTACTCTGAATATGCATATACTAAATGTCTATATGGTAAAATTAATTTGTTGCAATCCGAATTAGACTTTCACCTACTGTATAAGTTTGTTATTTATGTGTGATTAATCGAAAAGATGGAGGCCTTAATATTTTATCTCTTTTTTGCCATCCTAAAATAAGCTTATTCATATGTAGTGTAGGCTTCTAAGTGGGACTAAAATGTGAGTTATATTTGGAATTTCTTATTTACAAGTTCATCTACTTTCTTCAAATTGATTTAGCATGTGTAGAACTCTGAGTTGCTTCTTTGTCACCCAACAACTGACCTAACCATAAATTCCATATTGAAGCATCTTCCACTAACCTATGCCCACGATTCTATTGTTAGGTTGCATTTGATTTGATGGCTGATATTGTTCTCTCCATTGTGGCTAAAGTTGCTGAATATTTGGTGGAGCCAGTAATACATGAAGGAAAGTATTTTTTTTGTGTTAGTAGAGTAATCAAAGATCTGCAGAATGAAAAGGAGGAGCTGAAATCTGAAAGAGATAGCTTGCAGGACCGTGTTGAACAGGCGAAAGAGAGAACTGATCTAATTGAAAAACCTGTGGAAGAGTGGCTGAATAATGTGAAAAAGCTACTAGATGAGGTGGAAGATTTGGAGCAGAGGATGAGCACAACCGACAATTGCTTTCAAGGGCGTTGTCCAACTTGGAAAAGGTATTGTTTATGCAAGAAAATTGTAAAGAAGATAGAGGCAATGGGGAAATTCAAAGGAAAAAGCAATATTCATCCGTTTTCTCGCCGTTCTCCACTTCCAGGAATTCAGTATGAATCATCTGAAAATTTTACTTATTTTGAATCTACAAAAGTGGCTTACAATCAACTCTTGGAAGCAGTTCAAGATGATTGCATCAATATGATAGGGGTCTATGGGATGGGTGGATCTGGGAAAACAACTCTTGTAACAGAAGTGGGTAATAAGGCTGAGGAGTTGAATTTGTTTGACAAGGTTATATCAATTACAGTGTCTCAAACTCCAAACATTAAAAACATTCAAGGAAAAATGGCAGATATGTTAAACTTGAAATTGGATGAAGAAACTGAAGACGGAAGAGCACAACGGATATGGCTGACTTTGAGAGAAAAGCGAGTTCTTATAATAGTAGATGATATATGGGGAGAGTTCAAATTGAAGGATGTAGGGATTCGCTTAGACAATGAGTGCAAGAGCAGATGGAAGATCCTTATAACAACTCGTCGTCAAGAAATATGTGATTTACTGGACTGTCAAAAGAGGATTCATCTAGGTCTCTTATCTAATGATGAATCTTGGACTTTGTTCCAAAAGCATGCCAATATTGATAATGCCTTCTCTGAGTCATTGATGGATGTGCCGCTAAGACTTTGTGATGAATGTAAAGGACTACCCATTGCAATTGTAATTTTAGGATCTTCCTTGAAAGGAAAATCCAAAGATGAGTGGGAGGTGGCACTACAAACCTTAAGGTACTCAGAATCAATTGAAGATCACGAAGGTGTGAGAACTGCTCTAAGTTGTCTTAAATTGAGTTATGATTACTTAAAAAACAAGGATGCAGAGTTGCTCTTCTTGATGTGTTCGTTTTTTCCAGAAGACTCTAAAATCTCCAAAGAATATTTGATTAGATGTGGTGTTGGACTGGGTAGGGAAGGAGCATTTTCGTTAGCCTCAAGAAGAAGTCGGATCCAAGTAGGCATAAACAAACTTCTAGATTCTTGCTTGTTGATGCCTGCTGAGGAAAGCAGACACAACTGGCATGGATATAGTGAGGAAACAGTAAAGATGCATGACCTGGTTCGTGATGCAGCCATATGGATTGCCAAAAGATTGAATCACAAAAGTCTGGTAAATCTTGACAAACCACTTAGCACCTTGGCAGAGGATTATATTATAAGAGATTATTTTGCCGTTTTCTCATGGTGCGAGGAAAATAAAATTTCTTTTCAATGGGATGCTCCAAACCTTGAAATTCTCTTGCTACATATTGATAATTTGCATTCCTTGAATTTATCTTATGCTACATTTGAAGGAATAAAAGGGCTCAAGGTTTTCTCTATAATTCGTCCTTATCCTTTCTTTTCTAGTTCACAATTACTATCATTGCCTCAATCAACTCAGTTGTTGACCAATCTTCGAACTCTGTGCTTGAATGGATGGCAGTTAGATGACATTTCTTTCATATCAAGTTTAACTGCACTTGAGGTTCTTGACTTGCAAAGTTGTCACATCAATGAACTTCCCAATAAAATGGAAAATCTCAGTAGACTGAGGCTGCTAGATTTGACAAATTGTTTTATTCTACAGAAAAACTATAATGGAGCAATAGGGAAATGTTCGCAACTAGAGGAATTATATGCTTTAGGATGCAAACCAGAAGAGTACCTTTCTCAGAGCCTTATGGATATTGTTACATTGCCAAAGCTGCAGAGGTTTGTAATAAATACTATTAAGAAAAACAATGATCCAGATGTGGAGGAACATTTAAACAATGCCGGTAATATTTGTCCGGAAGGGGTGAGATTTCTATCACTAGATGTTTTTAATATCTCAAACTTGAAGACATCAAAACAAAATCTTCTGCAAATTGCTGAGATTGTTTGTTTGCAACACCTTCATGGAGGATGTAAAAATGTCATCCCAGACATGATTGGAGTTGTGGGAGCCATGAAAAATTTGAGTAGTCTCAGTCTTGATGATTGTGCAGATATAGAATGCCTCTTTGATACAACCACTGATCCTGTTTGTGTAGACTCACATGCTTTGATTCCCAAGTTGGTCGGGCTAGAGCTATTGAGATTGGAAAACTTGAAAGAAGTGTGTCAAGGTCAACCTTTGCAAGTGCTACGCCTCTTTGAGAAATTAGAAAAAATCTATATAAAAGATTGTTTCAAGCTGCATAGCATATTTCCATGGGAATGTAATTTACAGAACCTTAAGATTCTTGACATAGGCCACAATTTCGCTTGTGAAGCACTCTTCTCAATGTCTGTTGCTGAAAGTTTGCATCAGCTGCAAGAGCTCTATATTCATTGTTGTTATGCATTGAAACATATAATTGCAAGTGGAAGAGATCATTGTTTAAGTACAAGCAATGACATAGCTTCAGCGCCAACAAGTTCTCATTTTCGGATGTTGATGCCCAATATGAAAAGATTATACATTTCTCATTGTCCAAAGTTAGAGTCTATATTCCCAATCTTTTTTATTGGAGGACTTGCTCAACTGCAAGAGATAGCAATTGTTAATGCTCCTAAGCTTAAATATATATTTGGTGAATGTGATCAAGGGAATCATTCATCTCATTGGTATGAGGGCCAAATCATGCTCCCTCATTTAGAAGTTCTTACTCTAGAAAATCTTCAAAATCTCATTGGGATATGCCTTGAAAACTATCATGCAAAGTGGCCATTCGAAACAACTGTGTCAAATTGTCCAAAATTGACTCCATCAGAGACAACACCACCAGTTAGTTTGATTTAATTTCATACATTTTTTGGAATATGAATTTCACCAGATTTTAATTTGCATCTGATGCTTCATAGTTTTGTTTTATTTATACCATTTCCTTTATGATATTTGTAATCTCATTATTTGGTTAGTTTATCTTTTGAATATTGCATTTTCAGAAAGTTGTCCTTTGTGAGGATCAGCAAAAGAAGTTGGCCTCAAAAATAAAAAACTCGACATTAAGAGGTTTACCTCAATTAAACCTTATATCATGTGTGGGTCCTGCTCCCGGACAGATTCTGAGTCTCCAATGACTTCAAGATTTAAACGTCAGTCGATGCGAAAACTTGAAATCTCTGTTCTCCATGATGGTACATGCAAGCCTACCAGAGTTGCAATTCCTTACTATACATGACTGCCATAAATTGGAGCATATCATTGCAGAAAATGAAGAACTTGAGCACCTATCTAATGCTGAAGTATTCTTTGTAGAATTAAAAACTGATAGAGAAGAAAGATTATTTCTGTATTTCTCACTATTTTGTCAAATAATACAATGATCTATTCATAGGATGAAAAACTTAAATTCTATTAATAGGTATAAACTACAATCAAAACTCATTATACCCATTTATCAAAAAATAACTACTGACTCTTGACCTTTTATTCTAAAAAAAAGTTGAATTAAAACTATTAAAACTGACATTTAAGTTTATTCAACAAAATTCCCCCGTAAACTTAAATACTTCTGCCATCTTTCATGCCGATCAATTTCTTGTAGTTGTCGAAAAGTACCGTCGGTAGCGGTTTCGTAAAAATATCTACGACTTTATCTCGACTTGCCACGTGCACTAATTTCACATTTCTTTCTTTTACATGATCTCGAATGAAATAAAAGCGAATGTCAATGTGTTTGCTTCTCTCATGATTCACTGGGTTCTTTGCCAATTTAATTGCTGATTTATTGTCAACTCGTATCACAGTTACATCGATTTGTTGTTGCTCCAATTTGCCCAACAGATTTCTGAGCTATATTGCATGACATACACACCCAAATGCTGCCACATATTCAGCTTCACATGTTGAGAGCGTCACGATTGGTTGCTTCTTTGAAAGCTAAGTAAAAGTCGTGTTATTCATAAAGAACACATATCATGATGTACTTTTCTGATTGTCTAAGTCTCCGCACTAGTCACTGTCAGAGTATCCAATTAACTTGTAATCTTCCGCTTTCAAATAGAATAACCCTAGTGATACCGTTCCTTGGATATACCTTAGAATCCGCTTCAACGCCTTCCAATGTGAATAAATTGGCTCCTCTATGAACCAACTTACAACGCCAAACACTTAACGAAAGGTCTGGTCTGGTGCATGTGAGATAGCAAAGGCTTCCCACCAAACTTCGATATTTGCTCGCATCAACTTGTTCTCCTCCATCGAATTTATAGAGTTTTGCACCTGGTTCCATTGGTGTTAATATAGGATTGCAATGTGTCATCTTGTATTTTTTCAAAATCTCCTTTGCATATGTTTTCTGTGACACAAAAATACCCGTCTCTTCTTGTCTTACCTTCAGACCAAGGAAAAATTTCATCAAGCTCAAATCTGTCATCTCGAATTCCCGTGCCATTGTACTCTTAAACTCTTGTATCATTTCACCACTGTTCCCCATAAAAATGAGATCATCAACATAAAGAGCAATAAATAACATATTACCTCCACTCTTCTTCACATAAAGGGCATGTTCATAGGGACATTGTTCAAACTCGCTCTCCTTGAAGTATGTATCAATGCTAGAATTCCATGCCCACGGTGCTTGCTTCAACCCGTAAAGTGCCTTTTTCAATTTCAGCACCTTCTTCTCTTCTCCACTTTTCATGTACCCGGGTGGTTGTTCGATGTAGATTTCTTCTTCAAGCACTCCATTCAAGAATGCCGACTTGACATCTATTTGAAATATCGACCAATTGAATTGAGCCGCTTGTGAAATGAGCAATCAGATTGTCTCTATTCTTGTAACGAGAGCAAATACCTCATCATAGTCAATTCCCTCCTTTTGCTTGTATCCCTTTGCAACAAGCCGCGCCTTGTACCGTTCTATCTCGCCTTGAGCATTCATCTTTCTCTTAAACACCCACTTCACACCAATGGGCTGGCTTCCTTTTGGTAACTCCGCTAACTCCCATGTGTTGTTGGGGTCAATTGCTCTAATCTCCTCGTCCATGGTAGTTTGCCACTTCTTGTCTCGCACCGCTTTTTCAAAGCTTATACTCTCGAAATCTGCCAAAAGACATACAATGTGTACCTTATTTATCGAATCATATAAATCTTGCAAACTTCGCATTTTGGGTTGTTGCAGTTCATCTTCATCACTGGTAGTTTCAGGATTTGTCAGTATAATTGTTGGTATAGCGGTTGATGATTCTCCATCTTCGTTGATAACCTCCATTGAGTTACTCCAATCCCACTCGCTTGCTTCATTAACTTGTACATCACGACTCATCACAACCTCCTTGCTTATTGGGTCTAGTAGATTGTATCCTTTTGTTTTGTTGTCATACCAAATAAAAACATACCTTTTACTTTTGTCTTCGAGTTTCGTTCTACGCTGATTTGGCACGTGTGCATAGGCCACACTACCAAATACTTTGCGATGAGAATTGTTGGTTTTTGTCTGCTCCATGCCTCTTGTGGTGTTTGATCATCCAGCTTTGCATGTGGACACCAATTTTGCACATAGATAGCGCATTGCACGGCTTCTGGCCAAAATTTCTTCGACATCTTCTGCTCTTGAGCATTGATCGAACCATATCAAGAATACTCCGGTTCTTCCTCTCGGCCACACTGTTTTGTTGGGGAGAGTACGGTGCAGTTAGAAATCGCCTTATGCCTTACGCCTCACAATACTCCATGAAAGCCATCGAAGTATACTCGCCACCTCTATCGGATCGTACTGATTTGACGTGTCTACTGATTACCTATTTCACCACTACTTTGAACTTTTTAAACACCTCAAATGCCTCGGATTTTTCTTTCAGAAAATAAACCCAAGTTTTTCGTGAAAAATCATCAATAAAGGAAATAAAGTACCTCTTACCGCTAAAAGATTCAGGGGTGATTGGTCCACATATGTTGGTATGAATCAATTCAAGAGGTTCCTGAGCACGATAGTCTGCCTTCTTTTGAAATGAAGTTCTCGCATGCTTGCTGAGCACACATTCTTCACAAAATTTTTTCTTGTAGTGTACACCATGTTCTTCTTTGCCAACTTGTTTAGATCACCATGATGTAGGTGACCAAAACGGAGATGTCACAGCAATGCCTTGTCTTCTATGTTGACTCGCAAACATTTTTCTCGAACGCTTCTCAAATTCAGTTTAAACATGCGATTTCTCTCCATTTCAACTCGAGCAACCAAATGTCCGTGTTTATCTTTCAAGTGTAATATTTGGTCTTTCATAAATATCGAATAACCTTTCTCCATGAGTTGTCCCATTCTCAAAATGTTGCTCTTGAGATCTGGTGCGTAATATATATCTTGGATTAATCCAACTAAGCCATCCTTTTGTAAATAACAAACTGTACCTTGGCCTTTGACTTCAACCTTTGACGCATCTCCAAATGACACATGTCTAGTTTCAACCTTTTGCAGCTCTTTGAATAGGTGCTTGTGCCCGCACATATGATTGCTTGCGCCCGTGTCAAGGTACCAAACCATGTTGTTATTGGTGTTGACTTTGTTATGTGCCATCAAGAGAAAACCTTCTTTTGCTTCCTCATCTTCCGTGACTAAATTGGTTGTCTCTTCCACCTTTTTCTCGACTCAACATTCTTTCACAAAATGCCCCACCTTGCCACAATTGTAACTTATCAGAGTTGTAATCCTTCGCATAGTGACTATATTTGCCACACTTGTAGCACTCGATGTTGGAATAATTTGATCGACTGCCTCTCCAACTACCACGTCCTCTTCCACGCCAATTTTGCTGGTTTGAATATTCTTTCTCCTCACAATATTCTTCTTGACCGCGACCTCTACCACCGCAACAATTTCCTCGACTTCCACGACCACGCCCTTTACCTCGAATGTTTTGAGAATAGAGTGCCTTTTCGTCTTTGATTGACGCCTTGGTTTGAAGTGCTTGCTCAAGTATCTCCTCCTTCTTCTTCTTCTTACATTGTTCGTGTGCCTCGAGAAAACCGGCGAGCTCATCGACCGTAAGCATTGTTAGGTCTTTTGATTCTTTTTTAGCACATACGACATTTTCAAAATTGTCGGTTAACGACCTCAAAATCTTCTCCACAACTCGTGCATCAGTTAAAACTTCTCCATTTCGATTGAGTTGGTTCACCACGGTTTGAACACGCGTGATGTAGTCAGAGACCCCTTTCGACTCTTTCATCTTCATGCTTTCCAACTCACCATGAAGAGTTTGAAGGCAGACTTGTTTAACCTGGTCAGCTCCTTTGTACACATTCGCCAAAATGTCCCACGTTTCTTTTGAAGTTGTTGCATTTGCAATCTTCTCAAAGCATGACTTGTCAACAGCTCGAAACAACAAGTACAAAGCCACCTTATCTTTTGATTGCGTCTCTTTTAACGCCTTGTGTTGAGCTGCCAAATATCTTGTGATAGTTTCTAGTTCTTTGAAACCTTCTTCGACCACCTCCCAACCATCTTGTGACCCAAGAAGAGCTTTCATTTGGATGCTCCAATTCTCGTAGTTTGCCTTCGTTAGTCGAGGCAACGACACATTATTGGTTACACTCGCCATAGGCTCTGATACCAAATTGTAGAATTAAAATTGATAGAGAAGAAAGATTATTTCTATATTTCTCACTATTTTGTCAAATAATACAATGATCTATTTATAGGATGAAAAACTTAAATTCTATTAATAGCCATAAATTACAATCAAAACTCATTATACTCATTTATCAAAAAATAACTACTAACTCTTGACCTTTTATTCTAAAAAATAGCTAAATTAAAACTATTAAAACTGACATTTAAGTTTATTCAACATTCTTTCCAAAGTTAGCAAAAATAATGGTTAAAAATTGCAAAATTTTGAAAAGCTTTTTTTCCATTGCTTTGGTTAGAATGATTCCATGATTAAGCCTTCTTGATATATCAATGGCTACTAAACTAGAAGAGATTTTTAGATGTGGCAGTGAAGATGACATTATCAATGAAAAGAAAATTGTTCTTCAAAATTTGGAAAAGGTGAAATTACATAATCTGTCAAGTTTTGTTGATATTTGTCAAGGTTTTAAGTTACTGGCCATCAAACTTCAAATAGGCGAATGCCCCAAAATTAATCCAAGTTTGAGAGCAATTCAGGTGATTTCTCTTCCTCGCCAACTAGGAGTATTGAGAGCAATGCTTGGACAAAGACAAACAAACCAAAACTTCATTATGTTTGTATCTAATTATTAGTTTGAACCTTCAAGTTGTGAATGATCAAGTAAAGAATGTGTGTGCTTGTATTTGGGTTGTTGAATGTTTAGATTCTCTCATCGTTTGCAACTATCCTATATGTGACAAATTTGTCATAAATTCTCTTAAATAAAGTATGATATAATATGATATGGTATCATAAGCATCCAAACATAAATATCTCTCTTAAACAAGTCAAGTATACAGTGGCTAGATTTTCCTTGCATCAGAGTAACTCCACTTTCTTATGAAGTTATATGGAATGAAGAATCACTCAAGTTGACATTAAGAGCCACGGAAAATTTTTTGTATTACCATCAAGTATCTCGAAAAGTATTTGTAAATAATTTAGTTAAGACGGTGCAACTTTATTAGACATCTTTTATATATATATATATATATATATATATATATATATATATATATATATATATATATATATAGACAGGATCTTCTTACACATCATCTTTTTACGTTATAAGCAAACACATTATCTTGGTGCATAAGGTGTTGTGCATGCTTAATATGAGAAAGAGATACTATTTGTACAGGCTTGCTATAAGAAAAAAGATCATAACGGTTAGCTTATGTTGTTTGAAGCAGAATATGATTACTAGTGAAGTAATAAATTATAACTCATTAAATAAGGTCAGTGGGAGACAGAAATTGAGTGTAAGTCAAATAATATTATAAAGTATAGCCGTTAGATGTAAGTTAGATGAATGACTAAGATTGGGTGTAAGAGTTTAGGGTTTAGAGAATACATTGGCCAATAGTTATTCTGTGAGGGGATATTGAATAAGTTTAGTATTATCAATAGCTGAAAATGCAAGAAACAATTGCAATGAAGCAAAGCATAAATGCAGAGACATAAAGCACATAAAGAAGAAGCATTTCAATAACATTAAAAAGGAAAGTATTCATGAAAACTTGAAGAATCTAACTTTTCTTATAGAGATAAGCAAATAATCTTCAAAGTTATTGAAGGTTGGAAAAGGAAGGCACACTTCACTGCAAGTTCATAAATAGAGTTTTTAGATAATTTATTGTACCTTCTCATTCTTCTTCTTGACCTTGTTAGTGCCCTCCCTCACTTGTGGAATTTGAAGTGCATTCCATCGTTACCTTAACATACTCACTTCATACGTGTAATCCTCAAGTCCAGGTAATAGCTTTCTCATATTTCTCATTTCAATAGCAAAATCACACTACTTTAATTTCTGTTGAGTTCTAATTTTATATATATATATATATATATATATATATATATATATATATATATATATACACAGAGAAAGATTTTTTTACATCAATGTAAGTCTAAAAACTCTTTACACCCAATCTGAACCTTTCATTTAACTTAAATCTAACGACCAGTGAAATAATAAATTATAACCCGTTAGATTTAAGTTAAATGAAAGACTCAAATTAGGTGTAAGAGTGTTTAGACTTACACCGGTGTAAGAAGATCCTACCTCTCTCTCTCTGTATATATATATATATATATATGAAAAATGATCTTCTTACACTAGTGTAAGTCTAAAAACTTACACTTTAATTTGAGTATTTCATTTAACTTAAATCTAACTGCCAGTGAAGTAATAAATTATAATCTGCTAGATTTAAGTTAAATGAAAGGCTCAGATTGGGTGTAAGTATTTTTTGACTTACACCGGTGTAAGAAGATTCTGCCCCATGTATATATTTTGGTTATTCCTATCTTACTTTTTTTTGGATTTTAACTCCCTTTTAGGTGGTGAGATTATTATCTCTTGCCATGCTTTATTTAACCATCTTTAGGTATTGTAAAATTTACTTTTACAGAACAAATCATGTGATTGGACAATGTTGTTAGGGTGTTGTGTTCCCTTTATCAAATATACATGCAAAACATAATTTATTGACATTTAGTTAAAATTATCTGCCACTTATAACTCTGATTATTAACTCATGAAAGTCATGTGATTTGTGAATTTTTTTTTACCTAATGTTATATAATTATTTTTAGGTAAAATATGTTCTCTCTTTTACGTAAAACTCACTTTTATGCAAACTAATTATTTTTTTCACATTCTTTTGAGCTAGAAAGTCTATTTTTAATATAGTATTTCATCTTTTTAATTTAGTTCTAATTAATGTAATAAAATATTTATCATTAATAAAAATATTTACTTTTTCAAATTATAAAATTATTTAATACAACATTTTATGCAATATATTTTTAATTTATTATTAAAAAATTATTGAAGTCTACCCTTATCAATTAAATATATCTCTATTCTTAAACAAGATTGTTTTTATAAATTATTAATTTTCTCGTTCCGTCATCTAGTACTATTTTTAATTTATTTTAATTTTGTATCTTAAATTTTCTATAATTTATTTCTTAAATATTAAATTTATCTCTTTATTTTATTTTATTTTATTTAATACAATAAAAAATAATTTTATTTTTTAAAATTATAAAATTTAAAAATAAATACATGATATATTTTTATTTAAAAATAATATTTAAATTTAATAAAGGTTTAATTAAGTATTTGGTGTATAAAAAAATTATTTCTTTTAGATTTTTGAATCTATTAAAAAATAATATTCACTGTCAATTGATTTCTCTTGAAAGACGAGGAGTTGAAAAATGGAACTGCACTTGTCACGTTATCGATCTGTATCAAACACAAACCAAAATCCTAATACCTATATGCAAATTGGAGAACAATGACAGTGAATGGCCACAACATCGTAAAGAGCTCACAAGCTATCCAATGAACAAAGATAAAATGTATTTGAATTAATTATTAATTTTTAAAATAATATAAATATTTTTTAGAAATTGTTTTGCAATCTAATATAATAGTAAGGTGTTAAACTTATGTTATTTATGTGTGTGTGTGTGTACAGAGAGAGAGACAGTAAAGACTACAGTAATAATTAAAAGAAATTCGGTTTCGCACCCTCACAGATCGGGATTAATAAAAAATGAAACTAAAAAGTAAATTTAAGTGAAATTATAAATTTATTTAAGCCAATTTTGTAGTTTTTAAAAATTTGTTTAAGCTAATTAAATTTATTTAAATAATTTTTACAGCTTTTTTACTATTAACGATGATATTTTAGTGGTTTCAATACAACTAAAACTTTTTAAAATTAAAAATAAATAAAATAATAAAGTGTATTTTAAGTATTTTTCTCTCATCTTCTTAATCATGTTAAATGAGAGAAAATATGTCATGAGAATGAGAAAAAAACAAAATACTGAAATTAATAAAAGAAAATTAATAACAAAAACTAACTTGTTAAATAAAATGAATGGACTGTGAATTCTATAGCACTAAGGTAAAAAATACAAAATTTACTTTTAGTCCATTTAATTTATTTTTTATGTGATTTGATCCAGTTTTTTAAAATTATAAAATAAAATAATTTTTTATTTTTATTGACTTTTCTACTTTAAATTTGTAAATTATTATATTTTTATCTAAATATTTTAGGATTTATGATAAATTTTATCATATAAAATACTTTTAAAAGTTTAGAATAATATTTTAATGAAATCATAAATAAAATATTTCATCAATTTTATAAGATTTGAGATTGGGATTAGACGAGAGGAAACTTTTATATTATTTTATTTTAACTTTAATTTAATGTTTTGATTATTTATTTTTTAGAAGATTGAAGATACTTTAATTCTTATAAGAGAGAGAGAGAGAGAGAGACTAAAAACAGGAACGAAAACAAGAGCAAAAACTAACCCTGCGTGATTATCAGTAGATATGGTTGCAAGACGAATGACTGGAAAAAACGCTAGCAAGCAGTGGGATTGAAATGGTGAAGGATCAACACAAACTCACTCTGAAATTTGTTGCCACTTGCTTTGTTTAATGTCGTTGATTTGCCTCTAATCATTAAAAAAATTAGATTAGTGATTAGTGCTGATTCATGTGGAAAGGCACACTTGTTTGTCCTTTCTTTTATACTTGTTTATATTTTTTGGTGATTCATAATCTTCAAAACGAACACGATAACATTGTCACATGGAGCCGTCCCGCATTGTGCATTGCACATAGTAATAATAAACAAGAAATCAATCATGAAAAATATTTGTTTATGGGCAATTTTCAAATCAATGTGAAAGGAGTCTTTCGGGGAAGAACGAAGGGAACCATTGACCAATCTCATGATCGATCCTAAATTAAAAGCACATTTATCAATCTTCTCATCAGTGTTTTCCCAATATTGAGCTAGCTAACATTGTCTAAGCTTCTTTAAAAGTTCATAAGAGATAAGGTATGAAGTTTTTCCTCTCTAACTATGCATATACTATATATCATAGTAAAATTGATTTGTTGCAATCCGAATCATACATTTCCTTGCTAATGAACTTTGACCCTAAACTTTTTTTCTGGAGTGTTAAGCACTAATTTATGCACATATTTTATTGTCAGGTTGTCTTTGATTTAATGGCAAATATTGTTATGTCTGTTGTAAGTAGTGTGGGTAAATATTTGGTGGAACCAATAATACCCGAAATACAATACTTCTTCTGTGTTGATAAAGTGATCAAAGATCTTGAGAAGGAAAAGAAGGAGCTAACATCTGAGAGAGATAACTTGCTAAATCGTATTGAACGAGCCAAGGAGAGGACTGAAATAATTGAAAAATCTGTAGAGAAATGGTTGAATGATGTGCAAAATATCCTAGAAGAGGTGGAGGATCTAGAGATAAAGATGAACATAGACAGTAGTTGCTTTCATGGATGGTGTCCAACTTGGAGAAGATATCTTTTATTGAAGCAAATGGTTGAGAAAACAAAGGCAATGGGAGAATTCAAAGACAAGAGCAATATTCAACCATTTTCACACCTTGCTCCACTTCCAGGCATTCAATATGAGTCATCCAAGAATTTCACATATTTTGAATCAACAAAAATGGCTTACAATCAACTCTTAGAGGCTCTCCAAGATGATTGCATCTTTATGATCGGAGTGTATGGGATGGGTGGATCAGGAAAAACAACTCTTGTAAAAGAAGTTGGCAAGAATGTTGAGGGATTGAAATTGTTTGATACGGTTTTATTAATTACAGTGTCTCAAACTCCAAACATTAAAGACATTCAAGGGAAAATAGCTGACATGTTAACATTGAAATTGGAGGAAGAATCTGTGGTGGGAAGAGCACAACGTCTATGGCTCAAGCTGAAAGAAAAGAAACAAGTTCTTATAATAGTAGATGATATATGGGAAGAGTTTGAACTAAAGGATATAGGGATTTTCCTAGACAACGATTACAAGGGTAGATGGAAGGTCCTTGTAACCACTCGTCGTCAAGAAATATGTGATTTAATGGATTGTCAAAAGAGGATTCATTTGAGTCTCTTATCTGAAGATGAATCTTGGACTTTGTTTCGGAAGTGTGCAAATATTGATGATGGCTTCTCTAGGTCATTGGATGATGTACCTCAAAAACTTTGTCTTGAATGTAAAGGACTCCCCATAGCACTAGTAGCCATGGGGTCTTCCCTAAAAGGAAAATCTAATGATGAGTGGAAGTTGGCATTACACAGCTTGAGGCATTCAGAGGAAATTGATGATCACATGGAAGAATCAATGAGAGCTGCTTTAAATTGTCTTAAATTAAGCTATGACTACTTAAAAAATAAAGAAACAAAATTGTTGTTTTTATTGTGTTCTATATTCCCAGATGACTATGAGATTTTGATTGAAGATTTGAGTCGATATGCATTTGGACTTGGTTTGGGAAGAAGACTTCCATTAGAGTTAGCAAGGAGCCATATCAAAGCAAGCATTAACAAACTTTTATATTCTAGTTTGTTGATACAAATTGAGGAACACAAAGGTGATTGGTTGCAGATGTTGTATGGTTTTCATAAAGGAGATGAAGAATATGTGAAGATGCATGACATGATTCGTGATGTAGCCTTGTGGATAGCAAAGAGATCAAGGGATCACAAAATTTTGGTAAATCTTGAAAAACCACTTAGCATCTTGGTGGAGGATTATAGTATAAGAGATTATTTTGCCTTATCCTCTTGGTATTGTGAAGATCAAATATCTTTTCAATTGGATGCTCCGAACCTTGAATTCTTTTTACTAAATAATGTGACTCAAAGTTCCTTGAATTTATCACATGGAATGTTTGAAGGAATACAAGGGCTCAAGGTTCTTTCACTTGAAACCTATGATCAACTATCATTAACATTCCCTCAATCAACACAATTTTTGACCAATCTCAGGACTCTACATTTGCATGGATGGAGTTTAGGTGACATTTCTTTCATAGCAAGCTTAACAAGACTCGAGGTCCTTGACTTACGACGTTGTAGGTTAATTGAACTTCCTAATGAAATAGGGAAATTAAAAAGATTGAAGCTACTAGATTTATCAAGCAGTTATATTCAAGAACCTTATAATGAGGCAATTGGGAAGTGTTCACAACTAGAGGAGTTATATGTTCCAGAATATAATCGAGATTATCTTTCTCAAGGAGTTGTTGATATCATTGCATTACAAAAGCTGCAGAGGTTTGTCATACATACTACATCATTCAAAAACAATAGTAATATTAATGTGAAGAGTAAGAGAATTTTGGAATTGCTAGACTTTAATATCTCAAACTTAGGAACCTCAAAAAAGAATCTTCTTCAAATTGCTGAGATTATTTTTTTGCGATGCCTTCATGGAGGGTGTAAGAATATCATCCCAGACATGATAGGAGTTGTGGGAGGCATGAATGATTTGTATAGTTTCCATCTTGATAATTGTGAAGAGATAGAATGCATCTTTGATACAACCTCTAATTTTGATAATGTTGACTCAAATGCTTTGATTCCAAGATTGGTTGAGTTAGAGCTTTTAGAGTTGGAAAACTTGAAAGAATTGTGTCGAGGTCCACCAATGCAAGTTTTGCACTTTTTTGAAAAATTAGAAAAACTCTTTATATGGAGGTGCCAACAATTGCACAACATCTTTCCAGATGAATGCAACTTACAAAATCTTAAGATCCTCATAATACAAAATTATGGTCGAGATTATAACTATTGCACAGCAAATGAAGTACTTTTCTCAGTGCCTGTTGCACAAAGTTTGCAACAATTAGAAGAGTTAACTATTCAAGGTTGTGATAAATTGAAGCATATAGTTGCAAGTGAAAGAAAGCAGGGTTCTAATTCTAGCATTGAGATAGTTCCAACTGAAAGGAATTCTCATTTTGTGATGCCGAATTTAAAGAAAGTCTGCATTTCATTTTGCAGCAAGTTAGAGTATGTGTTCCCAATTTGCTATGCTGAAGGACTTGCACAACTACAACATGTAGAAATAGTAATGGCTTCTAAGTTGAAATATGTATTTGGTGAATGTGATCATGAAGATCATTCATCTAACCATTATGAGAACAAGATTATTCTTCCTCATTTGGAAGTTCTTACACTCATCAATCTTCAAAATCTTGTTAGGATTGGTGTTGTAAACCATCTTGTAAATCGGTCATCTCAAAGGGTGGTGCTTACAGTGGTGCGTTGTCCAAAATTGACCCTTTGGATGAGATAACAATATCTGCATGAGGTATGTACTCTTTTAATTCGAAACTCAAAAGTTTGTTTGATTTAATTTTATATATTTGCTAAAATTCGAATATAATTATTTTTTCAATTTGCATTTTATGCTTCTGTACTGTTATTTATGATTTCTTTATTGATATTTCTGTAACTATACATCCTATTATTTGGTTAGTTACCTTTGAATATTTCATTTTCAGCAAATAATAAAGTTCTCATATCCTGAGTGGATTCAACTCCTGTTCAAATTTGGTCTCTAATGATTTCAACATTCAGAAGTGAGATGTGAAAATTTCAAATCTTAATTCTCCTCAGTTGTGCATTGAAGCCAACCAAAGATGATATCCCTTATCATATATCAAATTCAAGAATCAGAACAAATATTGTTGTAGAAAATGAACCTAATAGTACCTAATCCAATGTGAAAGTGTTTCTTTTTCTTTCCAAAACTGGCTAATGGCTATCAAATATAATGATTGAAAACTATACTATGTAAGTTGAAAATTATTTTCCTTGTTCCTATGTTAAAATCTTCTTGCATTTTTCTTATATTCATGTCTGCCTAACGAGAAGAGCTTTTAGGCATGGCAGTGAAGACAACACTATCAATGAAATAAAAATTGTTCTTTCAAGCTTGACAAAGTTCAATTGAAGTTTGCTACCAAGTTTTGTTGGTATATGGCAAGGTCTTAAATTTGAGGAGTTCTGAAACTTCAACATCTCTTCATATTTGGATAACCTGAACTATTTCACTTTTAATTGCAATTCAGATAATTATTTTTCCTTGTTAACCTAAACTATTAACACTAAATTATTTTAGTGTTTTCCTAAATTTTTAAACTAATTATGCAGGACAACATTTGGATACTGAGATAGCAAAACTAACTTAAACTTCATTTTGAATGTGTCTCATGTCTTCTTTATGACTTGATTTACATTTCATTTTTCTAGGACAATTATTGAAGCCACAAAATATGAACATTACTTCTATAATTCTCAAAGGGCCATAAATCATGTAAGCTAGCATTATTGTTAGTATGAATCTTGAAAAAGTAAGTGATAATGTAATTATCTAAGTAAGATACTCATGGATTAACTTTGTTCAAATAGTTCTTTGTGTTGACATTTAGAGTGATGAGTGTTCAATAGGACCCCTTTGGTGAAAAATTGTCTAGACATAGTGCCACACTCACAATCATGTACTGGATTCAAACAATCAACATAAAATAGTTTAAAGACATTTCAAGAATGATAATAATAACTACCTCTTCTTTATCTTATCTTCATTTCACCCCTTAATAACGCATATAATCAAGAATTGGTTCACCATTCAATGTATAATCAGGGATTAGCACATATATAGCATTTGAAATTTAAATGCATTAACTACTAAAAATTTGAAGTACTAATTGATAAATGACACAACTGAACAGAGATAGCAACATATCCAAATTAAGCATGTATTATTTTTTATGAACTGTTTTGGCTAGTTCTTACTTTAAATGTTGAATTTTTTTGGAGGGTACATGCCTTGACTTCTCCACAAAACATTAATATCATAGGAAAATTCCCAGTTAATTTTGACATTGTGAGGAAACATCTCTTTATAATTTATTAAAACAACATCGCGGGTTTGAACGTTGTTATCTTATTTGTTTGCCATGTCAAAATACAATGAGTTGTTAAAACTATTCTTAAAATGAATGTTCATTGGATCTCAAATAAATATCTGAGCTAATAAACGAAGAATTCGAATTTAGTATAATAAAAAACAGAAAAAAAAATGTAAGAGTTGAGTTTAAATACTTAAAAATAACTTTTACTGAAAAAGTACTTATTATACTTTTATAACTTTATTTTGAAGACTTAAAAGTAATATAAATGAGTATCAATATAAAGTATGGATAATATTTTTAGTGCATTGAATCCAGATTAATAAATGACTTAGTCATGAGTGACCAAACTAGGCTAGCTAGCTGCTATGAACTATGTCTGATTGCATAGACCCAAATGGGTTGTTAAGAAAAAAAGATTAAAGAATTTTCCTTCTAATCAATGTTTGGAATCAGATTCCATAATAAATTAATGCATGAATTTGATATCAGATGAAAAAGAAAATGGGTCTTTCGAGAGGGAAGATGAGAGGAGGTGAAATTGGTTTGCACAAACTTGTCTGGTGCTACCAAAGGTTGCTAGTTTTGGAAATCAAAACTAAACTCAACTTTTGAGAATAAGAACATGGAAACCTTCCAATGCATCGAAGAAATACCCAAATCAGTTAAATTATATATATTATATTTGCGTTTAGGCCTGTAAACATGGCAGATTATTGGGTATCTAAACATTATATATATTATTCAGACTTCCTTCAGATGCCATGCTCGTCAAGCTTATATTTTCTTTCAGTTTAGTTAATTTTTTAAAATACTATTTAATAGTAACTTTTATGTGAAACATTTTAAAATGTGAAAAGAAAAGTTGAGAATTTTTATAAACCTTCCGTAATTCATATTTTTTAAAAGGATTTATGTAAAGATTTGAAAAAAAATTGAAAAAGAAAAGTTTAAGGAAAAGAAAGAAAGAAAAAGCATGAAAGTTGACAAAAAAAAAATAAAAAACTTGAATTAATGAAAATTTTGAAAAATTTATAAAAAAAATTCTCATTTAAAATATCTTAAAGAATTGTTATTATCAAATAAATTTTCTTTTTTTTCTTTTAATATTTATTTTCAAATAAAATTTAAGTTTCTCTAAATTAATGTTTTTTTATTCTTTCTTACTGGCAAACTTTTTTCTTTCAACTATCAACCAAAATTTAAAACTAATCAACTTAAAATATTATATTAATTTTTTATTTATTTTTAAAGTAAAATCTAATTAATTAACTTAAATTGATAATACTTATTCTATGAGATAATAAAAAAAGGTCATTTATTTTCCTTTTTACTTTACCTTTTTTTATTTTAAGAAAGAAAAAAAGAGAGACCCTTTTCCATGGCCAAACCTAAGTAGCCAAGACATTAATATGTTGAATGGTGCATTGGTGCATCACACAATAATGGCGTTTATAAAGTACTATACATATAAGTTAATTTAAGGGGTGATTCAAAGAAACCCTATCAAATTTGGACACGTTTGTATGTTCTATTTATTTTAAGTTCTTCACCATACAGAGCAAAAGAAAATGTGACAAGTGCTGCAGAGTTGCACCAGCTTTTTCCTTTATCTCAAAGTGTTTATTAACTTAAAGAAAAATACTCTCAGATCTACCAATAAAAGTGAAGTATTTTTCTGACAGTTTGTAATTAAAAATAACAAATAAAAAATAATAATTAGTCAAGCTAATTCATATTGTGTAATTAGTAAAGCACTTGATTTCTTTTGCTCTGTTAGTCACCTTCAGAGAAAAAAATTAACATAAAATCTGACCATTTAGTCAATTGTTTCACCAAATTCATATAGCTTAATATTTAAAAATATTATCATTTATTTAAATAATTGACAAACACCTACATATTTTATTAAATAATGACATAAAAATAGTATTCTTTACTTTAAATTTATTTATTTTTATTTTTTATTTAATTTAATCATAATTTAACTTAGATCAAGCATATTTACCTAAATGTAATGAATAAGTTTATTATTAAAAAAATTTTTCATACACAATAACTTAAACTTAAAATTTTACTAAACGATATCGAATTGTTCGTTACTCGAATTAATTTTATTTGATTCACATGAAATTATATAAAAATATAATAAATATTTTTTAAATAAAAATATTAATTTTATATACTTAAATTTAATTCTAGCTAAGAAAATAGTATAAAAAAATAGAGATAAAAAGAAAAAAGGAACAATTCCAACGAGGTTGTGTCCACTTTCCAGATCCACACAGGATAAATTCCTTGCTATCATAAACATGCTTTTGTTTTCTTTTTCTAATTTTTTTTCTTTTTTACAATTTATTGTTATATTAAAAAGAGATTACAAAGAAGATTCTAAATGGACTTCGACAAAGACCCGTATATATTCCTTGTTACCTGTTTTTGTTATCTTAAAAGTAAAGTTCTTTTACCAAACTAGCCCTATTCGAATTTACTGAACTACCCTTATATTAACTACTCTTGCAGTTCTAAGCCGGCAATTTGGACTCTTTTGGAAAATCATTGAACCCTTGGTCAACTGTTCCCTATGACTAACAGTGACACTTTAAAAAATTGTTATATGCTAAAACTAGATTTTTTATGAACTGTTTTGGCTTTAAAATATTATATAACCTTATAATAAAAAATGAATTAGAATTTACAAAGTATAAACTATGGTTTTGATGGTCAAGATTTGAAAAAGAAAATAAAATAAAAAGCAATGACTCTACCAATTCAATTAATGGATTTGATCACCTTTTGTCAAAGTTGATGGATGGATAAAATATAGAAATGTTAACATATGTGGTTAAGTATTTAAAAATAGTAATATTTACTACATTTTTGTGTAAATTTTTTTCAATAAAATAATATTTTTTATATTCTTAAAAATGAATGTTAATATAATTCATAAAATATAGTTAATATTTACTGGTTTTATTGTTAATTTTTATCTGCATGTTATGTATTAATTATAATAAGCTAAGCGATATAGTTGAGTAACCTTGAAAAAATAAAATATCTTGTTTTTTTTTTTTTTTGTTGATTGCCCTTTATTAAAGTTACCTGTAAATTGTACCAAAAAGGATAAAAAGGTGTATGTAAAATTCAAATTCTCAATGTATGCAATAAACTGGCAGCTTCTAAACCTTCTTGATTTATTTTTTCAATATAACATGAGATTTATTATATTTTTTTAATAATTTTTCATATTTTATACCAAGCATTAGATAAAAATATATTTATTACCTTATAAATATAAAAAAAATATTAAATATTTTTATTTATTAAATAATTAAGACCTTATACGAATAAAAGAGAAGATGAATTTTTTTAGTAAAAAGTATAAAATTAAGAATAATTTTAAAATTTCTTATCTTTTATTTTTTATGGGTTAAGATTATAATATTTTTATTTTAAAATTAAGATTATAGTACATACACTTTTAATTTAATATTTATTTATAAAATAGTAAAACATTATTAAAAATAGTATACATGCGAATATAACAAAACTGGAAAAGGGAATTTCAACTTATATTTCATATAATATATAGTTTGAAATAATATATAGTTTCAACTTATATTATTATATATTGAATGCACGAGAATTGATGCTGTTTAATGGGACCAAACCAAACCAAAGGCACAGACACGCAAAGCACAAGCAATGGAGTTATGAGCATTGAGTAAAGGCAGAAGCAGAAGCAGAAGCAAACCCCACTTCTTGATGGCAAAAATCATTGGCAATGGCAGAAGAAGAACAACAACTCAAGTATGCCAAAAAATGGTTCAAGTCAACGTTCAATGTAACATGTTCCATAGGGTCTCCTTTGCTGGCCGTTTCTTTCATTTCATTTGGGATAAGATCCTTTTTTGCTCTCTTGGAAGGTCCTCAACTGCTCCTTACTTAAGACTTCCCCTCCGTGACCCTCCGCCGCCGGCCACCGTCCACGGTGGCTCCATGCATGCACACCCCACCACCCCATATGACACTGACTCTGACTTGGTGAACCTCAAGATTAGCTTGCTTGGTGATTGCGATATTGGAAAGACTAGTTTTGTGGTGATTACCTACTTATCTTGCTAGCTTTTGTTGACTTTTCATTCATCTCAAATGGGTACTAGTTTTTATTGGAATCTATGAAAATTTAATTTTTGATAGAGTTTAATAGCGTGCCATTCATGTGATTCATGTAGCTAACTTGATTTCATGGAATAAGACTTTGGTTGTCGTTATGGTCTTTTATTGGAATAATAAGTTCTGATGTATGTAGTCATGTAGTAATAGTTTCATGTTTCAACTTTCAATTAGCTTGGTTTTTCCTTTTTCTCTTTTTAAATATATGTGTGTGGCTCCTTTTTTTCAGATCAAGTATGTAGGGGATGAGCAAGAAAAAAGGAGCTTGCAGATGAAGGGACTTAATCTAATGGACAAAACTTTGTTTGTTCAAGGAGCTAGAATTTCATTTAGTATATGGGATGTTGCAGGTGATTTGATTTTGCTTGCCCCTTTTTTAGTGTCTATCTGTTTTTCATTTTATTTTATTTTCTTTTGCAAAAAAATTATTTTATGGATTTTCTATGTTTGTAGCTTTGAGTTCAGTGTAGATGGTGAAATATTTTGTGGTGGTGTATGCAGGTGACACAGGGTCCCTCCATCAAATTCCCATGGCTTGTAAAGATGCAGCTGCAATTTTGATTATGTTTGATCTAACAAGTCGTCGTACCCTGAATAGGTAGCTATTTAGCTTCACAATTTATCTTATCTAATCAGCTTTATTGGAAACCTTTTGGTGAAAATTGCAGAAATAATTGCTTTTTTGTTTTACTTTGGGGTGTTTTTGCAGTGTTGTTGGATGGTATAGTGAAGCAAGAAAGTGGAATCAGGTACCAAAATTCAATTTCACATGGTCAATAATTTTTAGATTACTTGAATTCATATTCTGTCGTACAGATAATTAATATCTTCACTGATTAAAGTTAACTCCAAATACTGTTCACACGGAAAAGCTTTGAATTAGTACAACAGGACAGAGTACATGCATTATTTTCATAAAGATTTAATAACCATTATGATTATGACCAATATGTCAAATTCTCATTAACACCAAATAAAAAAACAGCACTGATTTATTGATATAGATGGTGGGTAGTAATTGTTTTATATGCAATAATGGCTAATTAGTGTCATCAACAGCTCAGTTAACTCTTTTGTAATATTCTGTTGTCTATTTTATTCACTTGCAGAGTGCAATTCCAATTTTAATAGGAACCAAATTTGATGATTTTGTTAGACTTCCCCCTGATTTGCAATGGACAATTGTGACACAGGTACATAATTATTACCGCAACTTATATAAAAGTAGGTTAATTAATTTAGTAACTCTTTTCTCTTAATCATACATGCCTGTGGCTGATTTATTTGTTCAGGACATTTTCTACTATAAATGCATATATGTATATATATATAACCCTTGATTGACGTGTGAAATAAAGAATGTCTTCATTACTTGGAGTCCTTTTAGAATCTTGGCAATTGACATTTACCAAATTATATGTTTCCGCGTTATGCATATTAAAATTGGGGCCTACTTATTTGATTAAAGCTATATTAGTAATGTTCAAATTTCGTTACTTTATTAAACTAAAGTGTTGCTTTCTATGTTAAGCCTTTGTTTTGTTTTCAAAATTTAACATGGTAATAGTGCATACAGGCAAGGGCTTATGCAAGGGCAATGAAAGCTACCCTTTTCTTCTCAAGTGCAACCCACAATATAAATGTGAACAAAATTTTCAAGTTTATCATGGCCAAGCTGTTTAACTTACCATGGACAGTGGAACGAAATCTGACTCTAGGAGAGCCCATAATTGACTTCTGAATTGTATTTTACTCTGATTCATATGTAAATAGCAGGACTAAAAGAAAAAAGGAATGAAAAAGAATCAAGAAAATCCAATCACATTGGTACCTAATTTACATATCTTCCTTAGGCCATTTTAACTACACCATGTAAAGGTGAGAAGGGTTAACTCAGTTTTTCTCTCACTGTTATCACTCCAACCTTTCCTACTGTGTCTGAGGCCAAAAGACATAGGCATTCAGGTTTTCACATTTGTAGCGCATGTATAACGGAGAAATGTTAGCAAGACACTTGTTAAGTGAAATATATTAGTGGATCTCATAAATGTAGGTTCTATGCAATAACAAATATTATTACAGAAAATGTGATAAAGAATGTGTTGATAGCATTTCTCATGTATCATATCCATTGCCTCAAATGTCTTAGCACTATCCTTAATGTAAGGAATAAAAATGATCTTTCCTAATATGAACTAACTTGAACTTGTAATGATTCTACTTGATTGCATTCAATTCTGACATACAATTAGGTGAGTTGTGAACTGTGATACATGTGATGTTAATATGAACTGTTTCTTAATTGTTGGTCTGCTAGATATATAACGTAGATGTGTATCGATTGCTACCTTTAATTCCCTTGAAACATTTGTTTTGTATAATTTGATTTTTGAATGTGTTTGCTTGCTCACGTTAAGTCTTTTTTTTTTTTTTTAATAATTGGTTCCCGAAAAGTGTTAGCATATATAATTTAGTTCTCAAATACGTTGATTTTGCATATATTTTGTTCCTATTTTTTTTATTATTTTTTTTTGTTAAGGAAGAATCAAGATGTGAGTAAATTATTACATTGGGACTAAATTGTACAAAATAAAATGTTTAGGGACCAAAAATAAATAAAAATGTCACTTTCAAGAATCAATTTAATATATGGCTCTACATAGTCACTCTTATTAAAATTAAACAATTAAAGAATACAAAATTATTAAACGGCTAAAGGAACTAAATCTAAAAGAAGTTTTTTCTTTAAAATTGATCATAAATGGATTTAAATATTAGAATTAACGTGGTAAAATACTTGTTGAAGTGTGTTCTAAGCATACTCTCTTAAAGTCAATAAAACCAATTTTCCAATGAAGCCAATATCCATAAAAGCACATTTTAGTATGTTATGAGCATACTTTTTTAAGGTTTCATATTTAATGTATTTTATCCAAAAAAGAAGAGGAAAAATATATAACGTAAACAACATATTTCCCATATAAAATACGTAAGGGTTAAGATTAATTGATTTTAGCACAAAAATCACAAGGCATTGTCTAATAATAGATTAAAACCACCCAATTCGAGAAAAGGACAACTCTAACAACCTAATTAATGGAAATTTAGATGTGACAAGAAAATATCAGAAGAGGCTTTTAACAATTGAATCTATCATAATTAAAATCAAAGCAAGAAGAAAAATGGGTAAAAAAAAAAAAGAAATATCAAAATTTCTAATGTCAACGAGGTAGGTGGCAGCCACTACATAACACGAGAAGATAATGAAAACAACAGTGAAAAATTTGATGTGTATCCAAAAAGAGAAGACAAGAAAGGAAAGGAAAAGAAAAATCCAATTACTATGAGACAAAAGTTCTTCATTAAATCTTAGGCGTAAACAAAAAGAAAAAGAAGTGAATTAAATTGTTAATTATTTATGAATTTGGCTTTTCTTTTAAAGTCAAAATATTATAAGTTACATGTTAGATATGATGTGGCTCTTGGAAAATTTAAGCTTGCTAAGTGTCTATATGATGCTTAAAAAGTGGGTTTATCTTTTTCAAAAACTTTTTATAGGGATTTAGTGCTTGTTTATATGACTGAAACATAGTTTGTTTAATTATTTAGGACTTGCTTGTTTTCCTGTTCTAACTGGAAAGCACACATCTCAATGTTATTTTTATCAAAGCAACTATTTTTCATTTTTAACAAAATAGAATTACCAACATTTTCCAAACATGCTCTTGAAGTTTAATTGTTTTGTAGATGTTAATGTACGTCGGATAAAAGTAAAATTTTTTTATTTTGAGAACATTTGTCTCGGGATGGAGAAAATTGTTCTTGGCAACCAAAGAAAAGGTATAAACAAATATGCTAGAATTCTTCCTTTCAGAAAAACTGCATCAGGTTGTGGTCTTTTTTTACTTTAAGAATTGCTTAAGCTAAAATTAATATTGAGACACGGAAAAAAAATATTATTGGGACATGAGAGATTCATACATAAAAGCAATATTTTATATGGCTTAAGAGTTCTAACCACGTGATTATCCTTAATGATTTTTCTCTAATATAATAAATATTTTTATCCTCTTTGTGAAAGTAGAGACATGCATTTGCCAAACCATGTGATAGTGATTATGTCAATGCAGTTTGATGCTTTCACAAAATAGTACTTGATGGATTGTTAATGTAAACAATTGGGCTTAATGGGTTGGACTAATTTGCAACCAAATGAGTGAGCTAAATCAATTACACTAAGACACTTTCCATTGCTTTCTATTTTACTTTCTTTTTGTCAAATTTCAACTCAATCTTATTCATGATCCTTAAATTGCAGCTTTAGTTTAATATTATCAATGCCATGGAAGAAGGCCCTGTTAGAATGCAAGTTGTTTATTGTTTTTGACATTGTTATGTTTTCTTGTTAATTAGGAAGCGTTTGACAGACAAATAAAAATGAAACAATTTGGTCTATTGTGTTATACTTGATTCCATTAAAAGAGGGAATCAAAATAGATCACATTTTTAACCTCATACCATGTTCTTCTATTCAATGTCTTTTCAAAATACAACAAACATGAAACATAACACATATAATATATTATATTCAGCTTTAACCAGTCTACCAAATACTAACATGAACTCTTTCACTTTCCCTTCATTTGTTCGACAGAAAAAATGACCCAAAATTCATTTCAAGTTTTCAAACATGAATCTATGACTAAAAAGAACGAAATTAATTGCAAATGAGCAATAAGATAGAACTGAAGCTAATAAAAAGTCTTTGGTTAAACTGTCCTTTATAGATAAAATGTGTTTATCTTCCAAACAAGGTTACACACATTCCCATATCCCTTTAACCTTGATTGAGTAACAACGATTTATTTTCAACACCATGAGTTTCAAAACACTAACATGGAATCAAACAAACCTCAACACTTCTGCCTAAACCTCTCCTAGTCCCTAAACTTTTTTCTAACTAGAGAAAGGGCCCAAAAACTATTTCATTGTAGTTCTTTATAAGCCCAATACTAAGCATGTTGATGCGGACTAAAGTAGCTTTCTTTTTAGTTCCCCAACACTTCTCAAAACCTTTTGTAAATAAAAACCAAGAACAAGTATGTCTAAAGAAAATATGAAACATAAAATCCAACATAGAACAATAAATTTAGAATTATTCATGTCTTTCCAAAATAAGTCAAATCATGTCTTAAAGACCAAACATAGGAAACAAAGAAGCATAACACATAAGACTAAATTCAATAACGAAATGATATTTGCAAATCCTTCGAAGCCCTTGGAGTTGTCATCAACAATTCTTCTACTCCTCGATAACATGCAACATTCTTGCTGCTACCATCAATCTCTCCCTTTAGCACATTGATGTTAACCCTCTCCAAGACCCTACTACAACGAATAAGATAGTAGAGCAAAATAATCCCATTCACAGACACTACAAAATCCTTCACCTCCACTAGCTTCAGAGTTGATTCCAAACATTCGTAAATCAATAAATTCTCCATCCACGTTTTTTTACTATCAACGATTCTGATAAATTCTCCATCTTCCTGTAATATGTGCAAGCATAAAACACATGTCATAATTCATGTCTTAATAATACATACAAATTTTTCTCACAAACACTAAAAAAATGCTATATAAATGGGCAAAATTTGTTAGTTGTTTGGCTTGCTCGCGTGAGTATTGACTTTGTACAGTATGACATAGTAAAGAACTGCAACAATATTCTTATTAAAGATTTAATTTCATATACAAAGTTAATTTTCAGTGAGGTTAGTCCCATTGCAGCAAGCCTAACAACTTAACATTATTCATCCACAACCACAATCTTTGATTACCAACACAACTTACAGCGTTCATCCACCGTATTGGATTATCTACCAGTTCGATTAAATCTTCATCATCCTAATGTATACAACACATGTTAATATTAAAGCAATAATATACATCTACACCAACTCAATAAGAAGAAAAAAACCATATAGTAACATAAAAAAATGTTAATTTTAGCTTGCTCACATAGGTATAGATTTTGTACACCACAAGTTATACAAAGTCTATACCCGCCAAAACAAGGCTCGTAACTAACATTTTTTTATGTTTAACACGTTATTTTTGTAATAATGTGGGTGTATGTACTCTCAAAGAAAGAGGGAGAGAAACTCACTTCCGAAGTTCTTCCTAAGCCTAATTCAAGGGTGAGAGATTCTAACACTGGGCAGCTATTGAGCAAGAATGAGATTCCTTGAAGTTCATAGTCGTGCAAGGTCATTTGCATTATCAAATGTCTTGTTTTCATGTCATGTTCCATACGTAGCTTTTGTCCAACAGGAAGAACCTTGGAAATCAAACACTAACATTTAAAACGGATATTATAGAGTATATATATAGTATATAGAGAGCTAGGCTCCCATGACTATATAACACAAAATTAAACATTTATCAAACAAATCAACTTTTAATAAAATTTGTGTCGTCAAAGTAATTGAAGAACACAGGAATTTGTCATAATAATTTACAAAAATGATCACGGTAAAGGAATATGTTCTCACATGGATAGTGTAAAATTGATAAAAACGATGCATTATTAAGACAAGGATTGGATATATGCCAAATTTAAGATGATGATAACATATAAATTGTGTCAAACAATAATTTATATTATATTTTGAGGATTCAAATTACATGTCATTTCTATCATTCAATTAAAAAACCATGTTGGTAAAAAAATTAACAACTAAACATCATTTAAAAGGGGGAGAAATTTTTTTACTGATGTTTATGTTTTTTTAATTGGGAGGTGATAGGGACAGGCCAAGGCAATAAGTGATTTCATTCCATATTTTGGAGGCAAGAATTATTAGCACACGAACAAACCCAATATGTGTGTGTCTGTATTAATGGACATCACTCGCAGTTTTATGGCTTTACCTCAATTAGGTAAAGCCATAAAACAAGTCTGCTATCTATAAAATCACATACATTTCTTTCATATTTATTAATTATATAAAACAAACGTGTTATGTAAATTAGGGGGAAAAGAATAGAAAAATTAAGAAAGGTGCATAATACATATGTTTACCTGAAGTACAAATGTGCACACAGTCAGAACCCTAACGGTATAGAGATCTTTCATCAAACCCTGAAGATAAAAACCAAGTCCAATGCTACCGAATTCAAGGTTAAAATCAAGATGTGCCTCTTCTAGGGCTGTGGAGGCTTTTATTTCAAAGATACTCATACTCCCAGCATACTTGAAAAAGCATAGATTTGGTGCATTGACTTTGAACATAGCAATTTGAAAGTTACAATTGTCAACAACAAGCCTCTTCAGGTTCAATTCTTTACCCCCAATTTCGAAATGCTTTGAGTTCCAACACTTTTTCAAAATCAAGCTCTCAATCATCTTGCAATTGGAAAGCAAAGTTGTGATGGCATCTAGTGTCACTTCCATCCAACCCAATGAAACCTCTTTGAGTGCATGCAAGTTAGTCAAATCATTTTCAATAAAACTACATGAATAAAGCTTCAAAGATTCAACTGTTTCATGCTCATAAACATCTTTTGGCAATTTAAACAAAGCCACACGTTTCTTTGGAAAATCTTCCTTCTCCCAATTCGGATTAGAGAAATCTAGCTCCAACTCTTTGACCCCATGTTTAGTGACAAAAGCAACACTCCTTTCTATGATCTCACTAGCCTCTTCAGGATTTGACAATTTCAAAGAAAACTTTTCCATCACACCTTCTTTGCGATTATCAAGCCAAAGAGTCATGAATTTCAGAAAGGCATTTCTTTGTGCTACCCTTGAATAGAAGGATTCATTTGGTTTAACAAAGAAGAGTTCATTGAACTCTATGTATGGTGTTTTTTCCCACAAGTGCAACCAACGTTTGGAAAAGATGCATGTCCTTACAGCTTCCTTGAAGGGAAGCAAGGAAATGATGGTGAGAAGCAAAGCATCAGGCAACAAAGAGAACCTATCAAAGTTGTTTTCCATAGCTATTGGGGTGATTGATGATAGAGGGAGGTGAGAATGAAGAAAATTGATGCAAATGAAGGAACAATGCTTTTCTTTACACTAAGTTGGTGACGGTTTTAGTGAAATCATTTCTCCCTCTAATGGCATATATAAATGCAATTTGAAGTGATTTTTTTTCACCATAGTTTTTGGCTTTGTAAAAAATATTAGTGACTGAGAAAATTATTTGTCTTACCACATAGAGCTCCATGTATAATAAAGAATAATAAATGATATCATTGAATGTATATTAACTTTTTCAAAGGAAAGATAAGGATGAAATAAATTTATATACACCTTATATTTTAAGCTATATTTACATGATAAAGTTTTGTTTTATAAAAACAATTAGTAATAATATTACATTTTTAAAAAAATTAAAATTTAAATATGAAATGTCATTTAATACTGATAGATTTTTTTAAACAAAATATTCCATTCATTTCTTTTCATCTGTCACTTAAAATTGTTTCACACAAATTAAAAAAAAGTAGTTAATTTCTTAGTTTATACAAAAATTATTATCTAAAATTTAATTTTATCCTTCTATTTTTTTGTTAATTAACTTCTATCTCTCTAATTAATTGTAAAAGGTATGGGTATAATACAATATATATATATATATATATATATATATATATGTATGTGTGTGTGTGTTTTTTTAATTCTAAAATGAAAAAAAATAAAAACAGAACAATTTCTTCTTTTTTGAAATGGTGCAAGATAAAATAGAATAGAGGGAGTATATTCTCTGATAATTAAAGGGTAATAAAGGATATCATTTAAAGTTAGTATACATATTGAAATTTAATGAGTTTCTTTCAAAAAATCTTATTTAAAGAAACATTAATAATATCATTTAATACATCGTAAAGATAGAAATTATCAAATACATATGAACTTATAAAACATTAAGTAGCATTTATTTTTCACATATTACTTTTTGTAATAAATTATTTAAAATTGAAATAATAATAAGTTAATTATCAATTATTTTTCTCTAAGCAACTGAAAATATTTAATAAGGTGTACTAATTTTATTTTTTTATTTTTTTAGGCTATTTGTAGCCAAAACAGAAAATAAATATTAGTCTATCATTAAATTTAAGATTCGACTAAATTTGAGTTTTTTTTTTTTTTTTTGAGACGTGTTTAAGCTCACATCATAATTAAGTGCAGGCATGCTAGGCCCCCATAAACTTGTGCTTGCCATATTAATATTTCTAAAGTGTAAAGTGGCATTGTTTTGAATCAATAAAAGAAAATATAAAATATTTTTTCTTTCTTCTATACATTGTATGATTTAAAATTATTATATAAGAATTAATTAAATTGTTAATATTTATTTTTAATTTATTAGGTGAATTGTTTATGTTTTACCTTTTAATGTGTTTGACTATATTTTAAATTTGTTAGATTGGATATAATGATTTTTTTAATTTTAAAAATGTAATTAATGTTTATAAGCATAATATGTAGAAGAATTTTTTTATGGGTGGTTGAAAAGTATATTACACAAGTCTCTTATCTTTGTAAGATTAAATTTAGTTTTTTTTTAAGTTTAAATAAATCTAAATATCTTTAATCTGAATCATTTAAGTCTACTACTCACGTTAGGTCTGTCCAGATAATCCAAATCAATAACTCTTCAAGTTGATGATAATTTGGACGGGAGATTAGGTTATTATGTTATTGATTCAATCATAAATTACCTATATTGAAAATTTTATTGATGTTATAAGAATTTTTAATATTTTATCCAATCATAAATTGTATATAATAAAAAATTCATGAATTTGTAAGATTACTCTAAAAGTTGAAAATCAAATTAAAAATTAAACACTTAATAACTTTTAAAAAATAAATGAAAAATGAAGTATAATTTAAGTGTTGAAAAGTTGAAAATTCATTACTTTTGTAAAATTACTTCAAAAGTTGAAAATTATTAATAATTAAATACCTAATAACTTTTAAAAAAATAAATGAAAAAGTGAAGTATAATTTAAGTGTTGAAAAGTTTTTAATAAAAAAATTTATATATTTTTATATTGAATGCAACCAAATCCAGTAATTAATGGTAAAATTATAATATTATGACTAAATACATATTGACTTTTAAAAATATTAAACCATTGTTTACCACATAATAAAATTGTTTTAAAAATAGTTAATAACATTACCTTTTTAAGGATTTTTTTTTTTTAATAAAATCATTAACCAAATATGAACTAACATAAAAACAGAGAGGGAGTAGAATAATAAACTTTAAAAAAAAAAAAGATAAGTTCGAGTGTAAATAAAGTAAAAAATTAAGGTTTAAATATTTTTAATTCATGTGTTTTATATCTGGCACATGCAACGAATTTGGAGAGATGCAAAAATGATCTTTTATGTAACATACATTCAAGGATGATGAAAATATTAACTAGTGTTGTTTGTTTAGGAGTTTTTTTAACACAAGTGATGAGTTTGTACACTTGACAAAGTTTGGTTAAATATTTAGTGACAAGATAATAATACCAGCAACCAAAAAGTAAGAAATGGTTCGAAAAAATTTTAAAATATGGATTTATAGAAACTAATATATATTTTTTAATTATTATATATAAATTTATTTATTTTTTCTAATTAAGGGGGCTAAAAGTCCAGACGCAAAAAAAAAAAAAAAAAAACAAAATTAGTAATCTAACCTAGGAGACCACCTTCCCAGAGAATCAAGACAAAGGAAAGGGAGGAGGGAAAAAGGAGCATAAACAATACAGGGAGATAACAAAGAATCATCTAGGCCTAACTTGGCTAAATAGTCTGCACTTTGATTTGCATCCCGATAAACATGACTAAATCTAACAAATTGAATAGGCTGAATCGCCTTCCTAATTCTGTTAATAAGATCATACAAAGGGTGGGCAACATTCTGAACATTGAGGATGAGGGCCAAAGCTTCCTTAGCATCACTCTCAATCCGGATTATATTAATGTCATATTGAGAAACAAGCTCCAGCCAGATCAAAATACCCCAGAGTTCAGCTTCCACAGGAGAACAAGGGTCCAACTTCTGGTTAAAACCAGCAATGAAAAGGCCTTGAGCGTTTCTGATTAGACCCCCACAAGCAGCAGTATTACTAGATAGAGAGACAGCCCCATCCACATTAAGCTTCCACTGATGGGCAGGGGGAAGAATCCATTTATTGCAAATCTGATCCTTAACCTGGTTAAAAAAAGACCCAGTCAGAACAACATGACAACTTGTATAGGCCCTAAAGTCAGAGAGAATTCTCTGAATAAGGACTTGAGAATGGGCTGAAAGGTTATTAAGTACAAAACTATTTCTATCTTTCCAGAGATTCTACACAATAAACCCAAATAAAGTATTCCAATTGGGAAATTGACTGAGATTCTAGTTAGAGAGATTAAGGCTTAACCAATTAGAAATATCACTACTAAAGAAAGTAACCCATTGATTAGTAAAAATAAAATAATCCCAAACAGCCTTTGCAAAATCACAGTCCCAAACCACATGAATAACAAATTCCTCATCATCAAAACATCTAGTGTAAAGGGGAGAGGATGACATAGCTCGCTTGAATCTTTCAACATTAGTGAGCAATCTATTGTGAGCAAGTTTCCAAAGAAAAATTCTAACTTTGGGAGGACCTTTCCAATTCCTCACAGCTTTAAACAAATTTTGGCTACTAAAAGAGATATTATTAGAACAAGAAAACAAAGAATATGCAGATTTGAGGGGAAAAAAAATACCATTATTAGTTAAATTCCATAAAATAGAATCAAGACCCTTATAATAAGAAGAAGGGCTCCTATTAGCCACCAATCTGCAGATCTCATTAGGGAGAACAGCAGCAAGCTTCTCCCAAACCTAGACCCCATTCCTGGAAAAAGAAGCAACAGGGGTTTTCTGGTCTAAAGGGGAAAGGGAAACAGTACTATAATTAGATAAAATACCAGTTTTATGACACCAATTATCAGATCAAAAACTTGCAGTCATTCCATCACCAATAACCCAACCAATTCCTTGAGAAAACATTTTCCAAACATGCCCTAAGCTTCTCTACAAATGAGAAGATTGGAGGCCTATCTTAGCCTCAGGATTCTGACCCACACTATACTTATATTTATCACAAAGAACTTGGGCCCATAACGAAGAAGGAGAGGTTATCAACCTCCACCAAAGTTTCATCAGATAAGTCCTATTTAGAGTGTGCAAATCCTTTAAACCAAGACCTCCTTCAGATTTGGGTGTACAAATAATATTCCAACTCACAAGATGACACTTCTTAGCCCCTAAAGATCCCCAAATAAAACCCTTACAAATCTTATCAATTTCCTGGCAGACAGAAGAGGGGATTAATTGAATTTGCATTGTGTAAGCTGAGATACTCATGAGACAAGATTGGACAAGGGTTACCCTCCGTACCATGGAAAGGGAATTCATTTTCCAAAGAGAAAGTTTTTTCCTAATTCTATCCAGGATATAAGAGTAGTGGTTCTTAGAGGGATGGTGATGACAAATAGGAATACCCAAATATTTACCAAGATCCTTAGTCATAGGAATCCCTAGACCGACACTAATGGATTGGGAGATAACAGGGTCATTATTTGCTGAGAAAAAAATAGAGGATTTACTATCATTTATTTTAAGACTAGAAATCATGCAAAATTCATTGAGCACATCTTTAATAATAGCTGCCTGACTAATAGTGGCTTTAGAAACTAACAGGATATCATCAACAAACATTAGATGGGAGATTTTAGGACCATGCCTACTGAAAGAGAAGGGGAGCCAATCCTTACTATTAATTTTATAATTAATAAGATGAGTAAGTTGTTCAATACAAAGAACAAAAAGATAGGGAGAAAGAGGATCCCCTTGTCTAATACCCCTAGAGGGTTTGAAAGGGGCAGTCACAAAATTATTCCAATGAATAGTCATAGTTGAAGAGGAAATGCAGTGCTTAATGACT